GTGGCAACCCGGGGCTATGCCCTGTGGCAACCCGGGGCTATGCCCTGTGGCAACCCGCATATTAATCATCAGGTAAACCTGACGATTAATATGCGGGTTGCAGATATATTGAAGTGAAATAAACTATCTTTTATTTCTGTAATTGAAATCTTGAATATTTGATTGAAAGTACCTTACTATATTTTTTAGTTTTGCATTTTGTCCTAACATTTTTGTAAAGGTAAACCTTTACGATTAAAAAGGGAGTTGCTTTAAATTGGTATAAAAAGGTGTTTTATATCTTATAAATTAAATTCTTTATGAATTGATTGAAGTTTAAAAATATTATAAATAAATTTTGCATTATGGGCATGAGTTTTTATCTATGAAAAATGCTGTTTTGAAGAAACATTTTATTATATTAGATAGAATTGATTACCTATTTTGCAAAACAAAAACTTGGATTTACAGACATCGAATTTTGTTGAATTAGATGTGATTTAAATAGAATATTCTAGTAACTACTGTATTACTCTAAATTAAACCAAATTTCTAATAGAATAATTGATTCTATTAGTGATTCAAAAATTGATTGATTTATTCATTAATTCATTGATTTAATCATGTATTCTATTCTTTCAATCTATTTATATACCTATTAACTTTTAATTGTTAAATACTTTTATAATCATTTTTTTTGAATTTATTCATTAATTAATCATAGATGCCAAAGTAAATGAATGATATCAAGTCATGTGAATTGAATAAATAAATATGCTTTATTATTTTAAAAATGAAACTATATGTTTCATTCTTGATCACCACTTTACAAATTGTCATTGATCTTCTCTAAATCTTATTGTTTCTGCTTTACATTTATATAATTGCCAATGTTATTAATCTTATAAATAATATTTCCATTTGTTGTAGTTGTTGGAGTTGTAGTTGATATTAAATCTATCCTATTGTATGACAACTTCTTCCAGTATATGTTATCTAAATTTATAATTTCCTAAATGATAATCAATATATATTAGTAACATTCTATTAATTAATAAATCTTGTTTCTAGAATCTTTTTTCTTCTAATTCTTTTCTCTTACTTGATTGAAGATTTGTCTTTTAATAACCATTCGGTTTGTTCTTCATCGTCATCCTCTGGTGATATGCTCGATGGCCGCTTGAAACTCTTCGTTGGCCATTTGAAGTGCTGTCATATCTTTTTGTTTCTGTTTCTATAGCAATATTTTTTTATTTACTTGTTGATTTTGTTCTAACTTCTATTATCTACATTTGGTTGTTGTTGCTGTTGCTGCTGCTGTTGTTCATATTCAACTTGTTGTTGATGTTGCTATATAATATAGTTAATTTCTATATATATATATATATTATAAAATAGTAAGAATCTAATTTAATTGATGAATCTGGATAATATAATAATGATTTATTTTTTAATGTTTTCGTGTTTTTATAATTTCTAAAAAAATGAGTTTTTATGTATTGTAACGATTATGTTACAGTTGCTGTTTTTGATATGCACCATAATCAACATTTTGTTGTTGCTGCTATTGATATGCACCATAATTACCTAAATGATAATCAATAAATGTTAGTAACATTCTATTAATTAATAAACTAATGCTTATCTTACTGTTAATCTATCTGTAGCAATTTAAAGATTGTTGGTGTCGATAATTGTAATCCAAATGTAGATGATTCGAAACATTCGATCTCGCTTGCTCGATAGTGACCATATCTTCTTGTCAGAAGGTGGTGGCTTCATTGACTTTGATCAAAGTGTTGGTGTATCGTTCACCTATTAAGTAAGCAAAGTAAGCTTTTGACAACCAGTGGTACTTGATGAATATCATTTTCTAATGCTGTGTTGAAATAAAATCTAAATAAATTAACTTGACTCTCTATATGATTGCGGTATATTAGATAATTGCAGTAGATTTGCAAATGTTTAAAATTAAATTTACATACCTCAATAGCAATAAGAACACACCTTGGCTTTGTGTAGCAGGCCCGGTCTCCAACTGTACTTTCATTGGCATCGCTGAACCCTCTGTCTTGATAATGTTGATGAGCATACTATTAATTGGTTGTACTTGAAATGTATTACTATTGCTACAGTGCTTTCACTTTGATAGTATCTTTAATCTCGTTGATCATTGTCAGATTTAGCCAAAGAGTCGACCACTACCGCTATTGTCCTATTTCACAACATCTTCCAAAATAAGTATCTATCTTTGAGAGTATAGTCAATCTAATATCTAATCTTCATTCATCAGAGCCAACCACCACTCAACTAATATATTGACATTGCTGTCAACAAACGATATCTAATCTAACGTTGCATACTCTGTATCTATTAATAAATTAAAATTAGTTTGTTAGTTTAGTTTAGTTTAGTTTAGAATTATAGGAATGATCATTATCTCAATATTACTCTTCAATATGTATCTTTTTAGAACACAAAAAGTAAACTTGAAGAGAGTGAATACTGAAATCATTGACTGAGCTTACATTTGGATTGAATATTATAACTCATTACTTTCTTTAAATAATTATTATATTCTAAAGCTGTAACATCTTTTAAAATTGAAAAATAAATAAATATTGATATTGTTATTACTATTGATAACGATATCTTAAGATCTTTAAAATGAAAGTAAAAAAAAAAAAAAAAAACAATTTGTTGATCATAAACACTGAACATCAAAAGTAATATTTTATATTGATCTCTATTATCAGCAAACTCTTGTCGATATCGGAGGTTAGTTAACTTTTATTCTTATTTAATCTACACCATATCTTTACTGTTTTTATTCAAATTAATACCTATTTAACTTGGTCGTAATAATAATATAATGTACAACCGATTTAGATTTTCAAGTACCATTTGGTATTTTGAAGAACACCTTCTGACACCAAACAATTTCACCTATCAATCTATTCAATAATAATAATAACAATGTAAATCAACAGGAATCTTACATATTAAATAAATAATTTTAATTTTCTATCTAAATAACTTATTATTTTTTTTTTTATTTTATTTGGAGAAGTAGAGATGTGCTGTTGATGAACTTTGTTGTCGAATATCAGGGGTATAACTAATAGTGTTGTAGCTTGTATTGACACTTTCAGTCGATTGAAATCTGTGCAATATAGAATAGGATCTATATTTTTCACTGATTAAATACTAAAAATGGTTGGAGAACATTAATGGTACTTGTAATATCTTCTCATTAGTGAAAATGTGTTACAAACTGAAATGTTTTATATATTTTGTTTATTTATTTAATTTAAATTTAATAGTTCTAAATGAGTGAGTAAATGATGAATATTTCCAAATGGCAAAGAGTCCTTCAATTCTTCTTTGATACTGTCCATATTTGCTTTCGCACCATCAAATGTTATAATGTCGTTTTGATCCAAAACAGTGATTACATTTTCTGACGATTTCTCGTTAAATCCTAATTGTCTGACCCAATCAAAAAAGTCCAAGTTTTCAGGCTCGTGTGGAACTAATTTAAATGACTCTTTGTCTATCTTGATACCAAGTAATCTAATAAAGGTGTTCGTAGTGATCTTTGGTACACCTTTTTCGATTAAAAGATTACGAAGCATTTCTGGTTCCTTCAAAACACTGAGAGCGATGGAAAATGTGTCTATACCATGTTCAACCAGAACCTTTGAAATTAATTCACGGCTTGTTGGTTTAACATCTGCAATTGAGGAGATCCAGTCTAAAAATGTTTCATTCAAGGCACTATTAATCTTTTGAGCATTTGATGCTGGCTCCATTACAACGTCAGTTTGGGAAGTTGGTTGTTGGGAAGTTGGTTGTTGGGAAGTTGGTTGTTGGGAAGCTGGTTGTTGGGAAGCTGGTTGTTGAGGAGCTGGTTGTTGGGAAGCTGGTTGTTGAGCAGCTGGTTGTGGTTGTTGAGGAATATCAAATTTCTTATTAAAAGCGTTGGAGTAAATGACAGAGACGCAGCTATTTAGGATAATATCATTGTATGCTTTCAAATCAACTCCTTCTACGATAGTATTGGTTATTCTTGTGAATGAATTACCTTTCTTTATAAATAAAGAAAAGGTTGGTGCACTTTGGGGACCTTCGAGACACTATTAATAATAGGTTGGAATTGGTTAGATTTTAAATGTTGCACTAAACATATTAGAAACAATACTTACCAATATAGCATGTAATGTGTAGGTAAATGATTTACCAGGTACCTGATAGATATCCATCAAATCAAATGAATCTGGAATGGCAAGTTTGGTGTATATTCTCTCATCTGCAGTTTCTGATCTATTAATTTGAATGAACAAGTACTTTGCTGGATCGATTGGAATTGTGGCAATTGAGTATTCTTGACACTTGGCACATTGTTTAGTTCTATAAAATAAAAAAAAATTAGTGTTTGTGGTTCATATAACATTATAAAAGCAATGTAACTTACTCCAATTGTTGGTTTGTGAGGAGTAAACTAACCAAGTCGGTATCCTTTTTATCTTCAAATGCGCATTTGAAATAGGAAATCTGATATGCCAAGTTTTCATGCTTACAATCTTGACAAATTAAATTGTTTGACATTTTGAAAATACCACTTGGCATTATTTGATTATCCACATAGACCAAAGTCTCTAAAAATTGAAGCAATAAACGACAACCTGTTTGATCTCTCGCCTTTGTAATATGGATCAAATCTAGAATGATAGGATGGAGAGGTACTTTGCCACCTGATTTACATGAATTTCTGAATTCAACAACATGATTGTAGAAATCTTCGTGGAAATCTCCTTTCTTTACAAGCTTAAATCTATCAAGATTTATGTCTGTGACTTCCAACAACCAATTGTATAATACTTGGAAACCTGTGTGTGGATAAGATCCAATATCGGGTATTTTCTCTTTCTTTGGTTCTACCCTCTCTCCACGGTCTTCGTTTTCAATCTCTATGAGTTGATTTGAATCTACTACCACGTCCAATTCATCTTCACTGATCTCTGGTTCCTCCACTTCTTTTTGAACTTCCAGAACAGGTGCTGCTGGCTCCATTTGTATATCTTCCACTTGGTTGGACTTGTTATCAACTTCCATTGGAGTTTCCTTTTGAAGTCTGAAATGATAGAGATGGGGTTCTTTATAGATCTCCTTCTTTTGGTTTAGATCTTTGATCTTGAGGAAAGAGAGAATCTCATGGATGGTTCTCATGAAGAATGAGTAGTAGGACAGTGTAATGTTGTCTTGGAAAAACTGACTGTGAGATGTGTAGAGCTTTGACGGTGACTGGTGTCTCATGTTCATAAGCAAATTACAGACGTGATCCTTCAAAGGAGTATCTGGTTGTTGAAGTTTGAGCAGATCTTTGCTTTTTGGACTGGCCAGTATCTGAATTATCTCTTCAAAGTAATGGATCCAAGGCAAGATATCTTGATTCTCTTTGGAGGCTTCATTCTTGAGATTAATACAAATGCTCTCAAAGTGGTTGATGATGGTTGGATCTGCCTGAACTGGGTCGTTTACAATTCCAGAGTAGAGATGACCATAGCTGAGTGAATTCTTAATGATCATTTCCGATATAGTCTTGAGACTAGTCAGTCGAACCATTGCCAAATGACTGATAATGGGTTTCGATATCTTATGATAGGTTAGACCAATTCTCATACTTATTTCAACGAGTGTCATCATTAGGTAACCTGGTACCTTGGTCTTGTTGATGGGATCTTTCAAGATATTATTGATCACTCTGGCAATAAGTGAGGTCAAGAAACGACAAAGAGTCTCACTTTCCTCTGGGTGAAGCTTGGCAGTGCTCATATCCAATGGAATCTTAATGTTTGGATCTTTGATTTCCTGTCCAAATGTGGCACTATCTAGTTTCTCTTGAATGATAAGCAGTTCTTTCACATATTCTGGTATAATCTGTGAAGACATTGAAGTGTTGGTTGAAACTTTGGAATTGTTTTGGGCAACGCTAACTCTGTATGGGAAATCGACCATGTACTGTTTCATTTGCTGACCACCATTGATTTTGCCGGCAACATAGTTGTAGATGAGTTTGTTTTCAACAAAGGACATCTTTGGATCGAAAAGATTTCTATCAAATGTTTGATAGTGCGAGATACAGTTGGAAATAAACTTTTGGAAATCGGTGAGATTGTAGTTGGAACCAATCAAATAAAAGTTCTCTCCAAAATCGAATGACATATTACCAATATCGATGTTGTTGTCTTCACTATCTGGGGATTCAATGATTCTCTGGAAGAGCTCTGTTTTTTGGACTTGATCCAAATGTCCTACAGCCTTTGACTGAGTATTGGTAACCCAGTTATTAATTAGATTAATAATAAGACCGTTCGAAGAGAGATCACGATTAAAGAGGAGAGATACGAGCGGAGTGTCATCAGTGATTGGTTGTACAACCTTTTCATAGTCTGGCATTGCACGACAACCACCTTCCATGATTTGAAGATGTTCAAGAATGTCATTCCATGATTTCTTAGCATTCTCCCATTTCGTTTTGATAGATTTGATTGTGTTTTCGTCTTCGTACTTGTGAGTCTCTAGGAATTTGATACACTCTGGTATGGTAAAGAATTGGTTTTCCTGGGGAAGACGACGAGAGAAATACTTGAATATGAGTTCAATAAGCTGAATGACTTCATAGAAATACTTGGAGATGCAAATGGTGGCAATGTTGGTTGAGAAATAAAGCAAAAGCTTGTTTTCCTTCTTGGTGATCAAGTCGTGAATATATTCATAGTCGTAGAATGGCGATGTGAACTTGGTTACGTATTTCTGTCTGCATTTGATGGCTTGGGCGAGTGTAGCTGATTGGGAGACCACTGCATCAATTCTTTTTGTCTTGATATTTGGATAGTCTTTTCTAACCTTTTCAATTACCTCTATAAGATAGTTTTCATAGGCATAGACGTCCTTGTCTGAGTGGGTTTCCTCGAAATACGCTCTCATTACTGGACGTGGGGCAGTGTATGCTTCATCCCAAAGCTGGTAAACCAACTCTGACAAAAAGTGACCAGGTTCAATATGTTGATCCACAATGTCTTGATTGATCTTGACCTCAGAGATTGAAGTAAGCGCTCTAATACCAACGTAATCTGTCAATCCATCGATTGTCTTTTTCTCTAGGAAATTGGCAAAGTGAATATTTGGATCGGTCAAGTAGGCTACATCTTCTCTGGTAACCAAACAACTGGCGGTCCAACTGAAAACAGCCCATGAAGTAGAACCGATCATGTACTTGTAGAGTGGATTATTCTTCATACAATAGATTCGAGCATCGGCACCTCCACCAAGACGATAGACCATACCACAATCACGGAAAATTAATTCAGTGGCAGGGAACTTCTTACCACAGACCTTCTTAAAGTCACGTGTAAGTTCGTAGAGATAAAAGTTACTGTTGGAACCAATTGAGGCAGCAACATAGTTGACTAGGAGCTGTCCAATGACAAAATGATCCTTGGCCTTGTTTGGATACTTCATGACGACTTCATCAAAGTTTTTAATGCTTATCTTGAAGTCCTTCTTTATGATCTTCTTAAAGAAATTGATGTATGGTTCATTACCGATGGCTGTATTAAAGAGTGATCCGGGGGCAATCAGTTTCTCGATAAATCCAAATTCAAGGTCATCCAGATAGTATTGATAGGTAATGAGGAACAATGACATTCTAAAGAATCCACAAGAACGAGGTGTGTTTCTACATTGTGCGATTAATCGGTTGATGTCCTCATCGGATTTCGAATCTACTGCATCCTTGATACTCTTGAATAGCTTACCATCATCGGTTGAAGAATCGACGGTGAAACTATAGAGTGTTGATTCTTTCATTGAAATATCAATGGTGACAAGATTCTCTTCCATTGCAATGGTCTTGAGGAATGCCTGATTCTTGAGAATATCAACCAGAGTCTTTTCAGAGCTAATCTTGTTCAGCAGATACATATGATTGAAACGTCGCTGGATCTTGTTTGCTTTGGTCTGACGCTCCATTGAAAAGATCTTATTCATTGTGGTGGTGAGCATTTTGTTATTGTCTAAGTAGTTCTTGGTTGGCTCTACACCTTCATCATTGAGCATTTTGGCAAGATTATCAATGAAATGAGTTGACATTGCATTCACTTTGATTCTTTCCAGAATACTAGGAGATCTAACCATTTCTTGCCACTTGACCATGAGATTGATTGTATCTAGATTGAGACGACGACATCTCTCTAGCTCGACAAAGTAGAGAATATTGATCAGATTTGGATTTGGCTTAAATTCTTGTTGGAACTCCTCTTTGGAGACACCGAGGAATTGCAAAAGCTCTCCCGTTGGAACTTCATTGTTTGGATGTAAACAATAGAGTACTGGATTACAAAATAGAGTGACACCTTGCTTTGTAAATATCTCCTCGATGATGACGGAATACGACTTGAAGAAAGAATCGTAACTATTGAATATGTTGTTGCAGAACCAGCCCATGGGGATCTTTGAAACGAAATCTTGATTCAACGATTTATCATTGTTGCACATTAACAAGAAATTTCTCTTGTTTGCAGTCGACAAATTGATGAACGGCTCAAAGGTTGTGAGGAAGCATGATAACTCCACAGGTGGAAGTCCTCTCTCTTTGAGTATACGGTTAACGTTAGAGAAAAAACTACTAAAGGGTTGGAAGATATCTTCAGGGTCGAATCTCTTTGCCTTTGGAACTCCACGATAGATGCAAGACAAGATGCTCTCGGTGGTATCAATGTTACCGATGGTACTTGCAAAAATGCATAGATTGAAAAGGATATAGATGTATGATGTAAACTGTCCAGTGTCACCTTTACCCTGAGCTTGTCTGAGGATAGTGTAGATTGGGACACGATTGAGTATTTCACGTACAACATTACACCAATTGGCAGTGATATCAGAGAGATTCTTGGCCTCTGGCGAAATATCAACGATCTCTTTGTAGATCAATTTCATTGCAAGCGCGGTGATAATGGATTTGGCTTGATTGGTATTCGAAAGTTTGTCTTTGTCCAAATTTAGATTTCGGAATTCCTGCAAAATCGATACGTTGGTCTTTAGATTCATCAATGGTGTTGTCAAACTCTTGAGATAGTGAATGGTAGGAGAGTAGAAATAATTGCAGACAATAAACAACAATATTGAATCTGATCGAATTGGGAAGATCTTTTTGATGACCAACAACACAAACTCTAACCACGACTTGTCGAATCTCATGGTTCTAATCACGAAATCGGTTTGGAATTGTTGGTAGAGCGTATCGTTTTCACTGATGTATTGGATGAGAGGTCCCAATGAATGGTTCGATACATATTTGGTGTATTCACCAAAAATCTTGTCGATTCCTCTGTTGGGGTGAAGATTAAGTGTATTGTCAAAGAGAGTCTTGAGATTCGAGATTACAGAGTCATAGAGAGGTAAGCAAGATTCTTGTTGGAGGACTTTTTCCTGGTGAACTGTAAGTGTGACTGGTTCGAATCTCTCCTCAATGTTCTCGTTGATTTCTGGTACTCTGACACTCTGAATGTAAAGTCTAACCAACTCTGAGTTTTGTGCATCTTTGATCTTTGAAACTCTGAGATAAGATTGATAGTTTGTAACAATCTTAAAGATCTGTGACACCATAGGATAAAAGAAGGTGATCATCGAGTTTTTAATTGAATCAAAGAACGAATGAACCAGTTTACCGGATACAATCAGCTTGGAAATGTTTGTTATGATCTGTTTAAACATATCCTTCTGACCCCACTCTGTTGACAACATTTGAATGGTAGTGTTGTACCACTCTTTGTTGCTTCTGAAGAGATCCTCTATCAGTGTAACTCTTTGATCGGCATTTGAATAGAAGGTACGTTCAGCTGGATCTGCCTTCAGCGGTAAAAATACAGGATTCATTTCCATTGCAACCTGTCTGAGATGTTCAAAGAACATATCTTCAAATGTTCTTTCCAAAGATTGTGGGTCGATCGAAAGCTTCAATCCATAGGCTCTGCCGATCCATGTACGAATGTCAGAGTCTAAGCTATTCTGGTTACTCTCCATGAGCTGAGTGTCAATCTTGAGTCCAAGAGAATCGATATACATATACTCTATGCCATTCAAGAAAATGGAATTGAGTTTGGTTTGATTGGACAATGAGAATTCAGGTGGATAGTGACAAATGGTGATAAGGAGCTTGCTCTTATCAAACTTGTTGAACCTGTCGACAATGAAATTGACCTGGTGCTGATTGACGTATGACATATCTGCAATGATCATACAAATCTTTTGCACTTTGGAATTCTTGAAATGATCGAGTTCAAGATCACAGCTGTGGCTCGACTTGAATGAACCCAACTGAATAATCTTGAGAATATTCTCTTTGCTGTCAATTTCCATGGGATCGATTTCACTCTCGGTATCGCCGTTTTTGAAGAGTTGAGACAGTAGGATCTTGTGGAAATTATCCATATGCTCCGAGTCTTTCAAACGATGAAGTGTAAGTGAAGTTCTTGTAAAGAATGTCCATTTGTTGGGTACGGATTGATCATTTTTAACAAACTTTTTGTTAAAGATATGATCGAGGAACCTCAAAATATTAAAGTGCTCCTGTCTAAGAAGATACTCTTCAATATAGGATTGTGGCAGAGTCTTGCAGTTAAAGATACTCTCTGGACGAGCGATCTGGAGTAACTTCCAATTGAATTGTCTAATCTCATAGTTTTCCGACTCTGGGATTAGTTCCAAATTGGTATTAAATATACGCTGTGGTTGAATGTTGAGAGAGTCCGAAGCTTTGAGTTCTTTAGCAATAGTGTAGATCAAAGATGGGATGGTCTCTGATTCAGAGAATCCAGACAACAACGATTTGTTGGTTGCTTTGTTGTGGAACTCATCAATGAAATGAGTGGCAGTAGATTTGAGTGTTTCGAAAATACTGGTGTGCAGTGAAAGATTCTTTTTGATGTAATAATCGAGCATCTTTTCGATGGAAAGTTGATATTTCTCGAAACGATTCAACCATGGCAACTGAGTTTGTGCCATCTGTGAGAGTGGGAGATGCACAATGATCTTAAACTCTGGATGAACTGGACAGAAAATAGAATGAGTTCCAAACGATACGTTGGCAATGAAATGCATTGATCCATCCGGAGTAGGTAACAATGTGAAATATCTATTAAAGACATCATAGAAACATGCATCGATCTGGTGGGTATTCACCAAAACAACGGTACCACCCGATGCCATCTCTGATTTGATTTGAGAAACAACATTGACTAGAGACTCTGTTGTACTGTCACGTTCGAAACCACCGACTCTAATCACTGTTGTATTGATTCCAAGTTCCTTCAAGATCATCAGTGATGATTCATTTTCAGTGGGATCGATAATCATCATATAACGGAATGGAACAGTGTTGGGGTCTTGCTTTGTGTCAAGAGTTTCCAGGAGTGACTCTTTGATACGCTTAATGGTTCTGTCGGTATCCAATAGGTTGCCTGGCTTAACAGAGACGTCTGGAATATTCTGGAGTTGATCAAAGAATTCCTTGGCCATCTCTTTAAATTCCTTTGGAGGTATACCACCAAAGTTTCTCTCGATCGAGTTGATGAGTACTTCACCATTGAGCACACCTTGGTTATTCTTCAAGCCACGAGCAAGATGTCTGAGAAAATAAACGAAATCACGTTGATGGAAGAGATTCGGTTTGGTATCTTTGACATGATTGTTTGCAAGCTTATAAGCAGCGCAGAGTGCAGTACAAATTTGGTTCTCCGATGGTGTCAACACTTTGTTGTTATACAAACAACCGACTGCCAGTGCTTTCTCGTCTTCCTTGGTAATGGTGTGTGGGTGTACTAACATCAACATACGATTGGTCTTGGCGGCATCGAGAACCTTGTTGGAAAGGATGACAACAGAGATATCAACAGAGTCCTTGTCCATCTTTTGTGAAACCTTGTCGAGATAGTCGTGCATAATCTTCATTGGAGAATCGTTCTCATTGACCAAACCTGCTTCATCAAAGAAGACAACACAACGACTTTTGCCTCCCGAGAGGTCATATGTCTTTTGACGATTGAGAGAACGTTCAAAGACAGAGCTAATCTCAATATCGGTGGTGTGTGGAGTACATTGGTAACGGAATGGATCAGCAGTGGTCATTTGAGACCATGGAGAGGATGGATCGTCGAGTTTGTTGGCATTCATATTGTTAATGACAATACCAAAACTGAGTGTCTTTGAACAACCTGGCGGACCGACAATACATATTGGGAGTCTTGAGTTGATGGCAACTGTAATACCAAATATATTGAGCTTGAGTGATTCAGTCAAAGCAATACCAGGTGGTAGTTTAGCAGTTTCACAGAATTTGGAGTAAATCGATTTGAACATGTTATTGGCATCACTGAAAACCGCTTTGATGGCCGGAAAAGCATCAACTTGCTTTCCATAGTAGTCATTGACCTTCTTGATGAGGAGATCACGACTCTCGCCAGGAGAAACACGAATGTAATAGGTCAACCCAATTGAAGCAATGATTGACATCCAATGAAGCATTGTAACACTCTCTTGGTTGTTGTTGTCTTTTAATTTGTACGCACAATTCAAAATACTATTTCCAACCGGGGTGTATCTAAAGAATTTATAGAGGTCTATAACTCTAGTGATATCACGAATCGAAACATGAGTTCTTGCTTGGTTGGTTTCACGAAGTGCATTTTGACCGATGATGATGATCTCTTTGAGATTCTGTTGTTGTTTCAACAGATCGACCTCTGTAGTTTGAATGATATCATCTCTAACCAAGAAAAGTGATTCCAAGAAAGATTGTTCATTCTTGGCAGTGAAATCACCATAGTTCAAGAAAAGTTGAACCATTGCAGGTGGCGGATGTTGAACAACAAACGAGAGATGACTGGTAGTTGTAGTCTGACCTGTGTAATCGACAGCCTCCATTGAGGTGGTCTTTACTGGATTCATTGCACCAATCCAGAAGATATTGTCAGGAATACATCCTTCACCATCGAGTGTTCCATCGATAAAGATTTCGTTGATCAATGCAAGCGTATCGTTTGGACTAGTGTTGAACTCATCAATAAAGATAAGCATCTTGAGATTTGGATCGATGTGTCTGAGTTGTTTGGCTTCGGCAATGTAGCTCAGCACCAAATTCTTAAAGATCTTTGAGGTAAACTTTTGATGCATAATGATACGATGGAAGAGATTTCTAAAGGTGGCAGAGGAAATCTCTTTGACAGCTTCCAAAAGTTTTTCCTTGTTTTGAATGATGACACTGGTGGAACTCTTGAAACGAATCTGGTAGAGCAGTGAATTGCGTGGTGTCTCGATCAGAGGATAGTTGTTCATCATCACAGCAATGAGATTCTCAACAGTAGAGAATAGTGTATGTTGGAAACTTCTATTTTGGAACTTGGAGCTGCTGCCACTACTATTATTGTTGTTGTTGTTGTTGTTGTTGTTTGATTCTTTCATGGGATCGTGTTCACAGAGTTGAGTGAGTGCATCTTGAATCTGAATAAGAGAGACTTCACCCGGTAAGAGTTTCGATTGTTGATCGCCGTCCATGATACCCTTCAAAACAAAATCGGTCTTGTTTTGAATGAGTTTGTTGACTTCCTCTCTGATACGAGAGATAATGTCGGGCAGTGAATTGTTCTTGGCATTGATGAGCAATGAGTAGAACAAGAGAATGAATGTCTTACCGACACCTGTATCACCAGTCAACACCAATGATCGTTGATTCTTTACCTTGTTGTGAAGCATTAGGAGACGTATACCAAACTCTGGTGTCAACACATAGTGATACTGTTGACAGAGATTCAAAACAATGTTGGTACGTGAGGAAATTCCGAAAATGTTGGCAATGATCGTTCTAAAACGAGCAGGCTCTTGTTTGGCAGTCTCCAAAGTGACCAACTGGACTCTGGTGATTAGTTTTGGCTTGCTTGAGAAATCAATGTAATCGATTGAAACAGTCTTCTTGTTTGCCTGAGAAAGGTAACGAGAGGTAATCATTGGTGGCTCTTTCCAAATGTTCTGGGCAGTGGCCAATTGAGGGTCAGAGAACTTGACTGCCTCCAAGATGAGGTAGTGATACAACTCGTAAGGCTGTAAGAGTAGCTGTTGATTTTTGGACTGAGATTCTGAATCAGACAGTCCAACCTCTGCATAGGTATCGTAGTAGGCATCCAAAAATACCAATCTCTCCTCTAGGAGTTTCATAAAACTCTTTCTGTGCAAGAGATGTTTAGGATCGGAAAGGAATGCAGGATTATAAGCAAACTCTTTCAGGAGAATCTTTTTGATAGTCTGAATGTATTCATGAACGTTTGCAACCTTTTTACCGAGTTCCAATGATGGCTTCTGGTAGGGATTCGAATGAACATAGGAGTAGCATTTTAATTCGGTTGGAGTGACTTCCCATTGTGTCTTGGTGTGGTCAGTAATCTCTGCCAAATGTTGAACCAGTGGGATGGTATCTGTTAGATAATCAGAGAATCTTGCGTATTTCTTGGCTCCCAACAGTGGTGATCCAATTTCAACATAGATTTGAAGTAAGAGTGTCTCTGGTACGTTGTAGATCTCCTCAACACGATTACCAAATACATAGCCACGAGTGATCAGTGGATAGATAAAATGATTGAAACTATCGAAATCACAGTAAGGTGAGATAACAAAGTGAATCATGATCTTCTTTTTGTCCTTGTGTTTTCTGAGATGGTGGATCATCGGTTTGGCATCGAAATTTGGTCTTAGATGAACTGTGATTGGATTGTTGGATGAGTGTTTCTTTGAACGGATGAAATACGATTTACCGGTACCACAATCACCACAAACCAATACCAACTGCTCGATTCCAATCGATTCTTTGGTTCGGTTCCAACTCTCTTTAAAGTTCTTCCATTCAGTGTCAAACATGGTGTTGCTGTTTGGCAAGAATGAAAATAGATCTGTAGCCATAGAACGCTCGGTTGAGATCACATAGAGTCTAGCAAGTTTATCTGTAGTTTGCTTACTGTAGTGATCAGAGAGCCAATGCATGAGCTTATCCTTTTCATTGGGGATACCAATTAAAAAGAATGTATAACCTGACATCTCTTCGATCAGACGCAAGAAATATTCGATATCCTTTGAAAAGGCATAGGAGTAGAACAGTTGGGATGGATGTGGTAACATTGAATTGTTCAGCTGCATCAAGACATTGTAGAGATTATCTTTGGAATTGAGATGAACCAGAATTGGACCTGTCTCTTCGGAAAGATCTTCATAAGCCTCTTCTGTGTTGGTAAGACCCTCAACTAAACCAGTCAAAAATACAGAGTAGTCATATTTGGCAAGTAGATTATTGTCAACAATGATCTTGGCTATCAATTCACTCTTGATGGGAAGTCCAGAGTATGGATAGCAATACTTGATGAATGGAGTTACATGAGTTGCCATCCTTTGAACAAAATCGGGCTTTGCATTGTAGTGGTTGAAGATCTTGTTGTAACCAGAGATAAGAGAAGAGAGACCATGAGCTTTAAGAAGCAAAAGTCTTGTGGGAAGGTTTTGAATTTTCGACTTCCACTCGTTCAGACTCTTCTCAAGACTTTCCTTCTTACTCTGTAGGTCTGTTGCATCATTGAATGCCAACTTGATTATACCTTCGAAATAGTCGGGATGGAATAAACGGTCCATCTCACAGTGAATAATATGAACGGTACTGAGTAACTTGACAACACTCTGGAACTTGGCAACCAAGTCATTGGTTTTCGTGTCGGATGAATTCGATGATTTGGTGATATTGAGTCCCTGAACGAAATCTTCAATCTTTTCCTGAGTAAACTCGAGTGAAGATGAACTGATTTTAATGGACCAACCAACTGAACCCTCCTCATACTTGGTTGTTCTCGAACTAAACTCTGAGCCTTTCAATATCTCTGAAACAGTTGGAAGAATCGATTCGATATTGTAGGTACCACCAGCAGATGAATAGATACCACGAACATGGGCAATATTATTAACGACATACTCGATCTTTGTGAAATCGGTCTGAGTGTTTTCCATGAGACGAGAGACACTCTTACACATCTCTCTGAGAGAGGAAAAAGCGTTGACAGACATTCCAGATTCCTTTGTTGCCTTGGTGGTGTCTTGGAATCTTGCAATGAAAGGCTGCAAAAGATTGTAGGCATGGATTGTGTTGTTGACCAAACTAGAGTTGTACTCGTCGGTAATAAGATTGGCAGTCATAATTTGGTTGGTCGTTTGGAAGTCTTTGAACGAAGCAAAGAATTCAATGAGGTCGGGATTTACATATTTAAAGTAGACCAATTGAGGATAGGTGAGATCACCAATCAACTGAGTGATATCCTGGAAGATCTTTTGTGAAGTTTTGACAGAGATCAACTTTTGACCAGGTGCAATAGTCTGGAGATAGTTGGTGATTGTGTCTCTGATGTTGTCAAAGTCTGTTACATTAATATAGTGCTTGTTGGAGTCGATGAAATTAAAGAGATGGTGAATGTTGGCTTGGATACCAAAAAGTGCAGTTGCTTTGTTGATAAATTCGTAGAGCGAGTTCTCTTTGTTGTTGAAAGTCTTGTCTGGATAGAAGTAGGCATACATGTGTTCCATCTCCTTCTTAAAGTTGATATCGGATTGTGAAATGACTGTTCTAAAGATATCGTTGAGTTGGATGTCTTCGTCTTGACCAATCAACTTTTTCATAAAGTCACGAGTCATATGACAGAGAACATCGATTTGGTTTGGCATTTCGGTCTTGTTGTAGTACTCCATGATGATCTGGAAGAACTTTCGATGCTCGGTCGACAAGAACGATCTAAGGAATCGAATGGATTCCTCTTCAACCACCACATGACCTTTTTCACCCTTGGCACTTAAGATATCCTTTTTCAAATAGACGATCTGGTTGGTTGGTGAAACGTCGGCGATATCGATATTGAGCTTGGTGATCTTGAACTGGAAAGTGTTGTTGAGCCAATGACCAACCGTTCTAAGATTGAAAAGCTCAGTTACCTCTCCTCTATATTTCTTATCGAGTTCCTCCGATGACTTGGTGTTGACTGCACCGAAATATCTCATCAAAATGCTCATTTGATGGTCATAGTCACCTGCATATGATGGATTCCAATTGTTTCTCATTATTCTTGTATTTTCTTCTAAAATTGATTTAAACTATAATTGTTGTTTAAACAGAAATTATAATAAATATTGTTAGTAGTCGACCAACTAAATAATGTAATGTTTTTCAACTTACTCTTTGTCTATTATTCTCATAGACAGTAGATTCATGTACCCAAGATTTATCGGTTACTAAACCAACCAATTTTCCATGTGCAGCATTGATCGGGTATTGGGTGTGGTTTTGATTGAGGAATTCAAGATAGAAGTTAAAGAGCATCAAATGTACAAGAGTACATGGTGGATTCTCGTCAATGACCTCGAGTGACAATAAACTTGGTTGATCACCTCTATTACCAAGATAATTTCGAACGATATCACCTGTAAGCCTATGATAGTATCCATGTGTTTTCTTGTCGATAAAAGCTTGACTAAGCTTTCGATAGTTGTCTTCAATAATTGAAAAATTATTGACAAATGCTATCGGTCTAGAAATCTAAATAAAATATAAACAGTTTTTTCATTAATATACAAATATTAGGTATTTGATATTGTATTAACTTACAATCTCATTTGGTATACTAATAGCTTGTTTAGGACAATAGAGTGAGATTTGATAAAAATCGTCAAGACTGAATCTACTAGAGATGTTGTTCTGGATGGTACGGAATGGATCGGTGTCTTGGCTGAATATAAATATCTTATCGATCTCTGTGTGTCTATAGTCACCAATAGCTTGCATAATCTTTGAAGTGAAAAGGAACAGCATCTTGGAATCAGTTAGGAGTTGAAGAAGTTGGGGCATCTCAATAAAATGCTTTTTGATTCCAGTCTCTACAAAGCCATGAAGATTGGAAAGAACGTTTTCTTTTGTTGTACTATCGTATTTCTTTAGATTATCTCTAAAGCCAACCTTATCCTCCAAGATGAGCTTATAGATGACACGACCGTTTGACAATCTTGTTGATCTGTCAATCTTCATAAAGATACGAACCAATTCGAATCTATTATAAAGTTCATTCTTTGAAAGTCCTTCAACTATTTTAAATAATAATAAAATATTAATAAAACAATATAAATAATAATTAAATATTATTAAACCAATATTTACCCATTTCATTCTTTACAGTTAAACCATTGATGTCAGTGATTGGAATGGTTGTTGAATTTAAAAACTTGGTAAGCATACTGAAATACTTTTGATAATTATTGTTTTCAGCTTCAATAGGCTTTGATAAAATTGGATTAATAAAAATATCTAACATTATTTATAAAAATATTATACTTACTTCGAATATTTTAAAGAAAGTTGTGAAAGAATCCAAAAATATCTTTTTTGATTTCAGTTTGCGGAAGAACGATGATGAAACCTCATTATTAAGTTGATTGTTTGCATCAAGGAATCGTAGGATTCTAAAATAAATATTATCATCGGCAAGCATTGTGTTGATAGTCTTGCAGCTGAAAAATCCCAATGCCAAAATACAGAGGGTGTTAACGTGATCTGGAGACACCGGGTCAATAAGATATCTAGACAAGAACGATTCAAAGATGGGAGTCAACGCCTTGTTTAGATTGAAACTTTCAAGCTTGGTCAATTCATTGATGAGTGGTTCAATATATTTTAAGATATCTGGGATACCATTCTCTGATAAACTATAAAAAATGATAATTAAAAAAAAATATGTTAGAGAATGATTTGAAATCGTCGATGATTTATAAACTACTACTACTTCTACTTACTTGTCTAATTTCATCAGAATGTAAAATGAGAATAAATGATTGGATTTGATGTTGGACAAATCCGAGAGAAGTTTGGGTGGGTCAGTCATTACGAAATCCCTGGTGTTACGGTCGTCAATTAGTGATTGAATTCTATAGTGAGTCTCACTGTTGACACTCATATCCTCATTCCCTACGAGATCTTTAACCATTTCACCAAATGCCAATGTCTTTTTGAAGGCATTAAAAGGTTTGAACCAAACGATTCGATTGTCGGGAAGCGGATCTTCAAGTAGCTCTTTCAGAGGTACAGTGAAATTGTAGTTTGTAGAGAATGTTTGCCAATCGTCAGCACTAATCTTACAGGTCAGTATTCTATTTGATTTCTTCTCTTGCTTGACAGAATGCGACTTCTTTAGATGAATTTCCATTGATACTGAATTTTGATGTGTTCTATTTCTAATAGATATGAAACAATAGATTATTAGTCAAACCAAAAAATTAATAAAAAGAATTCTTATTAACTTACAATAAAATGAATTTGATATCGCTAAATTTAACTTGAGCAAGGATTGTATTCTTTGACGAATTCCACTTGAATACCTTCTCGTTCAAGTCAATACTGCAGTAGATTAGACCATCACGTCCCAATAGTTCTTTATAAAAAAGGGATATAGTTTGGAAATTGATATCCTTATCATGCTTGTCATTTGATGCCTTTTGGTGACCGTCTTTTAAATGTTCATTATTATTATTGTTATTATTATTATTGTTTTCAAAAATATTCACTTGCTCTTCTTGTTGTGGTTGATCATTTACAGCAGGTATATGAAAATTGTCATCCTCCATATCATCATCCTGAGGAGCGTTATGATCACCTTCTGGTAAATGTTGTTGAGGTTGTTGTGGTTGTGGTGGGGGTAGATGTTGATCTGCAAGATGATTGACCAGTTTATCTACAGGACTAGAGTCTTTGGGACTACACAAGAAATCCTTGATATCCTTACGGAGATCATTGATAAAGGAACAACCACTCTCTTTGTTCTTGGCAGCATTGGGATCGAGTGGCTCGGTCGATGACAGCCCTGGGAAAATAATGGGAATAAATAAAAAACTGATCTTCTCAAACTCCTTGTTCTGCTGAATCAATTGAGCGTGAGCGAGTTTGGAGTGTGCGAACCAATCATCGCATTCCTGAACGTGCTTGGCAATGACAAACGCACACTTGGTTCTGAGCTGAAGCATCTGCTTGAGATTCGGTATTTTCTGATGGAGCAGCTCCACCGAGAGATTCTCCTCATCCGCCAGCAGTATGCAACTGAGCAGACGATCGACGTTGTGAACCGAGATCTTGGTACAGTTCTTGATGAGGTCCGATGACGAAGCACCGAGACGGAGTGTCTCACCACTATCAATGAAATTGATATCGTATCGACTGGTCTTGTTCTGAATGGAGACTGTAGTGCAAAACTCGTTTTTGACTGCAATGTCCACCTCTGCACCGATGTGCACTTGCTCTTTTGACCACTTTTGAAAGAGCGATTGAGAATCCATGTTGATCTGCTCCAAGTGAATCTTGAATTTCTCAAAACTCTCGACTTCACTCACGATGTAGGTCACCAGTACATTTCTGAATTCGCCAACCATTAGCTTCTTGCTCGGATGATCCAAGTAGCCCAAGTGCTGCTCTTCGTAGACATCGTCATCATCTGCACTGGCATTCATCATCTGGTGTGGATCCATCATCAGATCGATGGTTTGTTGGTGATGCATCGATGGATTCATACGAGGATTTCTCTTTGTTTCTTTTTTGGGTTGAGCTTGACGTAGCTGATGAAATTGTGGTGGCATCATTTGTTGCATTTGCTGCTGGTGATGATGATATTGTTGTTGTTGTTGCTGTTGATACTGTTGTTGCTGTTGTTGCTGTTGGTGTAAATGATAATACAACTGTGGATCATTATGATAATCAGCATCCATCATCATTGTATCTTGGAAATGATGTTGCATTGCTTGCTTTGCAATATCATCCATTCCTCTTCTATTCATTATCTTTTCATTTTTATTATTATTATTATTATTATTATTATTAATATTTCTATCTTTATCTTTATCTTTATTATTGTTATTATTACTCATATTTACAAATTATAACTATAACACAATTAAATTGTGTATTATAACAATTATAGCTATATTTTAAAATACAATATATTTCAATTATAAAAGTTTTGGAAAAAACAAAATAAAAAAAACAAAGTTCATTGTTCATAAAAATATATTTTTTTTTTCTCTACATTTTTTAAAATTTTAAGTCTAGAAGTGAAAATTTTTTTGATTTTTTTAAAAATTTGATTTTTTATTGGAATTTTTTTTATGACATGTCTTCCAAATCTTTTTAAAAAAAACAAACACACCACTTTTAAACTTTCTTTAATGCTTGTGTAAGGTCATTAATTAAATCTTGTGGATCTTCACATCCAACAGAGAATCTAAGTAATCCATCGGTAATACCTGATTTCTCTCTTATCTCTTTGTCAACCATAGTGTGGGTCATTGTCGATGCTTGTTCAATGAGTGACTCTACACCACCCAAAGATACAGCCAATGTTATTAACTCTACTGATTCAATAACTTTTCTTCCTATATATATTATAGAATGTGTTTTTTTTGTTTAAAAAATTATTAATTGTCTTGGTGTAGTTGTTATTATTGATTGAATATTGTTTAGTTACCTGCTTCAGCTCCACCTTTAACTTCGAATGCTATCATTCCACTGTAACCTGGTTGCATTTGACGCTTGGCAAGCTCATGTTGAGGATGTGACTCTAGACCTGGGTAGAATACACGCTCTACCTTGGGATGATTCTCAAGGAATTGTGCAATCTTCAAGGCATTGTCATTGTGTCGTTGCATTCTCAAGTGCAATGTCTTGATTCCACGTTGAAGTAGGAATGCATTGTGTGGCGATGCCAAACATCCCAAAAGTCTTATATAATGTCCGATTTGATGATGTAACTGCTCGTTGGCCACGGTAATGCAACCGGCAATCAAATCTGAATGTCCACCATAGTACTTGGTGGCAGAGTGTACAACGATGTCAATCTGATGCTCCAACGGACGAGTGTTGTAAACACTTCCAAATGTGGCATCGACAACCGTTGTAATGTTATGACGACGACCGAGTGCACCGAGTGCAGAGAGATCGGTGAGCAACATCGTCGGATTGGCAGGTGTCTCACCGTACAACAACTTTGTGTTTGGCAGAATCGCTGCTTCATAGTTGGCAATGTCGAGTGGTGACACCATGGTAACTTGAATGCCAAGCTTTGGGAGTATATCGGTGGCAAACTCGTGAGTTCCACCGTAGATGTTCGTGGTGAACACAGCATGATCACCCGACTTTAACAACGCCAACAGCGAACTACTGATGGCCGACATACCACTAGAAGTAACAAAAGTAGCTGCACCTGGAAGGTTGGCTTTGCCTACCTCCAACTTTGTAATTAAACGTTCAACAGCATCATTGGTTGGGTTTGCTATTTTTGTCAATAAAAAAAATATTAATTTTTCAATATTCAAAGTTTGTTGCTGTATTGTTATTTTATTTTTATTATATTTTACCCCAACGTGTGTAAAGCCAAGGACTTGTTCCTTTTTCAGTTTTCTCTTGTTGACATAGAGTGGCACCATGTTTAGCTGAATCAACAAAGAATGTAGAAGAGGTGTAAATCGGTAAAGATACTGAATTTACAGGTCCTTTAACTTCGACTCTCTTTGTAGCAATACTATCAAATCCAAGATGTGAATCACTTTCCATTCTTATTAAATCAAATTTTAACAAGATTTGAATTAATATATTAATAAACAGGTTTTTTTAAAAAAAAAATTTTTAAATTAAAAAAAAAATGATAACTCAATAAATCATTTTAATATCTTCCATGGAATCAAAGAAGCAAATCAAAATGCAAAAAAAAAAAAAAAAAGTACTAATTTTTAATATATTATTAACTATTTTCTTGTTCGTTTTACATTATGATATTGTCCAAATGGTTTAATCTTGTATCAAATATTTTGAAACTATGGATGATTTGTTGATAGATTCTGAAAATTATATTACACGTAATAATGTAATTTATAAAAAAAAATTATAATTTTTTTAAAAAAATAAATAAATAATTTTAAAAAAAACATTTATAAATCAAAGATAGAGTAAAAAGCATTTATTGATTGTAAACTAATCAGACTTGTAAATCCATCAACTAGGCACAATAACATGTTCTCATACAACGTCTTATTTCTTCAAAGGTTGAGTATTTTTGAGAACACACGTCTTGACAGAACTCTTCACAGTTCAAAAAAGGTGGTCCAATTATTATGCCACTATTACTAGAGATAACCATTGAGGCTGATAGTAAAATAAATACTAGTACAACAATAAGATATTCCATTTTTTTTTAAATTCTTCATAATAAAAAAAAGTAGAAATTAAAAATTTAATTAAAATTAAATGTTACCAAAAAAGCCACTTATAAATTTGGTAAAAATTTTTGCAAAATTAAAGTTTCAATTTTTTTGTTGTTGAGTCACCATGAAAAAAAAAAACAAATCATTTTAAAGAATTAAATTTTTCATCATTAATTTTTTTTCATTATTCATTTGATTTATTTATATAATAATAGTAATAAAAACAAAACATGGACTCTTTTTATAGTGATGCTACTACTGGTATGACTTTTGACCAGAAAATCGGAGCAGCTCTTCAATTTAATAACTTGTATGTAACAACATCAATGTTGAATGATCAATCATCATTCACTGACAATTCAAATACTCTTTTTATTTATTATTTTTAGATCTGCATCTACAAAGAATGTACTTGCCAAGGTATACACTACATTGTCATTCTGTATGTTGACATGTGTTGCTGGTACACTGTTCAGTATGTTCATCTACCAAGCCAATTTCATCTTGGTTTTCATTGCAAGTCTTGTAACCATCTATAAGTTTGTGACAACACAAACCTATAAGAAGAATGAAAGACTTTCATATCTTCTCTTGTTCTGTCTCCTTACTGGTGTCTCACTCACACCACTCATCAACATGGCAATCAGTATCAATGAAAGGTAAGTTGTTTTACTATTAATAACAATACGATCGACCACCTACTAATATATAAAATCAAATTTGTAGTATTGTAATTACTGCTTTGATGGCAACCACAGGTATCTTTGTTTCATTCACTCTATTCTCATTGTTGACTGACAAGAGATCCTTCTTGTTTATGGGTGGTACTCTTGCCTCAGCTTGTCTCGGACTCTTTGTACTTTCATTATCACAAGTACTCTTTATTCATAGCGAACAACTTGACTGGATCATCACTGTTTCATACTTTTTACTTATGGTTGTATTCTTGGTATATGGTAAGATTATCTTTAGTAACAATAATAATATAATAAAGTTTTTTTTACTAATCACTTTTTTAATACTCTAGATACCCAAATGATAGTTTACAGAATTGAGAGAGGATACAAAGATGAACTCAGTCACGCATTCACCCTCTTTATTGATTTTGTAGATATCTTTAGAATGGTACTCAAGCTCTTGATGAAACAAGAAAAGAGAAGAGAACGTAATAATAATTAAAATGGTTTTTTTTCGTTAGAAATAATAACCTTGTGTAAAAAATAAAAATAATTGATAACCAAACCAAAAGAAAATTAAATAATAATTTACTTTTATATGTTTTATTCAATAATATCGTCTTCTTCTAATACTTCATTATTTCCATAAAGTATTCGTGTACTTTTTTGAGGATCATCTCCACCACTATCACCAATATTATTATTATTGTTATTACCAAAATTACTATTATTATTAAAATTATTTCTTTGTCCATTTGATTGATTGTTTTGGTTATTTTGAACTTCATCTGTATCGTTCTCTGTAGCAAAAGTACTCTTTTCACCTATTTGGTAATCTTTTTGGCTTGCATAACTACCATATATCTTTGGATTAATAAGACACAGTCTATCGAGGATTAAGCGACCTTCTCCTTTGAGAAAAGCGGAATATGGATTGTTTACATCGTTGAGGTATGGCATGATTCCTCTTTGTCTGCTCATATAGGAAAGAAAAGGTAGTGTGTGTCTGAGTAGGGTCGAATGCTCGTACAGCGAAAGAGTAGTTTGAAAAGACGAAAGATTGTTTCTAGGTTGGTTTGTGATTGGCGATAATGATGATGATACTGCTGATGGGACCTGTTGGTTGTAAATGAAACCTTTGATTGAATCTTGTATTGCCTGTGATTGATCGTACGATTGTTGAAAGTGTGGTTTAACAAAATGAAAGAATCGAAACGATGCTTGTTTGGTGTGACAATACATGAATCCTCTGAGTGAAATCGACATGGAGTGAGGATTGATCGAGTCAACATTTGATTTGGCTGAAGCGATTGTATCAGAGTCACTCAGGTACCCCAGTGTATCGCTGATCTCTTCAATGTCGGAATAAAAGGAAAGAAAGTTTTCCTGGAGAAACATTGTAAACATATTTCCATCGACATGTGAATTTTCAAATGATTGCTCAGGATTGCTTTCCATTTTCTCTCGTAAATATTCATCTCTATACCATTCATCCTTAGGAAGTGTATCCGGTATTCCTAAATTATAAAAAAAAAAAAAAAAAAAGATTAATCTTAGTATTAAATATAAACAACTATTATTAATAATAGTTCAAACATACTTTTGTTATATAAAACCTTTCCTAGTGAATGGAATAGTGAAATAGATTGATCTCTATTTTTTGGAGTAGATGTTGTCGTTTTGGTGGTATTGGTTGCTCTTTTTGACTTTTTGGGCTTGACAATAACCTGTCTGACCTTACCAATACAATGGAACTCCAATGAATTAATAGATGCTCTGATATCACCTCCACTCTCCAATCGAATCGATTCAATTTGATCGTCTTCAATATTGAATCCCTCAGTAATCGAAATATCCTTTAAATATTTAAAAAGTGTAACTGGTGCAATTGGATTAAAACTAAATTAATTAAAATAGGGTTCTATTAGTTATAAATGTTTATCTCTTCTTGTTATTAAATATCTACTAACCTAATGTGTTGAGTTAAACTATTGTTTTGTAGTTGATAATCAAATATTTTCGATAGATTGGTGTTGGCAACTGAGCTGTCAGAGTAAATAAAGATCAAAGGGAAAATGGTTCTCCTTAGAAACTGCTTCATTCCTTCTCTAAACTCTGCTAGGATGCCAGGTGATTGAACATTCGGGGTTTCTTCGATGATCAACAATTTCTTTTTGCCCAGTACATTTCCAAACAAATCACATCTCTCATTTGATTTCAACCAACTCTTGAAGATCTCCAATTGAGGTTTGTAATAACTGACAACCTTGTCATCCTTATCCTTGACTATATCCATTACAGGGTTTGTCCATTCTTCCAAATTGAATCCAAATTGATTTGCAAATACTCTTGTAAGTGCCGTCTTACCAACACCTGCCGGTCCTGTCATAATCAACATCTTTTGTGTCTATCAATAATCCAAATTTAAATAAATAGAAGATGTTAAAAATACATTATGTTTGTTATTGCAAATCATTTCCAATTTAACTTACAATAAGTGTACCATTTGATATTTCATTGGATCTATCTTGAAACCACTGCTTCACTTCATCAACCTTTTTTCGATGTATCGTTAGTCTTATGTCATCCTCTGTCTTTGGTTCATACTTTTCAGTCCATGCTCTACTATCTTTTGAATTTCTTTTAACTATAGTTTCATTTTAATTAGTGATCATTGATCATTTTAACTTTTCTATTCAATTCTATCTACATACATATACTTGGTTCACTTGTATTCTTTTTCGTTATTTTTGCTTTTGAAGCTACATGTACCGACTCTTCAAGAGGCTCTTCATTAAATATATCCAAATCTTCAAAAATCTTTGTATTCTTTAAACTATTATCATTATTATTATTACTACTTAAAGGCTTTTTATAATTATTACTATTATTATTATTATTATTATTATTATTAAAATTGCTATTATTAATACTATTACTACTATTATTAATGACTTTGTTTATTTTGTTGTTTAAAAGTGGTTGTTGAAAGTGGTGAACTGGATAACTTTGTTGATTTTGTTTTAGTTGTCGTTGTTGTTGTTGTTGTCGTTGATGTATTTACAATATCTTCTATTTCGTCTTTTATTATTGGTGTATTCTTTTCATGTAGTTTCTTTCTCTTTTTAAACTCTGGTAGTTTCTTTATGACAGTATCGTCTAAATCTGGTATCGTTGATTGTGAAGATGATGATTGAGAGGCTGCTGGTGATACTATTTTTTGATGTTGTGAATGTGGTGAAGCTTGTGAATGACCACTACCACCACCACTCTCATTTAACAATCTCTTTTTAACTTTATCGCTTGATGATATATCGAAACTATCGGATGTTATTGTTGCTGTTGTCGTTGTTGATGTTGCTGGTGATCTTCCACTCGAAGACAAAGAAGAGACACTGAATGATTTTGGTGATGACTTTTCACTTAAATCGAATGAACTAGTATCATCAATGTCTGATGAATATCTCGATTTACTGGAGGATGGTTCATCGTCGTGTGAATATTCTCGTAGATGTTCCTCTTTAAATCTGTTTGGACAAATCGCAAACGATCCAAATATACATCTAAACTTAATTGTAGGTTCTTCTAATACTGAGCTTTTACCATTGTTGTTGCTAATGGTAGGAGATACTGGTGGTGATATTACATTGTCTTGTTTCGATTGTGAATAACCACCACTATTACTATTACTATTAACTGAATTAGAAGTAGTTGTACTCTTGTAACTCGATGATAATGATGATGACGACGATGAAGTTGATGGTGATGGTGAAGTTGACTTTGCGTTTGTTGTCAAAGATGTTGTTGTTGTTGTTGTTGAAGATGGTGTTGATTTGTTTCGATTTGAATGTTTATTACTTAATTTACTGTTGATGTTATGATCATTGGACGATTTGAATGTCAATGATGTTGGTTGAGAAGTGTAACTATCAGGATCATCTATCTCATCATTTAAATCGCTATTACTAGCAAAGTAACTTTGAGTTGATGCTTTACTATAATTGTTTTTACTATTGTTGTTATTGTTGTTGTTGCTTTTGACAAAGTTTTGTTTCTTTGTATATGATTTAAAATTCATCATTAATTGAACATTAAATAAAAATATATATATATAAAAATGATAAGAACTATAATTTACAACATCACTTCAAAGTCATTTGTTTCAATTAATTATGATTGTTTCTCAACAAACTAACAATATTATATTTAAAATTAAATTAGTTTATTGAAAATTAAACAAATTAAGACAAAAAAAAGAAATCTTTCAAATCAAAAACTTTTTAAAATTTATTTTAAAAATATTTATTTTATTTAATTAAAATTTATAAATCTATCTTGTAGATGTCAGGTACATTTATATCTGTTGATTAAAAAAAGATGAGGATTAGTAAATGAATAATTAAAATGAATATTTATAAAAAATAAGAATATTTGTATATATAAAGTCAGAAGTTATGGCTATTAAAAATTGTTGCTGTTGAGACAACAATGTAAATTTGATTCAATCAGGGTCGAATCAGACGGGGAAAGATTATCATCATCTAAAGATTTAAGATAAAGATAGATTTTTAAAACTTACATTTTAACTAAACAAATAAAAAACCAAATCGATGTCATTTCATTTTGAACCAATATCTAAAAATTAATTAGAAAATCTAATGAAAAGAAAAGTTAGTATTTAAAATTTATAAATAGGTAATAGGTGAAAAAGTGAAAGAAATAATTGATATGTGCTCATCCAGGCAGTGACGCCATTTTTCTACAATAAATATCCCCTGATATTTAATTAAGAGTGGTGCATGACCAGAGTCATGTGTTAATCATCGTAGTTGAAAGTAAAAGAGGTTTGTGTGTGTTGTAGAATAATTATTGCTGAAAGAGAATGTGTGGAGATGTTAATTTTAGTTAATGCTTACAGTTGAAGACGAACGACAATGATTTGAATCACACAGTTCGCGATGCTTTATAGATGTTTTGGAAGACCTTTTTTTTTTTTTTTTTTTTTCAAAACCAAAACCAAAAAAAAATAAAAATTTGAAAATCGTACTCAAAAAAAATGTTTGCTCAAATTTGTTCGTTATTCTTTTTTTATTTTTTGCCCGGGCTAAAAATAAAACTCTATCATTATTATTTGCACTTCAATTATTTTTAAATAACAATTTCATTTATAAAATGTTTTAATCACTTTTTAAAACATATATTTTTAAAACAAGTGATAAGAAAAAAAATAACACACATGATTTGATCATATGAAAAATAAAAAAAACAATTAAATTTGATTGAAACAAATTTGCATAACCCCACTTAGGAGTAAAAATAAACAATCACCCTTAAAATTATTAATAATCTTGATGAAATTTTTTTTTTCATAATAAACAATACAATTTTATTATAAAAAAATTTAAATTAATTTCACATTAAAATAATAATTATATATATAATAATATAGTAATAATATAACGATTATCAATAAAAAAAGTTGTGATATTAATTAATAATATCTTATTAGATTTAGTTTGGAAGTGATTTAGTTTGTCAAATTTAGATGATAAAAAAGATATTTTCAATACGTTCAAGTAGAAATGGAACATCAAAAGGTGATACGCTTTTACAAGAACATCAGAGTAAAGAACATCTAAATGTAGTGCCCGTCAGTGAATACCAAAACGGTGCTACCTACTATGTCTCTATACATTCAAAGCTATCAGAGATTCCACTGTTTTTGTTTGTTGGAGGTGATTTGGCACCACCCGCTCTTTTAGCAAAGCAAAGCAGTGCCAACACTCTTTCTAGCAGTATCAGTAACAGTCCAAGAGTTGGCGATGGCACATCCAATAATGGAGCAAACACTCTGAGTATTTCTAATGGTGGCAGTACTGCTAGTGCATCACCAAAGCTGGACAGAGCTAAAAAGACAACCCCTGTCAACACTAGCAATGGATCGATTGATACAACAACCAAACTATACTATAATCCTAATCTCACCAAGTTGATCTTGGATTTCAATATAATCACATCAGTTCCCAACATCATCACACTTCTACCGAACCTTGTAGAGCTATCACTGGCATCTAATTTGATAAGTGAACTACCGGACTGTCTGACAGAATTAAAATCATTACAAACACTTCATTTAGGCTTCAATACATTTATGATATTTCCAAAAGTAGTATATGAAATTAAATCACTGACCGCTCTACACTATGAGTCAAACGAGTTACAAGTAGTTTCACAAGAATTGTTAAAACTAAATAATTTAAATGTAAGAGACACACCACTACTATTATTTAAATTTTAATGTTAATAATATTTGATTATCTTAATTTTCATAGACATTGTCACTTGTTGGTAATCGATTTAAAGCTACTCCAGAGTTTTTACCAGTTGGTTTGGATAAATTGAATCTCTCTGCCAACGATATCACTACAATCATTCCCAACTCTGTATTTCTATCGGTACTGACCACACTGACGTTGTTAAATCTAGCAGAGAATCAACTGACCAAGATCGATGATTCTTTTGTACTATTATCAAGCGTAAAAACATTACTGTTGGATTGTAATATGATAGGCAATCTCTCTGGAAGTATAGTAAAGGGCTGGAAGTCATTGGAAACACTATCGATGCCACACAATGAACTAACGACATTGCCACCAGAAATTGCTTTCTTACCAGACCTAAGAGTTATTGATGTAAGAGGAAATCGGTTCTCACACACCAAGAATGTATCACCAGAGGTATCATCAAGCAATACATTCCAATTGTTGGATTTCATCTCTGACAAGGAGTCATATGATCTACTTAAAGTTACTTTTGATCTCAACAACAGCCTGCTAGAGATGGAGATACAGGCAAAAAACCACTACGAAGATTCCGGGCAAGAAAAGCCCATTAAAACAGAGAATGGAAAGGAACATCGTCCTTTCATCATTTGGCAAGGAACCTATCCCGATAAGATTATTGATGGTGTCTACTTGGGTTGTAGAGAGTGTTCAATCAATAAGCAATTCTTGAGAGAGAATAATATTACCCATATTTTAACAATTGCAAATTTAAAACCATTGTATCCAAGTGTATGTTAGATTAATTTAAATCAAAAAATAATCGATTTCCACTAACTATTCCTAACATTCATTCATTTATATTTAGTTATTCAAATATAAAGTAATTAATATAGAAGACGTTGATTATGAAAATATTTCCATGTACTTTAATGAAACCAATGAATTTATTGATGATGCCCGAGATAATGGAGGTGCTGTTTTAATTCATTGTAGAGCGGGTATTTCGAGGTCGGCAAGTGCTACTATTGCGTAAGTACAATATATCAGTAATCTCAACTCTTTACTAACATTAACAATCAGTTTTATTATGTATAAAAATAACCTGAGTTATGAAGAAGCCTACCAAATCACAGAAAAAGGAAGACCAAGAATATGTCCAAACATGGGTTTCAGAAAACAATTAAAAGATTATGAAACTTTGTTAAAAAAACCAAAATAAATAAAATAATGTAAATAATAATGATTAAGTAAAGGATATGATCAACAATGTAAATTCGAAATTACCTATATGAATAATAGAGAATGTGTTTGAATCTCATATGTTAAACAATTACAAATAAGGATTGATAATCCTTATTGTTAAAAAATAAAATAAAAAATTTCACTTTTTCTATGTGCATTTTTTACTGCTGAAATTGGGTTAAATTTTTATTTTTCTAAGGTGGGTGAAAAATTTCACTTTTTGTGTGTGCATTTTTTAACTGCTGAAATTACGTTTGATACTTGAACCATGGCAGAATTCTCTAAGTTCATTGCATATGGCATGGGGACGTCAGCACCACAAATTCTCTCGATAGGGGCATCGAGATAATCAAAGGCATCTAGTTATTTTGATAATTACTATTAATATCAATTCTTTTCAGTAATATTCAATGACAAACACTTACTTTCAACCATTTGAGCAGCAATTTCGGCACCAACACCAGATTGTGCCCAACCTTCCTCAACGGTAACCATTCTGTTAGTCTTCATGAGTGATTTAACGAGGGTTTCAGTATCCAATGGACGAACTGAACGTAAATTGATAACTTCACAGCTGATACCTTCTTTGGCAAGCTCAGCAGCGGCATCCATACAGATGGAAACAGCTCTTGAAAAACTGACGAGAGTAACATCAGTACCTTCTCTTTCGACCTTTGCCTTACCGATTGGGAGAACAAAGTCTTTATCTTGTGCCTCTGGTGAGAGAGTGAACTTGTAGTTGTATAAGAGTTCTGATTCCAAACAGACGACTGGATTATCATCACGAATTGCTGCCTTTAATAAACCTCTGTGATCTTCAGCACTCCATGGTACAATAACTTTGCAACCTGGTACACTTGAATACCAAGCAGCAAAACATTGTGAATGTTGTGCACCTATTGTAATATTAAATTTGTAATGATTAATATAAAAATAAATATATAAATAAAAAAATATATATATAAAAATAGAGATTACTTACCAACTGAAGTGGGTGGACCATTTGGACCTCTCCAAACGATTGGATTATATACAGTACCACCAGACATATAGTGAGTCTTGGCAGATGAGTTGACGATATGATCAATACCTTGCATGGCTATATAATAACAGGCTGTTAGTTTATTATTGTAAGATATTTGATTATAATTGTTACATACCAAAGTTCCATGTCATAAACTCTACTACTGGTCTGAGACCGGCGAGGGCTGCTCCTACACCAATACCAGCAAATCCCATCTCTGTGATAGGTGTATCAACGATTCTCTTTGGTCCGTACTTTTCAAAAAGTCCCTTTGAAATCTTGTATGCACCATTGTATTGTCCAACTTCCTCACCCATCAAGAAGACACGTTCGTCACGTGCAATCTCTTCATCCAAAGCACTGTTAATTGCTTCACGAATTGTTACCTAATAATAATATAGATTTAATTATAATAAAGATTTATTATAATATTAATAAACAAACAAATTTCTACGCTATCATAAAACGCCATGATACATACCTCCTTTGGTGCCAAAGTTGAGAGTGAACGAACACCATTACGTAAGATATAGTTACGTTGATGTAAAACAAAAGATTTCTTGATAATTGAAGAGAACATTATTCAAGTTGTTTGAATATATATTATATATCAAATTATATAAAGAATGTATTCAAAACTTATTGAAAAAAAAAAAAAAATTAGTGTAAGATAAAAAGAAAACTGTTCTGTTGAAGATGAACAAGTTTTTTGCAAAATATTTTTTTATTTATAATTTTTTAAAGAATTTTTTTTTTTGATTTGGGAACTCTTGATGAGCCACCAAATTCAGATATAAAAGAACTTTCATCATATATTTGCAAATTTTATTGGTTTATTTGTAAATTAACCATATAATTATTCATATTTTAGATATTAATTTCAAAACTATTCAAAAAGAATTCTACACTTTAAAAAAAATAAATAAATTGCAAAAAATTAACGATTGTGTAATTGTTGTTTTCCCAGACTCTTCAAAAAAACTTTCACCTTTTTTGCAAAAACCAAACGAACTACAATTTTTTTTTATTTCATCCAATTTGAAAAAAAATGAAATAATATTTGTTTAATAGTATTACAATGAGTTTCTTCTTCTACTAATTACATAGGGTTTGGTCTCAGCTAGACAATTTTGATTCAGTTCTGATAAACTTTGGAAGTTTACATACAAAAAGTCGTCAAATAGTTTACTTGTATCACTTTCACCAACGACATACGGAGTGTTGGCTTCAGTATCATCTGATATTCTGAGATCATAAAATTGTTTTCTTGCTACATTAATTAAAATCATTGTTAGTATCTCATTATAAATATATTAAACATTACTACTATCAAATTCTATTACATACCATCAAAGTAGCTTGTATCTTGTAGATCTTCTAGTACAGGTATAAAATAGGCTTTTTGTGTTCTGATTGTATCCCAATCTACACCTTTAAAGAACGGGTGTGCTTTTATCTCCTCAACACCACTATATCCCAATCTAGATTGTGCATTCAGTGCCAGTAGTTTGTCGATAATATCCTTTGCCTCTGGTGAAATATCCGATGGCCACTTGATATTTCTTTGTAGAATATTCTGAAAGGTCATTTCAACAGTGTCAGCACTGAATGGAGGCAATCCAGTGAGAAACTCGAAAAGCATAACACCAACAGAAAACCAATCAACCTCCTTTCCATGACCGATTCCCAGTAGGATTTCTGGTGCCAAATAGTCTGGTGTTCCAACGCATGATAGTTTTCTTGCTTTGGGTTTCACCATGTTGTTTAGCGGTTGGAGATTGTTGGTAGATATTGGAATCGGTTGCTTTGGGTTGCTTGCTTGTGGAATGAACAATGGTGATTCGGGTGCATCGGATCCCAGTAGATTAGCCTTGGCAATCGTTGGTGAGGAGAAGGCAGATTCCATGTTCTTGGTGGCCAAAAGCGGTAAGAGTCTTTTATTTTTAGGCTTTGGTGGTTGCAACTGAGCTCCTAGATTTGGACTAAAAAAGTTTGGTGGTACTACACTCTGTCTGTCCAACAAACCAATCTTTGATAGACCAAAGTCGGTTAGCTTGATATGTCCATTCTTATCGATCAACAAATTATCTGGTTTAAGATCACGATGAATGATTCCAAGTCCATGTAGATATTCCAACGCCAAAACTGTTTCTGCAATAATCATCTTGGCCATATCTTCTTCGAGAGCACCCAGGTTCTGTAGTAATGAAAAACAATCACCACCATGTACATACTCCATTACCAAATAGAAATAATCCTAATAATTTAATGAAAGTTAATAAGTACAAGATAAAACAAAATTATTAAATTGCGAAAAATAAACCAACTTACTCTTGATTGAAAAGAATAATACATTTTAACAACAAATGGATTACTGGTATAGGCAAGAATGTTTCTTTCTACTTTGACATGATCGATTTGATTCTTCTTTACCATATCTATCTTCTTTAATCTCTTGATTGCATAAATATCACCTGTTTTCTTTTTCTTTGCCAAGAATACCTTTCTATAAAATTAATAGTTGATATAGGTATATTAGTATCAATTGAATAAATATTGATATTAATTTTTTTAATTACCCAAAACCACCCTTTGTTATAGGTTTGAGAATTGTAAAGTCATCGATAGTGGGAATTCCCTTTGGTCTATACTCAAGTGATGATACAGTTTGATGACAAGGATCGGAATCGGATCGACTTCTTCCACTGGTGATATTCAAATCCCAAATGTCAAGTTCCTTTGATTTCATCAATCTGGGTGATGTCGTTCTAAATATTCTTGGTGATGAATTTATTACTTCCTCTGCCTTCTTCAAAGAATTGGTCTTTTCTGTAATCTATTTGTTAAAATAAAAAGAGTTAGTCATTAAATAAAATTTATATTTCATTTGAGTAACATACTAAACTTTCAATCTTAATTGCCAGTGTTTTATTCTCTTCTGATAGATCAAACTTTTTGATTTTATCTTTCAAATCTGTAATCAGTTTGGTACTATCTTTTATCAACATTTCAACTGCTCTCTGAGCGATCTCTCTAATCTCTGATAATTGTTTCTATATTAAATTGTTAGAAAAAAATTATTGGATAATTATAACTATTTATTATATACATACTCTTTTATCTTGAGGTAAATTAGTACTTCTAGTTAAAAGAATTTTAGCAATCTATATATAAAAGAATTAGAAAAGAAAAATACAATATTATGAATAATAAACATACTGCTCTTAATTGATCATCAATGTTCATAGCTTTCATATCTTCTTGATTTGTCATAGCACAAATCTTTGAGTGTTCTTCTAATAATGATGATTCAATCTTCTCTTCACAAATTCTACAGATTACCATTTGCTGATTTGGTGAATAATCAATTTTAATTGTAGGTATCTCTGAAAATGATCTAGCAAGCTAAAATTATTTATAAAACAAGTTAGAATTTATAATTTATAACATTATTTTAATTCAAAATATTATACCTTTTTAACTTTATCCTTCTTTACTTCAATGGCTTTGTTTGGACTAAAACTTTTCGATCTAACAAGAGGTTGCTATTAAGATTAAATAAAATTTAATTAGATAATTTAAAATACTTTGAGATAATAAAAAACAAACTTACTCTTTTTGATAATTCATTTGTTATTAAATAGTCTAATCTTTTATCCTTTGGAGGTGATGGTTTGAGAGAAGGAATTAAAGATTGTCTGTTCTCATCACTAGATACATTTTCGGTTTCCTCTTCTGATGAAGTTAATTCTTGATCGTCTTCTAAAAAATTGGAATCGCTTATTACTCTTGGCAATAGTTTGTCTTGATTAGCACTTGGAATGATATCCTCTATTGGTAATGATCTTGGCGATTTATTAATGGTACCTCGATCATTTTTCTTTAACTGTTTTTAAATGAATAAATTAATAATTATATTATTAATATAATTGGTTTATTTTTCTTAACTTACTATATTTGTTATTCTTCTTGAAATTAAAGGTGGTTGAAATTGATCATTTGGTATTGATGAGAGTGGAGATGATTTGAATTGATCTTTTTGTTTTTGATAGTTATTTGGTTTCAATAGAAAATTATTATTATTCTGATAGTTATTATTATTCTGAGTTTCGCTTATATCCTTATCGTTAAGATCATTTAATATTGGCGGTGCTCCAAATGGACTTTTAATCTTTGGACTATATGATAGTGTTCTAAAGTGTCCTTTGTTGAATGAAATCGAATTTGGTGAATAGGGAGCTGAGATGGTGGGGATTGGTGAACCTGGTGTAGTAGTCGATACAGGTGGTGATTCATGAAGTTGATTTACTTGATGTGTAGGCGGTGATGGAGGTGGTGTACCAATATTCATTAAAGACTATAAATAATAAATTAAATAAAATTAATATTAGTATTTTTTTAATAAATTGTAATAAAAATCTTAATAACATACTCTTATATTAATAATATTATTTTTTTCTCCTTTTTCCGATTCAATCGATAAAAACTCTTTGATTCTACCAAAAATTTGAAATAATAAAAAGTAGGTTGATAACTTTTTCTCGGTTGAGACCTTCGACCTTTTCAATCTCTTTGGCATTCAACTTTTTCAGCAATTCCTCTGCATACTTTCCACACTCGATTTGGTTTGTATCTGTTGATAAAAAGTTTGTTGCCACTTCCAACAGTTCTCTCAATAGAATCTTATCCTTCTCCTCATTCGATGCATTTAGTGATCTCTTGATATCGGAAATGAACAATAAAAGTCTACTATCTGATTCCAACTTTACTCTTACTAGATCCGACTTTAATATATCCAAGCCAGGAATCATCATTGTTCCCCAGAAATGTCTTGCATTCCTTCTCTGTAGTGCAAGTTCCTTCTTAGTCAGACCCATCTCCTCACTCTTTTTCTGTAGATCCTTTGCGCTGTAGAGTGATGGTAACGGCAGACTACCTTTTCTCAGTCTCGAAATAGGAGAACCTTGTGATTTATCTTTGGTTGTCAATGATTCGAAATCCTTTATCAGTCCGACCTTTGGACTACTCCTATTGAAACTACTATTACTACTCTTACTACTATTACTACTATTATTCAAGTTGAACGAAAAATCTGGCGACTCCATTAAACCCTCCAATCCATTATACTCTTTCTCATCGCTATAAAAATTCTTTCTTGTAAAAAGTGGTGAATTTTGTTCTTTTGATTCACTGATACTAGAGAGTTCATTATTATTATCTTTTTTATTTAATGCCCGATGATTTAATTTAGAAATGGCATCGCCATTATTAGGTATATTACAATTATTCTCTGTCATTTTATCTGATATATTATTGTTGTTTATATTTTTAATACTATCTTTTTGGTTCGAAGAATTGAGGTTATTATTTTTCTCGTCTTGTATTTTCATTTGAAAATAAATGTGATATTATTTATATTGGTTATTTTATTAAAATTACAATTTATAGATATAAAAATTCAAATATATATATAATAATATATATATAATAATATATAAATATATATAAATGTTTAAAAAAAATACAAAAATATATGTAAACCTAGAATTAATTTAAACGTAATAGTAGAGTATATGTTAATTAAATTTAAGTTCGTTTTTTTCTTTCCAATCATTAAAAAATAATAATTAAATATTAAATTGATCAAGTAGTTGGCATGGATAATTCAATACTATCATTGATTATAGTCGTTCAATCTCAATATACCCATATATATACAATTGGATTCCATGAGCATTATTATATTATTTAATAGGTAGGGTGATTCTATTTATATATATTGTTTTGTTTTGTTTTTTATAAACCTACCTTTACTAATAATCATAATGAAATCTCCTTAAAGGTAAGGATTTCGTCGTCCAATGTGAAATAAAACAAAAAACTATTGCTATTGATATCAGTTGAGGGAGAGTGTCTCTTGGCCAATAAGTAATCAAAACTATTATGTTGATTACGATGATGATGATGATGATAATGATTATAAATATTTATAATATCGCTTTGGTGGTGGTGTTGCTTCGTCGGAATGTCGATCGTTACTGAAAACAATAATTTGAAAAAGATAGTTTATTAAAATACATATACATATATAATCTAATTATAATTATATAATAATATCAATAATAACATAATATACAATGATAGTTTTATGTTGGCTGTTTTAAAACAACAAACTAAAAAAAAAAAAAAATAATAATTTACTATATAGATACCAAATTCGATCTAAAATTTGTTTATTTATTAACAATTGAGCTGCTGACAATACCACCTCAAACACTCTTTTGAAATTGTTTGTTGCTCTGTCTTTTTGTGTTTTGTGTGGATAGTGTGTGAGTGTGTTGTGTGTATATGTGTGTTTGTTTTTTGTGTCTGTTTATGTATTTTTTATTATTTTCTATTGTTGATTTAATATATTTAATCGTTCTATCATGTCACTCTATCTATGTATATTTGTCAATGTGATCTTTATGTTTATTTTTTTTTTATTATTCTTAACTAGACAGATAGCACTAAATTTTCCTACTTAATAAATTAGACAAAAGAAAAAAAAAAAAACAAAAAAAAAACAACAAATTATAATATATAAATTGATTATGGTGTGAGTGGAATAAAAAAGGAGAAATTTTGTTTTTTCCTAATTTAGTATATAATATTTAAAATAAAAACCATTCATTCCCTCTTTATTTTCCTTTTCAAGTTTTTTTTACCCCCAGGTTGTGCAAATAATTAGAGAAAAATTAAATATTTTTATTTTGTTTTTTTTATGTAGTTAAAAAAAATAGAAACAGTTTGTTGGTTTGGTCAGGATGCTGATTATTTCAATAATAAAAAAACACATAAAATTAAACCGTTTTCCAAAATTTCAATTCATACATTGCGTTCCACACAAGATGAGATTTTAATCAGCTCTAACAACACCAACAATAAATTATTATAATTTTGTTTTAAAAACCTAAACCTACAATGGGTACTAAAGAATTCAAATCATCGTTGATACAAAAGTCGATTACACTTGCAACTGAATTACTATCTCCTTCAAATCATTAAAAACATGTTTTGAATCGGGATCTCTATCATTAAAGTCAACAATAGTTCAAAGATTCTACAAAGCACAAAAACAACATCACTTCACTTTCAGTTTGAGAGTGATCCATTGAAACTAGGTTCAACATTCATTGATTAAACATTTACAATTGTGTGTGTTGTAATCATCTTTTATCTAGATTAAAAAACGACTAACGACTGCTTTGACGATAAACAAAAAAAAAAAAAAAAAAAAAGTATTGATATCAAGTTTGTTTTTTTTTTTAATATATTTTTTTAATTTAAATTTATTTCCAATTTAATATAACTACAATAACAGTGATATTGTCAGTTGAGCCTTTATCGAATGAATCATTGACGAGTGCTTCACTTATTTCCTTTGCATTTTTGCCTTGCTTGTGTAGTTTTGAGCACATGGTGGTTGCCTCTTCGTAGCTAACCTTGTCCCACAGACCGTCACAACCCATGATGATATAGTGATCCTTTGGTGTGAGATCGATCACCTGAGTGAACGGCTCTGATGTTACAAACTTTTTCTCACCTTCTTTGTATTCACGATCACCAAACGAACGTGCCACTGCCAGCGATCCAAATAAACGACCAAAAATAATCATACCACCCATCTCTGTAATTCTAATCTTTTCTTTTTCATCATTTGCCAAGTGCTTATAGGTTAGCAACTGAGTGTCATATACAGGTGATTTCGAAGAGGATGTTGCATTCTGTCGAGCAATTACACACTCGGAATCACCAACATTTGCTGTGTACAATGTATTACCAACAATCAACGCTGCAACACCTGTCGATCCACTCTTTTCACAAACTGGTATTACAAGTCTTTAATAATAACAATTAATAAATTAGTATATCCCAATATTGAATTCTCTAAATCAAACATTCTACATACTTATCGGCAGCATCAAAACCTTCTTTCATAGATTGTTCATAGTTACCAGAACTAAATGAACTTGATTCTACTATACACTTATGAACAATTGGTTCCAATGCTTGAGCAGTTTGAACTCCACCATGACCATCATAAACAGCATAATATGAACAATTCTCATTACTTGGAACTTGTTTAAACATTTCCTAAAAGAATAATAAATATTAATATATTGATTGTATTGTTGTTTAACAAATAAATATTTCTCTTACATTAAGATTATCAATGACAGCATGTGCATCCTCCATATTCTTTCTACGACCTTGTATTGAAGTGAATCCAGATTGAACTGATAATCCTTTTCCTTTTTTCTTTGGTTTAGATGTACCCACATTATTATTGTTAGTGGTGGTTGTAGCGGTAGCGGCAGCAGCAGCGGCGGCCTTTTTATCTTTAAGCTGTTGCTCCTTCTCCAATCTGATTCTCTCTTTTTCTTTTTCTTGTTTTTCCTTTTCCGCACGTTTCAATTCACTGGCAGCTCCCTTTTCTCTCTCCTTTTCTGCGCGTTGCTGCTCCTTCTCCAAACGCTGTTGTTCCTTCTCCACTCGCAATTGCTCCTTGTCCGGACGATTCTGTTGTTCTTTCTCCAAACGCTGTTGCTCCTTCTCCAAACGCTGTTGCTCTTTCTCCAAACGCAGCTGCTCCTTCTCACGTAGTTTCTCTGCTTTCTGTTCCTTTTTATCGACCTTTACTTTGGGTTTCTTTGTTGACGGTGAGGAGAGTGACAGCGGTGGTATGACAGACTCTGCCTGTGTTGATGATGTTGTTTGGTATATTGGGTCGGGATTGGTGAAGCTGGATGCAGTACTCGTACTAGCATTGCTCTGTGTATCGTCATCGAGTGACGATGCAGCGAGCGCACTGCTGATAGAGTTGTTTGACGATCCGATAACAGAGCCATTGGTATGATTGGCACGTGTCGATGTCGTAGAGGTTATTGCACTGCTGATTTCAATGTGATTGTCATTGAGTGGTTTGACAACGATACTACTTGAATGAGGAAGCACAGAAGTGGGATGAAGTGAACTCGATGGTATCGATTCGAACAGTCCACGATTTTCTGCATCTGGAATAATATAATCTAAAACTGAATCAAATTTCACTCTGGTATCCTCTTGATCCAATAAATTAATTGAATATGCTTGATAGGGTTTATTCTTTTCTACCAACTAAGTTTTAAAATAATAATAAAGGAATAGAAGATTAATAAGTTGTTTTTCAGTTCATATCATTATTATTATTATTATAATTATTATTATTAACTCAACTTACAATTTGAGTAAATTTGTTTGTTATATAATCTATTGCTTTTTTGTGATCAACACCTTCATTGTAATCTTCGAAACAGTGTTTAAGATCAAAGAACTTTAGTTTATGAACGAATGTCTCACTGGTGTTGAAAATCAAAAAGATGGAATGAGCTTTTTCGAAAACCTCTGAATTTGAAAATGACTCTAATGCTGCCAACGATTCCAACAAAATATTATTGTGATAATGATTGGTACAAGTGGGTGTTGGAATCAATGAAGTATTTAACAATTCATCTGCTGTATGATAACTATTATTAGAAACAAAATAATAATAATAATAATAATAATATTAGTAAATTGAATCAATAAACTATCAATTGTTTTTGTTTTTTTCAAACCCAACCAACTTACTCTTTTAATGAAACAACATAGAATACATAATGTGGTTCATGATATGCAATTGCATTCCAGTCTTTTCTCTGTATTGGTTTGGTTGGTGCGCATGTCAACTCCATCTTTAAACGTCTATAGGTGAGCGTTGAGTGTTGAGGATGGTCAACCTGTTCATATGCACTAATAATATCCAGTCTAGTTGGTGTAAACTCTGGTGAAAACACTCTAAACATATTCTCCATATAACTATTATTATTGTTTTTTGATTTTAAAATAAAATGTTAATATTTCAATTGTATCCATATATAAACTTAATTAACATACTATTTTGTACGACCAGGAGTTCTGTACTCTGGACAACAATTTGCATAGTGAAACATAGTTTGCATATCTGGATCTTCCCAAAGACATTTACAATCGTAGCCGAGTCGCAGAGGGAATCTAGGCAGACGATTCCTTGCCAATTCTATTGGCGTTGCCAATACACGTCTGACACGCTCAGTGTTATCCTCTGAGAATGAAATGTTGACGCGATCCGCATTCTCTATAAGTCTGATGAGTGTTGCGATCGTGTTTCCATAGATCAATCGCTGGTAGTACTTTGGATCGAGTAGTTTCGTACCGTACATGACATCGAGCTGGCGCTGCAGTGTTGTCTTTCCAGCCTCTGCAAGACCCATCACCAAGACACTGACTGAATAGTCATAGTCTTTGGGTTCCAGCGGTGCGGCGATCGCTGCCAGCGCCGGCGATGATGAAACCACCGAAGATGCATCGTCCGATGATTTCTTGGAGGATGACGTTGACTTTTTTAATATATTGAATTTACTAAACATTATTGACTAATACTATTACTAATACTATTACTACTACTACTACTTATCAACTTGTTTAATTTGATTGATTGACTTGACTGACTAACAAATAGTAAGTGACTAATCTATCTTAATCTAATTAAAATTACATATATACATAAAAACTAATAATAATAATAATAAATATAAATCTAAAATAAAAATCAATCACTTCTTTTTGTTTTGCTATTAAATGTTATATATAAAAAAGGGGTGATATCAATGTTGTTAAAAATTACAAAAAAAAAAACTATGATGTTGATTGGTCAGCTTTTTTTTTTAATCTTAATTTGGTGTTTTTTGTTTTAAAATAAAACTTTTACTATTAATTTATAAACAATTTAAAATTAAATTAATAAAAAAAATATATAATATTTTTTATAGACAGGTATTTATTCAATAATCAGCAAAAATTAAATTAAATCATCAAATTTGATATTAAAATTAATATACATATTTATTTATAATCTAATTATTATTATTACTATTGTTATTTTCTATTTTTTATTTTTATTTTTATTTTCTTTTTTTGTTTATTGTTATTTGTGTTTGTTATGTTTGTTTGTTTGTTTGTTTGATTACTGATTGATTGACTGAGATTAAAAAAAAACAAAAAAAATGTTAATTAACAATTAATCTGTGAACTTTATGTTTTTGTTTTTTTTTTTTAAAAAAAATTTCATATATGATCGTATAAGCACTATAAATAGAACCCCGATCTAAAACAAACACATGAAATTAAACAGTTTTGAGTGATACAAAATAACTATTCATTATGTTGATGTTGTTAGTATTGTGTTAATGATCATCATAATTAAAAATCATAAATTATAATTACGTGATTAATATTATATTTAATAAAAAAGTTGTAATATTATTTGTTTGTTTGTTTGTTTTGCCAATTTTTAATTTTTTAATTTATATTATGATATATATAGATAGATAAAGATTATTTTTCTTTTTAATCAATTTTATTATATTCTTGGAATGTCTCTACTATGTGTTTAATAGATTTCGAACGAACTTTTACGACATCTTCCCATAGTGCTTGAATGGGGTATTGTGCACTCCATGCCGAACTCAAAAAGTAACGTGCGTTCGACTCTACTTGCTCCTCAGAGAGTGTTGTTCCGGTGAAAATACATGATCTGTCGATTGTCTTTGGACTGAGTGCTTCCAATAGCTCCAAAAGGAACAGACTGTCTTGAAGGAATTGATCTTTAAATGATTGGATTGGTTTGACTTTGGTTGATTCCAAGTCTACTTTGCTGTTGCACCACTTGAGTGCTTCCTTTTGGTGTGCTGTAACAACGTCGATAGTTACCTTGTCTCCAAGATATCTACGTACCTGATTGAGAATGGCACGATTCGAACGGATGTCGCCATTGAGTAGATCGGTACCGGCAATACCGGCAACATTCAATTTGAACTTGTGACAAATCTCCATTGTATAGTTGAAGAGTTCCAGCTTCTTAAAGACACTGTTTGGTACGATCTTGAGTTTCTTTTGATCGACGGTACCGGCGGGCAACACCTTGTCAAAGATCTTCAAAAACAATGTTCCATCTCTAAAGTCCTCGAGGAGACTGCTTGCATCGACACCCAATCCCATCTGGTTGATCCACTCGAGAAGCTGTTGATCGTTGTTGCTCTGTTCGCTGGACTTGGCGACCTGATCGACAAGATGCTCATCAACACTAAAGTTGTAGGCAGGCAATGCAAGTGAAACACGCATTAAATCGGCAACAAACAACAAGTTGAGCTTGCTGTTCTCTGTCTCTACGATATCGCGTGGTGTCAACAGTGGCATACAACCGAGCTTCGAAGCCATATCCAAGACGATCTCTGCACGACGCTCCCAATCGCTCTCGCTGAGAATTTCATCCTTGCGACTGAGTTGTGGTGCGATAACCTCGAACAAGTAGGCGTAGTTCTCACAGTCCTCCATGTCGTCAGAGAAGTTATTGATTTGACGGTTACAGATCTTACGAAGATGATAGTTGAACCAACGAAGCATGACCTTCTCACGCTCCAGCTGTCTAAAGGAATTTCTAGTTTCGGCACGCATCAAATGGAAGAGAGAACGTTGCTTAGCGGGATCGGCCGCTTGCAACAAACAGGTTTCGACAATCTCCCAAACGATATTATGAAGATCCGATGTACTCAACGATGCCAAACTATCTTTGGTTATTGACTCGTGTTTGGCACCCAAAGCACGAGAACAATTGATGGCAACATTGAGATTGGATTTTGGTGATAGTTGGCTATTTCTCTTTACAACTCTTTCATCTATAGTACCTGGGAAAATTGAATTAATTAAATAACTACAAAATAAAAAAAAAGAATAAAGTTAGAATCAATCAAAATATTTCATCTTAATATATCTAATTTCATTACCATAAGATTTGACCATCCATAATCGATTTCAACATTTCAAATGGTGTAGATGGTAATAATTGTGAAATGGGTGAAGCTTGAAGTATATGTGTAATATATTTGGTGGCAAACAATCTCTTGGATACAACTTGAGTCTGGAATTCTTCTTCCCAGTTACCACCAACCTCTTCGTACACAGTGAGTAAAACATTGACTTGAGTGTCTAGATCTTCCGATAACAATTGTTCAACCTTGATGGTGTCAACACCAAACTCTTGTAACTCTTGTACAATGAGTTCTGCTTTCTCTGCATTCGATGTTAAATCCAATGCTCTCAATGTAAACGATTCTGGTTCCAACTTGTGTAACAAGTGAATATATTTATCCAAATTCTAAATAATAATAATAAACAAATAAAGTTAGAATATCGATCTATCAAACTTATAATTATAATATTCTTTCTACTTACAGCTTCAACTGATTGAAGATTTAATATTGGTTTGCTTGGTAATTTACAATCGGAGGTAATATAATTTGCCCATCCTACTAAAAGATTCTCTGGAGTAGCAAGTGATGCTTCGGAGAGTAAGTATTTGAGATCTGGTGTCTCTGCTTCGACCGATTCCAAACGAGCTTGCATCGATCTCAATCGCTTGGCGGCGATTTGACGTTGTTCCTCTTCTTGGTTCTCTTGTTCCAATTGTTGCAAGAGGTCGTCTGCTTCGTTCTCTTCTTGCTCTGCCAACAATCTCTCTTGTTCGATACGTTCTTGTTCGAGCAACATCTGTCTCTCTTGCTCCAATCTCTCGGTCTCCAATCTCTGTCTCTCGACCTCTGCCTCCAATCTGATTCTCTCGGACTCTCTTTCGCGTTCTTGTCTCTCCTGTTCCTTTCTTTCGGCTTCTTGACGCTCTGCCTCCTGGCGCTCTTGCTCTTTCTTCTCGGCTTCTTGACGTTCTTGTTCCAATCGCTCGACCTCCTTTCTGACACGCTCTTGTTCCTCTTCCAATCTCTTGGCAGATTCGATACGCTCCTGTTCGATACGCTCTTGTTCTTCCTTGAGCTTGATACGTTCGTCTTGCTCCATTTCCATCTGTTGCATCAACTCCTCCAGTCGTCGATCCTCTTCGAGTTGATCTTGCAATTGTTTCTGCTTCTCCAACTCGAGCTGTCTCTGTTTCTCAAGGAACTCTTCGTGTTGTCGCTTGAGTTGTTCCTCCTCTTCCTGTGCCTTTCTTCTGGCTTCTTCTGCCTCGCGTTCCACACGCTCTTGCTCTTCTTGTCTGGCGGCTTTCTCCTCTTCCTCCTTTGCCAGTCTTTGCTTTTCTTGTTCGGCAGCGGCAGCAGCGGCAACAGCTTCAGCTTCTTCCTTCTTTTTCTTTTTGGATTCATCCTCAGACTCTGAAGCATCGGACTCTTCATTGGCGCTATTACCCTTGACAACCAACGACATCTTACTTCCCTTACTTGCAACACCAAAGAAATGAGTCTCATAAGCAAACATTCTTCTCGAGAAATCAAGAATATCCACCCATTTCTTCATTTCAGTTGCACTATTTGCCAACATAACATAAGTTCTTGCTGGTGTAACAATTTCAAAACATGACTAAAAAAAGTAAATAGAAAAAAGAAGATAAAAGATAAAATTAATTAATATCATATTATCATTTAATATTTGATTGATTTGATTGATAACTTACTTTTGCATATTTATTTGGAATATCAGTAACATTTCTAACGGGTCTTACAGCTTGAACAGTTTTCATCCAGATGCAACCCATTTCAGGACCCAAACCCTTGGCTTTGTGATAGATTAACTTATTCTTTTTAAGTGTGTACCAACGTTTATTCCAATTCTTGATACCTTTCATAATATTTCCACCACGCTTTCTCATGATCCAACCTTCGCAATATGGTACTTTTACATAGAGGTTAACCTCACCCTTTGATGTCTTTAATAGACCTGTTGTACATTCACCTACATATCCTTGTTCTCTAATTGTCATATCACCTGACAATACCTCAACTACAAAACACAAAATTTAAATAAAATCAAAAATATTAATATTTTGTTTTGAATAAGTTTTAAAAAAAAAACTACAACAAGACATACCTTCATCTTCACTCATTGAGAATAACTCTGACTCTGAAATAGCACTGCTAACAGGTACTTGTGTCAAAATGTTTGTAATGGCATCAGCAACATTCATGGTATCGTCAACCATCACTGTCTTGTATTGATCACCTCCCTTTGTTACCTTAATAGGTCTATATCTTTTCTTGAATTCAACAAATTCCTAATGATCATTATATTAGTATTTACTATTTTTTTTTAACTAATCTATTTATTTATTTACCATTAATGCAGCTTCAGGTTTTGCACTGAATAACATTGCTTCTTTCTGATCTGTTTCACCTTCGAGTCCGTAGAAATCCAATGGATAGTCATCACGGAACCAAATTCCATTCTGGTCGTCACGTGGTGGTAAGAACAGACCATATTGTTCTGGATCAACCTCCAATTCCTTTGCAATGAAGAGACGAGCCTCTTTCACTGACTTTTTTGGAAAGAATTGAAACTTTTTGAATACCTTTTTGTCGACCAAACGAACCTTTAATTGTATGGTATCGCTCGACATCTTTTATACTATATATAAAGAAAATAAATAAATATACAACCAATCTCCTTCTTCTACTACTACTACTACTACTATTCTTTTTAACTATTTGTTTTGCTTTTGACTATTTTAAAACTTAAAAAACTGACTAAAATGTCTGACTGACTACTAATACTACAAATGTTTTTGATTATCTTTTCTCTATCTCTATACAAAAAAATCACTGCTATAATTAATTAATTATAATAATTATTGGATATTGTAAAAAATAAAAAAATTAAGTTATCAAGATTTAGTATTTTTTTTGCTTTTTTTTTTTTTTTTTTTTTTGTGTTGTTGAGATTAAGATACAATTATTATAAGATAAAATGAAACAACAATAATTTGATAAAATAAATATATATAATTTTAAATAAATAAATAAAATATTACTTGATGGTCTACCACTACTCTACTTTAATACAATAAATGTTACACAGGACCACTACCACCACTCCAAACAGATCAATTGGTTTGATCTAAAATAAAAAACCCAATAACAGAAACTGAAAATAATAAAAACAAATAAGATTGGTATTATATTACTATTCACCCAACAAAAATTGTGTTTATGTTGCTGTTGTTGTGTTGAATGTTTTGTTAATGTGAACTGTATTTATATAGGTGTTGTTAATCTAATCTAATTCTAATTTTGATCTTTAAATCAAAGTTTAAATATCTATTTTTTTCTTCTAAAAAAAGTAACAACAGTATTGCTGTTATCGACTGTTCTGTTATTGTTGATAATTTAAGGTTGATATTATTGACAACAATTGTTATAAAAAAGGGTTATAATAAATAATATTGTATGTGAGCAAAGATTGTTTTTTTTAAAAAAAATATTTTTTTTTTTTCAATTTTTTTTTTTCAAATATCTATAACGGTAATATTTTTATAATTATCTATCTATTTTTTTTTTTCTATATTTTTATTTGATTTGATTTGAAGATCTTATTAATTTTAATGTTTGATGTCTTACCAAAAAAATAAAATTGAGAAAGTTGATTTTATTTTGAAATAAATTAATTAATTATAGAATTCTCGATATCTATAAATCTAATATAAAATTGAATCTATGATTATTTGAATGGAAAAAATAAACCTAAGGTTAATTAGATTTTTGAAATTGATTGTTTTTTATTATAATAATAGTGTAAAATAGAAGACCCAGATCTGATCACTCTTTTTTTATTGTATACAAATGAAAGATAAAAAAATAAAAAATAAAAAAAATAAAATAAAAAAAATGGTTTTGAGATTTTTTGTGTTACAAAAAAATGGATATTTTTAAAAATTTTGTATGTTTTTTTTTTCAATTCACAGAATAAATTGTGGTTTTTTTTGACATTCATGACCTGTCATAAAATAGTTGTTGTTTTGCAAAAAAAAAAAAAAACACATATCCCAATATAATATATAAAATTTATTATTATGTTTTTTTGCAAATTAATTGATAAAAGTCAATTTAGTTTAGTTGATTGAAGTTGCTCAGATAAAAGTTTGGCACAAATTTCATCGACCAATGTTTTGTCTGCCCAGATCTAGATCTACACATACTTGAGAATTCCTTTGCCATGCTTCGGCTAAAACATAACTTTATGATTTGTTTTCTAAGTTATTATAACAATTCCCACCAGCATTTGGTAAGTTAATCAATTTAAATTACTTTATACATTCTATTATTGGGATATAAATATTAAAAGGAATACACCTCTTAAAAAAATTATTCCTTTAAAAAAAATTAAAATAAAATGCAGATGCAAAAAATACAATTTTATTTGTATTTCTCAAACACAATTGTGCATTTATGTTTATATCCTCCTATCACATAATCGTAATGACCACCAAAGTTTATACTTTTTTTTAAAGACTTAGACTCACCATCCAAATTCAATGCCGTGAAGTATCAGATGTCTCTTATCCCAGTACAATGTCGATTTACAAAATCTAAATTCTTTTGATCTTATTATACATGGCCATGATCCCGAAAGAATCAAAGGTAAACCTATTGTTGAAGACAAAAGTGAGAAGACCTTTGGTTTTTCATTCCCTTTCCTCGGTTGAGAAACCACTCTCTTGAAAATGAGGCAGATCATTGAAATTCATTGGGAGAGTGATTCATCTCCCGGGAGCCGAGTGAAGCACAATATCGTGCTCTGTATTGGAACCCCGGGAATTGGTAAATCAAGACTCCTCAAAGAGTATGGAAACTTAATACACCCAACAATGGTTTAGTCGCAATACCCCTCACGATATATCAGCATCGTTACCTCTTATGGTAACTCATCTTCAAGGTCCTTACTTTTCAGAAAAAGTACTATCCATCCAAAACGGTAGTGTAGTGGAACTTTCAAATCACCAACTAATCTATCCATAAACAAAAAGGAGAGGTTATTGTTCATGCCCACCGATTCCCCAACGAGAATTACAACGATTACTTTGACGAGGTTGGGTGTTTGGAACAACCACCCAGAAACTCTAATGTGTATCTGAATGCGGCTGGCGCCACGTGGGATTGGTTCTCATTCTACAAACAAGGTAAGGGATCTGTCTACCTAATGTTTAATGGAAAGCATACTATTGGTAGAGGGAGTCAGCTCACAATGGACACTATCAAAGAGGAGCATGAAAAGATCACTGGCAGCGAAAAGGAAGCCAAAAACCAATAAAATTGCCAGTTCTGCGACAATATTATCTGTCATAGTATAAAATCTCTCAAGAGATAAGATCACCACCAAAGATTATCTGCCTCCACATACTATAATTATAGATGCAGAGAACTCCCTCTCATTCTTTGGACCTATCGTTTCTTACATTGTCGACAATTTTGATTTTGTTGGTCCCCAACAACATAGGATTCGAAAGATTGTTGATTTCTGAAATTTCCACGATTTGTAGTTGGTATTCCTTTGTGACTTCTTTCTTTAGTTATTTAGTGTGTTCTTACTCTTGATTATGACGACGAAAAAAAAACCTTTTCTCTTTCCAACTACCACTTTTATCGCACAATATCTTTTAACAAATGTTTGGACACTTAGAGAAAATTCTGTGACCTATTTTAAAAAATGAACAAGAAACCAATTAGCTAAAATAAATCAGAGTTTAGTTCAAGAAAATTTATAGGGTATTAATATGAGTGATGCTTTAATTTTTTTCAAATAGTTTAAAACAATTATTAATTTAATTTAGTTGACTGAAGTTGCTCAGATAAAAGTTTGGCACAATTTTCATCGACCAATGTTTTGTCTGCCCAGATCGATCTACGCATACGTGAGAATTCCTTTGCCCATGCTTCGGCTACCACAGACATGTCGAGTACCGACTCGTAGGAACGTTCACGAATCTTTTGGTAGTGGTGTGGGTTCTGATAGATAGCGTAGGCACGGTGAATCGCCTGAACGAAATCGGTGTGTTTATGAGCTTCGAAAGTGAAACCATTGCCGGTTTCATCGATTTGATTGTACTCGAAAACAGTATCTTTAAGTCCACCGGTCTTGAATGCAATCACCGGTGTTCCAGCGGCAAAGTACTCTTGTTGGACGACACCCGATGGCTCAAAGAGCGATGGCATCAAACCGAAATCGGAACCGAGATTGACCAGTGAACCGTCGGAGAAGAACGAATCTGGATCGGCCCAGAACGATGTTGGGAATTGCTTGCAGAGCGCTTGCATACTCCATGCACAACTGCTGGCGTATGGATCTTTCATATTGGCCATACCACCGACCAGTACCTGAATCTTTCCTTGATAGTGTCCGATCAACTCACGCACTGCATTCAAAATGAGATGAACACCCTTTTGCAAAACGATTCTACCAACAAAACTAAAGATTGGAATGGTATCATCGACATGATTGAAATACTTTTTCTGAAGTTTTGCTTTTGCTTCATGACGATCTTTTGCAATTGTTGTCAATTGTGTTCTTCTTTCTTTTACTCTAATACCATTTGAATGAGCTATAAAATGTTAACAATAATCTAAAGTTAATATATATACATATTTTTGATTAATATTAATTTCTAAATTGTGAATAGCTTACCAAATGCTTGTGGGAATTGATGTAATAAATTAGAAAGATGAGATGTTCTTAAAAGATCATAGAGATATGATTTCGATACAGTTCCCCAATTATTACATGTTAGTAATACACATCTCGCTAAATAGTTTTAATTAAAAGTAAATTATGGTTAGCTAATTATGTTTTGTATTAACTTTTCATATATTTATATTTATACTTACATGCGTTAAGACATGGAGCATGTGAATATGGCTCCATAATCAAGTCACGATGTAATTGATGAATCCAATTGAGATCATCTCCACCATCTGGATAGATACGTCCTTGATATGCTTCCTCGAGGTTATGAACTAAATGGAAGAAGGTAGTTCCGTTGAAAGTTGTTCCAAATGCACCGGCTTTGGCATAGGCTGGTACCAATCCACAGAACCAATCGTTGGTTACAATGACCGATGGTAACAATCTAATTTGACAGAGTAACTCAAGTGATGCTTTGGCAAAGAGAACAATGGTTTTCAGTTGATGGACAGGTGAGCCAGAGTTGTATGGGGTTGGGAAATACTCAAAGTGATGAAGGAAATGCAAGTGGATACCCTTGTCGACACCCTCGTGAACACCCACTTCAACACGGTCAGGACCAACGTAGGTAACAACGTTTCTCTGCCATTTGATACCTTCCTCCTTCTCGAGATAGCCAGTACGTCCACCCTTACCATAGTTGTAGTATGGTGAAATAATATGGACCTCGACACCCAACAATTGAAGACTACGAGTGAGTTCATCAAGCATAACACCTACACCACCGACCGTTGAGAAACGACCAATCTCTGGTGTGATAAACACGATTGGTCCGAGAATATTGTGTTGCAACACCTCACGACAGATCTTGGGAATACGATTTTGAATGAGACCACGCTGAGCAATTGCCTCCAAGTAGGAAATGATTTGATATCCTTCGAATTGTGATTTAGTCATGTGATAGAGAACACCTTGAATGAAAGAAGCGAATGTCTTTTCAGAGTTACCAGACAAGTTGGAGAGAATATCTTCGAGTGCCGAAGCGAAAGCATCGACTCCGCTCATCAAGCCCTTCTTGAGAATAGAATAGATCAGATTGTGAGATGGGTCGACATCGTCTGCCAACAGTTGTTTCAAACGGATCATGCTGTGTTCATAGAGTACACGAACGGCAGCTGGCGAATTCACTTGGTGATAGACACCCCAACAGATAGAACTGTATCCGGGTACGACAACAAAGTGCTTCTCATAGAGTAACTCTTGTAGACTGAGATACTGAGGTGGATTGCTTGGATTGATGAGATCCACCATTCTATAGATTGTCTCGGCTGTTGAGATACGTGCGAGCGGACTGCAGTCAACGTAGAACTCTGTTTCATGGTTGTCAAAGTTGATTGCAATGATTGCAAGTTCCTCGCCAGAGAAACGCGCGAATCCAAATACACGATCATGCCATCCACCGGCGTGATAACAAAGCAGTGGAACCATACCACCACGACGTAGCAGTGTATGGGTTTTTCTGAGAGTGACACGATGTGCATAGTGACCATTGATCTGCGGGTATTGCAGCTGATATGGTGTGGCAGACATTCCCAGTTTGATTCGTGAAGAGTGGATATCTACATGGTAATACCAACCGGATTGCTCGCCAATATAGGTGATTGGAATCTCCGGAAGGAAATAGAGTGCATCGACTGCTGCCCATGCACCGGCGTTGTAGATCTGCAGAGGATAAGGCGAGTGGTGATTCGATGATGGGAACAAGATGATCGAGTTTTGTGGATAGGTTGACATACGCATCTCATAGTATTCATAGAGTGCCTTTACAGACTGACGTTGTCTCAAGTCGAATACAATACCATCCTTGCTAATTGCCTTGTCAAACACCGATGCCAACGCTCTGGGTATGGCGCTACTGTACGGCACCAGACCAGAGACAATAGAGTGCAGTTCACGCTCCCAATAAACCTCAGAGAGGAAAACAAATTGTGGATAACGATGCCATACCTCACGAGTCAACTTTATAAACAGTGGATTCGGATAGAACGGTGTCGATTGTTTCGGTGACTTTGGAGTGGTACCCCAATAACCAAAGTTACGACCTTCCTCCGATGGTTGAAGTACTATCTCACCATCAAAGATCTGTTGATTAGTGAAATGTGGTTGGTCATCACTGTCGATTCTATAGAGCTCATCTAGATTCGAACGAATCAACAATGGACAGATGTGTCCAGAGTCAATTCTTACACCATCGATACCCCGATCACCCCATGCCAATGTTTCCTGTACCATCATCTCCCAAACCGATAGCTTTCTAAAGTTCATCATAACACAGTCTGGCCAGGTGAATTCAACTGAATCGGTACCCTCCATTCTGGTGAGTTGTCCCTTGGAATCGAGAGTATGGAGAATCGATCCATTGTATTTACGATGAGCTTGCTTCGAGGAGAGTCTGGCAGTAGAATCAATGACAATCTTGATTCCCAATTGTTTGGCCTTGGAGATCAACAAGTTGAACTGCTCATTACCACCGAGTGCACGATTTGGTAGGTTACGATCGGTTGGACAGAACGGATGTGAGTTTGGCAGCTTCTCTAGCAGTCCCATAACATAGAGTGTTGTAATACCCTCCTTGTGGAATTTATCGAGTGAATCAATGAGATTTGAGAGAGTACCTTTCTTTGATATTTCACCTCTATATGGATCCCAAACAGCTTCAACCAAATCCACCCAAACCTCGTGCATAATCTCTTCACGCAGCTTTGGATGTACAATGAAACGACCTTGAATCTGATCCAGTCCATTTGGCTGTTGAACCCCGGCGATGGTTGTAGCGCTTGAAAGCGGCAGTAGCATCAATCTTTGATTTTAGTTTGTAGGCTTGGAAATCAAATGGAACATAGTTTCCATTCGATTGCAACTCAACGAATCGCCAATCATAGTAACCAGCACGATACAGTGAGACCGGTGCTTCAAACGACAGTCTTGTACCCTCGAGTTTTGGACGGTGTTTGGCGAATATTGTGTAGTTTGAACCTGGCATAGCACTAACTTTTGTAGAGGGTGGTGTAGTCGTCAGCAAATAGATTCGCTTGACCAGTTCATCTGGGAGTACACTCTCGAGCTCCAATTCTACCTTGAATGCATCGCCAATACAACGAATCACTGGTTTCAAAGGTGCTTCAAACTGCCAGTTATGTGAGTCATAGATTACATTGAGCAATCTAACTGCTTCCTGTCTGACAGCTGGCGAAGCATGTCCCAACAGTCCAATCGTTATTTTCTCAACCAATTTCAATGAACGATGTTGAATATTCACAAGATAGAATGCATCCTCTTGAATTATTTTGACAATCTTCAATGCCTCTGCTTCCTCTTCGTTGGAGCACGTCGATTGTGATGCTCCCAATGCACTTCCTTGTGTTGGAACAACAACTGTTGTGGTTGCTGCTGGTGGGTAGCGACGTCTCAAGTTGACAATCATATCCAAATACTTGTGATACTTGGCAACACTCCAAATACGATTGGAATACTCTTGGAGGGTGGTGGTATTCAGCTTACTGGCAATCTCTTCGTGATACTTGACATTGACAAGCTTAACCCAGTTGTAGTAGATTTGATCTACCCAAGGCGATATCTTTGATTCGATTGTCTCGGTGAGTCTCTGATTGATCGAGTGAATAAGTTTTGATTCTAAAAAGTGATCTAAACGACCACCGGATCTCTCAACCAAGAGGAGGGAACGCAAGTCGAGATTCAATCCATCGGTGAGAGTACGCTCATCCTCTTGACTGAGAGGAGCAAAGTCTTGAGTCCAATAGATAGAGATATCCAACCACTCTGAGAGTGTTTGATCCATCTTTCCAGAGATGGTTGCTAGCGAATGTTGACTGGTTGGTTGCGACTGTTGACTTGGGACGGCTTTGAATGAACTACTGGCTTCGACAATAGTGTCAGTGTTTGGTGCAGACAGTGGAATCATTGTTGGAACTGTTGGTACACTGCTGCTAGTAGATAGATTTGGATTGGATTGTTGTGGAAGATTGCTTTGTTGGTTGTTTGACATCATTGGTGAGATCATTGAGTTGTTGTCTTGAAGACTGCCAATCGGTGATGCAGTTGGAGGCTGTTGTTGTTGCATCATTGAACGACTTGCAAATCCACCACTGGAGAGCAGTGGATTGACGAGTGAAGATGGTCCGGTTGGCTGTGGTGATACAGAGAGTTGTTGTGGTACCACCTGACTTGGAATGGCATCGAAAGAGGGTGGTCCACGCGATCCAACCGAAGGGAAGAACGACTCTGTCAAACGAGTTGGTGGCAGTCCAGATGGCGATGGTGCGAAATCATAGGGTGAACTTGATACTCTGAGAGTATTTGGTCCTTGGTACGATGATGACATATTCATTGGCAGTGAGACTGGCATCGATGGAATGTTGTTGTTATTTGGTGAGATAACATTTGGAATCGATGATGACATAACACCGCCACCGACACTATTCGAGGGTGCATTGAATGAGTGTGGACCATTTGGTGTATGTCCAACAGGGAATCTATTTTGGAAGTTTGGTATTGGTATAGAGTTTTGATATTCTGAACCGTCCGGTAACATAACTGGATCGGTCTCAAACTGGCTAGGTAACTTGTTGATGTTGGGATTGTTTGTGGAATTATTAAATTCTTGTCTTGCCAAATCGGATTTGGCATTTCGGTTGGCCAAATCTTTCAAACTACTTGGAATTGAACTGGATGGACTTGAAGATGCATTTGCCATCAAAGTTGACAATGAGAATGACGACGACGACGATGAGGATGAGGTAGATACGTTAGAACTACCGCTACTGAGATTAGACTTTGGATTCTTGTTTACTGCCGATTTGCTCACTGTGAAACCCGATGTGGTGATTGGTGAACCGCCACGACCTTGGTTGAGATCGATGGACGATGGCTCCTCTTTGGCCAGTGTGTCCTTTAGCAGTGGCGACACTTGTGTTGGTGTGACCGGTGTCGACTTGACCTCCTCTTTGATCTGTCCGTTGATGGAACGATCAGGCTTGCTATTGTTGGTAAGAGAATTCGATGAGAGTGACACTGTCGATAGTCTCTTGTGAGTTGGATCCTTGAGTGAGTTCATTGGATTCGAGGTTTCCAAGTTGGCCTGTGATTTCGTGCTGGCAATCTTCTTGAGCAGATTCTGGTGGAGTGTACTCTGTAGCAGCGCCTGATGAATCTTTAATATCAAAGACATCCAATTGACACTCATTGGTTGGCTACCATCCAATTGCTTTTGTCTAGAGGCGGAATCCACTGAACCCGGTGCAACACCAGGTCCGAATATACTTTGATTCCCTGACATTGTTTCATCGGCCAGAATCAACATCTCCTTATCACTTGGATCCAAACAGACAGTGAACGATCCATCCAACAACGAAGGTGTAATCGGTGCAATGTGTTTGGCAACCATCTTTCTGACGATATCATTGATAGTTGCCACTTTATTCTCATACTCTGAATTCACCAAGACACTGCCACCTCCACCGCTGGTGTTATTGGTGGTGTTGTTGGTAGCAGAGGAAGTCGATGAAGTATTATTGGTATTGGATGAACTTGCACTGCTGCTACTACTATTATTAACACCACTAGAAGCAGTTGAACTAGTTGCACCAAGAGTAGGTGAATTTGGAGAAACTGGTGAGATTGTTCTCAAATCGGAAAGATTATCTAATAAAACCAGAGAAATCGGTATCTTTACATATGGAACCGGTCCGGAAGGTAATGACTTTTCAGTGGTGGAAGAACCGGATCCAAGTGAAACTATTGGATTCTTCCAACAAGTCTCATCTCTAAGAACCTGTTGGATCAAATCTTCAATATTTTGCATTTTACGAAAAAAAAAAAACTAAAACTATATATTAATATGTTAGATTAATCTTTATCTCTACTCGAAATGAAATTCATATATCTATTTTACATACACTATATTGTTTGTTGTTTTTTTAATATCTATTTTGATGATGACTAGTTATTAGTTTGTGTGTGGTTGGGTTGGTTGGGTGAGTGATAATGAAAGTTTGAAATTGAATAGGGTTTAAATTTTGAAATTGAATGAATAAATAAACAAGAATGAAAGATAGCAATAACTACTAATATTGAATTAATAAATAATACAAATTGGAAAATAAATATCAATTAAACTATATATTTTATTAAAAAAATAAATAATTTTTTAAATGTTAGTTTCTAACTCTTTTAAAACGTATTTGCATTCTACTAACTTACTCGTGGTATTACTTTGCTGAAAACGAACATCTACCAAAATGTAATATTACTGATTAAAATAAAGATACGACAAAAGCTTTTGTCAATCTATCTTGTCTATCTATCTATCTAATCTATGTAGTTCTGTGATATGATGATTTGTCCTTGGTTATGACAGACTTAGAAAGAACCAAAACACATCTAATCCTAATCAGTGTGATCACTAAAATATATATGATGCTTGTATTATCTCTGTTTTTATGAGGTGTGTGTGACTGACTTGAAAATGAAAAGATATTAAAACAGAACAAAAACAAATAGTCTAAACTGGTGGGTGTGTGACAATGACAATGACAACAACAGTAACAAACAATTTGTTAAATTATTGTGAATAATGAAACACACTCAAACCTCTCACTGATGAACTTATTGGTTATTGGTTAGGCTTAATAAAAAAAAATAATGTAATATTAAATTATTTGGTTTTTAGATATTATTAAAAAAAACAACCCCCCAATCACCTTCACCAAATTAAATCATCAAAAAAAAACAAAAAAATTATTATTATTAATTAAATGTGTTTGCAGATTGTTGGGATCCACAAGTGTGCATCTTTGTAAGTCATTAAAAATATGTTTTTTTTGGATATTAACTAAAAAACCGTTGATTAAATTCAAAGTATAAAAGTTTAATGGGATCGGTGTGTGTGTGTGTGTGTTGCTTTGGTTGAAGTAATTTGATGGTATCCGGTTAAGTTTTGATAATGTGGGTAAGAGACTTTTGGCTAAACTTTGGTGTTTGACAGTATTTCGATCAATTAAATATTTATTCCTTTGATTTGTTTGTTTTACTCCCAACAATTAACTAAATTTATAAAGTATATCTATTATTTTCCTTATTCTTCTTTTTTTTTTTTTTTTTGTTTTGATATGTTAGTTTATTCTTTAAAAAAAGGTGTATCGTATTTAATTTTGTTTAGGGGTCTTTTCCTTCTTGTCCTTCTTCTCTGGCTTGGTTCTTGGCTTCTTGATTTCAGAGTTTGGTTGGAAACGTTGCATGACGTAACGCAAGATGGTGACAAAGACACCGACGATAAGGAATGCTCCGATGGTTTCTGGAGTTGGGATGAAACGGTAGATGAATGGAATCTCTGAGAGCTTTTCGATGGCAACAGCAGTTACTTCAAATACCAAATTAGCCTTTGGTGGGATAACCTCTTGGAACTAAAATAACAAAAAAAGAAACAAACAACAAACAAACAAAAAAGATAATGAATATGATTGATTCTCGAGATGATGATCTTGTTGCTCTATGTAATATTCTTTTTTTGTACTTACTCCACCTTCTCCGTAAGCAAGTTGGTATGGAATGTAAAACTCTCTGGTTTCACCTTCACAAATACCGACGACACCACGATCCATACCTGGGATGACTTTACCCTCACCAACAATGAAATCGAATGGCTTGTTGTCGTGTCTCTCTGAGGCATCGAAAATAGTACCATCCTCTAATTTACCAACGTAGAGAATTGAAACTCTATCTCCAACGGCTGCCTTCTTTTCTCCACAACCATTCTCACCGAGAACCTAAAACATATATTTAACATTAAATATAAGTAAGTAAGTATGAATGAATGTAAAATGAAACTTGATAAAATCATCAAAGATCAAATCAAATCAAATCAAAGACATATCATGACTTTTCAATTACTTACAGAGTTTCTAATTTCAATATCTTGAGCAAATACTAAAGATACTGATAACAAGGCAATTAAGACTAAAATTAATTTGGACATCTTGTTTTTAAGTTTTATATAATAACTTTACAAATAAATAAATTGAAACAAATGAAATTTACATTCAAAAATGTTTCATGAACACAATGAGCTCTCAATAACTGCCAGCAACCAAAAAAAAAAAAAAAAAAATTCAAAATTTGGTGGTAAAAAAAAAAGTTTGACTTTTTTTTTTAGAATATTGACCAATTAAATGTGGTCATCCAGTAAAGATCAAATTAGGATGTGTTGCAACACAATTAATTAACATTGATCAAATTTGTTTGTTTTGTTTTTTTTATAAATCGATTTATTAAACACATTGTGCATTTAGTATGAAAATATTGGTGTGGGTATCAAAAACATGTTTAAAAATAAATTTCAATTTTAAACATATAATTAATTACAGTTTATTTTTGGAAATATTGGCTATCATATGATTGATATAGATTCTTTATTAAATAATTATAGATGAATGAAATTGATGTAAGATTTAATATTGATCCATTGGGACAGTTTCGAGATTAATTTTGAATCCATTTACCGCTAATACACTATGAACAATCATGTTGGGACCATTTAGAAGTGGATCTGGTTGGTTTTAGCAACTTGTTCTTCTACTTGAGGATTTATCAAAGATTGAGAATGTCCTTCGGCTTGTAATATTGAGCCGTTACAATATAGGTATAGATGTCTTCCAGGACCATCAAATAGAATGCCAGACTGCACTCCAAACTCAATCCAATCTACCATTTTGTTCATTTGGTATTCTAGTGCATTGTTTGGACAGGAAGGGTTGTAAGCTCTACTCTCTATAACAAACTCTGGTGGGTGAGCTGATATACTATTTATTCGAATATCTGGGGTGTCTAAATTCCATGTACTATGGGACGAATGCCTCACTTGGGTGACTTGAAGGAAATTAAAGAAAAAAGTTAAGAGTTGAATATTAAGATAATAGTAGTATTTGTTACACTATCTGTATATCTCTAAATCAATTCGATTATCAAAGTTATTTTTAATTTGATAAGTATACTTGTCATTTTTAACAAAAGATTTTGCTATCATAATAACTATATTAAATGTATTTGAAATTTAAGTTACTTAAGTAGAAAGAAGAAACAATTAAAATAAAATAGATTTAAAAACAGTGCAAAGCTAAATAGAAACATCAACCAATAAATATTTAATTAAGAAGAAAATCATAAATAGGATAATTAGTTTTTTATTTTTTTATTAAATATTGACAATGGTTGGTTGGTTATGCAAACTTTGATGAACTGCAGTTTGTTGTTGTAGAATTATTTTATTATTACACTCTTTTTGAATCTTTTTTTTTGTTATTATTGCTATTATTATTTTTTTGTCTGTTTGTGTGTGTTGTTAACTAATGTAATCGGATCAATCATATCGAGAAACATATGATTCACATGCTATTTTTTGTTTTTAGGGTGTTATTCATATGATTAAGTGATTATTCTCTTGTTTGTTTTGGTGAGCCTTCAGGTGACTTGTTGGATGAGTTGGTGGATGAGGTGGATGTAGTTGTGGTTGTGGTGGTAGTTGTGCTGCTGCCATCAGTTGATTTAGTCTTTGCCTGTTGTTTCTCAATCTTTTCTTTAGTCTTTTGTTCGGCCTTTGCTTCTTTCTCCTCCTTCTTGACTTCTTTCTTCCATATCTTTTCGTTGTTGATTCTCTTTAGTCTGTCGCGCTCCACCACGATATTGATTGCCTCCAATACCACCTTGGCTACACTGGATGGATCTTTCGATGTACACTCCATAAAATTATTAGCTTTAATATCCTTTGCCTTCTTTTGACCCTCTTTGAAACTGATCGTTTGATTCTGTCCGCTGAGAGGTGGTGAGGCAGTGTCACGCATATCAGTCTTTGTACCGACCAAAATGAATGGAGTACCCGGTGAATTTGCTTTCAACTCTGGTAACCACTATCATATCATACATATCATTAACAAATCTATTAGTTAACTTTTTCCTTTTACATATTTATTAACTATCTCTATTATTATTATATAGAGATTAATACCTACCTTATATCTAACATTATCAAATGAATCACGATTTACAACTGAATAACACAATAAGAATACATCATATTTACAATTGGTATAACATGTAGTTCTGATTTGTGCATAATCATCTTGACCTGCTGTATCCTATATGTATATATATATATATATAAATTATGTTTATGTATGAAGTTAGTAACCAAGCAGATAAAAAAAACAAGATTGATGAATGAAATATTACCCAAAGAATTACATTGACAAGTTTACCATCTTCAACCTGTTCAATGGCAGAGAAGTTATCGAATACGGTTGGAGTGTACTCAGTGATGAATGCCTGGGTGATATATGAGAGAAGCAGTGTGGTCTTACCAACGGTACCATCACCTACTACACCACACTTGATGACCTTGGTAATTCTACCGGGATCTCTCTTTTTAGTTCTCTCTGCTGATTGATCTAAATCACTATTATTACTAGTAGTACCACTAGTAGTTGTGGTTGTAGATGTTGTACTTGACATTATTATTACTTCTAACTCTTTATCACACTATCGATCTATCTTATATATTTTATTTTATTTTCTTTTTGATTACTAATCCCAACTATATTAAATTCTTAACAAACTAAAACTAAAATTATATTATTTACAAATATTTTATATATTTTTTAATGAATTGTTTGTTTTCACAGGGGTGTTATCTAATCTAAAAAATTGGCAAAAAAATTCAAAATAAAAAAAAAATATGAAACAATCTAAGACGATAATTTTTTCTATTATATTAATAGAAATCAATCCATTAATAGGTTATATGTCCATCTTAACAATTGTTTTATTGGGAAAAAGAAATTAAATAATTGAAGGCAATATATTTGTTTTTTTTTTTTTTTTTTTTTTAGTGTGATAAGATATAGTTGTGCCAAGAGGCATCACACTTATATTCCCTCATTACAATTATTTTTATTATTATGGTGTTCTTTTTTGGTGGTGATAAGATGATCTATGGATCTAAGATTTTAAATTAAATATATAATATAATATTTTTTTTTGATTGATTGTTTTTTTTTTTTTTTTGTTAATCTTTTTTTTTCTTTTTTTCTTTTTCTGTTTTTTTTTTTGTTTATCCTTTTTTTTTTTTTTCTATGTTTGGAAAAAAAAAGTAATATATTGGATTATTGAGATGAAGTAGTAGTGACAGCTGGAGTGTCAACGACTGGAGCAGTAACTGGCGCAGCAGTAGCAGCGGCAGTAGTTGGGGCTGGAGCAGTGGCAGTGGCAGCAACTGGTTGCTTGGCTAATCCTTGAATAATATCAGCATAGGTTGGTTGTTTGGATCCACCGTTTGTTGATGGAGCGGATTCAGTCTTTGGTGAGGTGGAGGTAGTGGTGGTAGTAGTGGTAGTGGTGGTGGTGGAGGTTGTCGATGTATTGGTAGTAGTATTGTTCTTCTTTGGCTTATCGGATTTCGATTTTCCTTCCTTGTCTTTTGAGTCACGTGACTTCTTTGTTGGGGTTTGTGGTGATTGACCGTTGGACTTCTTAGAGGATTTACCAGATTGTTGAGCGGGTGAGGTTGCAGACGATGAATTTGAGGTGGTGGAAGTAGCAGCGACAGATGAAGCAACTGGTGAAGATGGTGCGACGGCAACGACTGGGGTTGGGGCTGGCAAAGAGGCAGCAGCGACAACTGGAGAGGAGGTGGAAGCTGGTCCCCATTCTCTCTTTTTCATTTCGGCTTGTCCCTCAACGGTTTCTCCCTTGACAAGGGGTGGGAAGTGTTGTGGACCTGGTGGTGTAAGCTTTGGCTTCTCCTTTTCCTTCTCGTCAGAGGACTTGGTAGTGGAGGGAGCACCCGCTGATTTGTTGGCACCGTTGGCGCTCTTGCCGCTGTGTCTTGGTTTTGATTCACGAGGCTTTCTCGAGGAAATGTTGTTCGTTGATTCGCTGGTGGTGTTGGTTGTGCTTGGTGAGGTTTGAGCGGCGTTGACTGGAACGACGCTACCGTTAGTCGATGGTGCCGAGCTGGCGGTTGTAGTGCTGGTGGTTGAGGTGGTGGTTGTTGTTGTTGGTTTTCCATTCATGTGAGATTTATTGTGATGAGGTCTTCTCTGGTAACGCTCTCCTGAAAAATTATTTGGTTGTGTTGTTGTTGATGTGTTGTTTGTTATACTATTTGATTGTTCATTGCTATTATTATTTAAACTATTATTACTATTGCTATTACTATTTAAATTATTCGACGGTGAAGTGGAGGTGGTGGTGGTGGTGGATGGAGTGGTGGTAGTTGGTTGTGTATTATTGTAGTGTTCGCGTCTGGGTGGACGTCCTGTGGAATCCTTATTTCCTCGGTATGGCTTTCTGTGTGATTCAGTGTTTGGTTTGCTTGGATCGTATGGTGGTCGCGCGTCACCCGACTGATCCCAACCTCCGTATGGGTATCCACCGACGGTTCTCTGCCACTTGTTGTTGGTGTGTCCACTTCCGGCAACTGTATAATATCTACTGCTACTGCCGCTGCTAGAGTTACCGTTGGTGGTTCCGTTGGTATGTGTAGTGTTGGTGGTGGTGTTGGATTCCGATTTGGTTTTATAGTTGTTTCTGAGGAGTGGCTCAGACTTGATTCTGACCTTGATTGGTTTATCTTTATAGGTGGCGTTTTGAAGGAAGTCGTATGCTTTCGATGCGTTCTCCTCAGTGTCGAATGTGATGAACCATGTATTGACGATATCGTTCTTGACATTGATTATTGCATCTGCTGTTGTTGTGAATATAGCCTTGATCTCCTCTACTGGTGTGGCTTGTGCAATGTCTCTCAAGATAACAATGTTTCTCTGAAGTTTGAAAGATGGTTTTACAAGTTTCTGTGTCTCATCTAAAATTACCGAGCTGCTTTTAGAGATGGATTTGACAATCAATTCGATATCAGTTGTTAAATTTTTAATTTTCTATAATATTTTGAGAGTTGGTTGATAATTGTAATGTTAGTTTGATTGAAAGATTGATGTTTGTTTCTTAAATGCATCTATCTAGATGTACGATCGTAATACCTACTGGGAAACTAGCGATGACAGAGACAGGGACGTACATCTCTCTGTTCATTTGACGACTTAGGTATGCATCGTTTGCCAAATTCTCACGTGACAAATAATATTCGACTTGAGCTCTAATTTTATCCTCAATAGATAGTTCTAAAATGAATTACGATATAAATGTAATGTGTCAGCTTTGATTGTTTTGTCTTTTTCATCATCGTCGTCATCATCATCATCATGATTCGAATTCTTACCAGGTTGAATTGCTTGAGTATCCATTGTGAATTCTATTTGGTTTTTATGATAATAAATAAATTCGAATTTCTATTGATCTATTAAAAAGATGATATATAAAATATAATAATATATACAAAAGAATGATTATATATGTTGTTTGTTGTTTGTTTGTTTGTTTAAACAAAAGTTAGTATTATTATTATATTAGTTGGGAATATATATACACAAGTATCTTCAAAAATTTACTACTAATATATTTTTGAAATGTATCAAACAAACAACTATTATTATTTTTTTTTTTTTAAAAAAAAAAAAAAAAAGACAAACTTGTTGTTTTTTTATTATTACTATTATTCGTTCTTTGTCTTGTAACAAAACACTGACAGTCCTTTATTTGTCTTCTCTCTAATATTGTAGTGTTTGTGAATGATAGATAAAATAAAGCCAACTAAATTGAAAACTAACGAATTGCCAATATTCTAATTTTTTGGTTTTTTTATGTTTTTTTTTTTTTAAAAAATTTTGGAGCAACAAAAAAAAAACAAACAAAAATAAAATAAAAAATAATAACAAATACAGATAAAGATGAGAAAGAGAGTGATGTCTGACAGTGATCTGCTGCAAATGTCTATTACAGTAATGTAGTTATAATAGATTAATAAGTAGTTTTTTTTTGGGTGGAGTGAGTGTAGTGTAACTGTACGGTCAAAGTGTTTTTATTTTAATTATTATTATTTTTAAATTAACTACTACTATTATATATTATTATTATGCTAATTATTGTATTTTATTTGTTATTAGTAATAAAGATACTTGACTTGACTTGTACTACAGAAATTTAAATTTCTATTCCACCTCATAATGCTAATTATAAATTATTATTATTGTTATTGTTGTTGTTTTGATGTTTCTTATTTGATTAAACTTCTTTTTTTTTTTTTTTTTTTTTTTGAAATAGAATAGATGATGTGGTTGTTAATTGTTATATTGTGAGAGAGTGTGTGTGTGTTTGAGTAAAAGTAAGAGGTAAGAGTGAGAATAAGAAGAGCCTCTTCAATAGAATGTGGTAGTAATGGGATGTGTGTGGCGCTAATATATAATTGAGAAACTTCAATTTAATATATATCTCTAAGTTTACTTTTATAAAAAAAACCATTAAATATTTGATTTGATATCAATGTATTATATTAATTGCACACACCTAAACTTTATATTTCAAACAATGTGTTGTTTTATGTTTTTGATAGAACTGTGTGATGGTGGTGTGTGTTTGATATCCCATTTATTCATAGCCTACATATTACTTTGTTGTGTTGTGTGTTTGTAATTTTTTGTTTTTGGGGTTAGTGGTAGTGGTTGTGGTTGTGTGTGAGATGAATTGTGTTTGTTGTCTTCTCGACAATAATTTCACACATATATATATTTATATATTGGGTTCTATTTCTCTTTCCCCTAAAGATATGATGAATTTTCCTCTTCTTATTCTTCTTCTTCTTACTCTATCCTGTTGATGTTATGTTGTTGTCATTGTTGCTCAAAGTCATATATAATTGTTAAAATATCTATTTTATTTTTGACAAGTGGCGTCTGTTTTGGAGTTTGAATGTGAGTGGTAGGAGAGAGAAAGAGTAAATGAAGAGTATGATGAAATAATGAATGAATGAACGAATGATGTCGAATTTCATTGTACTAATTAAAACTAATTATATTTAAAAACTATACTATTTTTATACTGTTCTTTTGTTGTTATTGTTATTATTATTATTTGACTAGAAGACTTGGGACTGTTTGTCTTTTTTGTTGTTGTTGTTGTTTGATTTTATTTGATTTGACAAACATATATAGTATTCACAATTGATTGTGAAGAGTAGATAACACTTTACTATTGATTCGATTTAAATCTAACTAGGCTTTACTAAAAGAAACGGTCCTAATTATCTATACTGCTGTAATTACAAAAATGTTGACCAAGCGAGATTCAAAACGAATTCCGAATTCGGTCGTCAGTGTTGATTGTAACTATTTGAGAGAAAAAAAGAAGAACAACAATGTATGACAAAAAGACAACTCTGTAGTATTGATTACTAGTTATCCTTTAGTATTTACTTTGGTCAAACAAAAGTGGAATTGAGTGATGGGCGAAAATTGACTTTTGATTATTGTTTTGTTGGAAAAAACTTTCAACAAAAAAATTTGGAATGAACAAGAGCGAAAAATAATCAAAGTCTGAGTTAGTAAAAAAAAAAATGAAAAAAAATGAAAAAAAATAAAAATTTTCAAAGGAACCGAGACCAGAACTCTGGTGATAAAAAAAATCATCATCAACAATCACCTTTTTTTCGAAATATATTTTTATTTTATTTTTATTTTATTTTTAAAGGTTTTTAATTGTTTAAACAATTATAACTTTTTTCATAGTTTTACTCATTATTTTAGAGAAATTTGAAAAATCTCAGCCAAAGGCTGTTGAAGTTAACAATATATATTTTTTTCTGAAATTTATCTATTGATTATCTGTTGGAAAAATAAATATAAATATTTCCATTTTAAAAACTCTTTGGTTAAGTTATAATTTGTTTTTAAAATTATTATACTGTTTTTCTTTGCAAACTAAATTTCCTTGATGATTTTTTTTTGTTTTTTTCTTTTTTTTTTTTTTTTAAAATTTTTTTCACAAACCACACACACTGATGCACACTACTGATCCTCTTTGAAAAAAAAAAGGTGATCATCAGGTTTGAGTATTATTTTTTTGAAAGACAGTTAGATTAATTAATTACTCTAATTATATTTAACATCAAATCAACAATCAATTTAATTATTTATTTATTCAATATCTAATTAAATTTATTTATTATTATTTTTTTTTGTAGTTAGGTGGTTTAGTTTATATATAATTAAAAAAGCATAAATAAAAATGATTGGAGTCAACAGATCTTTATCATCGATTTTCGTTCAATCTGCACGTTCATTCAGCAGTGCCAGCAAACCATTCGTTTTGGTCGACAAAAACACAAAGGTCATCTGTCAGGGTTTGGGTAAGCAAGGTACTTTCCACACCCTACAGGCAATCGACTATGGAACTCAGATGGTCGGTGGTGTTTCACCAAACAAAGGTGGAACCAAACACGAAGCCACTAAGCTCCCACTCTTCAACAGTGTCGCCGATGCCAAGCGTGAAACCGGTGCCAACGCATCAGTTATCTACGTACCACCACCAGGTGCCGCCGACGCCATCATCGAAGCCATCGAGGCCGAGATGGAGCTCATCGTCTGTATCACAGAGGGTATCCCACAGAAGGACATGGTTCGTGTTAAATACTTGTTGAATCGTCAGAACAAGACACGTTTGATCGGTCCAAACTGTCCAGGTATCATCAAGCCAGGTGAATGCAAGATCGGTATCATGCCAGGTCACATCCATCGTCCAGGTAAGATCGGTATCGTCTCGCGTTCCGGAACTTTGACATATGAAGCCGTCGCTCAAACCACCGCAGTCGGTCTCGGTCAATCGACCTGTGTCGGTATCGGTGGTGATCCATTCAACGGAACCAACTTTGTCGATTGTCTCAAGTTGTTCACCAAGGATCCACAGACCGAAGGTATCATTTTGATCGGTGAAATCGGTGGTGAAGCCGAAGAGGAGGCTGCCCAATGGTTGAGAGAGAATCCAACCGACAAACCAGTCGTATCATTCATCGCTGGTCTCACCGCACCACCAGGTCGTCGTATGGGTCACGCCGGTGCCATCATCAGTGGTGGTAAGGGTGGTGCCGACTCCAAGATGAAGGCACTCCAAGATGCCGGTGTCATCATGTCACTTTCACCAGCTAAACTCGGTACTACCATGCTCGAGGCCATGAACAGAAGAAAGTAAAAAAACAAAACAAAACAAATACAATATAATAATAATAATCAATTAAATAATAACAATACTCATATCATACATACATAATCAATCACCCTAAAAATCCTTTTTTTTTTAAAAAAAAAAACCTAACCTAATTTAAATAATAATAATAGTATAAAAGTTTTATATTATAATATAATATATTCACTTTATATATATATATTTTCTTTCCAATTCCATTATGATACAATACACAAAGTGTTAATGTTATTTTGTTATTAAGATACAATGATTTGAATTATTATCATTATTATCATTTTAAAGTTTTTTTGTTTTTAAAATCTTTTTCGTTACAGCATTTGTTTACTCGAAAGGGATTGGTTGCTTAAGCTATCAGATTGATAATAGAAGTTTGTTGTGCTAGTAAAATATTATGCGCTTCTATTGATGCAGTTTATTTATTCTAACAGCTACTCTACGTGTAATTTCTTTCTTGTCAATCTTTTGAATTGTTGACTTCTTTCAGGTCTGTCGAATGTCAAGCCATTCATCTTTGCTATGTTTGTTGAATTTCGTTACTTGTCTGAGTCAATAGTGTTTGGTTACTCTGATTTCAATCTTATCATTATGTAATCGAGTATTTCGCTATCTTCATCCGAGCCAACCTTTCCACAAATATGTGAAACAGAAAGCCTCTCACAAATTGCCAGCTTCTTCTCCAATACAAGCTGCTCCAATTCAAATCTAATAGAAATGAAATATCACTACAACAAAATTAACTTTAAAAAGATAAAAAAATGATAATAATTATAATTATAATTATAATAAATATTTGAAAGAAATAAATTCTTATTTTTCTATTCTGAAAGTTGAGTGTTCACTCATCGGTATATCTCATAAACTTCACACACACTTTAAATTAATTTTTTTTTATTAAACCAATTAGTCAACCAATCATAATTTTAATCATAATAATACAACTATGAAACAATTGATTGATTCAATATTTATAGGAGATAATTGTAAATCAATATCTATACCTATTGGTTCAACATCAGACAGTGAAGATCTGCTAACAAATTGTTCTTTTTGGTTTTATTTGGTATGTTTCACCAACAACAGCTTTTAATGATTGATTATAAATTTATGACATTCCACTGAAAGTACATGTAATAATAATAATCATATTACCAATATAAAAGGATCAATCGCCAATCGATCAAGCTACACCTATTATAGTAAGAAGATACTATCTACCATCGACCAATCAGAATGAGTATGAAGGTATTTTCATTGATAAGTTGATGAGATTGCACTTTGATCGAAACACCGCTTGTAATGATCAACTCTACTACCAAGACTATCCCAGGGGCATTGAATCAACACCACCTATACCCCTAAGACAATGGTTGTATATCTCATTGAGATCAACGATCGATCGGACCAACAACACAGCCAACTCTCAACTACTCATAGACAGCAAGCTATATAAATGTAAAACAACTACATTCAAAGACAATGATTCACTTCTTCACAGTAAATATTGTTTATATCCATTGGTAATAGGATATCTACCAGCTATTTCCACTGGGGATAGTCAATCGAATCGATCTATCTCATCATTTATAGTTAATCAGCTAACAATTGGTGATTGTCCAAATGGAACAACAGTATTACCTGATGTTCCTGTTTATCCTTCTTGTTCAACAACTACATTACCAAAATGTAAAGCATTGACATCGCTTGCAGAGTTATTAGATTGGAAACCATCTCAGCACGATCAGTCTTTGGTATCTAGAGTACCACTTAAACCAATACCAACTAGAAAGACACAAATGATTCATTGTCATGATATGATGGGTGGCTATCTCGACTATGAAATCGATCCTTATCCATTATCAATGACTGACAACCATTCCAATCACTATAGTTTTCAATATTGGCAGTTAATAGATACATTCATTTACTTTTCACATAAAAGAATTACCATTCCACGTATGTATTAAATTAAAACTTACTAACTGAGTACTCTTTTTTCTTTAAATTAACAAAAAATAATCAAACAGCTGTTGGATGGATAGATTCATCACATAGAAATGGAGTAAAGATCGTTGGAACTATTATCACTGAGTGGGAAGGTGGATTGTCAGATGCTATCAGATTGGTTGGAGAACACTCCGCACTCTACATTGATCAGTTGATTGCGATTGCCAAGTACTATGCATTCGATGGATGGTTTATTAATATTGAATCGAATATCGACGATGTTGGTGTAGCTAAATCCTATATGGTATTCCTAAAAGAGTTTACAGAGCGTATGCATAAAGAGATGCCTGGATCACTTGTACTATGGTATGACAGTATAACAGATACAGGTGAACTAAAGTGGCAAAACATGTTAAACGAAAAGAACGATTGTTATTTTCAACGGTGTGATGGTATATTCTTGAATTATAAATGGGATATCGAGATGTTAAAGCAATCTTCACTGTTGGCGAAGCACAGAGCATCTCAGGTTTATGTCGGTACTGATGTTTGGGGAAGAGGTACTTTTGGTGGTGGTAAATTAAATACTCACATTGTAATCTATCATTAATAATATAATAGATCTATTTATATTTTTACAATATTACTAGTAAAATTAACTTATATTATAATAATAATAATTATTAGGGTGTTGAGGAATCAATTAAAAATGGATTATCAACAGCATTGTTTGCACCTGGTTGGACATGGGAAACCAATAGATCATCAAAAAAGATTTATCATTCAAAAGAGTCTCAATTGTGGGTTAGTAGTAAATCAAAGAGTTTGTATTGTAGTGGTTACTAGTTGGATATTTAAAATTATAATGTTATTTATCGGATATTGTTGTATAAATAGATTTAGTTGTTAATGCATCAGCTGAATCCAATGATTTATCAGATTGGACAATAACTGAACATGGTGGTGATAATTGGGGTATTTCTCAAGATGGTTTAAATTCAGGTAATGCTTTTGTATCATCATTTCAATGGTCTACAATGTCACAGGTAAAAAAAAAAAGAATTAACTATCATGTTATAAATTTTATTATTAAACCAATTGGTTAGGGTATACTAATCATCAAAATTAATTAATAATAATAATAATATAGGAAATTGATTTAGTAAAGAGTGGATACTCAATTAGGTTATTAAACTCAATACCAATTATTGATATTGAATTCTATTATTCTGGTAATGGTCCAAAGTATGCTGATTTATTACAATTCAAGTAGGTAGTTAATAAGAAAATAGATTCTATTTGTATACTTTATATTTACATAGACTGTTATTTTATTTTATTTTCTAATAAATAGATTGGAAATTAGTGATGAAAATCATAAAGTAATATATACATTGGATACTGGTGTGTTGACTACATCGAAGGAATTCACGCAATATAGAAATACAATTAGTGAATATCCAGTTGGTGCAAGATACATTACATTGTCATTCCGTGGAAAAGATATTGAGAATTGGGCTGGTAGATTCGGAAGTAAAGTGACTGCCATCTATTTGCATCTAGTGAATTCCAATGTGGTGGATGATTACCTCGCTACTACTACGACGACAACCACGCAGTCAGTAACAATGCCAACTGTGTTAACACACAGTGGTGAGAGGGTGTCAACAACAGTGCTTCCATTCAGTACCACTTTCAACCGAGGTCATGGATTGAACTACTACAGGGAGGGAAGAGTTGTATCCAATAGAGAATGGTTCGACTTGGCAGAGCAAGACATCACCGGTTGCATAGAGTATGGTGAGAAGAAAGGTTCGCCACTCGTAGAGACAGTGTTGTCAGAGGACGATGCATATGCCGGTGGATCGAGCTTGTTGGTCAGAGGTAAACTACTGGCCTATGAGTACAACAGTTTCATTGCTACCATATTCAAAGTAGATATACCAGTAGTATCAAGTGAATCGTTGGATATCATTTATTATTGGAAAAACAATAGTAATGGTGATGATAACCTATTTGTGTTGTTGGAATTTAGTGAACAACTAACAGTTGTTATACATAGTGGTGGTACTGTTGATATTGCAAAGATACTGAGTGTATTGAAAGCAAACGATGTTGTTATGTTGGAATCCAAGGAGCAAACAAAGTTGACAAACCATTGGGTCAAAGAGAGAACGACACTCCAACTTGGACAATCGAAACAATTGCTATCTATTAAGTTATTAACTGTTAATGGTGATAGTGATGTTAGTAAGATTATCAATTATTCATTTGGTGGAATTTGCTTACGTTATAATGATAGCCAACAACAACTGGATGGCTGTTCTAATAATGAGGAAATAATACGATTTGAAAAGATATGGAATAACTCTTCAATGTCCGATGGAATAGAGATAAACGATTGGTTAATCCGCTGGTCATTGACACCGTTCCACTATGACCACTGCCATCTATCAGTAAACGACCAATGGGTAGGAAGAGTAGCAAGTCCTCGGGATAGCTATCTCATTCGTCGACTAGAGAGAGGTGAGAACTACAGTGTTACTCTTGAGTTTTGTACAATTGACGGTCAGCCTATCAAGGTTGTCACAAAATGTATTCCCTTGGACTAGTAACTGTGCTGTGGAGGTTATCTTTAGGCAAACGCAGCAATATAAACAACAAACATAATCCAACATAGAACCACAGTGAATATCACTATTCTAGTTAAAAGACAACTGTCTACACCCAACTTTTCATACCAAGTCAACTGTACTCTATTTAAGTCAACATCACCACCTTCTTTTCTTCTACTTTTATCATTTCTTTTGTAATCTATACCGTTTTCATTATCATTATCACTATCACTATCACTAACAACATTTATCAAGTGATAAGCACCAGGATGATTACTATTCATTGATGATTATATAAATATTAATTTAAAAAAGAAAAATAAAAATGAAAATACAAAAAAAAAAAAGAATGATTTTTTCATCACTCTAACCCTTCTAACCCTTACTTTTGGAATTAATATTAATTTAAAAAATTTTTAATAAATTCAAATAATTTATATTTTTATTTTTATTTTTATTTTTATTTTAATTGTAAAACATTTATATTTATTTTTAGTTTATATATATATATATTTATATAATAGTATAATAAAGTAAAGAAAAATGGGTGCTCAACATTCAGCAATCAATAAAGAACACTTGGATCATATGAAAGAGATCTCAAATTGTAAGATATTTATAGCTTGATTGTTTGATTGATTGATCATCTAACAAGTGATTAATAAATACTGATTCTGAATTAACAAATGATGTATATTATAAACTTATAGTCACAGAACCAGAGTTAAAAAGATTATATAGAAGATTTCAAATGTTAGATAAAGATGGTTCTGGTACTCTGACGACTGATGAGTTCCTCTCCATTCCAGACTTGGCATTGAATCCACTTTTAGAACGTGTACTCACTATATTTGATCTCAACAAGGATAATGAAATCGAATTCTCTGAATTTGTTCAGACTCTATCTACATTGTCTGACAAAGGTTCAAAGCAAGATAAATTAAAATGTAAAACAATCAATCTAACAACTCAATCAATCAATTCATCACTTTACTAATCATTTTCATCTTTATTATTCAATTACTTATACATTAGTTTTATTCCAAGTGTATGATATGGATAATGATGGATTCATTGGTAATGGTGAATTGTTCCAAGTATTGAAGATGATGGTTGGTACCAACTTGAATGATATTCAATTACAACAGATCGTTGATAAGACTATCATTGAAGGTGACCTTGATAAAGATGGAAAGATTTCATTCGAAGAATTCCTTTTGGTATGTTTATAACTCTATAACTATCAATTGTTTTATATATAAATGTTATATATTTTTATCATTTACAACACATCATACTAACAAAATTTATTCCTTGTTTTTTTTTTAGATGATTGGAAACAACGAAGGAATTGAAGAGAAATTAAGTGTAAATTGGTCTGAATAAATTATTAACAATAACAATAACAATAATCATATTGATAATTACAATAATTATAATTAAAATAATAATAATAATTAATAGTAAAGTTTACCTATTAGTTTAAAATGTTTAAACAGTATATAACATAATAAAAATAATAGAAGTAATAAATAATATTGATATTTATTGATTGAAGAAGAGGTTGTTTTATTTTACATATTACATTTATTTATAAATATATTGTTTGTTTTGTTTTGTTTTGTTTTTCTACCATACTTTATGTCCAAATATTAAAGTAAGTATTGCTTTGAATGTTTCTTTTGATTTATTAGAGAGTGCAATCGAGAGTAATAAATCTTTGTTTGATGATAACGATATATTTTCAATGAGTTGTCTTGCATAGATTGTCAATAGAGTGTCTTGATTACTACCCAACAGTGTCACTACTTCAAAGCATGCTTCTTCCGCTGCGAAACCATCCATTTGTTTACATGCTTTAATCTTTAGTTTTAATGTAAATACATAATAATAATAATAATAATAATAAGTAATTGTATTAGACGATTGATTTGATCAACTTTACTACTACTATCTAAAACTTACCCATGTCGAAAATTTATTAGTTTGTGATATACTGACGAATATCAGATTTTGAAATGATGATAGAACTATATCGGTGTGAACATCATCGATCAAAACTGATAGTTGTCTGGTTTTAACAGGTACCTCTGTTGGTAGTTGCACTGCAACTCTGTTTTCCTCTATCAAAAGTGATGACATAATCTTTATCTCAATATAATATATAATCAAATAACATTAACTTTTAAAATTTTCTAATATTAAAAATTTAATGACGATCTCTTAAAAAAAAAAAAAATAATATGAAAATAATTTTAATTTTGGTTGAAAAGGGTGGAGGTAATAAGCCTCATTAATAAATCTTTTACAATATCGCAAAGTTTGATTGTTATCTCAATAAATTATAATTGCAAACAAATATAAACAGATTTAATTAGTTTTTAGAATATAATTCAAAAATAATATTTTTTTTCCTTTTTTAATTATTATTATTATTAATATTGTTTATTTTATGATAATTTTTAAGTTAAAAGTAATAAAAGTGCATCATTGGCACCCTCTTTCATAATCTAAATAAATAAATAAATAATTGTAATAATAAACTCTAAAAAGGATCTTAAAAAGTTGTTAAAAAAAAATTCAAATTTTTAAAAAAAAAAATTTAAAAAAATAAGAGTCTCATAAAAAAAAAAAAATTAAAAATTATAGTAGATATATTTATATATTATTAGATATGACTGAAAATAGTAATAATAATATTACTACCACTACAAACACCAATGGTATCGGTGATAGTGGTAGTAGTAGTAGTAGTAGTGGTTGTCAAAATAGCGTGACATCATCTAATAGTGGTGGTGCAATTAACAACAATAATAATGATATTAACGATAAAGAACTGGTGGTTGCTCAACAACAACAACAACAACAACAACAAGCAAATAGTAATAGAAAAGTAGTAAAAATAGTTAGTAATGAAGGCGATGAATATGATCTCGAGGATTGTGTTATCGAGATGTGTAGAACCGTAAAGTATATAGCATCGGGCAAAGTCGGTTTTCGTAATGGGTTGGGTGGATGGTTCAACATCGAAGGAAAATACGTGCTGCACAAGAAGGAAGGTCGTTTGCTAGCGACGATCTACTCGAATACCGAACAGGAATGCATTCTCTGCTTCCCAGAGATACGCGGTCAGATTCTCTCGGCCATCATCGACTATTGCAAATTTCACTCGTCCAATCCGACGGCCTCGCAAATCACCGAACACGACGAACAACTCATCACAATGAAGCAACCGAATCTATGCGAACTAGCTTCAGCATCCTATTATCTCGATGTCAAATCACTCGTCAGTTTGACTTCGCGTGAGATAGCTGCGCAAATTTCACGTAACTATCATAGATCTCAAAAAACATCATCTTTTTTTTTTTTAAAGATTATTATTATTAATTTATTTCCTACTCTTCTATGCATATGCATGCCATTAAACATATATAGAGAAAAGTTCAGAGGAAATAAGAGAAACCTTTACAAATTTACATCTGGCGGGATACAATCAATACTTTTCATCATCAAAGTGTTCACATAAGAAAAAGAAAGATAAAATACAACAGATACAAACCGTACCGATTGTAGATGATAATCGAACAGTAGATGAACTATTAGAGTTTTTAGGTGAAGATCAATCGCAGAAAAAGAAGAAAAAGAATAAAAAACCAAAACAACAACAACAATCACAGACACAGCAACAACAGATACAGCAGCAACAGCAACAACAAGTACAAAAAGTAAATAACAATAATAGTAGTAATCAATCATCTTCCAATACAAATGGAAATAACGCGAAATCTTCAAATAACAAATCAACATCATCATCTTCATCATCAACATCAAACTCTGTAAATAATTCAAATTGTTCTTCACTCTCAACATCACCGAAATCAAATTCATCGACCTCTATTTCCTCAACACCCAATTCAATGTCACCACTGATCAGTGGAGTCAATAGCACACCACCATCAACGACAACAGGTGGTTCACTTAAAATATCAAAGAGTTCACCTGATTTATTTAATGCTTCGATTCACTGCCAAAAAATGTACAATAACAAAGAACAGCAAGACGACGACGAAGACGATGAAATCGACCCAGATCTACAAGAGGAAATCGATAAAGAAGTGGAAAGTTTTAAACAACGACTAGATATGTTTAGTCGACAATCGGTATGCATATATGTTATACATAAATAATTAAAAGTTATATAATCTCTAACTAACCTTAAATTGATATATCTATCATTCAATGATTCCTTTTCAGAAACAAAAATTAACACTACCCTCTCGAACATTGGCAGCACTACTAGATGTTTATTAAAATTAATTAAATAAATAATACAGAGTCTTTGGTTTTGTATTTTTTTTTAAACGTATGATAGAAATAATGAATGTTTTTGTAAACCCACCCTCCAATTAAAAATAAGGAATCTGGTTTCCAAAAGATTTTGATTTATTAGAATCAGAGAAGCAATGAAATATTCTTTTCTAATAATTATATCATTCAAAAGAATCGATTAGAATCAGAGAAGCTCATATTTAGTAACTGAATGCTGATTACTCAAATCCATTATTTTCTTCTTTCGTCGATCTTAGCATTACTATCTGTTTTTAGAATTAATAAGTATTTTAAAATGGAACAACTACATCTGATGATTAAAAAAAAAATAATAATTAATATAGTTATAGTTTTATTTGTTAAAAAGTATTTTAGGGGATTATTTATCTAATAGATCCAATATATATTATTTATTTATTTATTATCTTTTTGATTGTTGTTATTATTATTATTATTATCATTTTGATTAGTTGAAGATTTTCTAACTGGTAATTGTATTTTTTCGAAATTTAATGAACCGAAATCACTAAATGAATCAAAAGTTTGTTCTGATGGATCTGTTGAATTGACAGTGGTATTGTTATTGTTGTTGTTACCTAATGAACCAACTCTAAAGGATAGACTCATATTGTTACGTTGATCGACTTTACCGATATGATCTTTGTTTGATGCAACCAAACTTGAGTTCTCATCGTATTCATCGTCTTGTTCTTGATCATAGTCAAACGTTGTATCGTTAGCACCGTGATTCTGACTGTAGGTACGACTACGACCACCACTTCTTCCGTAGTGACACGCACGAATACGTTCTAGGATCGGTGTCGCTATCTTCTTGGCTTGATTCCAGTAGTATTGGAATTGAAGTTTGAGAGCGGCACCAATAAATACCAACAAACTAAGTAGTAGAATCCACTGTTCGGTTGTCTCCCAGAGTGCATTGTCAAGATAGATACAACATACAAACAACAAGGTGAGTGAGATTGTTTCCAAGTGATTATCTATGGTTTGAACGAACGGTTGATATTTCAACTGCAAAAAGAGTGAGGCAAACGATAGAGCAACCAGTGCAATGGATCTCTGAGGCGCAGAAGTTGGTAACAGCGAAAGTGTGACAATGGTTAGACGCTTCAACAACAGAACAACATCCCAAAAGTAGAACGAAGGTTTGTATTTGAGGAAGAAAACACCTAGTTTACGAACGACGCTCTTCTCTGACATTCGACGACGATACGCAAGTAGCAAACAAAGAATTACAAATGGGAACAGTATAACGATTGAGAGTAATCCCCAGGTTATGTGTTTCGCGGTTTCATAGGAGGAACCTTGACATTGTATTCCAGGATTGGCATTCAACAGCACATAGCTACCGACATTGTAGCAAAAGAGAATAAGAAGGATCTCGGTAATGAGCGGACCATACGAATTCATACAGATCTTTATGAACGCTGAGAATTGACGATTACGGAATTCACTTTCACTTGCCGATATCATTGATTTGATGAACGGTACTTTGAAGATGATTCCTGTTCTACGGAATGTCAGCTCAATGATAATGATGATGGTCAACACAACAAAGAGGAATAGCGGTTGCATCAAAATGATGTAGTGATTCGTGTAGAAAGACAGTGGAGCGATGCAATCGTTCATAAACGATATAATCGAGTTACTGGAACCTGCGTGACTAGATGAAGAACCACTGAATGCACTGATAATACTAAACTTGATACCGTTGGAAATGACAACCAGATTCTGAATAAAGTACAAAGCAATCGTTACAAGACCACTGGAATCATCGGAAAGTTGTTGGAACAATACCAGCGCAAAGAAAACTAATACCTTTAGTATGATAATGGTGACGTTGACAGATTCGGTCTTCTTACAACCGGATCCACAATTGTAGAAACCAGGTTCACAAGCTGCACATAGAGGACCGGTATAATCTTGAGTACAGTTTCCACCTTCACCGCACAAACCTTCGGGACATGGATAGGCTATCAAGTTATTCAAGCTATCTTCTATCCAATAGCCCGTTGCAGGTAGATAGTCGGGACCATTACAAATGACATTGGCTGGACAAACGCTACATGTCCAACCGTCAGTACCATAGCTACCGGCTTGACATGGAACACATAGTTGTCCGTTCTGACTTGGTTGATGTCCCGGTGTACAATTGTTAAATAGAATTTGCAATGAAAGTTCGTTAATCGATGGGTCATTACTGGATATGACGAGATTGGAAACCGATCCAACCTGACCAATCAGAGTCATATTGATGAATTGTGCTGTTCCATTCTCTGCGATATCACAGGATTGCAAGAATTGTCCGGCCAACGAAATATAGGCACTACACGATGACTTACAGAATTTGTTTGTCAAATTATTGTAATTGTTATCTTGGAGCTGTAAATAGAAACTGTATCCACTGCTTCCACTGTCAATGAAGGTAAGACTTTTTACTCCATAGGTCAAATCAAAACTTGCAGTACCAAGAGCAATCTCTGAACCATAGGTCTGAGTATTATTGCTAAAAAAGGAATCACCTATAAACGGTATCTCTTGGGTGTAATAAATGATGGAACCTTCACGTGCATGATTGTTCATTGCAACGACATTCTCCATTGTCACTGAGACTGAACTGGTAGTGTAAACCAATCCACCGGTTTGAGTAGCGAAATTCCCGATGAAAGTACAATTGAAAAAAGATAGATTGGCATTGACTGTTGTTGTTGCGACACCACCGAAATTTGCGGAATTCTTTGTGAAATTGGAATTGTATACCAATATAACGGATTGATCTACACCGTTGAATATACAGCCGGGACTTTCAATATGATTATATTTGGCCAACATATTGTAAACTGTTATCTTTGAAAAATCGGATGCAAAAATCAAGCTGTCTCCTGGGCACTTTGTAAATGTTGTATAGTTCATGTTGACAATAGACTGCGTTCTCGATTGGATATAGGTGGACATTGAGGCATACAAATAAGTACCGTAGTCGTTGAAGGTGGTACGATAGAGAGTAAATATCGGTGTAAGTGAATACACGTCGGTATAGCTGTTGTTCACAGAGTTGATTAGAGAGTTTACAAAGTTATTTGTATAACCATCGTACTCTGTGATCTTAGAGAATCCCAAATATAAATTCGATTGAGTTCCAGAGACAAACTGCATACAACTTTCAAAAGTAGAGTTGGAAATTTGCGCATTGGCAGAATCGAGTGCCACTGGACGTAACTCTTTTCTGAATGTCGTATTTGTAATACTGAGAGTACAGGATTCGACCATAACTGTTGTATAGGCAGCGGTCGTGTTGAATATCGAAGATTCAATGGTAACCGATCCATGGAATGCCAAGATACAGTTGATTGTCGAAAAATAATTGAATACATTATTTCTTATGTAGAGGTGAGCATTTTGAGTTAACAGGATTGTCGTGGCTGTTGCAAATTCACTGCCTATTACTACGTTATCTAGTGTCATGTTGGTTTGGACGGCACAGGTGGTAGTTCCTATATATGAATTCGAAAGGCTTACTGTGTTGACCATGTTGATGGAGAATGCACAATTTGGTGTAACTATATCCTTTTTAAAACCTGGCATCTTGGTATTTACGATTTTAACACTGTCCATATTCAAAAGGAATAGAGTACTACTACCGTGGAAAGTGCAATTATCGATTATCAGCTGTTCGTTTCCTAGCAGACCAGTCACATAGATAGCATAGTCTGTGTAACCCATGAACGTGCTATTATAGAATGAAACATCCGACAGGTAGTTGAGTGTGATCGAGTTGTTTGGCAGATTCGAGAAATCACAGTTGGTAACACTGAGAGAGGTTAAACCGGAGATCAAAATGGCAGAACCAGTCTCCAGCTTGTTGGATCTCTCTATTTTCAAATCGTTGAGCTGCAACTCATGCACGAAAAGCGAAACATAGGAAAAGATATCCAGTTGATCAACTCCTGTGATGATCGATTTGTTGTTGGCATCAATCGATGTAATTACAATACCTTTGCTCTGAGTATCTAAATAGCTGTTTCCAAGACCACAATATGTTCCAGGAAATAGATTAATAATTGAATTGGAATGACTGGCAAAATAGATTGCTTGTTGAATCGATGCATAAGGATTATCATAGGTACCATCACCAGTACAATCACTTCCATTAGAGGCAACATAATATTCATGATCTAATAAAAAATTAAAAAAGAATTCGTTGTTAATATTATTTATTATAATCTTATTATTATTAATAATTACCTTTGGTATCTGTATCTTCAGATCGTTTGATTTGATTTTCGATATAATAAGAATTATCTTTTTTTAACAAATTCGGATAAGCTCCATCTTCCAGTTGCATTCTAAAAGCTTTGTAATCCTCAATATAGATTCTGTTGATTCCACTACCAAAGAATACAATTCCCATGATGATATTGTGGGCTCTGCCATCCAACCAAAACAGTGGTATATAGAAAATCTGTGTGGATCTCTCGTACTGTGTGGAGGTTGGTGATATCTGAAAAACTTGGAATCCATCGATCTCTATAGTGATTTGGGTATCCATCTGAGGGCTGTCAAATGAAAATGAAATATAGATACCCTCGTTTGCAATAGAGTTATTTGGAAGTACAACACTCTGATTGATATAGTAGGTGAATGTCGAGTAGAAATCTAGCAGCTCAATCTCCATCGCCCAATAACCGGTGATCGATCTATCTTGAAATCCTTCCTCCAATTGACGAACAAAAGAGGTTTTAAAATTTGTTGAATTTGTTATTTTCCAAGGTGAAAGTGGGTTTCCTGCTGCTAACTCTGCAAAACCCCAATCTTGTATAATACCTGAATCTTTAAAAAAAAAATATCATAATAATAATAATAATAATGTTTAATAATAATTTTTCAAACTTTATTTCAATTATTTAGTACTTACTACAAGATTTAGCTTCATCAGCTGTTTTGAGATGCATATCTCGACTATTATCTATTTCAATACTATTTTTATGATTATACGAAAAAGTTGGTTGAGATCCAATCAAAACCAAAAAAAAGAAAATGTATAATTTCGATACATTTATTATTCTATTATTATATTTACAACTACTACTACTATATATATTTAAACTACTTTTAAAATAAGACATATTTATGTGTTGTTATTAGGAAATTAATCTAAACATAACTACTATTTATTGATTTATCTATTAAATTAATTATTAAATAAAAGGAGATATTCTAACTTTATTTATTTTATATCAATGTTATTAATAAAAGTGTTTGTGAAGACTTGATAAAACATTGTAATTATTATTATTTCGAAAGATCGCAAAAATCAAAAAAAATGCAGCCCGTAACCAGATTTTTTGTAGAAATATCTAACACCCTTGGTGTGTAAGACCATCAATAAAAACGTCTCCAAAACCTACGAGTTTTTTTGACAAAAAAAATTAGTTTGATCTTGTGATTAAAAAAAAAAAAATTGTACAATTTGCATATATGTATTTACTTTTTATTAATTCTAATATCTATTCAAACAATTTAAAAAATAGTAGTAGTTTTTATTTATATAATATAGAATTTTAGTGTTTGTGTAGAGTTTCTGTATAATGTTTATATGTTAAAGAAAAGAGAAGGTTTTTAAATAATGAAGGAACAATTGAAGGTTCAGTTTTTGGTGGTGATTACATTGGTTTTCAGCCAGTGTTGTGTATATGTATATTCACAAAATTGTGAACCGATGGATCAATCGTTGTTCACAGTATTTGGTATTGGTGATTTCGAAGATATTACAGATATGGGACCGAGTGGTTGGAGCTATATATCGAATGGTACTCTCTTTACATATACTCCCACTGGCGGCGATCCCACTTTGGTGAATCAACCGTTCGAAGGATCTTGCTACGTTCAATTTCAAAACGAATCCAATATCATAGAGACAGCACCAATACTTTTTGCAAATCTTACACCCATTTCTATATATAATAAACTATATCTTCAATTCTATCTATTTATTATAGAGGGAGAAACAAATTCCTCATCACTCATCATCAAACTCAACGATACACAGGTCGCAAAAGTTGATCAATCAACACCTGTCTCCAACAACATCACATCGAAATACCAATACCGATTAATTTCAATCGATCTTACAGACTATGCCAACGGTACCCATTATCAATTAACAATTCAATATGACCAAGGTGAATCTTCACCCGGAAATGATACCATTTATCTAGTTGATTATATTACATTTTTATCAGCCACCACAAATCCACCAATAGGTATGTAAAATTAATTTGATTAAACAAACTATAGTGATTCACATTGTTAATTAATAATCATTTTTCTTTTCCTTAGCATCAAATATATATATTTCATCTAGTGGAGATGATACAAAAGGAGATGGATCAATAGATAAACCATTTTGTAGTTTACAGCGAGCAATAAATTTGATAGAGTCTGGATACAGTGTTTATTTATTGAGTGACATTGAAGTACAATCTCAGAGCTTTGGTTTAACCTACATATTCGACACTCTCGGAAAGAATATTACTATTGAAGGTTATGGTTCCGGTTATTCAATTGAACAGAGTAAAACTTTTGCCTTGACACGATATGCTATCATTACAGGTGGACAGTTGACCGTGAATCAACTTTCATGGAGTAAATCGTTCACCCCAAACTATGGACAGGCTAGTCTATTTACGGTTTCTGCTGGTTCCAGTCTGATAGTCAGCAATTCAAACCTCACCGAACTTCAGGCTTATATTGCAGACAATGTTACGGCTATTGCCCACTTGCAATTGGATTCGAACTGCATACTTACCAATTGTACAATCAATGTCTGCCTTGGTGACTTGTTTTATTCCATAGGAAATAACCTCACTTTGAACGCAATTACTTTTCTAAGAAACGAATATGGAGCTGTCTTTGTGCTAGATAATCCATCCTCCAATCTGTCATTGACCAATTCATCATTCCGATCCAGTTTCAATGTATTTCTAGTATTCAATATGAATATGATATACGTGTACAATATCACATTTGCAGATGCCGGATATTTCCAAAAGAACGACTATATCTCTGGAGGTACTTTGATTATCGACCAATGCTCCTTCTTGAGAAACGCTCTTATGGTCAATTTTAATAATATTCAACACACAATTATATCGAATACAGTCTACACTTCGAGTCAATTCACATCTCAACCACTTATCAATATTCGCAATACCATCGTCGATTCTCTGTTGGAGGTATCCAATGTCACTTTTTCATTATCACTTGCCACCTCCAACCCAATTATATCTATCCAATCAGCGGGATCCAATTATTTTAATAATAGTGCATTCGTTTCCAATCTTACACCTCTGATGAAAATCATACATACAAATATCACCTTTGACAATATCACTATTGCATACAATTCGAAATCATCGGTTCTATTTACTATAGTTGGTGGAACTACCGATCTTCTCAATATGAACGTCCTAGAGAATGAAGTTCCATTGATTTCCTCAACCGGTGCATCTCTCAACATAAATGCGTCCCTTTTTTTCCAAAACACAAATCAACAATATATATCGATTCCTTTTATCTCACTGATAAAACCAAACATTGTCAACATCTACAATGTTACTGTCATGTTTAGTTACAACTTTCAATTTATTTATATGACCAACGGACAGCAAGTATCGATTGATACCATCAACTTTTTCAACAATTCCATTGCCGAGTTGATTTTGGCATCCTATACCAAATTGGTGGTGAGCACTATTAAGGCGACCGACAACTTTTTGGCAACGAAATACCCTATTGAAGTGGATAACTGTGATTTCACTTTATATTTTGCGACATTCAGCAGAAACACTCAATTCCTATTGATTACCAATTCACAGTTTGCCGTGTCCTATACTTACTGGAGTACGGTTAGCACTGTCGATGGCATGGAGTCATTTTCAATTCTCAACTCTACTGGATCTTTCTATGAAACCGATATCGATTTAACTATTCCAAGTACAGGATTATATGTTGTAAACTCCTATCTCAATTTAACAGAGACTTTTTTCACTAACTTAAATGCCTATGACACTCCAGTTGGCTACTACCTAAACTCCACTATTTATATGGCCGAGGCCAATATTGAAGGAAATTCTGCAGGCAACAATATGATGACCTTCCAAGATTGTTCCCTCACCATTTTAAATAGTAACTTTTACAATTTGACTTCGCCTACAATCAGTATATTTAACATTGTGACATCCAATGTATATATCTCCGACTCTTATTTCAATGGGAATAGTGGAGGAACAGGAATTAAATTGACGAATTCTTTTGCTCGTATCGAGAAAACTATGTTTGACGCGAACGTTTATACCATAGGGTATCTGTTCGATGTCGTTGGAGGCACTCTAATACTGGATGATTGCGAAGTCCAAGCCAACCAAGGTGGATTTCAGGTTTTAGGCAACTCAGTAGTGGAACCAACTACGTTCATTGTTAAAAATACGTATTTCGAGGTCAATCATCCAGAGAATCAATTGTTTAATGTTGAATCAATTGAATTGAATATTTACAATTGCATCTTTTCATCGAATGGCTCTCCTCATTCAGTGGCAATCATTCAGGTCGCTAAAAGTGTTTTGGTTATGGATTTAGTTACGTTTTATAATCACGAACTATATGCAGAATTCAGTTCGTCCATAGCCGTACAGACCTCGTCTGTTACCATTACCAACAGTAAATTTTCACAAAATGGTGGTATGTACGGTGTATTGTATTTCGATGGCAACACAGATCGGCTAATTGAAATAAGTGGATGTACTTTTGATATGAACTTTGCTATCTCTGGTTCAGCAATCTCTGCCTTTAACTCACAAATGATATCGGTAATGAACTCTACTTTTTCTTCAAACTCGGCCAATCAACCATACTCAACCAAAGAATCGATAGATATCAATAATTGTGGTGGTGCTATTACCCTGGTAAATTCAAATATGTGGTCAAACAATAACAATTATTCTTTTAATAATGCTGGTCAAAATGGTGGAGTGGTTTACGTAGCTCTAAATTCCTACTCACTACACACCAACGATATATTCAATTCAAACACTGTTAGTTATGGATCTGGTGCATGTTGTTATGACGACACAAACTCTGGCAGATGTGCAATTGGAACATGTGATACACCAGAGTCTTGTGTAACCACTAAAAATAATACTATCATAGATAACTATGCAATATTTGGTCCAATTTACGCATCAGGTATGTTACTTTAGATAATTATAAACTATTAAAGGTATATATTAATAAAATATTTATAGGTCCTGTAAGGATGAATATTTCACTTGTTGGAACAACAACTATTCAACCAAATACAACATTCGTAATTCAAGTTGCTTTGTACGATGCTTATAAACAAATTATTAGTGTACTTCGTGAATCGATATCTGTACAGGTCATCATATCAAAGGTAGTCGATGATAATTTGGTTTTCATTTCAAAAGTATATACAGAGTCAACACAACAAGGATGGGTTCAATATTCATTGAGCCTCGACATCCCAATTGGATTGGAACTTGTTTTCCAGGCTAATACCACAAACAGAAACTTCTCTAGTACATTGAGAGCAAATTCAACAGGTTGTTTACCTGGATATTTCCCAGAGATCACTTCGGGTAGCTGTGAGATATGTCCGGTTGGAACCTATGGGTGGGATGGTCAAACTTGCTACCTGTGCAGTCAAATCGGTATGGAAAAAGTTAGATGTCCTGGTGGAAATACAATCACAACGATGCCCGGATTCTATTTACTTCCAGATGTATATCCACCAGATATCTACGAATGTGCACCGACCATCTGTGAATTCAATCAGTGTCGTGAGCATCAATACGGTTTGCTTTGTTCCAAGTGTGAAAACGATTATTTCAAAGTCAAGTCCTACTGTGAATATTGTCCAGAGGGTAGCATGAACTATTTACTGGTGGTTGGAATACTTTTGTTCTTTACTGCCTACTTCCTGTTCCTCTCAATCTACAAGATTCCATCGGGAACCGTTCTGTTTAATTTCTTGGTGTGCGTTCAAATGATATCAGTTATTTCGTTTGACATTAGATATGTAGCTATCCTGCCTCTGTTCAATTTCCAAATTGACTTTTGGCCTACCAATTGTATTTCTCCGTTGCTCAACTATGCTTGGAAGAATATCATCTCCATCACACTCATTCTGGGAATGATCTTGTTGTGCTCCTTTTTCAATGTTGGTAAGAGAATTGCCTGTCGTTTCTTCAAAACCTTTTCCACTGCTATTGTTGAGCGATTCGAAGTTGACATTGCATACTCAATTTTCAGCCATTTAATTACCCTTTACACACCACTGGCTTTTATTTCACTAAGTTTGGTATCTTGCTACCAGATTGGAGATCACTACTATCTCTCGCTCGATGTATCGATCCAGTGCTTCACCGACCAACATTATCCACTCTTTGTTTTAGCCATTTTTATTATTGCCGTGGTCATTGTTGGAGTTCCACTATTGATCATCATTCAACTGGCAAGGGGTAATTCATTTTTCAAAAAGATATTCTTTATAAAGTATCGAAATGGCTATGTATGGTGGGACATTGTTTTGATGGTTCGATCGCTTTGTTTTATTTTCACCACCATCAGTACAATCTACCATTTGGATACGAAAGCGTTGTTCCTCTCTACTTTTGGTTTGTTCTTTACCTGCCTGAATTGGCTTCTGGCACCACACAGAGATAAACTACACAACGATTTGGAAACACATTTCAGTTTGATTCTATGCGTCTGTGCAATGGTTTTCAACAGTCGTGCACTGGACAACGCATCGCTTGCCTCTGGATTCATCATTTCCGGCATTGGAATTCTAACACTGTCGTGTCTCATCTACTATTTCGTTCTGACTATCAAAAGAAAAAAGAAATATCAAAAAGAAAATCAACTCATTTAAAAAGTTTGAATAAAAACGAAACTCAATATCTATTATTATTTTTGTTTATTCAATGTCATTTAAGGATACAGTTAATTCTTGAAAGGTATTTTCAAATACGAATGCAATTCCACTGACATCTTCAATACCTTTGACACGAATCGGTACACCATATGGTTTGCCAGGATGAGCAAAAGTTACTACACGGCTAGCCTCTTCTTTGATGACTTCGATGTTTCTATTTTTCTTGAACCAATTAAATGCCTGTAGATTGGTGATGTGCACTGTAATGTTTCCTTGATCGACTGTTGCTTTGACCCTCTCGTCAGGGTGAGTGGGAAGGAAAATTAATAGATTTTTCGGTGTTTCCAGTCTGTAGAATGAATTGGTTGTGGGTGGAGGTTGGCTTTGAGCGGTTGAATTTGGACGTAAAACTGATGATTGATGGAAAAATGAATTATTGTTGTTGTTCGGAGTAGAGCTGGGTGAACTAAATGAATGATGTATGGGAACAGAGTTGTTCGATTGATAGGAAGTTGGTGATGTTGAGATTGTGTTCATATAGGGTGTGGGTACAGAGGAGAGATTATTTGAAGAATTTCTGGATTTTAACAAACTATTGAAAATGTTGTTGGATAATGATGGTGAGATATCATGAAGATTCTGCTTATTATGTGAATGACTATCTGGAGTTGATGATTGTGAATTATGAAGCATTGGTGGTTGTTGTTGTGGTTGTTGGTGTTGTATTTGCTGTTGCTGTTGTTGTTGCTGAACTTGATGTTGTTGCAATGTCTTTGATCTTGTATTCATTGATGGTGTTGAAGTGTTATTATTATTGTTGATATTAGTATTGGCTGATGTCTTTTGCTTTTTACTAGAAGAATTTGGAGTGGCTGCTTGTTGTTGTTGTTCTTTGGGAGGTGTTTTTTTAATTTGTTTGGCACGCTCAATAGCCTTTGCTCTTTCGTTTAGTCGCTTATATTTCTGCCTCAGTTCATCATCGGACGATGATGACGATGAATCCGAATCAGAGTGAACTGAATTTTCGGTGGCATCTTCGTCATCATCATCACCAGCCTTTCCACGCTCCTTCTCTTTTTCTTTTTCTTTCACTTTCTCTTTCTCTACTTCCTTTTCATCTTCCTCTTCTTCCTCCTCGTCATCATCGGATGATGATGGTATATATTTTGGCTGACCTCTTCTTCTTCTTCTCTTCTTTCTCTGTGGCACCATGACACCAGCCAACGGGTTGTTGAGTAGTATTTTCTGTAATGCAGCATCCTTTTCTTTGTCGTTTTCCGGTGAGAGTTTCACAGAAATGTTTTCGAGTAACTTTGAAGAATCGATGCCATTGGATTGATCGACTGAATTTCTACCACGTTTCTTTGGAGGTTGTCGCATATTTTTTCTGTATTCCTTGATCCTACCATCCAATGCACGTATCTTATCATAGAGTTGACGCTTGCTGAATTTACCTTCGTTGAACGGCTCAGCCTCCATGATCAAATCAAGTCTACTGTCAAACTCAACTGACAAATGGATCAATCTATCCACTTCCTCATCTGTATACCTAGCGCATCCTCTTCTCTTTGTCTTCTTCATTTTATCTGTTGATTCGTTGTCGTCGTCGTCAGAAATATCTGGTGATGATGGTGATGATGGTAGTGATACTACTGTTGTTGTTGATGTTGGTGTTGATACTGTTTGGGTTGGTACTATTGATAAAGTTGGTACTGTTTGTGTTGACTTTATTTGCTTTGTTGGTGTTTGTTTTGCTGGTGCTTTTGATTGTTTAGTTGGTGTTGTCGGTCTTGCTGGTGTTGTTGGTACTGATGGCGATGATACTGTTGATGTTGTTGATGCTGTTGTTGTTGTTGTTGTTGTTGTTGTCGGTAATATTGGTGTTATTGCAGGTGTTATTATTGGAGTTGATATTGCAGGAGTTTTTGATTCCTTTATAATTATTTTTGGTTTTGTTGTTGGTAATGTTGGTGATGTTGGTATTGTTGAAATTGCAGGTGCTGGTTTTGCTATATAATTTGTTGTTGTTGTTGAGCTTGTTGGTAGTTCTCTGGGTGGTACACTGGTGATTGAATCTGGTTTTGGTAATAGAATTGGTTGTGTTGTTTTTGGTTGTACAAATGATGTAGGTGTTGTTGGTGTTGCTGTTGTTGTTGTCGTTGTTGTTGTTGTTGGAAGTATTTTATTGGAATAATCGATATATTGACCAGTAATATTGCTGGCGCTACTCGTTAGTTTTACTGGTGTAGTAGGATAAGCAGCGTTATTGATGAGTATTGTCGAGTTTGATCCACTGCTGCTGCTGCTACCTACTACCGGTGATCTACTGCTACTGTTGTTGTTGTTGTTGTTGCTATTGATGTATGCGTTGCTATTGATGTTGTTAGTTGATCCAAATAGCAAACTTAATTTGGAGATACTGCTGCTGGGGTGGTGTATTGATGATGTTGCGGGATTGGTATCTATTGTTTTGTTTTCTATTTGACTACTATTAATCTTAAATTCGTTCTATTATTAATACTAAAAATATTATTATTACTATTGTTATTGTCTCAAACAACAATAATAACAATAATAATAATTAGTAGTAGTTATAATGAAAAACGGATTCAAAATTAAATTAAAATAATAATAAAAACTAAAAGTTGAGATAAAGATTGATAGATTGATATCGATGAAACTATGTGGCTTTAATAAATTTCGTTGAGTTTTTTAACAGAACTATTATTTTTGTTTTGGTTTTAGTTTTGTTGGTTGTTGAAGTTGAAACAGTTATTTAGTCGAGAGTTTGGTTGTTGAGTTTTTTGTTTTTGTTTTTTGTTGTTTTTTTGATTTTGATTTTGATTTTGATTGATTGATATTGACAAATAAATAATAACTATAATTTAACTTTTATTTATTGTTCAATAAAGTTAAAAATTATTTATATTTGTTAATACAAATGTGATAAATTATGATTAACAAGATGTGTATTTGTTTGATGTGTGTTTGTTTTTGTTTTTTTTTTTTTTGTTGTTCATTATTTTTTTTTTTAATGTGAAGTGTAGTGTGGTGAAAAAAAAATTAAATTATTTGAAAGTGCATAAAAATAGGTGTTTTTAAACATAGGACACGATCGTTGGTTCAATATGCAAGCTGGCCAATAAAATTGAGCAAAAAAAATACGAAAGGTCGAGATTTTTTTCTTTTTTTCGATATTTTTTTTTCGTCATATAATATATTCTTTTATATATCATTTTTGTTCCATCAAGTCATGTCAGGAGGATTAGCGAATCACAACGAGTTAGTTTGCAAAGTCAACATTGACATATTAAATAAACAATTGGACTTCAATATTTTGAGTTTTTGATTCAAAAATTGAGTAATTGTTTATATATTTATCAATTTAATATTCATCTATCTTGATAACTCAAAAATAATAAATAATAATAATATCTTTCCAGGAAACTCAAAAGACTCTCAAAGTTTATTTATTTTTCTTTAAAGATTATTCAGCTTCTTTTATTGAATAATTTGAAGACATACAATTTGAATATCTTTGTAAACAAAATAATAAATATAAAATATATATATAAATAATTCTTTTATTGAATAATTTGAAGATATACAGTTTGAATATCTTTGTAAACAAAATAATAAATATAAAATATATAGCATTAATAATTTATTTAAAAGATGTATTACTAATTTAGTGGGTGGATCTAATAAATTTTAGTAATGGAATTTAAATATTTTTTGTATTGACAAGCAATTCTAAATTCTAAAAATAAATTAAGAATGGATGATGATTTTTTGACCACATAAGTATAGATATATCTATTAAGTAGATTCATCTATGAAATAATAGATATATCAACGATGAAATTCCTATTAACCATTACTAATAAAAAGAAATTATTTTAATTCTATAATTTAAATCTTTCAATATAAAATAAAAACTATAAATAGAAACCTGAGAATGGTTATTGATATCAAATCATAAATACAAATTGATTAAGTAAATAATTAAATTCTATATTTATATATTAAAAACAAAAAATTCAGAATGTCAAAGTTTATTAACATTTTCTTGGTTGCCTTGGTTGTTGTTTTCGGAATGATTGCACTCAGTAGTGCCAATGAAGATATCATTGTAAATGGTGTCAATGAAAACTCCTACTCTGTTGGTAAGTGAATCAATTAACATTTTAAATCTCAACTTTTTTCAAAATTTTCTTATAAAATTGAATTTTATAGATATTAGAGAACACTACTCACAAGACGTTTTCCCAGGCCAACATGAAAGATTGGATGTTAACGCTCATGCTTCTTACGAACAAAGACCATACTACTACTCCAACAGATGGTGGTAAATTAACACATTGTTAAGAACAAGTGTTGATCAATATTGCTATATCCACAAGAAACTAACTTCAAATATTTTTAAATAAATTTTAAAAAGATATTGCAATTTAAATTTAATTTGAGTTATTGTGATTATTATTACACTTCTCAACTGTTATTTTTAGGATTGAGAAAAGTAGTTTTGTTTGAATGAATATAGTTTATACATCAACGATTGAAAGGTTTACAATTTCGAAGTAAAAAAATTGTTAAAGTTTTTGGATGTAGTGTATTGATTAATAAAACAAAAACTAATCTAGGTATTTATAAATAATAATGATTATGTGTAGAAACATATTTAATTGAGTTAATGATTATTTTGAGATCTATTAAAATGTAAATATATAGAAAGAGTTGTAAATATAAAGATTATATGAAATTGAATAAAATTAAAAGATTTATAACTAAATTCTTAAAGAAATGGAAATTGTTATTCTAATAAAGATAAATTTTTAAACATGATCCTGGTGATTTCAACTAAAAATTCAAATTATTATTATGACGAAAAAATTAAAAATTAAAATTAAAAAAAAAAAAAATAGAAATTCAAACATATATTATTAGCATAATAAATGACACATAAATAGATAGATTATCAAAATTTAATTATAATTATTATAATATTAAACTAAAAAGAAAGTATATAAGTATATAATGAACAACAACAACAATAATAACAATAATAATATATACGATGATGATAATGCAAAACAATCAAGTTATTCAAAGAATAGTTGGAGAAACTATTTAGATATCTATGATAGAGCTGCTGCTTATTTGGTAGATCTAAAGATGCCAACAAACAATCAGTTGGTATCGTACGATCAGAAACAATCAGAATCACAGAGTACAATCGATAGTTTAGTAAGAGTTGCATTCTATAGCGCATTCACTACTATCAAGAAAAAGACAAACATCAACAACAACAACAGTAACGATTATATACAACATAGCAACAATAATAATGAAAATATATTTATAAATGAAGCATGGTTAGAGTACTTCTCATCTGTAATAAAGAATAGAAGCAAAGGATCATGTATATTCCGTATAAAATCATATAGAAATAGATTATTAAATAATAGTAACAATAGTAATAGTAATAATAATCTTGGTAGCAGTAGTGGTGGTTTATTTGGAAAGTTAAAAGGTTTAAGTGATCCATTCTTAAATAGTAGTAGTAGTAGTAGTGGTAATAATATAAATAACAATAGCAGCAATAATAATATTAATAAGAATAGCAGTAATATTGAGAATAAAGGTGAATTTAGAAATGGTTATTTTGTTGATGATCTAGAGGTAGATAGTGGTGAAGACGACGATAGTAACTCATCGGTTCTGAGGTATAAATATGAAAAAGATTTCGTTTTAATTAAAGATGGTTCACCTCTGATCGTCTCACTTTCACCAGATTGGGGAGTTCCATTCCATATTAAAGAACAAATTATTATTGCACCACCACCACCAACAACCACCTCCACCACTTCGACAACTACAACTACTTCAGGAAAGCATCATAATAGTAAACATAGTTCAAAACATCAACATAATAACAACAACAACAATAACAACGATGGTGGAGATTCACAATGGGGATGTTCAATCATGTAAATGAAAAATAATAATAACAATAGTGTTGTTAATTCATTACATTCTTACATTCTTTTTTTTTAATTGATCAAAAATAAAGTATAATTTTATCTTTTTATAATAATAATAATAATAATAATAATATATTTATGTTTATTATATGTAATTATTATTTTAAATATATATATGTTTTTTATTTTTATTTTAGATGATGTTTAGCTTTCAATTTTGCTTCTTCTTCTTCTTCTTTTCTTCTGATTTCAGCTTCTTTTGCTTTTCTAATGGGGATGAGTTCTACGTATTTCTTTATCTTGTTCTCTTGATTTTGGTCTAAAATGGTGGCTTTAAGTTGTGGGTTTACATTGAAGAAAGCGGTGAATGAGAGTACCATGTATTCGAGTTCATCGATATCGTCGATCGGTGTCTCAAAGCTACCTCCTTGTTGTTCGTTGTCAAAGAGTTCCTCTTCGCTGTCGTCCTCTTCGATGTCGATTTCACCTTCGACTTCTGCCTCACCGTCGTCGCCGTCACCCTCGAGTTCACCGCCGGCTTCGAGGTGCTTGGTGAGATTCTCGAGGTCCTCGAGGTAGACCTCTTCGGGGTCGTCTGCATCTTGGTCGTCGGGGATCTTGATCAACTCGAAATTACCGTCGTCGTCGTACATGTCGTCGTCATCGCCAATGTCGTAGTCGTCGTCTTCGTACTCCTCTTCGTCTTCGTCGGCATCCTCTGCGTCGAGTTTAGCTTGCTCTGCCTCTTCCTTTTCGATTTGCTTCTCGATGACCAACATCTCTTTCATCAACACCATGATCTTGTTGAACAACAGGGTGGCACCGTGCTGAACGAAAGCTGGTGTTGGATTCATCTGTAGCAGTGAGCACAGTCCGAGTACAGTGATCTTCTTATCGTAGAATCTCTGGAATTTCTTGATGTGTTGGAACCAGAGTGTGAAGATTTGGTCGACGACGTTGTTCTTGGCCAAGAACTCGACGGTGAGATATGGATTGTAGTACAAACAGTTGGCTACGACCTCGAGAAGATAGACAATCAACTCCTTCGATACTTCGTTCTCCTTTGATTTGTTGAGCAGTCTGGAGACGGCCAGTTGGAGAACCGGTGGAATGATGCTGTCGACACGTCCACGACAACGCTGGAGAATCGATTCAATTAATTTACATGCTTCCTGTGATTCGTAGGCTGGTGTACGGTGGTCGCCAATCATCTTTTCATAGATTCCAGTGATCATACCGAGATATGGTGTTCCCGGTGCCAAGAACTGCTCGGTTCCATAGCTGATATAGTTGTCAAGTGGATTGACCATCGAATCGATCATGTCCATTGCAGAGTCGTGGAAGAGTTCAATGATCTTTGGGAACAATTGCCAGAGAGTCGGTGAGATAACCTTTGGATAGAATGTCATGAATGTCAAGATTCTCATTGCTTCCTCAAAGAACATGATCGAGTTGGGATCGATAATCTTGAAAAGTACGGGTACAATGATTTGCTCCAACTGGATAAAGACACTGGGAACATCTACCATCGCTGCGATAAGCGTACGGAAGGTGACTAAACATTCAGAGGCAGCCATCATACTGGAATCATTCTCAGATTCGATCAAACGGAAGAAGGTATCGGCGAGACGCTTGGTAAAGTTGACTGCAAGCGGAGCAATCTCTGTTTTATAACGACGAACGATGGTGGTCAGTGAAGTAATCAAGTCATCGGAATCGATCTCACCGATCAACTCGAATATCTTGTCGAGCAGCTGTGGAAGCACCGGTCTCAACTCCTCGATACCCTGTTTGGTTCTGACCAAGTTGCAAATAGCCATACCGGAACGCACACGAACAATCAAGTCGCGATCCATCATGAGATCTACGATTGCACGGAGAGCGGTGGTGAAGTTATTACGGTTTTGGAAGGTGATGTTGTAGAACTCTGAGAAGATCCAGACGGCGTGTGCACGCAAGTAGCCAAGTGGATTGACGAGCTCTGGGATGACATGGGTGACCATGGTTTGCTCCAACATTCCACGGTATGGATCCATCTTTTTCAAGTAGGTAGACAACGCTGCGATAACAGAGAATGCAGCGTATTTCTCCTTTGGATTACGCTGGTTGACTGGCAACGAGTTGTAACGATTGAGAATCTCCATGCAGATAGCGATGATTGAATCGAGATTCTCACGTCCACGCTTCTCAACCAAACTCATCAGGAAATTGATACATTCGACACGCGACGAATAGTATTCCTTGAAGGAATCCATCTGTTGACGGAGGTATTCGTGTGGATCGTCTTCGTAGAGTTCTGCATCGTTTTCGTTGAAGCAGAGAATGGGCATGACAATCTGACGAACGAATTGCATCGATGCCGGTTTGAACACTGGATACAAACGACCGTACGCAATAGAGGTAGTGAAATACTCTACCAAATTCAGCAGATAACGATCGGAGAATGGTTCGTCTGGACGTTGCGAACGCTCCGTCAAAACCTGATGGAAAATCTCCATCGTTTTGAGTGAGTAGTGTGTCATGAAGAGGTCGGCCAACATTCTCTTGGTTTCATAGTCGGATTTTCTCAGTTGTCCTTGTTTCATCAACAGGGAATTGAGTATACGCGATGCACATTTCTTGAGAAGCCACCAGCTGTTTTTCGATGGCTCCTGGTCGACGGTGTCCTCTGGGATTGGCATGCGAATAATACGGAAGAAATGATCCATCCAGATGGCAAGAACCGCTGGATCGACAACGATTCTTGGAACATCGAAATTAACAGTGTAATGGAAGATCTTGCAGATCTTTCGTTGCATGATGGCGACGTTGTCGTTGGCGGCGTTGGCAGGTGCCGCAGCGAGTTGAGCAAACACCTGATGCAAAAGTGGGAAGAGAACATCGCAAATAGTGAATAACGGCTTACGTCTTGTCTCGCCAGCCGGAATATATTGGAATTTCTTCATTGCCACCTTCAACGCCGACAGACCGGCCATGAGGAGATCGATGTTGTTCGACGAGATATACTTGACGCAGTTGCTAAAGAGTGACTCCCAGTTCTCTGGGAAGTCACGACTGGCGATGATCTCAATCATATAGACGATCTGACTCTTGATCAGCTTGTGAGTGTGAACCAACGCCTCGAGGATGTGCTCCTTGATGAAAGCGGCATCGGCATCACACATTCTAGTCTCTGCATCCAATGCGCCACGCCAACGAACAACAGTCATATTCTTTAGGAAAACGGCACCTGCTTGACGCACTCCAATATTCAATTCATTGCTTGCAATGATTCTAAGTAATACCTGTGAGAATCCTTCTGTTGTTTTTAACTAATTTTATTATTATGATTTTATTAATAACTTTTTGTTTTGTTGTTGTTTTGTTTTGTTTATAATTTACTTTTTCAAGATTATTCTCTGCATTTTGACGAACAGGTGTATCGATACTCAATGATTGATCCAAGATTTGAATAGTTGATTGTGTTAGATCCATTTTCCTACTTTTACTTTCAAATCTATATCTAAATCAAGATATTAACTAAAGTTGAAACAACTCTTTGATCGAATAGAAGAAGAGAGAAAGAAAGAAAGTGAGAAAAAGAGGTGTAGCTGTACTTGTAGTTAAACTCAAATCTATCTAATTTAAATTCAGCTACAAAACACCATCAAAAAAAATTCAAAAAAAAAAAAAAAACAAAATATATTTAAAAATAAAATAAACGAACGAAAAAAAAAAATTTCAAAACCACGTGCTTTTTTTGTTTTAATTTAATAAGAAACAAGCTTGTTTTTTTTGTTTATTGCATATCTTTGATTGTACATCTATAATTATACAATTTCTTTAGAAAATAAATTAAGATTGAAAAGAAAGATTTCATATAAGAATCGATATTATGTTCAACTGACTTTGAACATATCAATCGATTTCAAAATCTAATGTATCTAACTTTAAGAATTAAAGTCTTTGAAATAGCTTAATATTAAACAATTTCAAAGAAAATTGTAGTTAATAATCATTGAAATTCAATAATCAATCATTGTAATTAAAGATTTAGTTTTTTTGTTTATTTTTTTCTAGATTAAGAGAATCAAATAATTAGGTTTAAAAAAGAAAGTATCAAACCTTACATTAAAGAAGATCCAGGTTTGCAATCAATTAATAGTTTTGGTGGTGTAGTCAACTTTCAGGTTTATTGCCTAATCAAACAACATCTAACAACACAACTTCACAATTCACAATTAAAAAAGAAAGACCTCTTATTCAATATGGCGGAGGGGATATATCATCTATCTTTTTAAGGAAATGTTCTTTTTAGTTAGTACAACAAGGAATAGTTACACAATTTTGTGTATCCATAAGAATTTATTATTTTAATGGTATCTTTAAAAAAAAAAAAAAAACAAATCTTTTAAAGATTAATTGAATTTATAAAAGGGTATAGGATGGTACTATTAATTTATCAAAAACAAAAAACACTGAAAAATAAAATGTAGAAAAAAAAAAAAGCAAATCAACTTAATTTTTTAAACTTTTTTAAAAATTATTCCAATTTAAGTAATTCTCAAATATTTATTCATTTTCCAATTGGTTATAATAAGAAAAGGAGGTTGTTGTTCGTTGGATTATTTTATTTATTATCAAAAATAAAAACAAAATATTTGAAAAAATGAAAATTAACACCTACTACCCCATATCGAATAGTATACCTTGACACAAAACAACAAAAAAATCAAATTTATGAAATTATTTCCAAAAGCATTTACTCCCTCCGGTTTTTCACCAAAACCACACACTATTTAATTAACAAGTTCACACTCTCACACACACCAACACTCTATTCAAACTTAGGTATATGATTTTTTTTTTATGGAATAAACAATTATAATTTATCTAATAGTAATTCATTTATATATATATATTTTGTTATTAGTTAATTTATTTTTTATTATCAAACATCGTTGAAATCTTCTATTTTTATCTTTTACAACAATAACATTCTTTGTTTTTATTCATAATATCATTTTTAATAATTATATAAACAAACAATATCAATTAAAATTTAATTTCAATATTGAAAACTTAGTCAAAGAAAAAAAATGAAAATTTTAGTATATATTGATGATAGTCCAGCTTCTTTTTCGGCTTTCTATAAAGCAATGGAAATAGTTCAGCCTGAAGACTGGATTATTCTCGTTGGGAAAGCTCACTATGGAAGAGGAATAGGTCATCTTTCAAGTGAAAGTATGAGATTCTTTTCAAGAGTTATGGATAAGAGAAAGGTAAAATACTTAAAATTAAACTCTTTAAAAAAGTTAGTTTTTATTAATTCTTATTTAAAATTTAATTTTTTATCAATAGATCAGACATTTATATTTTTTGGAATATGGAAAAACCAAAGATACTTTAAGATCAAAGATAGGACAATTTAGAATTGATCTAGCTTTAATAAATCCATACAATTCTAAAACTAAAAAGTAAGTTTTACATTAATTACCTAAAACTATTTATCAATATATTAATATTTTTTTAAAATTGTATCTATAGATTGTATGACTTTTTAAATAATCAAAAGATTAAAACAATATCAGTAAGTGAATATACACCTTCGGATCAATCATTAATTCCACGGCCAATTGATAAACATGCACCAATTCCAGGAGAAGGATACCGTAAGACAATGATGGCGGAATCTGGTTCTGCCATCCCCATTCACGTTCCTTCGCTTACCAATAGCGGGGAATACCTCCAATCTGGTGAGGTACAACAACATGAGAGTAAGGCAAGTCTACCATTGATGGCATCCAAATCAGCATATGAACTATCAGATCCATCTAGAAGATCTCAAGTTAGTGTAAGCAGCAGCAGTTCCAATAAGATTGAACCGCCAATGCACAAGAGACCACTTTCACAATCGACCTCTGGATACCATATAAGTAATGATCCAGAGATTGAAAATCAACCAACCGAGTATAATTATAGACAAACAATGCCAGCCAAACACTCTCAATCCTATGTCTATCCAAATCTCCACAACTCCTCATCTATGATACACACCAACGAACAACAACAACAACCAGCGATCTACCCAGCAGATCAATTCTACAAACCACCAACTAAAAAGAATCAAACAGTAACATTTGCTTCATCTCCCCAACAAACAATCATTTCAAAATAAGTCAACAAACAACAAACCCAAATTAGCTCAAAAGAGTTTTTCAAAAGAGATTTGATAAATCTTTTTTTTTTTGTACATAAATAAATTATTCGAATAAACTTATTTTACAACTATATTTAATATATCTAAAATTTAAATTATAAGTTTCACTTATTTTACCCAATTTTATTTGTTATAATAATCAAAAAAAAAAAAAAAATTAAAAAAAATAAAAAGGATTAAATTAAATACATTAATATTTATATATAGATTATAAAAAAGATTGCTTTCTTTGTTATCTTGTCATAACAGTATACAGTTTTTGTTGTAAATCTTGTAATTGTTTCTTATACTATTTTTGATTATATATAAATTAAATATTAGTAATTTAAAAATTATTAAAGAGATTTTCAAATTAAAAATTAAAATACCTGTTCTTCTTTTGAAATATTTTGAGGTACCGAGCTCGAATTGAATTTCTTTTTGTAACCTTGAAAGAATGTCGGAGTAATGGCAACAAAATGAAAGTTCTTGTGTGTATTGTTGGTTAAGTTGTAGGATCGACTGTTTGAGTTGGCGAATTTCATCGTCTTTCTTTTGGCACTCCATCGATTTGTAGGAGAGTTCTCTTTGGAGTTCGTTCATTCTAGTCGGTGAAGAGTTGTTGGCAATACTGGCACCACTTGCACTCAGTAGAATGGAGCCTGCCGATTCCGTGCCCAATGACTTGTTAAGATTTGGACTCTCTGGAGGTGACATCGATGTTATCGACGAAGGCGAAGTGGTAGTAGATGAAACAGAGTCACCAGCAACTCTATTTTCATTTCTAATGCAACTACTATTACTGTTACTATTGCTATTATTTATTTCATCTTCTTTTTTTGAAATTATAATTACTTCTGATAAATCTTCAACCATTTTTATTTTTTGTTTTTGTTATTTTGTTACCTTTGTTTTAAAAAAAATGGTGGTATTATATAAATAAATATCTAAATATATATAAATAAAAAAATAATATTTATAACTATTTATATTATTAATATATAGTTATTTGAAATCAAAAATTTTTTTTATTATATTATTTATAAATATAATATTTTAATATATTGATTGTTTGGTTTGGTCAATCAATTTTTATAAAAGTTAAAATAAGATATAATTTTAATTGTTTGTAAAGTGAGTTTTATTTGTTTTGAATTTAAAAAGATAAAGATTTGATTAGATGAAGGTTTAATTAATTAATTAATAAGAGATGAATAAATAAGAAAATAAAAAAAAAGAGATTAAGAGTTGACTAAAAGTAAGGTATGAAAAGATAGAAAAGCTTTGTTTTTTTTTTTTTAATATCCAAAAAATGATAATGATTTTTATTATAAGTATATACAAAAGAGCTAGTATATAAATATACTTTTAAGAAGTGAATGTGGAGTGGAGTGTGAGAATTCACTATATCATATGGTGTGTTTGTCTATTTGTTAATCATTATGTGTGAAATGAAATATGGAATAAGAGTAGAGGTGAGTGAGTGCCTATTAAAGAGAGAGGTTTTTTAGTATTGTGAGACACACAACACTTTTTATTAACCACCAATATTCTTGGTGGTTTTTTTTTTTATTTTTATTTGTTTGTTTGCAAACATTGCCAATGAATGAGTTAATTTTTTGTGATAACAACACACTAAAGTTTTTTTTTTTTTTTTTTCTTGAAATTCACAAATTTGCTGAAAATGGAAATAAAACTAAAATCTTGTATATTAAAAAACCCATTCATTCATATCAATTAGACGAGTCAACACCCAACTCTATTGCTGCCAGCAACACTTTTCTTTTCTTTTTTTTTCTTAGCATTACATTCACACACCGTCATAATACTTTAAAGTATTTAATATTAAATATTCTCTATTAATCTGAAGAGAAAGAAATTAATATTATCGACCAATACAATTCAAAAAAAAAAAAAAAAAGAGTCATTCATTTGTTAAGACCACACACCACTACTACAATAAATATTAAAATTTTACACCTATCTGTTATTACATTATATTATATTAATATATAGATAGAAATGTCTACACAACAACAGCAACAGCAACAACAACAAGATGTTGAAATGTCATCAGTCGTACCACCACATGAACAACAAAAACCAATAAACTCACAGCTTGCCAATGTGAACAAAAATGTATTAAATAAGTCTGCTGGTGAGAGTGGTACTCAGTCGATAACACAGAGCAAAGATTATCATTACCTCCCGACTATTGATGTTCAATACGATTGGCAACTCTACTTGCAATCGGAGAGCGACTGTTTCTGGCTCACCTACAGAGATCAATTGAATCACTCTGTACACTCTTCAGTACGAACAACCAAACTCTCAAAAGACAACTACAAATTGGAGACTGAGAACAATTTCACAATTGAATCATCTGCTGTAACTATCGATAAATACTTTAATGTAAAACTTTTACAATATTAATATATGTTTGTTACTCTCTATAAATGAATAGTTTAAACCAAATAGATTGTCGGTAGGATACAACAAATTTCAACAAGAGATAACAGCACCCTCTAAAATACATAGAATCGCAGGAAATAACAGAGTAAGTGATTATTGGTATATCAAAAACCTTCAAGGAACGGAATTAACTAATTGAAAGTTACAGATTACATCACTAGGTGTTTCCTCTGAAGGTAGTGTAGTTGCATACGGTTCGTCAGATGGTATTCTTGAGATTATGGAAACTGAAACTGGTCATGTCAGAGTAAGTATTATGTCAATAACTTGTCTATCAATATATTAATCAACACTCAATGAATATCATCTATAATAGAGAAAATTACAAGGACATGCAGGTGATGTTGACGTCGCAAAATTCTTCCCAAGTGGAAAAGTATTATTGAGTGGTGCTTCAGATGCAAGATTAAAGATTTGGGATGCCCTAGAGGGTAACTGTGCAACTACCCTCACTGGTCATACCGGTGGTATTACCTCTGCTTCATTTGTTGAACGTGGTAGAAATTTAGTTTGTAAGTCTGAACTAGTAATAGTAATAATAGTTTTAAAAGTAGAATTAGATTATTCATATATAACTACCAATATATAGCTACATCTAGAGATGGTTCAGCAAGACTGTGGGATATACCAACAGCCTCAACCATTCAAACGCTTCATACAAGTAATAGACCAGTCAACGATTGTTTTGTATATAGTTCATGTAACATGAGTGATGACAAAGATTTAGTTACTTTTGATGAAAGAGAGTTTGGTACAGATGGTAAACTTGTGTTATTGGCACTCGAGGATGGTTCACTCCTCATCAATGACATTCGTTCCAACAAGATATTTTCACAGGTCAGTTCCACCAACCACAAGTCAGCATTCAACTGTTGTGCTGTCTTGGGTAATCAAATATATGGTGGTGATGAAGATGGTTGTATATATCAATATGATAAACGTAATTTAGAGTATGTAAAAATTAATAATTATAAAAATGCTACATAACATTATTCTAACATATAATTCAAAAAAAATGAATATTAAATTAGTAAACAACTATCAATTTTCCAATTTTGTAAATCACCTATTCAACAACTTAAAATCGATCCAAATGGATCAGAGAAGCTGTTATGGTGTACTGCTGCTGATGGTAGTGTAGTAGCAGTTGACATGTCCAAGCAAGTCATCGCTAGATCTTTGTCTGGTATTGACACTGACATAGTTACTGCACTGGATTTCTCAATGAATCATGCATTTACAACTACAAGAGATCCATTCATAAGAATTTATGATTTTTAAATTGTTATTTTATTTATCTCAAACTAATAAATAAATAAATAATTTAAAAAAAAAATCTTGAAGGTGATAGAAAGGGGGTAACCACCATATCAATACAAATATTTGATAAAAGATATTATTTTTTTTGAGTGATTGTTCCTGTTTAACCATCACCCCATATCAAATTAAAAATCTTTTAATTTCTTGTATATGATCAGTAATATTTACATAGTAATTTACTTTTTTTTTTGCACCAATAAATATGATTCATATCTATCAAGTTGTTCAATTAAAAAATTTATTAAATTGTAATTTCATATGACAATAACAAATTTCATTGATGTTGATATAATGAAATTCATAACATAAAATATTAATATTGTTCATTTCACAATATTTCTTTTTTTTTTTTTAAATTAGTATTTATAATTAAAATGAAAATAATAATAATATTTTTTATTTATTTAATATATCTTGTTATTGGTGAAGAACCTGTTTGTTATCACTCAAGACAGATTAAAGATTCAGACAATCAATCATTGACAAGATATCTGCTAGACAATAAACACTTTCAGCAATTAACCTGGGTCGATCCTAGTCAAGTGTTATGGGGTTGCGTTGATGGAAGAAGTTCAAAATATCAACTAGGAACATTGGGTGGTGATGTAGGAGAATTTTTAACAGGAATTGCTACCTTGGCAAAAATAAATAGTATCAATGGTTTAAGTCCTATTCTAATTGATAATATCTTTACCAAATTCATAACCATTCAACCAGATATGTATTATCATACAGACGACTATTCAGTTGCTCAAATAGTGAAAATTTTAACCAATCAAGGAATCGATATGGCTAACTTTAGCATTTGGGCACCAACTTCGGAACAAAAACCAGCACTCCTAGATTTATTGGTTGATCCAAATTATACTGGATGCTCACATATCCGTCAAATGTTGAACAACCCAGGAGATTACCAAATTCCCAAAGCATACGTTCAACAATTCTTAAAATCCTATTTCAACAACCTATGGTCCAAAACAGAATCAAAAAGAAGAGAACAATTTGAAGTATTAGAAGGAAAGAGTTTGGAAATCAAATATATAGAGATTAACATGAATAGAGAGAATGTTAAAAAAAATGATTTACAAGTAAGATTATATATATTTATTATTTAAAATTAATAGATATTAATCTATTTTTTGTAATTGATATAGTGTTCCAAATTGGTACCTACAGCAAGTCCTCATGATGTTGAGGAATCTTTTATTGTTCATTGTGATGATATCAAGAATTCGGGTATTAGAGGAAAGGTTAAGAAATTCATTGAACAACAATTGCCATCAAACGTTAAAAGTCAAAGTAACTCTACTTTTGATGATATTTCCAAACAACAACAGGATATTAGTTATGCTCTGATTGGTGTAAATGAAGTACCCAAGTTCTATCATCAATTTAAAGTCTACACTGACTGGGCAAAGGTTCCTGCTGATGAATTCCCAAGTTTAGAGAAATTCATTCCATCCACACCTACAACCGATGATTTTTCAGATTTTGAAGAATAATTAAAAAAATGATAACATAAAAATAAAAAACTTTCTAATATAAATAAAATCGATGTATTTCTTTATTTTGTTGTAATAATCTGGAAGTTGAGTGTCTTTGTACAATTCTTGTGAATATTATTATTATTATTATTATTATTATTATTACTATTATTATTTAATTATAATTGGTTTAATTTGATAAAACTATTAAAGATTGTAAACCTTCTTCTTTACAAGATCATATTGTTGGAATCTCTTGAGTGCATAACCAATATAATCAAATTCGATGGTAGAGTTGAAGTTTTGAACGATTCCCCAGAATCCCCACATCAAGTGAGAACCAAGTGTGAAATGATTTGCTTCGATATAGAGTTCGTGAATTTCCTCTTCGGTAGGTTGATCACCATTTGCAGATAAATAATAATTAATAAATTCCTTTTGCACATTCATCTTTGGATATCTAGTATAATCTAAATCCAAACCAGAGAATTCACAAAAGAAATTACCAATATCGAAACCTCTATAATTATATCCAGAATATTCGAAATCAATATATTTTACAACATCTATAAATTGATTATTAAAGTAGTTAGATTTAAATTAATATTAGGTTGTAAATGATTTCTTTTTTGTTGTTCTTAACTTATAATATTTACCATTTCCACTATTATAAATCATATTTCTAGGAATAAGATCGTTATGACAGAAATTAATGTGTCTCGGATGTTTATATTTGGTGGTGATAAATTTAACAAATTCTTCGGTTTCTTTGATGTAATAGTCTACGTTGATATCTACTTTTTCGGTCTTTAATAAAGTCTTGACATTCTCAATCCATGTGTTCAAATAGATCAAGAGTGATGGTTGTTTCTTGAGATTCAAATCCAATGAATGCCACTTTCTAGTTTCTTGTGCAATGAGTTGTAAGATATTAGGATTGTCGAGATCGACCAACTCCAACTGATCGCCTTCAACAAAACCATAGATACATCCATTCTTGAAGGTTCCATAAAACTTTGGACCGACACCATTGCCACTCAATAAAAATTGGATATAGGATTCAGCTTTTCTATCGATGAAATTCTCACTTCCTTTTCCATATAATCTAATAATAATTGTTTTCTTTTGTCCTTGATTATTTACAAATGAACATTTAAATACTAGAAATAATAAATAAATAATAAGGTTAAATTTTTTTTTTTTTCTTTCAAACTAATAATAATTTTTTTTAATAATATGCTTACAGGTATTTGTAACACCACCAGTCATTGGCTTAAATGTAATATCATTTATATCAAAATCCTCATCAACCAACTCTTTAATTACACTCCTAGAAATCATAATATTAAATAAAATAAAAAGATAAAAAAAAATAGAACAAATTTAATATTATTTTATTTTTATTTATCAAAAAAAAAAAGAAAAAGATCAATCAATTAATTAAATGTATAAATGAAAATAAATGGAAATTTAAATAAAATAATTTATTTTATATAAAATCAAATTCATTCATTGATATTGTTCAGTTCTTTTTTTTTTTATTGTATTTAACTCAAAAAAAAAAAAAAGTTGATCAAACCAATAAGCTAATGATAATTATAAAATAGATGGTTAGCAATGGTGTGTCAAATTTAAAAATTACTTACATCAATTGGTTGTAGGTGGCATTTTCCTCTTCTGTTTCGGCTGGATGCACAACTTCATGTGTAACATGAGTTGGTCCACCCTTTAATGTTGGTAGATTGGTTGATGGAATTACTAATTCTTCAATGCTGTTCATTTCTTTTTTTTGTTTTTCTTTTTTAATAATATAAAACTAACAAAATAAATAAATAAAATTAATAAATGAAATGCTATTGATATGTATAAATATGTATTTAAAATATTATTATTATTACTATTAATTAAAATTATTTTACAAAAAATAAATAAATAAATATTTAAAACTTTTAAAAGAAAATAGAAATTATTATGTTTTTTGTTTGAAATTAATGGAATGAAGGGCTAACAAGTTATGCTTTTAAGCATATATTTTAAATTACTATTGTTTTTGTCTACCTATCTGGTGTGAATTAATGAAAGAAAATAAAAGGTATGAAATAAATAAATGATTGGCAACACCGGCGGTGTATCATTATTTTCTGTACTGTAATTCCTATTTGTTTTATGTTAGATAATCTAGAGTTTGAAATTAACCTCTCTTGTTTCTTCTTCACTAGTGTGTGATATCTCTTTAAAATTTAAAGCTAACAGCCAGTAAGATATTAAAATAAACAACGAAATTTCAGTAAATTCAAAATATAAATATATATTTAAATATATATTTAGAAATGTTTGTGTGTGGTTGTGTTAGCAGGCTCTTTGTGATAATAAGATTTGATAATTACTGTGTAATAACACTCTCCAACTAACTATCTTGTATATATATGGTGTTTGTTAAATCTTAATTAAATTTATCAATCTCTATCAATATGTTATTATTTATTTATCTGTTTTATATATCACTACTACTATTCTTTTTTCTCTCTTTCTTTCTTTATTTCTTTTAACTTACAGGTTGACTGAATGAGGGTGGTCGATATCTATTCTTTAAACACAAAGTAGTTTGAATTGTCGATTAACTTTTTGTTGTGTTTGTTTGTTTGTTTGTTGTTGTTATTGTTGTTTTAACTTTTAAGAAAAATGATATAAAATGAATGAATGGATAAATATTTATTTAATTGTTGTTGCTTTATCTTGTTAAAGTTGCTGTATAGTAATAGTAATGGTGGTGGTGTGTAGGTTTAAATAATTTATTCAATACATAAGATTTCAAACTATTTAAAAATGTGTTGTTTATTTATTTTTAATGTGAATGGGGTATTTAAAAAAAAAAATGAATAGTTTTATGATATATATAATTTTTCATTGGTTTTTTTTTTGCTTTTATGAAAAATATTAATGCAAAAAGAATTTTCAATTTTAAAGTTTTATTTTTTTTTTATTTTTATTTCGATTTACACAATTAGAAATTTATTTATGTCGGGGTATTGATGATTCATCAGTCTATTCTTTTAAATCACAGATAATTATGTAGTGTGTGTGTGACATTGAAGATTCCCAGTGTAGTTAATAGGGGTAGTGATTGCTAATGATCAATCTAGAAAAGTTAAAGGTAAGGTTGAAACTTTACAATAAATTGAATAAAAATCATCTTCAAAATAAATTTAGAAACTACAAAAAAGGAAATCCATGTTTATTTTTCCTCAGAAAAACCAGAACTTCAAACCCACACAAATATAACCCCAAAGTTCGATTAATTTGATTTATTATATTTTCAAGTGAACTTTGGTCACGTTCATCAAACTTAATAATTTAATTAATTCAATCTCTTGTTAATGTGAATTATTATGTATTAGCTTTCAAGTTATAATTCTTTCAGTTCAAAGTGTAACTAATTTTTTAATCATAAATTAGTAATTGTTGTTTTTTCATTATTACATGTTCATTTTTCAAAATACAACACTACAGTGAAGAGTTATTAAATTTATGGTTTATTATACGAGTTTAAATAATATAAATGATTAAACCAAGGAAAATTCAAAAACCCAACTCCAGAACCTTGATTGGTAGAGACTTATTAACAGATCCAACTGTACCAGAACTACCGTGGTTCTTGTTTTCTCTGATTGAGTATGTCTCTAAATACTAGTAAATACACAGTGATTATAATATATGTGAAATTTAATAAAATATGAATATCGAGTTGTTTCATTAATATATTGTCTTCTGTGTGAATTTGCAAAAATAAGATAATGCAAGAATACAAAAAAAAACAACCTGAACACATATAGAATTAAATTTATTTTTATTTATACTTTCTTATAGTTGGTTTTTGATTGAACTTTATGCCCTCACCCAATGACAATTTTTGTATATACATCTCTTCCTTTGGAATAAAGAACAAATAAATTCTTCTTTCAAAAGATTTTTGGATTGGAACCTTTGGGATTTTTTACCCATACTTGATGGTTTTTGAATTTTCCTTGGTTTAACCATTTATGTTATTTTTTTAAACTGGTATATATATATATTAAAATTAAAATAGAAAATATTAAACTTGATCAAGTTTTTTGTTGGATAATATAAAAACAATTTCTATTTGATCTGTTTTCATTCTTTTACAAAATTTATTATTCAAGTTTATTAGAGGGTACCTTCTATTAGAACTTTCCAAAATTTTATTTTAAATTGAACAAGTCATAGATTTCCAAAGTATATAGATATCACTCATTGATATATTTTTATAATTATATTCGTTTTGCAAAACAAACATATTAAATTTTCAAACTTGAAGCCTTAAATGTGATCTTTTGATCACTGATTCTGATATTCGAGATAATTAATCAAAAAGGTAATAAAAATCATGGAGTAGTAAAAATACAAAGGATGAAAAGTAGACTTTCTGGTAGTTCAGTTTAGATTTTCTCAAGTTCAATTTTAACATAAAAAATTAAAATAATGATTTTGGCGCTAAAATAAAAAAAAACACTTTTGTTTGCTTCTTTTATTATCTCGTTGGACTAAAAGACATAATGATATATTACACAAACCATCATCTTATTATAATAATGATAGCAATAGAATAGATTCATTTACAACTGCAACAACAACTCATTCAGTTTAGCCACTTCCATCATTCTATCATTGCATATGTTATTCAATAGTACAGATGTACATTGAAGCGAGTAATTTCATACTTTGTTGTTTATTCTTTATATCTATTTGCTTGCTTTAATTCTCATCCAAATAAACATAGAATTTTTCATTTGAATGGTAAGATTATAATTAGTGGGTGATATTCAACAATCATCTTACCTCTATTGTTATTGGCGACTTATGATAATAATAGCTTTAGAAAAGAAAGAAAATGCAATATCTATTACCTAATTAGTGTTCATTCGATCATTTGATTTATTTCATCTGTAATAGATTTATTTTATTCAATTAAAACTAATTATGATGATATAACATCATATCACTCATTTTTCAGTACTGAATAACCAGTCATAGAATCAATATTACTGGGTATAAAAATATTTGTCTTGTTGTAAATATAAAAAGATTGGTAGTCGTTTTTTTTTTGTTTTATTTTGCCTGTTGCGAGATGTTCACACACTTTTTCAGTGCTGTGTGAATTGGCTGATGGAATGCGTGGTAGAAGTAAAGTAGAAAAAAAGTGGGAAATAATGGGTGGGGTTGTCATAAAACTAAAGATCTGCTTGTATTTTGTTGTACAAGCAGCAAAAAACATAAACTATTGTCATGCAATTCAGTTCACTACTCAAAATATTTTGATTCTAAAAGATGAATAAAATAGATGGATGGATCTACCTACATGGAGAGAGTATAGTATTTAAAATACATTCTATAAGAGAATGCAATAGAACAGTACAAACAAATACAATACAATTTGGTTTGTGACCTTCTTACCATGTTTGTTTTTTTTTTATTTTTGGCATAAAAATAAAATAATATTATGAGATAGATATACAAGATTAAATGAATTTTATATGTTTTACTAATTTTTTTTTATAATTTTAAATCTACATAAACCATTAACTATATTTAGAAAAAAAAAAAATTAAAAAAAAATAACAAATAGTGCAAATTTAATATGGAAAAAAAACAAAAAAATAATTTGGGTAGAATAGGCAACAGTAATGTATACTTTGGTAGGAACAACAGTAAACTACTATTGTTATTAATAACCCAACCCATTAAATAATAATACCAATATAATGAAAGAATGGATATTTAATTTGAATATTCAAGTAACATTGAAACCAATTTCTATGCCAATATTGAATTGCTAACGGATTATAATTATAAGTTGCTATTAATAAGGTAATAATTCTTATTGACCATTTTATTATTTTTTGATTAAAATTTTTATGTTTTTGTTATACAAGTATAGTAGTAGTCTCCAATAATAATTTTTTTGTTCCTGTTCCTCTTTTTCATTAAATTAGAAATAAATTAAATAATATATTTTTAAAAATAATTTTTTATTCGATATTAAAAATGAATAAAGATAATAATTCTTTAAATTTAGCAGTAAATTTACCACATATCTTATTATACAAAATCATAAACTATCTTGATTGTAATTTAGATAGAATTACATTCAGTCTAGTTTGTAAAAGATGGTTTGAAGATAGACATAAATACCTACTACTCCAGTGTGATTCTATTTACTACGATAGTTTTATGAATCAACCAGAGTCCACCCAACACTTTTTTTTAAATTCATTCAAAGACCAATTCAAAAAGTCACTCAATATCAAACCAACTAATATTCTCTATATTGGAAGTACATCCGACATCCAAAATACTTATATAAAATTTGACATTCCATTTAATCATGGTAAATATATTTAAATTAAATCTTTATTATTTTTAAATTATTATTAATAATTTATTTTTCAAGATGAACAAAATATAAATGATATTTTGATTCCTGAAAATGTTAGCCAACTTATCTTTGAAAATACTTTAAATCAAAGTATGACTTCAAAGTTTTATGAAAGATTGGCAAACTCTAATGTAAGAACCATCGAATTCCGAGGAGAAGTAGATTTCAAATTCGAAAAGATTCCATCCAACATCAAGGAAATTATCATCGAGGATAACTTCCCATTCAAATGTCTACCCGATAATCTTGAGACCATTTCCTTTGGAAACTATGAATACGATGAAACGGAAGTGAGAAACGGAACTACCTTTATTCGCACCAGTCTCCTACCAAAGAATCTAAAGGAAGCGGAGTTCCGTAGCTACCCAAGAGAGTTGCAACTCGACACCTTCCCACAGAATCTTGAAACACTCAGATTCGAATATATTTCAGATTGTGAGCTCGATAATCTAAATGAATTGATCGTGTTTCCAACCAGCATCAAAGAGATCTCGATGAAGTTGAATTGGTTACCAAACATCAAACCTCTGAAATCCATTCAAACAATGTATCTATATTTGAATTACAATGACATTGGAATTATCCAACCTGGAGATATCCCTCAATCAGTTACAGAACTCCACCTCTCTGTCCAAGAGAACATTCCATTGGAATCACAGAGTTTATCGCTCACCAAAGAGATTCTTCCAAGCCGCTTGAAAAAGTTGGAATTTCTTGAGGGACCATACAAGATGGCCGACGATCTACTCTCTCAGATGACACAGCTGAAATACCTAAGATTGAATGTCTTTGAGAACAGACAGCTTCCAACCAACTTTATTCCAGCGACAGTCAAGGAGTTGCATCTACAACTCGCCAATGACATACCGTTGAGTGTCGTCACCATACCGCCATCAGTGGAATCACTCTACATTGAGAACTATTCACTTTCGATCAACGAAGAAATCGCATCTCATATTCCACCAACAGTTAAGCGATTGTATTTCAACAATGGTTTCCTTCTTAACAACGACATTCAATCTATTCCAAACACAATCTCACTCCTTACCATGACAACCTTCCACAGTAGAAAGAAAGTACAACTTAAAAGACTTGACAATGAGAACTATATCCTCTTGAAAATAAATGACTACTACAGTAATGATAAGCAAATTGAATGTGGTTTCATTAACTACACTCAAATCAATCAATCATTACAACAATCACAACTATTTTAATGAAAAATAAATAAAAAATAAATAATTAAATTTGTATATAATTTCTATTGTTGTTAATCTTTTATAAGTTGAATAACTATAAACTACTAATTGTTTTTAATAATAAATATGCAAAAAAAATAAAATCATGTGATCACTTAGACTAAAGTTTTTTATAACCTTAATTAGAAAAATGATCAAAAATTGTTTAATTAGTAGAAATAATGTTATTGGTAGTTTTATAAGATCTTCAACTGTTAGTGTTAGTATTAAGAGATATTGCACTAATAGTTCTACTACCAACCAAGATCAAACATTGAACAGTATCTATAGCAGAATCATTGGTGCCAACAATCATAATAAACTAATCATTAAGGATAGTGGTGATTCATTAAGAGGTAGAGGTTTATTTACTAAACTAGATGTTCAATCAGGTCAAGTCATCTATACTGAGAAACCTTTTGTTTCTTATCAATCATTAGAAATTGACAATAAAACTGTATGTATAATGATTATGATGATGATGATGATGATGATGTTTGTTACTATTATTGTTGTTGTTGTAAAAGATAAAAAATAAAAAGAAAAAAAAACATAAAAGATAACTAATTAATTAATTTAACAATGCAGATTTGTAATCATTGTTTGAAATCGTTGGATAAAGATAAAATTGAAAAATCAAAACAAAAGAAAGATGATGATTTCGATGATCTATTCTCTAAATGTGTAAAGTGTTCAACTAGATATTGCTCGGAGCAATGTAAGAGTGAATCGGATATTCAATATCATCTTGCAAGCTGTCCGAGTACATCGGGGTTCTCAGAGATCTTAAAGTATACAGCAGTAGAGAAGCGAAGATTTCCAATATTGGCTGCAAAGATACTCGCTAGAATTCTACTTGGTTATCACTTTCAAAAGAATATGGAGCATTGGGAGAATCTACAAGTTTTATCATTTGCAAAAGTAAGTTACTACATACTACTACTATCTCAACTATCTTAAGAATTCAATTCAACTAAAACATAACATCAAACTTTTAGAGAGATCCACCATTAGAATGGAAAGATGATTATAACCTATTTCAAAGAGCATTATTAACAAAAGAATCAAATAAGAAAAGTAAGTAGATAGGAGTAGTTTAACTACTTTTATATAAAATATATATTCACAATTGTGTTGGTTATTAATGATAAATTTAAAGGATTTAATTATGATTGGTTCGTTAGAGTTATGCAGATACTATATATAAATACATTGGGAATAGAAGTTGGTGCGACAGAACCGAAAGCGGCATCTACTTCATCGGGTATTGGACTGTTCTATTTGACTTCGTTTATCAATCATAGTTGTGATCCTAATTGTTATTTGGCATTCCCAACCGATCATACTGCACACCTCACAGCATTGAAACCACTGAAAGCAGGTGATGAGCTACTCATAGCCTATGGTGATCCCAACAAAGATTACATCGATCGACAATCACATCTCTTTGATAACTATGGATTCAGTTGTAACTGCTCTAAATGTCAATCCGATTTGCCAAAGAAGAAGAAGAATAACAACAACAACAACAAGAAAGCAGAGTAGATAAAGATGAATACAATCAAAACCATTAATAAAGACAAAGATAATCTTAATTTTTTAGAGGAATTACAAAGGAGAGCTCTTGCATAAATGATTCGTTTTGATATTACTCTTGATCTTGATTCAATTTAAATGAATTTTACAAATAGTTGGCAGAATTAATTAAAAAAAAAAAAAAAAAAACAAATTCACAAAATATTTATAGATCAGATAGATATGAAAGAAGAACAAAGAGATATATATTCATTGATTCTTAATCAATTGGTACATGATGGTTTTATCCATGAAGCAACAAAACTGAGTGAATCTACTATGATTCCTTGTCCACTACCTCAAGATGCAACCAACAAACTAACACAACTCTTACAATCTACATTGGCACCATCTAAAGATTTAAATACATTCGATGGTAAGTTGTTGATAAAAATAACAAAGTGTTTTTATTGTTGTTACTAATTCAACGAATAATAGATGACGATGGTAAAGAAATGGATATTGGAAATGATAAAATGAGATGTTTAGATTTAGATAGCAATAGTAGTAGTAGTTCAACGAGTGGTGGTGGTGGTGGAACTGCCTCAGCTTCATCACCGCCACTAAATAAAGTATCGTTTTTAACAAAGTTTATTACAACTCACAAGAATGCATGTCGATGTGCCAAGTTCAGTTGGGACGGTAAGTTTGTTGCAACTGGCTCGTCCGACACCTCCATAAAGCTGCTCGACGTAAACAAGATGCGTAACTACAATCAAACAAAGAATGAAACAACCGAAGACTTTGCACCTTCGCGACCAGTGGTGAGAACGTTCTACGACCACTCGCAACCGATCAGCGATCTCGACTTCCACCCGTCCGCACCGATATTGGCATCCGCCTCGAAAGACTGTACGATTCGTTTCTACGATTACAAATCATCGTTGAAACGCTCATTCAAATTCATTCAGGACAGTCATAGTGTGCGAACGATCAACTTCCACCCGTGTGGCGACATGCTACTGGCTGGTACCGATCATCATATGATTCGACTGTACGACGTCAATACATTCCAATCGTATACTGCGCGTAAAGTCAATGAACATCATCACGGTGCAATCAATCAGGTGCGTTACTCACTCGATGGCAACATCTTTGCAAGCTGCTCCAAAGACAACACCATCAAAATCTGGGATGCAACCAACTTTGGCTTGATCAACACGATTGGCTCGCCACACAACGCCAAAGAAGTAACATCGATACAGATCTCACGTAATCAAAAGTATCTACTGTCGTGCGGACGTGATAGCTATGTTAAACTATGGGAGATATCATCGGGTCGTATGATACATTCAATCAACACCGGTGTAAATCAATTTGGAAATAACGTAAGTAATTTCTAATGTTAAACTAAACAAGTAGTTAACTAACAACATATATATTCATATTACTATAGAAAAATAGATTATGTGCTACTTTTAATTGTACAGAAGATTTTATTATAACATTGGATGAACAACCATCATCGGTTGCTATTTACAATTCAACGACAGGCGAACCAGTTCAAAAACTATCGGGACATATTCAATCAATAAGATGGATTGCTTCATCGCCGGTGGAGAATGCATTGATGACATGTAGTAATGATCATCGTGCTCGTTTCTGGACTGAAGATACAACCAATTACATTCCATCATCTTCAACATCGTCATCCTCATTATCAATAACAAATACAAAACAACCTGATATAATATTATAACATAACAATGTCGATCATTAATTTAAATGTCAATTCAATCAAATAAAATAGTTAAATAACTTTGAATATTTGTAATGATTTGATCTAATAAATAGTATAGTATATAAATATAAAGGGAGTTTTATTTTATTAATTATTATAACTAACAATAATTAAATGATTGATTTGTGTTTTGTTTTGTTTTGATATGTTTTGTTTGATACAATATTTGTTGTTGTTGTGTTGTTGTTGTTGTTGTTGTTTTTTAATGATGAGTATTTGGTTGCCTATTTCTTTTTGAATACACCAAACCACAGACCTAAAAAGATGATGAGAGCAGCAAGTGTGATACCAAGACAAATGACGAGGAAGAATACTTTTTTACGGTACGATGTTTTGTAGACTAGTGCTTTTTCGAGATCGTCTACACCAGCCTCTACATTGGTGTCGGCAGTCTCTACATTGTTGTTAGCAATCACCAGCTTCTCACCGTCCTCTTCGACCAACTGTGAGATATCACCAACGATATCCTGCAGTGTTCTCATATCATCTACCAACTGTCTAGTAGCTTTGTTTCTCTCTTCAATTATATCATTATAGATCTGTTCTTGATCGACCAACTGTCCACCCAAACCAAATGTAAATTTCTTATCTTGATCTTGTTCTTGATATTGTTGTTGTTGCTGATTGAAATCATTATATCCACCACCACCATTATAATTATTGTTATTATTTTGATAACCACCACCACCATTGTTTATATTGTTTCTTCCACCAAAGTTTTGTGGTTCTCTAAATGAATTTCTATGTTGTTCAATTGCCTCTGGATCGTTGATTGGTTTTGAGGCACTCTCTTTCTTGCTAGCGAGTTGCATCAACTCTTCGAATCTATTGGTAGCATCTTTCAAATCTTTCAATATCTTTTCTTTTTGTATCTTTGACATTGAACTTGGTTGTTTCAATTTATTCGATATTAACTTTTAAGTAGTATTGTGTTTTGTTGTGTAAATGATTAGTATGTGTTGTAATGAATATGATTATATTGAATCAAATCAAATTGATAATAATACCTTTAGATTATCACTTATTTCAACTTTTTTTTGATACAAGTTAGAACGGAATGAATTGGTATCTCTGGAGGTACCCAAATCCTTCAATAGTTTATCGAAAGTTGTAATATCTCCATAGGTCCTCGAAAGGAGATGCGCCAGTGAATTTGGATCATTACTACTAAATGATAATAATGATAATGATAATGATAATATTAATATTTAATGCTAGACTGTCTTGTCTGTATATCTGTTGTTTTAAATAATAGACAACATAACATACTTAATTAAAGGTGTTCTTTCCGACATTTTTGATTACTAACTATCTTTTGTCTTTTTCTAACTTTGTTTTTAAAAATTTATTGTTTAAATTAAAAAAAAAAGAATGAATGAATGAGCGATTGAATAGGAATAATAATTTATATAAATATGTGGTTACTATTTATAAATAAATATTAAATAAAAGCAAAAGTAAACAAAAAAAGACAGACAAAGGTTTGGATTGCACTCGCTTGAAATAACAATCACACACAGTGTGTTTCTGAAATAAATATCTTAAAAACAATTTAAAATTGTTTTTTTTTATTAAAATTTTTGATAAACAAGGTGATGAAAAATCAAAAAATCAAATGATTTTTTTAATCATCTTACAAAAGAAAGAAGAAGAAATCAATCACCGAAGAATAAATATTTATTATTGTTAAATTTGTATGAAAACTTTACTTTATATTAATTAAATTCATATGAAATATATATTAGCAATAATTAAGAATTAATTAAAACTTGAAAATATTTATTAAAATATATACAAATAAATATGAATATTTTTAAACTAAATCTTTAAATATTGTTATAGGATATAAAACACAATCTTTTATTTATTGATTTCTCTTTAAACTATTTTTTTTTGAACTTCAAAGTTGATTTTTTAACAAAAATGAGTCATGACAATTCAAAAAGTTTTTTTGTTTTTTTTTTTTTTTCAAATTTAATTTTTTTATTTATTTATTAAGTTTTAATATTATCATTATTTTTGTAATTTTAATTTATATATATACATATCTTTAATTTTATTGTTGTTGCTTTATATATATATCGATATAGATAGATTCATTACAGATATAAAAATGAATACTAGAACACCTACAACTATTTACGAGGGTGTACCAACTGCACCAAACGATCTTGCAACATTGAAAACAATGGTTGCCAGAAAATATCAGAATTTAATCGAGAGAACTATTAGTTTTATTGTACAGAGATGGGTTGCTCTTGGTGGTGTGTATTACATTACAGAGAGAGAGATGTTTAAACATAATAATGAACAACATCTCTCTGTTTCTTTGCGAGATATCATCATCATCACTATCATCATTATCATTTATATCAACATAATAATCGATAATCATAGATTATTGGCCAATAATCTATAGTTCAGATACAAAAGAATGTTAAATCGATTCACTTTCATAACATATACAGGACAGAGAGAGGATAGATTAATACTTTGGATAGATGTTTTAACATTACTTTTAGAATATTCACATAGATTATGCGATCAACTATAGACATAAAATGAATCGATTATACATTAGATTGATCAATATGTTGGATTATATGTGATGTTATAATGAATGATATATAGATGATAAGATAGAGATGATTATCTAAAAATAGATTTTTTTATTAACTCTCTATAATTTTTCATATTATCATAGTATTGTTTTTGATTTATTTACTTAGAATCTATTTCCATGGTGGATTCTATGTGATTACATATGCACTCGGTATCTTTTTATTGACACAGGTTATTGCTTTTCTTTCACCAAAGTGGGATCCAGAGTCACAGGATGACGGTATGGCTCTTCCAATGAAGGGTGACGACGAAGCCAAACCATTCGTTCGTAGATTACCAGAGTTTTTATTTTGGTAAGTGTTATCTATATGATGAATAACAATGTTTAGTTGGTACAAACACCATCTCCTCCATCAAAATACTAATACTTTTTTACTACAAAACTATAAACTATAGGCACTCAATTCTTAAAGCAATAGTTATCAGTATTTTCTGTACTTTTATTCCATTTTTGGATCTCCCAGTATTCTGGCCAATTCTTTTGATCTACTTTATCATTTTATTCACCATCACCATGAGAAATCAAATCAGACACATGATCAAACACAAATACATTCCATTCACCGTAGGAAAGAAAGTTTATAATACAAGAGATTAAAAATAAATAATAATAAATAATAAATAATAATAATAATAGTACAAAAATATAAAAATAATAACTTTAAAACTAATTAAATAAAATAAAACTTTAAATAAAATAAAAACTTAACACTGAGATCTTTGCTCAACAATGAAAAAAGAAATTTCTTTTGTAATTTTCATTTTTTTTTATGATAATAATTGATTTTGTTTTTGTTGGATCTGAGATCATTGCAATGATCAACCACATTCTATCAGCAAATTATAATAATAGTTACAATTAGTATAGTTATTATTAGAACAATTGTTTGTTTTTAAATGTTTATAGATATTTAATAATGTCAAATAATAATAATAATGAACATTATAATTATATCGATCAGAATATGATCGTTGGTAATAATAGTGATTGTAACAGTAGTAGTGATAATAATAATAATAATAATAATAATAATAATAATAATAATAATAATAATAATAATTTTAGAAAAAGTGATAATTATGTATTATATGTAAAAAGTTCACATGGTGAAAGAAGTATTTGTAGTAGTAATAATAGTATTATGAGTGGATATGATAGGTCGAGTGAAGTTGACTCTGCTTTTGCTAATATCAATTTCACACAGATGACGATACAGGCAGAGAAAGATCAAGAGTCAATGTATGACTCTGGTGCCAAAGATCTACCCGTTGAAATGAGACCACTGAAACCAATGGTCGATTCAACACCCTCAGTAAACATCTTCTCTAAAAATCAATTCTGTAGTGATATAGATAATCAAATAGATAATTCAATCTATCATATAAATAGTAAGTATATATATCTATATGTTGAAATGAAATAGTTAATTACAACAATATTGTTATGGAAATCCAAATACTAAAAAAACAAAAACAAAACAAAATCTTTAAAGATTCTTGGAATGAAACATTTCAACAGCTATTGAGTAAACCTGAATCCGAAGAAAGATTGAAAGAACTGAATAGCTTGTATCAGGCATTCATAGAGACTGCCAATCGATATGGAAAGATCATCATCGCCGAGAGAAATCTAACCGATATGGAAAAGACAATCAAACCGATGATTGAAGCGGGTGGTGTTGCTGGTGGTGTAAAATATAAATGTCAAGTAAGTGTTTGGATATAGAATAGATTGTTAAGAAATAATAATAATCAAATTAACATAACAATAATAATTTTGAAGAATATATTCTTTAAATTTGCAAAAGATAAAGAAATACCAGGACTTGGTTATATTTATGGTGGATTGAATGGACCTAATCATGAGAAAGCACAGAAAAGTCAAGGATTAGAGTTGAAGGCATACAATCGTTATTTCGATTTCTTTTGTAATTCAACTGGTTCCACTCAAACAGGTTCATCTCTACCCAATTCACCGGTGGGTGGTTCACCTCCAACTGTTTCTCCAATCCCATCAAGAGCAAATCCAACATCAACAACTTCAGCAGCTACAAATAATGATTATGATAGTTCCAATGATAGTTCCAATAATAATAATAATAATAATAACAATAATAACAACAATAATAGTAGTAAACAATTAATACATTTACCATTAATGGCATTAATTGATTATTGTGGACATCGTATCTTGGCTGTTTCAGAGATACCTATTGATAGATCAAGTTTGGTATATGGTTCATCAGATGGTGGTGGAGTATGTTCATAAACATTACTTTTTAAATATTATATTTTTATTGATACTGTTGTTAACTAACTAATCGTTTATCATTTAACATTTTAGAATGTTTATAATTCAAAGAAAGAAATCAATGATGAAATGTTAAGATTTGCACAATATTATAATATAGAGAGTCAGATCTTTACTGCTGCCAACAAAACAACACAAACACTACATAGTGCATTCGATGTAGAAGTTCATCGTGGTAAAGACAATCGTTATTACATCATTGATTTAGCAAGAACATTCCCACCATTATGTACATTTGTACATGGAAAGTAAGTAACAATAATAACAATTAATTATTATTATTATTAATCATTTATTTGTTTATTACTTACTAAAGTGCTGAATCTGATAAGTTATTTAAATTAATGAGACCAGAGTTGTGTACAAAGTTTAGAGAACAAAACTTTGCAAAGATATCACCCGATGTTTTCGTGCATGCCTCTGATCAATCGAGTGCCGAACAACAGAAACACATTCAGGTTCTGACAGCCATACTAAAGACTGATATCATTCGTAGTAAATCGACACATTTGAATACGATTATCAATGGTGTTTACACTCAGAAGGAGTTGTCAACGGGCGATATTCGTGCAAGTGCCAATATTAAGGATCTCGATAGTTTCCTCTTTGAAATCACTCATCAGAATCAAGAGGATCTCAACGTCTACGTTGCGAAATCACTGCAAATCGATAACATCATCAACTATCTACATGGTAATGGTATCAACATTCGTTATATGGGTATAGTTATCAATAATCTCACCAACCCAAGTCTCAAACAGATACTCTACACTGAAATGGTTGCAAGAGCATTCAAAAGAATTATAAGGTAAGTTAAAACAAAACAATTTATAACAATATCTATTCTATTCTATATTCTAATATAATTATTATTTTAGAAACGAAATTGCAAATCAAGAGAATCAATATGGATTATATGATAGTATTGCTAAACAAGTATTCTCTTTCACCATTGAATATATTCAATATAATGGTGATCAATCACAGCAAGTCAGTAATTTCTGGAGATCTTCTAATATCAATGAATTTAAACATTGTTTAAAAGCATGTTTTGAATTAAGTATGACACATGAAGAGTTTAAAGAGTATGTTAGTTATATTAATATTTTAAAAAGTATAAAGATGATCTTGTTGTTATTAATTATTCTTATATTATTTAGTGAAAAGTTTGATATTAGATCATGTATAGATGTTAAACTATTGGTTTATAGATTAATAAAGCTTTTCAATGTAAAGGTGAATGTTAATTCAATGGATCTGTTCTTGAATAACTCTAGCTATTGTTTGAAGAGATCGGATCTCGAGGATTTCGATTCGATTATAAAGTATCCTGCTTTTATCGATTACTCTGCTGGTATCTATCATCTGTTGTGTGCCAAGAAGTTGATTGAGAGTAAAGCTGCGAATCGTGCTGACATTCATCGAATGTTGGATATTGCCAAGTCAAAGTTGGCTTGTGCACTGCGGTCGCTACCAGACGATCCGAAAACACTCTCGAATCTCGCCTATGTCGATCTGTGCAAGTCATTCCTCACTACAATCTCTGAAGATTCCATTCGGCTGCTTAGACAATCGATTGTTTTGCTACGTTCGCTATCTCATCGTACTGCACAGATCTACTCTCAGTTGGTGTTGGCAAGCTTCGATTTGGCGATACACTATGCACATCTCTCGAAGGAATCACACGTCGCCACCTACTTTGTCGACGGTATGAAATACTTGAAGACCGCACTACAGAAGTTCCCGAATGAAGCGATCAAACACTTCATCGCGAGTGTATTGATTCTGTTCAACACCTCGAATGACAATCATGTCAATCCGATATTGGAGCGTTGGAAGAACTACATGTATATCTTCTTTGGTATGGCTATCGTTCAAACCAATTCATCGCGTGCACTTCTTCAATCGACTTTCTCAAAGACATTCTCAGAGGTCGAATCGATCAGAATGTTCAAAGCGATCGATCTCAAAGTGATGGCAATCAAAGCGGTCAATCCAGAACAGTTGAAACAGATGCGTGTTCATTCAAGAGTTTCACAAGTTAATAATAATAATCAAGCAAGTGATCTAAGACAATCTCAATTCGGTATCAATAGCAATATTAATAGTAGTAGTGTAGATTCATCAATGTCTCCTAGTAGTGCAAGTAGAATTCGTGTTGAAACCGACGGTGATAAAACATTGCTCGGTATGATGTCGTTGGTTGTCGAGAAAATTAGAAAGTTGGAGATTGTCGATAGTGATATTGCACCGCTCTTTAGCAAGACTACCGATCGACAATGTATTTTCAAGCATTTGGAATCGTTTTTCTATATTCTCAATGATCCAGATATCAATATGGAGTCGGTCGTTCCAACTTTGAATCGTTTGATCTGTCGTGATTCCAAACTGAAACAATTCAAGCTGGTCTGTCACTTGAAGCAGCTACAACCAAAGCTGGAACTCACTTCACTCAATACTCTGTATCTATCGATGCATCTACACGACCAGTTGTTCTCGCCTTACTTTGACCCGAGTCAACTTGTCTCACTTACATTGATCGACCATCCAGAGTTTGACATTTTCCGTTCGACTCACGAAGATTCCTACATCTCCGATAGCTATCTCTCGACTCTGCTCGCCAAGTGCAAGAATCTCGTTAAACTCTCACTGTCGCTCTATTTCATTACGGATACGGCATTCAAAGGTAACCTCCCGTTCCTTGGTAACCTCGAACATCTCTCACTCAGCAGGAGCTCACGTCTCACACCCGGTCTGCTCAACACCCTTGTCGCTGCAGCCAAGAAGTTGTTGAGTTTGGATCTAACAATGACTTCGGTCACCAACAATATCATTGCACATGCCGTTGCTAGCAACGCCAATATGCATACTCTCAAAGTATCGTCCGATCCCAACAACAACTACCAATCGGATCCGTTCTTCCAGTCAAACAAACCATGCACCTCAGAGACAATCATAAAGATGCTTTCGTCAACGAGATTGCACGCTCTCTGTATCCTACATCTCCCGGTGATAACCTCCTACGAATCAGAGCAATACACCATTCTCTGGAAACTACTTGGAACTCTCCCGAATCTCATTGAACTCGCACTGCCCGGTGCCATCAACTTGATCTCACTGATGAACAATCGACCCGATACATTCAGTGCCAACTCGAGCATCGATTGGCGATACAGCCAAATTGAACCGCCCATCCTACCGAAACTCACCAAGTTACTCATGACCGAAACGATCACCACCACGAAAACATCGTTCAAACATCTCATTCAGATGGCACCGAAACTCACTTCACTTTCGATCCGCGGTATAGTCCGACTGCTCCACAACGGCACAGAAACATCCGATCTCCGTCCCCTATTCCCTCTGTTCAACCAAATCAAAGAACTGGAACTCTCGATTCTCGGAGTTGTTGACGATAACAAATTCTACCGTGATCTACTCACAACATGTACATCGCTCTACAGTCTCAAATACATGTGTCTACAAGACAGTCCAGCGTGGAATATTCACAAAGATTTCCCACTCGTTCAAATCGAAAGATCGGTATTACCTCCACCTGACATCTTTACTTCACAAAATAAAATAATAATAAAAAATTAAACAACACCCCACAACTTTACTAAACTAGTTCTTGAGTAAAGTGGTGGTTTGTGTCATCAGATTTTTTACGAATACTTGGAAAAATTTGCCGCGAAATTTTAAAGATTCCTTTATTTGATCAAACCTTTACTTATTTATTATTTTAAATAATTATCATACTTGTTATATAACAAATAATATATTATATATCTTAAAGAATGCCAAAGAAGGTATGTTAATATAAAATATTTCGCGCTCAAACAAAAGTGTTTGAAAAAACTTACTCTATTTGGTTTTCAGGGTGCAAAGAGAAAGGAAGTCGAACCAGAGGTTGAGGTTGCTGAAACAGAGAAAGATGAGGAAGTCGAAGCTGAAGAGGCTGAAGATAAAGTAGAAAAGAAAAAAGCAACAACAAAGAAACAGAAATCGACAACAACTACTACTACTACAACTACCGCTTCGAAAAAGAAAAAAGTTACTAAAGCCGATGAAGTAGATGAGGATGATGAAGAAGCTGCTGAGGAAGAAGATGCTGAGGAAGAAGATGCTGCTGAAGAATCGAGTACTAGTACATCGGATGACACTAGCTTTGCCGAACCCGAAGTAAAAGAGAACCAGCTAAAGATCATGTCTTGGAATGTCGCTGGATTCAATTCTTGCACCAAGAAAGGATTCAAAGCGTACGTCGAACAAGAACAACCCGACATTCTCTGTCTCCAAGAAACAAAGATCCTACCATCGAAAGTACCAAAGGATGCCATTCCAAAGGGTTACGAATATCATTTCAGTGCATGTAGAAAAACCTGGATTCCATGGTACTGGGTAAGAATATTATTATTATTTGATTTGTAGAGTGTCGACTAACTATATATATATATATTTTTTTTACAATTCAAATTAGTTTATTGACTAAAGTTAAACCGATTTCCGTCACAATGGGAATGGGTGTTGGTAAGCACGATAAGGAAGGTAGAATCATCACTGCCGAGTATGAAAAGTTCTACCTTGTCAATACATACGTTCCAAACTCTGGTGTCGATAGAAAGACACCATTAGCACGTCTGGACTATCGTACTAAGGAGTGGGATGTCGATCTATTCAAATACATGCACGAACTCAACAAGAAGAAGCCCGTCATCTGGACTGGTGACTTGAATGTTGCACACAAAGAAATAGATCTAAAGAATCCAAAAGGAAATGTAAATATTATTAGTATTAATATTAATAATCAAATATTATTAAACATTAATAATCTATCATCTTTATTATTTAGGTAAGAACCGCTGGTTTCACTGTTGAAGAGAGAACTAGTTTTAGTGGATTCTTGGAGAGTGGATTCGTTGATACATTCCGTCACTTTAATCCAAAGAAGGAGTTCCAATACACCTTCTGGTCGTACATGAGAAACTCAAGAGCATCGAATGCCGGTTGGAGATTAGATTATTTCATTGTGCCATTGACTTTTATTGGTTCTGTTGCTCATTCTTTCATTAGATCAAAAGTTACCGGATCAGAGTAAGTGTAACATACAGATCAATATTTAAATCGATACATTAATGATTTTATTTATTTATACTAATTGATACTTGCAAATTTTATCTACAAATCCAGTCACTGTCCAATCGGTATCGTAATTGACAATTAAAAATAATAAATAATTTATTTGTAAAATTTAAATATTTTGTTTTAGATTATTTATTGATAAGTAGGAAGTGAATGTTATTTGATTGCTCATAATGTCATGTGGAAATTGTAATATTACTGTTTTAAACAAATATTTCCTTTAAATTAAAATTGAGATATTTTTCAATATCTTCATCACTTTTGCCTATTGTCAGACCAAAGAAAAATAGGATTAAACAAAACAAATAAAAAGAAAACATAAAGATAAAGTTATAAAGGAATTTATCGAGAATTACGACTTATTTTAATTTATTATTTTAATATTATTCAAGATATTATGTTTGCAGACAAATCAGATATTATTTGGCTTGTTTATTTCATGCTCTAAAGTTGTCTCTTTATTCGTTATACTCACAGTTATCCAATTATCTTACCTTCTGCAAAGATTAAGGTATTTGCCATTATTACCAAAAAAACCGCAAAAATTAATAAATATTTAGACATTGTTAGTGCAGTACCATTTATTGCATTTTCCTATCCATTCGCACAGACACTTGACATGAACGTGCTCTCCTTTCTCTTTCTCTTTGACTGGAAGTAGCAATAAGTATCTTTTCTATTCTATTAGTTTAATATATGAACTATAGTTCATAAACTTTAACTTTTGTTTTGATATTTTCGGCTTTTGTGAACAATAAAGTATGATTCGATTTTCCATTTTTTTGATGTATTAAAAAATCAAGAATCCTTCCCAATCTTTAAGATTCAATAAAAATAAACTCAGAACTCAATCTGTTTATTTATTATTATTAAAATTAGAATAAAATTAATTCTCGTATTTAACATAGTTGTAATTATTAGCTAATAAAACAAATGAGCGATTAAAAAAGAGTTTTTTTTTGTTTTTTGTATTTTTTTTATTTTAATTTTTTTTTTTTGCAATTAAAAAAAAAACGAATGAAACGACCGATTTAATTTTTTAATTATTTTTTCTCTGTTCCTCAAAGCAATAGATCAAATATATTTATAATTATCTAATATATATATAGTTTTATTTTAGAAATATGATCTCTGCAATTGCTTGGATTCCAAGAGGTGCTGCTAAAGCAATCCCATCCAAATACGACCCATCACAAGATGAAGCTTTGTTGGAGGAAGAGGGTTACGATCAAGAGGAATTAGATGCTCTCAGTGAAGAGGATTTCGATGAACTCAAAAAGAAGGACGGTGATGCACCTGACGAAGAGGAAGAAGATGATGTTGAAAAGAAGGAAGGTGAAGAAGTCGAAGAGGAGGAAGAAGAAGAGGAGGAAGATGAGAAAGAAGAAGATCCAGATGCAGAGTTTAACAAACGTTACAACTTGGATGAGTATGACGATGACGAAGTCGACGGTGAAGTAGACGACGAGGAAGAGGAAGAGGAGAACGGTCTCAAGTTTATCAACAAAGCAATGAAGGGTCTACTCTACTATAAGAATCCCGATGAAGATCCATACCTCGATGAACAAGACGAAGACATTGAAGATCTCGAGGATTTCTTGATTCGTCCAACCGATTCGCTCTTGATTGCCGCCGTTGCCAATGACGAAGACGATTTTTCACATCTCGATATCATGGTCTACGAAGAGGATTGCGACAATCTCTATGTACATCACGATATCATTTTAGGTTCATTCCCACTGTGTCTCGCATGGATGGATCAATCACCAACAGAATCAACCGAAAAAGGTAACTTTGTTGCCATCGGTACATTCGAACCAGCCATCGAAATCTGGGATCTCGATGTAGTAGATAATTCATTACCAACAGCTATTTTAGGTCAAACTGAAATTGATAAAGGATATAAAAAGGTAATGCTGCTTAGCTATAGCTATACGATATCAATTAAAATCTAATCATTAATTCTATTTAAATTAATATTATAGAAAAAAGCAACAATGACAACTGCAAGTCATACTGGTAGTGTTATGGCATTAAGTTGGAATTCACAACAAAGAAATGTATTGGCAAGTGGTTCATCCGATAAGACTGCAAAGATTTGGGATATTACAAAATCAACTTGTATCAATACATTTACTCATCATAAAGATAAGGTAATTAATTTCTTACTAAAAAAAAACATAATTATGTTTTTGTTATAAAGACTAATTAACCCTTTTCTTTTTTATTCTATTGGAATTACTTTAGATTCAATCATTGGAATGGAATAAACAAGAAAAGACAGTATTATTATGTGGTAGTTATGATAAGAGTATTTCGATTATCGATGTTAGAATGAGTGCCTCATCATACTTTAAATGGCCATTGGTATCGGATTGCGAGTCACTCCAGTGGAATCCACATAATCCAAAGGAATTCGTTGTTGGAACTGAGGACGGTTCACTTACCTGTTACGATGCTACATTGGGTTCAAATAGCAAACCAGTATGGCAAATCAAAGCTCACGCAAAATCATTATCTACTTTTTCATTCTGTCCAGGTCAACCAGGTTATTTCGCCACCGGTTCATCCGATCAAACCATCAAGCTATGGACCATGGAGAATGGAAAACCAAAACAAATTGAACAAAAGAAGATTAATCAAGTAACTATTTTGAAATTATCATCATTTTTTATAACTAGTTTATCTAACGGAAAATCATTTGCTTTTTTTTTTAGGAAGTATTTTCAGTTTCATTTTTCAGTAGTTCACCATTTTTATTGGCAATTGGATCAGAATCGAATAGACCAGTCGTTGTCAACACAAAGAGATTCAAATCAGTTCAAAATGTTTTCGGTATCAGTGCACCAGAAGGATTCAACGAAGAACCAAAGTTTGGTAATTTCGATAAACCAAGATCAAAGAAACCAAGAGGTGAAAGCGATGAAGATGATGACGATATGGATGATGAAGATAGTGATCAATAAACATAAAATATTTAAAATTATTGAAAAAAAAAAACTATATAATTATTCATTTTATTTGATTTATTAAATTAAACTTCCACCTCCACTGTTATTGTTGTTATTATTTCTATTGTTGAAGTTATTATTACTATTCATATTATTATTCATGCTATTCATATTATTCATGTTATTCATACTATTCATTTGATTATATGAATTGTTATTGTTATTCATATTGAAACCAACAGATCCATTAAGATTGGTTACATTGTTATTACTGTTATATGTATTTGAACCCATATTAAATCCAACACCAGAATTATTTCCACCGGTTTGTTGTAAGAATTGGGAATTGGAAGCATATTGTCCACTTATTCTCTTGTTTGTCACACCTTGTGATTGTGACATCAAGTTACTATTCATTTGAAGGCTATCTAAACCTCCAAATATATTGTTATTAGTGCTGCTGCTGCTGCTGCTATTTCCAGAGCTACCATAGTTAAAGTTGTTCGATGGTGGAGGTGCTAGAGGTGATGGATTAGAACTTGGTTGTGATCTAATATTTAAGTTGGAGAAATTAATATTGTTATTATTATTATTTGATGAAGAAGGAGTAATGGTAGAGGAAGCAAATGGTTGAGAAGTCGAAATTGGTGTTGGTATTGAATTGAATGAAGAATTGTAGCTGTATGTAGGTTGTGGTGTGGGTGCAGGTTGTGGTGTTGGTGTGGGATTGGAGAAACTGTTTGAAACTGGTTGCAATGTATCTGTGAACGATATATTGTAGTTGGCTCCTGTCGGTACTGATGGATTTATTAGACCAGGCTCATTGTCTATCGAAATGTTATAATTTGGTTTGGCTGTGGAGCTACCTGTTGTCGGTTGCAATACTGGTGCTGTTGTAGTCGAACTTGAATAACTGTAATTTGGCGCAGCAATATTGCTTGAAGAAATTGGTGCTTGATTCGATCTATTTGTATTTGGAGTTGGATTGAAGTTGAATGGAGATGAGCTATTATTGTTGCTGCTACTACCAATGTTACTATTTATAGTATTGTTCGATTTTGATGGTGAAATGGAAGAGGAAGAAGAAGCAGAAGCAGAAGTGTAAATGGGTGTAGCAGGAATTGCTGATAATAAACTTGCACCTGGTTCAACATATAATGGTGTGGTGGCAATTGTCGGTGGTGGCGATGACAATGAAATTGACGATGGTTGTGTTGAAGCGGTATTTCCAGTTGAATAGCTAGTGAAATCTGGACTTTCAAAGAATGAACCACTACCCGATATTTTCTGACCAAATTGTGGACTTGTTTGTTGTTGTGCAGTGGAGAGGGGCGACTGTTTAAATGCACTATTTGAGGAGCCCGATAAAAAGTTGGAAGGAATTGAAATCTTTGGTAGATCTTGTGGTGGTGCTGCTTGAGCTGTAGCCATATGATTCTCCTCGAATGGATTGGATGAATGGTTGTTGGCGGCACCACTACCACTACCAAGTACACTATTGAATTGATTCATCTCCTCATTTGTATTCTTTGTGAATCTCTTTAGATTGTTTAGTTCATTGATTCTCTCCATCTCGTATGTATTCAAAACATCTTTGACAACCTTCATAATCGTTTTGAATTGCTCCAGATCCAAGTGACGATCGGCAGAGAGTGGGATCAACGCTGGCAACACTTTGAGAGCGAGTAGTTCTCCACCCAACTTTTTAGAAACCGCTTCATAAGTGATAACCAACGCCTCTAATATTGGTGGTGAATTATCGATAGATAAGATCTTTTCCAAACTAGGAATCATATGTTCAACTATTAGCTTCTTATCCAACATTGGAACCAATCTAAAGAATATTAAAAAACAATATTAATAAATATTATAACATATTAAAGAAATAAACAATAAATACATACAATGAAAACCAATGAATTGATTTCGTACGAATATGTAATGGGAATCCAGCAACACAAAGATTTGTTAATCTTGGTATCATGCCAGCAATTATAGTATCTGGATCAAAGAATTTAATTAAATTGGTAGAGACTTGTAAACATTGGAAAATAATCTCTGGTGTTGGTCCACATAATGTACCAAGTACAACAGGCAATAAATCTACAATATAGATTTCAATTAATATTAATATTAAATATTCTATAAATTGCATTATTATCAATTTTATAATTACATTTCTTTATATATTCATTGGTTGCTTTCTCAATAAATGTTTCTACATTCTCCAAGAGACAATGTAAGACATCTACTTTTGGATCTTTACTAGTGAGAATCGGTATCAATGGTTGAGCAATCTGTTCATGGAATAACTCCTTCTTAACGGCAGAAGCAACAGCAATTACATTTGGTAATACAACATAAACAATTCTATCATTTGATAATTCTGATAATAAAACAGGCAATATCTTTTTCGTTTTTAAAAGTTAATAAAAGTATAATGGTTTGAACTTTTTGATTAAAACTAATTAGTTTAGTTTTCTTTTACTTACATAACTAATTTTAATTCTATCAGAGAATTGATTCATAATTCTAAAGAGTCCTCTGAAGAATTGAAGCTTCGATTCATCTTCCTTCTGACTGATGTTGGCAAGATAGACGAGTGACTTCACTTTGATATCGGTGAAATAGGTTGACCGGATGAATGAATCGAGGTCACCACGTATCGATGAATCACCGAGCAGAATGGTCGATACTTTTGCACTGTCGCTCTCACGTTGCATTGTACTGGCGGCTCGCCTACAGTTGGAAAGTCGTGTGGCATGTCCAACTGAAGCACCAAGTTTCGATATATTCTCCTGATCACTAACCACCTTTTGATCCAAATTCATCGCCAACTCACAGATAACTCGTCCAATTGAGTATAGATCACTGTTATACTCGAAACGATGTTGTTGAATATATTCCGGTGGCAAATAATCAAACTCTGGTAGAAAAGCAGTCGGTTCCTCATAGAGAAACTCTCTAAAGTCTTGACTTATACCTGCCATCGGTTCCTTATTATCGATTGAACATGAAAATCCTAATCCACCAATTTTCCATTTCAACTAGAAATTGTTGTTGTTGTTGTTGTACAATTGAAATTAGTTTGATTTTCTCTTATTTTACAATATTTGTATTGAAATACTTTGGTGAGGTGATAATAGTTACATTTTTAGTTATAAATATTGATTCCGGTGAAATGTTACGATGTAATAACTTTGCAGTTGTATTTAGGAAGTGTACTCCCTCGAGGACCTGTGAGATACCGAGTTGAATCTCGAGTTCTTCGAATGTGAAATGATGTTGTTTGAACTCCTCGCTTGATACCTGACTGGATTTCGAACGTTGACGATACTGGGTGATTAGATTGGCTAGTGTTGCCAAGACCGGTTCCGTTGCAAAGTACAATGACACCTTTGTCTCTTCGGCAGCCGACACCACATTCAAAATAGCGGGATGTCTCAACCGAATCAGACTCTGTGCCTCTTTTTTCAGACTTGCAAACAACTCTTCCTGTTGTGATTTCGATACTTTTTCAAATTGTTTCTTTTCAAATAACTAAACACAACAAGCAACAACAACAAAAAACAACAAAAGAGTGAGTCAGTTAATTAAATAGCTACAATATCAAAACAACTATAATAGTACATACAAACACTGAACACTCTTCACCCGATGTTTTCTTTGTGGCATCGTGAATCTTCCAGAACTTTGTATGTGCATTCGATGCTCTCAAGTCAAAGTCTTTGACGGCGGGAGATATTGCACTGCTAAGGAATCCTTTGAATTTCTGTGTAACTGACTCCATCTATTTTTCACTATAATCACACATAGTATAACTACTATGCTAAACAACCAATACTACTAACTGTCTACTCTGCAATTTGAAACTGAGATTTAAAAATAAATAACAAAATTATAAACCCAATTAAATTAAAAAAAAAAAACAAAAATAAAAAAATAAAAAAGATATTAATATTATACCCCCTCATATGAGTTACATTGAAAATGAATGAACGATAACATTGATCGATCAATGTTACTTTAAAGTCAGATATATCAATATCAATAAATAAATAAACAAAAACAATTTTGAATTATTATTATTTGATTTTATATTTATACAAATATCTTTTATCTATTGTTTTTTTTTTTTTTGTTTTTTGTTTTAGTCTTATTATAGACTTTGTATTATGATATTATTAATAGTTGTGCTGTTGTTGTTGTTGTTGTTGTTGTTGTTGTTGTTGTTGTTTGTTTTGTTTGATTTGCTATTGGTTCGTTTTCTTATTTAAGTAAATATATAATAAAATTTGATTTATATTTGATCAAATCGTTTATAGAGCAGTATCCAATGCTTCATCTTGTGAATTCAATTCCTTGAGCTTGGTTTGAAGGAATAAATCAGTTCTTGCTTCTTTGTTGATACGTACTGCATTACGAGATGCAGTATCATCGATTTCGAAATTAACTCTCTTCATAGCATAGATTGCTGGTGCAAACAACAATGCAGCTCCAACTGTAATTCTAATATTTGATTCTAGAAGTAAGTTTTAAGTAATAAGTAAGTAAGTAAGTTTATTAGTTTTGTTTATACTATTATTGCTTGTTATTTGTTATTGTTGTTACTTGTTTGCTTGTTACTTACTGTATATACCGACGGTGAGTGCAGCAGCCAATGAACCAACGACGTCATTCCACATATCGTCTTGTTGACGAATCGATTTGGTAAAGTGTTTACCGGCAGAGTACGAAAGACCCAAGAGAGCACCGGCAGTGATACTCTTTGCAAAGACAGAGTTGGTGCTACGGAAGAACTCTGGTAGAGTGGTTTGTGTAACGAACGGTGTCTTTGGGTAGGTGATATTAGTTGCTGCCAATGCACCGAATGCACCTCCAACAATACCGGTTTGTACAACCTTTGACATTGGACTCTCTTCTGCTGTCATCTTCTACTACTACTATAATAAATATATCAATCTAAAACCTAAAACTAGATAATTAAAAAAAACTAAATCAGAAATAAAATGATCACCAAAAAAAAAAAAAAAAAGTGTGAAAAACAAAAAAAAAAAAACAGTAATTTGATTTCCAAGACAATGAAGCGAAAGATCATCATCAAGTCGAGAGTATGAGTATTAAGTGTTTTATTCATATCTTATTTGTATATTCAAATTGTGATTTGATTGTATTTTATTGTAGCTAAACGATCGTTTCTATGCATCTAATGATAGATATACATAGTGATATTTACTAATAAGTTGAGGTATACTTGATATGATCGCGCCATATCGCTGTGAGTTGTTATATATTTCAAATAGTGGAACTGCAATTAACTCTAAATTCGAAGGAACTGCAAATGTACCTAGTGTAGTTGTTATAAAAAGATTTTGAGTTAATTGCAAATAATCTAGAGATACTCATCTTTGGTTTTTGAAAATAAAACATACATTTCTCAGGTAAAGTTACAACATATAGTTTTTTACATTCTTTTGGTTTTGTTATATGAGGTGGAATATATGGGTACTATTATTATACATGTTAAGTTAAGTTACTATACTTCTTTGTTGTTGAATGATATCATTTGATTGTTTGTTTACATAACTATACATACTAAAATTTGTTCGAAATTGGGTCTCCACCAAGTTGCAATGTTTTCTCCCACTTCCCATGGTGAATCGGAAACCGAGGTGCCGATCGGTGATAACTTCTTTGTCAGCTTTCTAATTAATCCATCTATTTCGTTTTCTCCTGGTTTAAGTTTACCTCCTGGTCTACAATCAATATATATATAGTGATATAGCAATAAAAAGTTAGAAGAGAGAAAGATAAACATCAAAAGAACCAATACTAACAATTTAAAGAATGTATTTGCTATCTTTAATAAAAGTATATGTGGATGATTGTGATTGTGTACAATGATGATTGCCTCTACAGTCTTTCTAAGTCCTTCTTTCTCAAAGTTCTCTTTCATACGAGCCAACCGCGATACCACAGAAGAATCTTTTTCTTTGACAGGTTCTTTCGTACCAAATGAATAGCTAGTATTGAAATTAAATAGAGTGAGTGTTCTTAGTGACGCCATTTTCTCTGTTCAACACTCAACTATTCTATTTATAAACAAGTATAATATATAATAAAATTACTAAATTAATTTATTTTTCTAATTTTTTTTTCACTTATTAAAAAATTTTGGCACATGTTAATAAAAGTTTGAAGATCAACTTTAAAGTCTCAACATAAAAATAGAGAAAATCATAACATTTGTAATAATTAGTTATAATTAAGAGATATATAATTAATTATAATAATATTATTAAAAAAAAACAAAAAATTTGGTCAAATAACTAAAACATATCTTCAGAAATAAATGAGAATTACTAGTAACCAGTGGTTGATAATTCTTTCATAATTTAATAATAATCAAAGTAAATTTACTTAGAAAAAAAAAAAAATAAAGAAATAGAAGTTTCTTTGGAATAGTTATTCGAGGTTCTATTCGACCACCCACAAGCATTACCTAAAGAAGCAAGTTTAAGATAATAGTTAAGATTTTTGATTTTTCCATTCCGATTAAGATATGATTGATATTAAATTAAGAAAGTGGTGGTGTTCAACAATAAACAATGACAACATAATTGATATTTCGTAACGTTTTTCTTCGTTTTACAACAAATCATTCTTTTTTAGAATTTACACACATTTTTTATGAAAAAAAACGATCCTAGAAAATTCTTTGGCTTTTTATTTTGATAAAAATGGGATCAACATCATTTTTTTTTTAAAAACAAAAAAAACAAGATATTAATTTTATTTTTTGTTTTTTTTCTTCAAATTTCCTTCATCATCTGATTTAAATAAAAACTGAGGCTTTGTTTGTCTTTTATTTTTTAATAGAATACTTTTTTAAATCAAAATCTTTGTGTGTTTTAAAGTTGTAGGTATCGACTTAAACAAATCAATTCTCTCTACACAAATCAATCAACTATCATCGTTGTAATCATTTGTTTCGATTTTTCATAATAAAAAAGATTATTATTTATAATTATAAAAACAATCCATTTTATAAATAAATGGTGAATGATAAATAAATCAAGTTTTAACCAATAAAAAATCGATCTGACTGATTCAAAATATAAAAATAAAAATAAATACCCAATTAACTTAACACACAACACACAATAACAATAACAATCAAACCTAAAGATATGATAAAAAATATAAAATATAAAAACTTCAATAATAATTTGAAATTTAACCACAAAAACAAAATTTGAATCATGATTATAATTTAATAAAAGGTGGAATATAACTATCAAAACAATTTGAAAGAGCAACAATTAAACAAAAAAAAAAGAGTTAAAATTTTATATTCGATTTTCTTTTTTATTTTTTTTATTTATTTTTATTTCTTTATCTTTTAGATTTATAATACCGATTATTAATTATTTTTCTTTTATACATATTTAGAACTTCACATTGATTTAATTTATAATGTTTAGACAATTAGTCTTTTTAGCCACAGTTTTGGCTGTTGCCATGGCTGGAGGTTCAGTTCCACAAATCCCAACACCAACTCAAGTAAGTTATTGAAAAAGCAAAAAAAAAAAAAAATCTTTTGAAATTGCCCAATATTTATATTGATTTTTTTTTTTTCAATTATTCTAGTATTATATGTCTGGTACTTTCGATATTCCATACTTTAATATTACAGAACCAATCGAATTGATTTACGATGCTGTCAACAACCGTCAATACATCAGCTATTACAATGGTTTGGATATCACTTTGAATTTCTTTGACCAAGACATCTCCTACGCCATTGGTCCACGTGTCAACACTCAAATCTGTCAATCGATCCCGGGTAACGGATCATTGGTTCAAGTCCTCCCATCGGAGCCATCCACCTGGACCTACAACGGTACCTCAACCATCAACGGTGTCGACGTCTTCTCATACTCACAAAAGGTTGTCAACTACGGAGTTGCCGCCTACTACACTTTCTACATGGATGCCAACGGTGTTCCAGTGCAATTCTACTTGGACGGTGTCGATTTCATTTTCGACTCTCACCCAGATATCTACATTTTGAACTTCAACACTTTCACCACCGACATCTCGCCATACGAAGATCTCTTCAATATTCCAGCCATCTGCAATAAGGCCGAGCAATCCACCAAGCCAGTCCAAGCATTCGACGGTATCTTCAACCAAATCGCCAACGACATCTACAACAAGGACAAGATGACCAAGGACGAATTCGAGCAATTCAAGACCACCTACGACAAGGTCTATGCTCACGACGAAGAGCACTCTGAGCGTTTCGCCACCTACAAGCAAAACCGTGAGATGATCATCGCTCACAACACCCAAGAATCCTCATACAAGCTCGCCATGAACCACTTTGGTGATATGACCGCCGAGGAATTCGAATTGAAGATCAAGCCACGTGTTCCACGTCCAGACACCAACGGTGCCCACGACGTTCACGACAACGACCGTACCATCAACTTGCCAGCCACCGTCGATTGGCGTCAACAAGGTTGTGTCACCCGTGTTAAGGATCAAGGTATGTCAAAATAACTAATTATCATATATATTTCCTATTCTTATTAATATATCTGTATTCAATGCGTAGGTGTTTGTGGTTCATGTTGGACTTTCGGTTCAACTGGTTCACTCGAGGGTGTCAGCTGTCTCGCCACCGGTAAGCTCGTCTCGCTCTCCGAACAACAATTGGTCGACTGTGCCTACCTCGGTCAATCACAAGGTTGCAACGGTGGTTTCGCCTCCGATGCCTTCCAATACATCATGAACTTTGGTGGTATCGCCTACGAATCTACCTACCCATACTTGATGCAAAACGGTTACTGCAAGGACTCCTCCTCGCAATTGTCCAACATCAAGGTCAAGTCCTACGTCAATGTCACCTCATTCTCTGAGCCAGCCCTCCAGAATGCCGTTGCCACCGTCGGTCCAGTTGCCATCGCCATCGATGCCTCTGCCCCAGATTTCCGTTTCTACTCATCCGGTGTCTACTATTCCTCCGTCTGCAAGAACGGTTTGGACGATTTGGATCACGAAGTTTTGGCAGTCGGTTACGGTACCTTGAACGGTGCTGACTACTGGATCGTCAAGAACTCATGGTCAACTCACTATGGTGCTGAAGGTTACATTTTAATGTCAAGAAACCGTGGTAACAACTGTGGTGTCGCTTCTCAACCAACTTATCCAGTTGTTTAAAAAAAATTAATAAATTAAATTAATAAATTAAATTAAAAATATAATAACTGCTGCTGCTATAAATATTTATTTAAAAATTAAATTATATATGTTTAATTCTATTTTTATTTCCACAATTGAAAAAGCATTTTAATAGTTCAGAATCTTTAGTCTCATAATTAAATTAAATGTTCCATAGGTGAACACAATCGTTATTGTTATTAAAATGAACTCAACAAATCTTTAACTTTATAAATAGTTTTGTTTATCTTTCATTATTTTGAAATTGTTTTGTTTCAATTATTTTTATTTTGTTGTTGACAAATACATGTTTAGAGAATTGGATAAACATATATATATATATGTTGTTTTTCTTTTTCATTCTTTTAAATTTAATAATTTATCGAATTCATCATCTAGATCATTGATTTCCGATTGATTGTTCATGATGGAATCGATTGAAGGTAGTTGAATAAAGTTTGTGATCTCTGTGAATGTTCCTTTTCCTTTTGAACCTCTTTCTCTCTTGTAACGTTGTAAAACAGTGAGAGAAAACACTTTTCTCTTCATGTCCTCTGGAATTGCCATCATTGCCAATTTAAAAAAGATTCCACCAATTGTTTTTCTTCTTGTAACAACTAAATTATTATTATTATTGCTATTATTTATATCTGTCATTAAAGTATCATTATTTTGATTATTAATGTTATTATTGATATCTATATTATTTTCATCAATTTTAACTTTAATAAAGATTCCACCTCTATTTTCAATGTCCAATGCCAACTTTAGAATTTCTATAGACTTTGATATACCGATAGACATTAGAATCAATTCCACCAATACCATGTTTGTCTCTTTCTTGAGGAATCCGCAGATCTTTCGTACTATAGTTTCAATACGGTTGCGATCGTCTCTGAATGCAAGTTGATCCAAATCAGCAGAGGTATGAAAGTGTTGCAATGGCTGTAGCATCTGATCCGCTGATTTCTCCTTGTAATTGGGCTGCCTTATGAACGTCTTTATCTCTGTTTGCAGTGATTGACAACCCTCCATCTCCAACAAATGATAAAACTCTGTTTGCAATTCATCCAAACTTGGCAAAACATTCAAACTTAACATCCTATGAAAAGGACTAAACAATTTATATGTAGCATAATGTTTAATTATATTCTTTTTCTTTAAATTATTATTATTATTATTGTTTTTATTATTTTTATTTTTACTATTATTATTATTATTACTACTACTATTACTAATACTACTAGTATTATTAACTATTGTTACATTTTTATTATCTTTTTTCTTTTTGAAATTATTCTTTTTTTTCTTTAATTTTATATTTTGTTGTTGTTGTTGTTTAACTTCTGTTGATGATGAGGATGATGATGATGCTGTTGTAGTTGTTATTGAGCCAGTTGTTGTATCATCATATAAATCATCATATACTCTTGGTTTGAAATGATTATTACTAAATTTACTTTCTAAAATGTTATTACTATCACTTAATTGCTGTTGTTGTTGCTGTTGTTGATAGATTGTTTTTTCATTCATTGAAGTAGTAAAAATAGATATATAATTAAATTAAGTTATAAGTTTGTTGATGATTGGTGTGAACAACAATGAAAAAAAAGGTCAAACCCTCATCTGTTTATAAAAAAAAACAAAAACATTAAAAACACTTATTCTCATTCATTTCTTTTTTTTTTAAAACCATTGATAAATTTTTAATAATACAATTTAATTTAAATTAGATAAATAATTATTAGTACTAATAATATGGAGGATGATCAACAACAACAATATAATTATGAATCGAAATCAATAGGTCAATTGGCACAGGAGCATTATTTATTGGTTTGGGGTACTGTTATACTTTTTATCGTTGCATATATCAATAGATATAGAATATTAGCATTGATACCAGAGAAGAAAGTTGAATTTAGTAAGTGATCAATGATTGATTTAAAAACAAACTTTAGTTTGTTATGCATGCAGTGTTGCTAATAATCAACGATTGATTGTTTTTAAAAATTAAAAAAAAAGAAAAAGAAACACTCGAAGAATTCGATGAAAATGTAAGAGTTGCAAGATTGAAATTGCAAGATCGTATGAATGTCGTTGCAAAAGATCAAATCGAAGACACAAAGAAGAAAGAAGTAGAGAAGAAACTCAATCCGAAACCAAAGAAATCAAGTGGTTCTGGTGCACCCTCTACCATCCTCGGAATGGAAGTTGATTACTCGCGATCTCTCAATGGTGGTGACAACAGAGGTTCCTTCAGACCATCCTATTCAATGAGAAATCAAGGTGGTTGTGGATCTGGTGGATGTCCTTAAGTGCATTGTTGTTTAAACAAACAACAAAAAAGAAAAAGAATTGAAACTGAAAAAAATAAACAAAACAAAAACAAAAACATATTTTAATATTGTACATTATTATTGTAGATATATATTTATATATATATATATATTCTATCTATCTTTTCTTTTTATCTTCTATTTATATAATGTTTAATAGTTTCTGTTATTAGCGTGAAAAGTTGTTGTTTACTGTCTTCAAAGGTTTTGGTGTCGGTCGAGGTTAGGTTACGAAGTAGTTTGGATTGTGGGAGTTTGAGAGCACGCCATACAGTGTCGAGAAGTTGTTGTAACATATTGGCGCGAATATTCGCCAGTCCACTTTCATACCTCAGTGTATTGATGTATTTCGAGAACTCTTTGCGTAGTGACTCCAGAGGGAATGGATTCGGGTAGTTTGCATAGAGTGAATCGTGTTTGATCGACTCGAGAATGTCGGCACCGAACGATTCCCATTGCTCGAGATACTCTGCGGTCGCTGTACGTTGTTCGCGTTGCTCGACTGCCGCTCGCTCGGCGCCAGCGAGTTTCTCACGAAGCTCTTGTTCGCGTTGGTCGGCACGCTGCTGCGCCAGAGCAGTGCCGTTCCTCAGCTTATTCAACTCACTGTTGAGCGAATTGATACGATGCTGTGCATTGGAGAGCTGGTCTTCTTTCAGCTTCATCTGATCGTGCAAGACAGAGGTTGCCTGTTGTTCCGATGCCAATTTTCTCTCGTGCGATTGACATTGTTTCTGAAGCATAAACTGCTTGCTATTCTGTGTTTCCAGTTCCAGTAGCAACTCATCATACTCCTCGCTTCGATGTCTTAGCTGTATGTTCAATTCCACCAGCTGTTTACTCAGTGTGGACACCTGATCGTTTAGATCGTCAAACATTCTTTGTTGTCTCTGACTGGTGTTGCCACCATTTGTAAAAGTAGATGATGATGATGATGATGATGTTGTTGTTGTATCCATTGATATATTGTTGTTAATATTGTTATGACTATTCATTAAACTCCAAACCATTTGTTTTAGTTGTTCGATTGTTGATTCTGCAGAGTCGTTTTCAGTGATCGATACGTTGGTGTCGACCATAGCAATGACATCCTTGAGCGATTCGAATATATAGTGATTCAACTTTTGTGAATGGATCAACTGTGCCGTTGTATAGCCATGATCTTTCGTCTCATTCTCATACATATGCTTCCAATACTCTATTTTCTTATTGTTCAATGTCTCCTCTACTTCCAGATTATTATTATTTCTTAAATGAAGATGATCTACTATTTCTTCTGAATAATTATTTGCTACTGGTATATTATTATTATTATTACTATTATTTTGTGTAGTGGTAGCAGTTGTTGTTGTTGTTGGCAATGAACTGCTATCAGTGTAAGAAGAAGAAGGTCTTCCAACACCAATTCCACCTAATACAGGTGATACTCTGAATTGCTGCTGTTGATTCGTAGTGGTAGTTGAAACACCATTTGAAAATTGATACTTTCTGTCTGTTGGTATCATATTGTTAGATATATATATGAAATAAATATTTATTTAATTGTTTGTTTAGTAAATTTTTTTGTAATCTTATTTAATTAATTTTCATTTTTTTTTTATCTTTTTGATTTTTTTTTTAAAAAAAGGCGCTAAGATCTTTTTAATTACTTCAAAATTTAAATTGTGAAGATATACTATATGATCTTTAAAATAGATATCCTTTTGTTTTCGTAAAAGTACAGTGATACTATATTTAGATTTTTGTGATAAAAGTCGGTTTTACTCGAACCAAGATCATAATTCTATATCGTTAATAAAACTCTGCGGAATTGATCTCCTGGATTACTTGAAATCAAAAATAATTACTATCATATTACAAATTTAAATATTTTATTTATATTTATTATTAATCCAAGAGAAAATTGATAGTATCCTAAAAGAACTATTCAATCACCGAAACCATTACCCTCAAAACCATCTGCTTCTTTTAATCTTGGATAGGATTTTTCTATATAATTTAAAATTTTAAAAATAAGAATCTATTATCTTTAGTTTTTATAACATACTTTCATATAAAAAAATAAGAATTTACTTAGAATCAGTAAAGTTAAACAATGTAAAAAAAATTAATATGTATTTTAACATTAATTGTACAATATCTTATTAATTTTAATTATACCAATCTATAGAATAAACAATAAAATAAAATTTGATCAGAATTCCTTTTGATTGCAAAAGTGATTATTTGGTGATAGATTATAAATTAACAGAATCAAAAATCAATTCTCTTAGTGCAAATGTTTTTTTTTAATTCTTTGTCATCTGATGACATTATTATCATGGTGATTTTTTAATAGCAACAGTGTGATTTCGTTGTAATTAAAGTCATTCCAATTATCATCAAAATTTACAAAAGGGGTTGTGGAGGATGAATTCATAAGATGATTTAATAACTTTGGTTGAAAATGAAATCATTGACTATATAATATAGATCACTAACTCTTGATAAATAATAAATAAAAAATAATATTTATGGATTTTTATTATTTTTTACAATTCATTCAGTTTTTAAATCATATTTTTCCCAAATATCTAAATACTTAATATATTTAGCTACCATTTTAGTAATTGTTTGTAATTTAATCTGCTTGGCCGAATGTTAGTTCTTAAAATCTTTTTTTTTTTTAAAAACTAACTTAATTTATTATAATATATTACAATTCGAAATTAAAGATGACATAACTGATGATGATGATGGTGATGATGATATTGATACATTTGATTTTGTTGCTGTTTGATGATCTATTTCTAAATTATTAAATGATCTATTCTTTAAAACCTCCAATGTCATAGATTGGAATATTTGATTTATGTTAAAGTTTGCTTTGGAAGAGGTAAGATAATGGTGCTTGATACCTTTCGATACTCTCCATTGCTCCACATCATTGTAGTTTGATGTCACCTTTTCATAGTTAATTTCATTTATTCTATCTGCAACCACAATGAATATCACATCTTTTAAATATGGTACTGATGACTTTGTTTTTGTTTGTGGTTCATTTAGCCTCTCTTCTTCTTGAGCTGCTTCATTATCTTTCAATGCTTTTACTAGTGAGCTATACATTCTTTTCATTGATTCGATAGATTTGTCGACGAGTGGATCGTAAACCAAGAAACAACCATCCAAGAAACCTACAAGTACTCGAGGAAACACATAGTAATGTGAGCTTGCATTTTTAACGAATACATGTATCTTGGCGCGAATTCTTTGTTTAAGAATATCATCGAGTTGATCATATCCTTTGAGTGATTCGATCACTCCACTGTCGTTTTCATCAAAGTAAGGAGATGCTATATTTAGATTCATGTGATAAAAGTCTGTTTTCCTCGAACTAGGATCATCATTCCATATATCTCTAAAATATCTCAAAGGAATTGATCTTCTCCCACTATATTCACTGCCAAGTATCAATATCTTTAACATATTATTATTATTGTTTGATTTAAATCTCGAAAAATATTAATCTAATTATTAATTAAATTTTAATTATAATTATTCTAAATTTTTGATTTTTTTTTTTATAAAATTTAATTAATTTTGTTTAACTATATTTTAAGTACTCAAAACTTCTAATAAAGGAATAAGGTATAACATTTGAATAAATTGGATAGGTAGGTGACCAAAGAACTATCTTATTTATTACTTCAATCATAAAATCATCTTTCAAAGAGGAACTAGGAACAGAAATTTTGGAAGAAAATAAATTATTTGACGATTTATTTCTAATAAAAATAAGAAAAAAAACTTGAATCTAACTTGGTTTCGACTCAAAATCCTGTATTGCTATCCTTTGAAATTGTTTTATAACAGTTTTTATAACCATATTAAAAAGAAAAAAAGAAAATAGTTTTAAAACTATATTTAAATAAGTTTTAAAAAGATACAATGTACAAAGATTTATTATACTATATTACAATTTGGTATCGATGATGAGGATGATGTTGATACATTTGTTGATGCTTTTTGATCATCTACAACTAAATTATTAAATGATCTATGCTTTAATACTTCCAATGTCATAGATTGGAATATTTGATCGATGTTAAAGTTTTCTTTGGAAGAGGTAAGATAATGGTGCTTGATACCATTCGATATTCTCCATTGTTCGACGTCATTGTAGTTTGATGCCACCTTTTCATTGTTAATTTCATTTATTCTATCTGCTTTTGTTGCAACCACAAAGAATATTATGTCTTTTAAATATGGTACTGATGTCTTTGTTTTTGTTTGTTTCTCTTCATTATGCATCTCTTCTTCTTTAACCGCTTCCAATGCTTTTACTAGTGAGCTATACATTTCTTTCATTGATTCGATAGATTTATCGACGAATGGATCGTAAACCAAGAAACAACCATCCAAGAAACCTAATACTATTCGAGGGAAATAATTTGAACTTGCACTAAAAATGTATGCATTTAACTTGGCTTGAATTCTTCTTTGTTTAAGAATATCATCGAGTTGATCATATCCTTTGAGTGATTCGATCTTGCCATTATTGTTTTCATCAAAGTAAGGTGATGCTATATTTAGACTCTTGTGATAAAAGTCTACTTTATCAAGACAATGAGGATCATCATTCCATATATCTCTAAAAAATCTAAAAGGAATTGATCTTCTCCCACTATATTGACTGCCAAGTATCAATATCTTTAACATATTATTATTGATATTATATATTAAGACTGAATTATTGTGAAATTATAGATATTCGAAGAACGAAATAAAAAAATTTTAATGTGAAGCTTCAGCTGTAAAAAACAAACTAATTTTTAGATTTTTTGTTTGATTTATATTAATAAAGATTCAGAAATCAAATAAACCTTCACATTAAACCCAACCACATTGACCAAACAATAAAAATACTACCATTAATCATTAATTTTTTTTAGAAAAGAATATATATAAAACATGAATAAAGAGGGTTTTAATAATTAAATAATTTACATAATTGGATATCTTTTCTATCTATCACGTTTCCAGGATAGATTTAAAATATTGTTGTTGTTGTTGTTGATGATGATGATGATTAAAATATTTTAAAAAAGATAAATTTTAAACTGCCGGTGGGAAATGAGCTCTATATTCTCTAAATCTTTGTTGAAGTATTTCGTCAGTAATCAATTTGGTGTTGGTTTTAGTTGTGACTTTGGTGTTGATTTTTTGTTGCTTGGGATAAACCAATATATTTGTGTGTACAAAAGGTTCGTCTGGTATGAAATCTGCATTCAAAATTCGAAGAGCTTTGTGTTTTCCATTGACCTTTTTCAGTAGGCAATCGGCCACATGATAGCCAGTGGTTGGATTATCGATGTTGTTCAATGTCAATACTTCCAAAGTATCGTTGTTGGTCAGCAGTTGGTAGAAACTATCATCGCGAATCGCCGATATACTGAGATGTCTGAGTGCTGGCTTGGCTCCACTCGCCAGATATTCGTAGAGCAGCTTCGTTGCCATCGTTTGGCAATTGATGGAAAGTCGTGAGAGTTGAATCATGTCGTCGATTGCCAATATAAATTCCTGTATCATATTCGATAGAATGTTCTTTAGCTTTAGAGTGCGCAGTTGTTTGAGTGTATTTAGCTCTTTGATCAGCATGGATTCGTCGTTGTTGGTACTTGGACTATCGCCAAGCACACCATCGATAGTGAGACTGATGAGATTGGTCAGACCGCCAAGTATAGGGTTTGTTGTTGCAATGTAACATTTCTCCAGATTAAGATATTTCAGGTTTTTGAGGTATTCCGTTTGGACTTTGGGCAGTTGCCACTGGCCATCAATGTGTAAATCATCGGAGATTCCATTACAATGCAGGTGAAGTCGTTCCAAGGTGGGCAGTGGCATATCGATCGTTGAAATATTTTTGATAGAACACGAAAATTGCTTGTGGTACGGCATGATTGAGTATTGGAAATTGGTGCGACTACGCATGCGGTATGGGAAGCGCACCGCCAAGTTGTCGACTTCCAAGTTGGTGCAATAGATCGATAGTTTCGCTGCTTTGAAAAGTAGGTGACTCGGATAGATACGTAGATTAGCGAAATGGAATTGCTCTTCGATGAACGGCTTCAGTGAGAACTGGTTGAAATAGTTGACCAAGGTGAGCGACCTGCACTGCTGCCAGTGAGAAACGAGCGACTCCAAGTAGATCCAACCGTCGGCAATCGGATTACCGTCGGCATCCATCGATTTTCCACTCTTGGAAAACAGTACTTTGGTGATCCAACGCGGCATCCTATAGTAGCTGGCAACTCCACCGCTTCCGGCGCCACTATCGAGCGTGGTGTCGATCAGCGTCAGCTTCCTGAGTGGAAGCAACAGCTGTTTAACATCGCACTGTCTGCCTTGTGAAGCGTGTAGCCGTTGCAAACAGATCGGATACTGTGAGAGGAATCGACATTCCGCAAAGGTCGTTGTGATGTGTATAGTGATCTTTGGCACCAGATACATCATCCAATAGCTACACACCAGACTGAGACGCAACGGATTATAGAGTGTTTGATTCCTACAACAATCATTGAGATACTCTAGTATGTGCAACGCAATATAATCCGGTACATTCAACTGATTGTTACAGATCTTTACAACAACCACTGCTGGTTGAGAATAATATAAACCCATATTCTGTATAAATGGATAGAGAGAGATCTGTTGTTTTTTTGTAGTTTAAAATGTTAACTTTTTTTTTTAAAAAAAAAAAAAAAAAAAAGTTTTTTTAAATCAACAACTAAGACTACTTTTTCTTTCTTTTAATCTAACTAATATTTAGAAAAGGTAAAAAGATAAAAACATTATTCATAAAAAATGTAATAATATTGTAATATAACTATTAACTTTAAAAAAAAAACAAAATAAAAAAAATCTAAAAAATTTTCAAAATTGTTTTTTTTTTGAGAATCACAATCACATTCGCATTGATGACTTCTTTTACAAACGACATCATCAGATGCGTTATTGTTTTACTTTAAAGAAAATTACATGGAGAAATCTAAAATTTAATATTAATTTAATATTTGTTATAGTAGTTACGAAAAGAATATAATATATTTTATTTATTTATTTGTTTGTTTGTTTGTTTAAACTTCAATATTTTCATTGTATACTTAAAAAAGAGTTTATTTTGACTGTGTGAAATGATAATTTGGTGATATTTGTTTTTTGTTTTTTTTTACTTTGTTTGGATATTTTTTTTTGCTTATCTCATTGGAGAGATTAGTACTTCAACACACTTGGTGATGGATAGAATTCGATGTTTTTGATTGTACGCCCATAAACCACAAACCATTGATCGTTGAAAAGATAAAAACAGCTGTGTTTAATTTTTCAAAGTATTTCATTATCTACCAATAGAATAGTTCCATTTTTATTATTTGATATTTGAAGGATCCCTCATCGAATTTATCAACAAATGTTTGTTTTGTTTTTGGTTTTTTTTTTTTTTTTTTTTTTGATAAACATACTGCACAAAATCTTTCATAAACTGTTTATAAATATCTAATAGTAGCCTGTTTCATCAAAGAACAATAAAAGTTAGTTATATCTATTATATATTATTTTTATTATAATATTTATTTATTATAAATTTATGATACAGTTCCAGCACCAGATACCAAAATACTTTAAAAAAGATAAAATTTATAATGTTGTAGATATTTTTAAAAAAAATCTAAAAAGTTTTTAATAAAATTAAGATTTTGTTCAAAAATCTTTGCAAGATTTATCTTTTTCTATTTGTTGTTTGTGAACTAATGAGCGAGATTACTTAGATCCCATTACCAGTGCACTTCGGGTGGTTTGGAAATATAGGAATTCCTTTGATATTTGAATTAATCTTTTGCTTTTTGCAAAGATATTATTTTTTTTTTAATGGCTTTTATTATTATCTATTGAGTTTTTAGTTTTGATTTTTTTGATACCATCAAAGCTTTTAAAGAAATAATTGTTGTTAAAAAAACTAATGGGCATTTCATACCCTAATATTTGCATGGGTTTGTAAATTTGTGTGATTTTGATTGATTTTTGTATTAGCTTTTGTGAAAGGCAAAACATATTTAAATATGCAATGATGTTTTCTTAATGCAATTCTTGACACTTTTAATAGGAATTCTTTCTTTTTTTGTCATCTTAATTCCTGGGGAGTTTTTGTGGAATCCAACTCAAATTATAGAAGCTTCAACAACAAAAGCAACAACAACAAAAAAACGATTCAATTTAAACACATATGGCATTTTGAACGATAAATGTGGTGACAGTTTTTTTTTTTCTCAAAAAAAGAGAGGATTTACACTCTAAAAAGGAAAAAATGATGAATCACTCTAAAAATTTTTGTTTGTTTTTTTGTTTTTTTTTTATTCTATTCCTAAGGTTTTTTTTTTTTCTAAATTATCTTAAACCATCAGAGTTCCGATTTGCTTTAAACAGGGTTGTTTGATCAAATAAAATATCTTTTCGAAAAATATAATTTTATTCTGAATCTTAATAGTATTTCGCAACAAACATCGATGATTTGACACATGGTGTGATGGAATTTAAAAAACCATCCAGTAAAAGGGATCTATTTGATCTGAGTAAGTAACCATGATATAATAGAAAAAAAATAAAATAAAATAAAATAAATAAAATATTAATACTAATTTATATAAAATTTTTTTCATTTTTTTGTTTTAATTATTAATATAAAATGATCATTTAATAATTTCTCTATCCTTAATTTTTTTATAAAAAAACTCTATAATTAAATATTTGTACATATAACAAAAAATCAACATTTGTTTGTTTTCATAAAATCTTTTTTATATAATGACAAAAATATTTTTAAAAAATTTAGAAATATTAATTTTAAAGAATTATCAAAAGAATATTTAGTATCTTTAAGATTTCAATTAGCAATTTTTACTTTGGTAGGATTTGCTGTTTCCGAAAGTATCAATGTAACTTATGTAGAAAGTTTTAAAGTAAATATCAAAATAATTTAAATCTATGCGAAAATAAATACTTATTTTTTTCAGAATAAAGCAGATGAAACCTATAGTAAAATTCCAGGGTTAAATGGAATGTCAAGAGATAAAGCAAATAAAATTGAGCAATATGTATTAGGAGTATTTGATACTTTGTTATTTGGTTTTGGTATTAGTTTTTTAATTGCCGCCGGTACCAGAGTATTTGAAATTAAAAATAAATTATTAAAAAAGAGAATGATTGGTAGTTGGATAGCTATTAGTTTCTGTAAGTAAATGAAAATAATAATAATAGTATTATTTTTTTCTAATTAATTGTTTTTATTTAAATAGTTTGTATATCATGGTGGCCTCATTCAACTGCTCATAATTTAATTATGTTATCTTCAAAAGATCCAACTGATAATTTTATTATTATGGAAGTTTGTTTCCACTGGACTTTAATGGCATGTGCATGTTTCCTTTCATATTTTCAATACGGTAAGTTACTTAAAATTTTATTTTTTAAAAAACAAAAAAACTTTTATCTAACCTTATTATTTTTAGATTTAATGAAATTAATGTATGAAGTTGTTATGATGAGAAAGAAAATGGCCTCTGGTAAAGATTCAAATCCTCTTTATGGATCTTTTAAAAAGAATATCAATGTACACGGATTTTTAATATCCCTTGTACTCTTTGCTGTTTGTATGGTTTTAATGTTTATTTTAAATCCAATCGATAAAAATTTAAAAACCTATCAAAAGTTTTTCCATATTACATTTCATGTAAGTCGAATAAAAAAAGTATTAATAATATTTATATATTAATTTAATTTTAAAGATTGTAGATTCAGCATTATCAAGTCTTGGATTTGGTTTTGCTTATATTATGATTAGAATCATTACTCATTTACCAAGTAATAAAGGTAGAACAGTTGCAATCGTATCAACTGTTTGTATTTGGTTTAATTTTATGATTCAAGTTCCACATCCATTAGTACATTTAAAGGCACCATTGACAATGGTAAGTAAAAACAAATTCTTTTAAATTTAAAATTCAATTTACTAATAATCTTTATTTTATATTTAGGATTCATTATTAATTATTGATTATTGTGTTCATATTCCAATTATGGTTACAACTGGAATATTAGCATTTTATCAATTCAGAATGTTAGAGTTGGCAACTGATAAGAAATCTACTTTAGCAATTGCAACAAGAATGAGAAAAGGATCTAAATCTATCAGTCAAAATACTTTTGGAGAAAGTAAAGCTTCTGCTTCTTTAACTGCTTCTCATGGTGCTTTAGGTAATTCCGCTATGGGAGATAGTAAAGGATTAGATATTAGCATTGAAATGAATGAACTTGATGCCTCTAAAGAACATAGAGATATAATTGAAAGCAGTGTTGAAGGTAGCTCAAATAGTGGTGCTACACCCCCATCCATCGAAGAAATAGTAGTGGCTCAAGAAATTTCTGGTCCGATAGACTTGGATTAAAATAATAATAATAATATTATTATTATCTTGAATCACAAACTTATAAACAAAATAAAATAAAAAATAAAAATTATTTGTAAATTATTTATATATATATTTATTTTATTTAAATGTTTATGCATAATAACTAGGATAAGCAACTGTATCATGAATTAATTCAATTTGTTCTTCAGAGAATGAAAGTTTCTCTTCTTCCCATGTATCTTTATGAGTTCTCCAGAAATCAGAGAGTACAGATTGTACAGTGTCTCTAAGTGGTTGGATTGAGCTTCTGTATCTGGCGAGTACACCAAGAATCTCTGGGAAATAAGATGGAATTTGGTATGGACTTGACAGGATGATTGCGCTGAGAATGAGAATGGATTTATGTTTCTGGAGGACATTCTCAGATGTTGCTTTCGATGAACCCAACTCTGCAATAGCATTGGAGATAAGATTTCTAATTCTATCGGTGTGACCACGTGATGACATTAAAATAGATGCCAATGTATCTTTAGCAAACTCTCTTACTTCAATCTGTGAATCACCAGTCGATTGAATAACAATACTGTAGACAGTGTCGGATTGTTCGGGTGTAAAGAAATTGGAATGATTGAAATAGAGAATCTGAAGGAATGGTAGAATCGAACGTCTCACTCTCCAAGATGATGTCTTTAGATCTTTGATCTTGGCTAGTATTTCAGTGATTAGGTTGTGGTCGTAGTAGAACCCTTGTGCCATTGAGGCAACACATATCATTGAGTTCTTCATGATCTCTTGATTGGTATCAGCAGTGAACTGGAGGATCTTTGGCAGGAGTGTTGGAACCATTCTCAATAGTGCATTGGAATAACCTTTGGAGAAAGTGAATTCAATCACAGAGATGAGTGATTCTTTGATGATAGTTCTTGTCTCAATTGGGAGTTCTTCGTTGGTTGCATCGGCAACAATTGAATTGATACAATCGACTGCTTCCACCGGTAGCTTTGGTGGTGTCAAAGTAATGATATCACCATTCTTTTCTTGGTACTCTACAAGATATACCAAGACATGAGTGAACAATCTGTAGTTTTCATCTCTGATCTGTTTGTATGGATCGGACAATCCTTTGTGACTGATAAGTAGCAATCGATCCAAATAATCCTTTGACTTGAAAGTGAATTCAAAGAGCAATGCCTTGAGGAATTTGATTGATTTGCTCTGTGAGAATATATTCAATGGATTCTCGTACAACTTGAACAGAGTATCCGATAGCCATTGTACTCTTTCGACTTTGGTGTTGAACGCAATGTATCTGATACAGATACCCCATGTATCGTTCAAATCGTTGGAGCAATTCTTGAGAGCGTTCAACAAGACCTCGGAGATGTAGGAGATTGCCTCTTTGGATTTAGGTTGATCCGGTGTAACGGTGTAGAATCTAGCCAATCCACTGATAATCTCTGACAAGAGATACTGTTCCTCTTTGTCATTCTTCTTTCTGAGTGCTTCAATGTGAGGTTTAATCATATCGTAGAAACTGTCACCCATCACCGATACCAACTCAAAGAACAAACGAGCATACTGTATCTTGAAGCAATTCGAAGGAATACCATGACGTGTCGATGGCCAGAGTGGGGTGATTGTCTTTGTCGATAGACCAAGTCCAACGTTTTGACCTTCGGAATCATTGTCAACACAGAAATACTTTAGCAACTTGTCCAAAAATGTAGGAGTAACGATAGTCTTGATACGTGTAGCCATCAAACTAAACACCACCTTTGCTGCCAACTCTGGAATATCAAGCTTTGGAGGAGCACTTGATTTGACAGGTTTCAACCAGAAATCATCATATGCTTTATGACCAAATGTTGAATCTTGTATTTGGAATAATGATATTATATTAACACTATATTAAAAAAAAGAATAGAAAGTTAGAAGAATGATATTGATATAAATATATCTTTTATCTTTTTACTTACGATAAAATTCTAGAAATTGGATAATCACTATTCATATTATTAAATATTCTATCGTAGGCACCCAAGAATATTTGAACGTCATTACGGAATTTACTGACGTTCTCGGCTAGTTTCATGTTGGAATCACGACCGAGTTGTTTGATAAAGGTGGACATTGCATAGGTCAAGTAGGATTGAAGAATGAGATGATCTCTCCAAGTCATTGTATCTTTTCTCTGGGTGAAACAATCACAGATCTTCTCAGAGAATGTCTTGAGAAGCTCGTAGTTCTCTGAGTTCTTCTCGTCGATGAATGCCTTTTGTTTGGCAATGATCTCACTCGGTACGATCGTGTGATTCTCGACATGTCCCAACATCAGCTGGGTGTGCGGTCTGTGAATGAGTGTCTCGATCTTTGACAGCACAAACTCCTGCTTGAAATGCAAGATGTAGTGACGTGTGTTTGTCTTGAACTTTGGATCGCAAGGCGCCATAAAGGAACTGGCGAGTCTGACGAAATATGAAAAGTTGGTCTTGATCGTCTTGAGGAATTGCTTGGCGAGCAACAAGTGAACGGTACCACAAACTTCTTCATCCGATTTCTGTTCGATATACGTATTGACCAAATCACCAACAATGACATTCTGAGCACCTGGATGATGTCTAACAATCGAAAGAATAGAATCCTGAGCTATCTTTCTAACCTCTTTGTATCTGTGCAAAGAAAGACTCTTTAAATCAAACAAAATATCTCTACAAACTTTAGAAACCGGTATATTTGCATAGTTATTTGTTTGTCTTTGTAAATGTGCTTTATATGCTTTGAAAACTAATTAAAAAAAGTAAAATTAAAATATTAATATATATAGTTGATTAAATGTTTTTAATAATTAATATATATATATTTACCAATATAATTTCTTGATTTCAATTTCTTTAGATTTCTCCATTTACTGAACAATACATCAGAGTTTCTATCTGGAATATCACGTACACCGAAACCAAGTGCTGAATAGGTCTTTGCAATATACTTGAGAATATGAACTTCATCACTCTTCTTTGATTCCAATAGAGTTTGGAGTTGATTGAATGTTTGATAGATATCAACGACTAGACCATCGAATTCCGGTATGACAACTCTACCATGTGAAACAGTTCGCTGAGTCGGATTATATTTACAATCATCGACAGTACGATTTGGATCCAACACATCATCGTTCAACAAGAATATAGTTGTTCTCATTATACTTGAAAATGATTTAGCATAATTTAATAACTTTACTCTATTAAATAATGAATTATCCCTATAAGAAATAATAAATAAAAAAAAAAAAGTTAATTAATATTTAAGAAAATATTATTATTACTACTAAGTTCTTACTTATTAATTTCATTAACATAATCTAATAACTCTTTAGATCTATCTTTAACGAATATTTGAATCAATTCCTTTGACATTTGAATGGTATTCTCAGTTGGTTGGAACCATTCAAGTGGGAAACAATCTTCGTTGGTCTTGCCCCAATATTTGATGTGTGATTTCTGCTCAGAGAGCAGTGAGATTGGGATGGAGGTGTTGTTGGATGGATAGTAACGGGTGAGTGAGTAGATAGCCTTTCGAATGATTTTCGAGACGTGCTTCACTATCAGTCTGTTATCGGATGCCATCATCACTTTGCAAATGCGAATCAGGGTGTCTTTGTGCTCTGGCATAGCATTGCCCGATTTGAAAACGGTGTAGCCAATCAGCGAGATGTACCATCCGTACTCCTCATCGGTGAGATCACGTATCATATACTTGTCGTCGTGAGCGGAGTACTTGAAGATCTTCTTGATGAAAATCGGTAGGAACGTAGCCAATGACTTGGAGGGATTACGAAGAGTCGCAGACTTTAACAACAAGCTATATTGCTTGTAGTAGTCGGGGTAGTAGCTCTTACTGAAAAAGTGTGCCAACTTTTCCAAGACGGCATCATAGATCTCGTCGGACATTTGATTGAAAAACAAATCAATGTTTTCACCCAAAAAAGTACCGGATGGCATCTTTCTCTTATGTCCACTTACATCTTTCTTTACTGCACTGTTTTTAATCTAAAAATAAATAAATAAATAAATAGAAAGATAGATTATTAGTAAAAAAAAATGAAATAATTAATTTATATTTGTTAGCACAAACTTACAAAAACTAATAATTTATCAAGTAAAAGTAATGACCAATCTAAAAATGATGCAGTTGAGAGTGATGCTTGTTTCTCATATTCATTTGAAAATGTTTCTTGATCAGTGTAAACAGTTTCATCATTAAGTGGAATACATGTGAAAATTCCTAAATTATAATAATTTGGTTAGTTAAAAAAATAAAGAAAACATTTGTTATAACTTACTATAAATGAATTTAAAAGCGGCAGATGATTTATTTGGATAGGTAGGATCCATTGAATTCATTACCAACTCCATAAGATTATAGACATGTGAAATACCCTCTGGGAATTGTTCGGTTTGTGAAATTAAAGGATGGAAACATGTTGAAACAACCTCTAATTCACTAATTAAACGATTCAATTCTTCACTATTTACAGATCCATATAGTCTATCTAAAATGGATGGTAGAATGGTTCTTGGCGAAATATCTAAAGATAAATTGTTAATAATTGAATTGGACTATTATTATAATATATATATATATGTATATCTTTTAACTTACAAGCAAGTTCCTTTAATATTTTACAAGCATTAAGAGTATAGTTTTTGTTTTTAGAATAAAGTGTTAATAAAACAATTGGGAATATAGTTTCAAGGAATTGATTTAATGTTTCAGCTGGGAATGGTTCTATATTTAAAATAACGAATTGTTAATATATTTTATATAACTATTAATTTTAACATTGTAATTAACTTACTTTTTAAATGATTTTTTACAAATGCATGACAAATAGATGATAGGAATTCAAGAATTGGCATTGTCCATTCACCATGATTACTTGGATGATAATAGGTGGAGATCGATGACATTAGTTTCTTAAAGAGATCCATGGTATCGTGTCTGAGCAGAGCAATGACAGTTGCACCCATGAATGTATACTCCAGACACTCTTCGTGTGCGATCTTAACGCTGGCAGGGATGTTGTGTTTGGTTGGCTTCAAGTGCGCAAACTTTGGGTTACCGATGGAGAGATCGATCACCCGAATAAAGTGGGTGTAGATACGCGATGCCACCGGTCGCCAGTCTACGGCGGTCGCATGCTTCACGACTCTCAGGAACACATAGAGCCAGCGTTCGTCCCAATCGGCGTTGTTCTCCACGTACTCCCAGAACGTAAAGTAGAGATTCACCCAGCTGGGAACCTCACGCAACTCCACCAAGTGGTGAGTCGGCAAGAAGTAGGCCAACACGTAGACACCGTGGAAAATAGAGATCGCATGCGGACAGAACCAATCGTGAACTTCATCCTGAATCTCTTTGAACGAATCGACAGAGAAGAACGGTCTACTCGTTGCAATCAACTCATTGAGATTGGTCTTCAACTTGCTTATATCGGTTTCATTCACATGAATAAAAGTAGATTCTCTCTCTGGTATATTATAAACCTCCTTAAACAAATTAAACAATGGACGCCATTCAATAATTATATCAACTTGTTGTCTTGCATCACTATGATTATTAAAAAGGAAAGATAAGAAGAAGGAGAAGAAGAAGAAGAAGAAGGATAAATAAGTAAATGTAATGTTTATGAAAATGGGTGTTGAAGTGTGTCAAGTATAGTTTGATAGTTACCGTAATAAAGCAAAGAGATATGCACAGACAGAGGTGGTTAGAGGTATCATTTTACAATGGTCAATCAAGATTGTGTAGAGGTTGGAGATGAATAGTTCAGCGTCATCTTTGGAGAGTGGGTATTTCAAGATGCAGTAACTCTTGAGGGTTGAAAGCGCTGTTAGAATATGTGAGGAATCCGGGAATACCACGGCCCATTCCATTGCATCCTTACATTGTTGAAGCATCACTTCCTGCTCCGGTCTAATATTGGAAGAGTATGCAGGTGGATACATCTTATCGATACGATTCTGAAATTTACTCTGCATGTGTTCATCGTCTTTTAATGCTATTTTATTTACAGTTCTCCAAACAGACATTGATGATCTGCTACCACCACTGCTATTATTGTTATTTCCATTGCTATTAGATCCATTTCCATTAGAAGATATAGAAGAAGAACATGATTGTTTCATATATTTCTTTGAGAATGTTAAACTTGATGGTCTTGACAATTGTTGTTGCTGTTTCTTTTGTAAAAGATCAGACTGTTTCTGTTGTTGTTGTTGTTGTTGATTTGATTGTATGTCTGTTTCAGTCATTATCGAAATCTAAATAAATATATACAAATAAATGTATATATATAATTATTAAAATGTATTATTTGTTTATTTATATTTGCAGATAGATAAGATAAGATATGATATATATTTATTTATTAAAAAAAAAATTGTGTTATTGTTGTTTTAATAATAATTAATTAAACAAAAAAAAAGATTGTGAATAAATTAAACACTAAAAAACAAATTAATTTAAAATTAAATTTAAGTGTGTGATGTTGAAGATGACAGAAGCTGTTTTGATGTTTGTTATGTTTCTTTGCAAAATAGAAAACATAAAAAACAATTAAAACAATAAACAATTTGTAATAAAAAATAAATAATTTGCAATGAAAATAAAAAAGATGTCAAAGTTTTATATGTAATACTTGTTTGTTATCTCACGATTAAAATAATAAATTAATTATTCCAATTAAAAATGGTGTTCTTCAATTGAAAATTGCAACAGCTTTTTTTTTTTTGTTTCGAAAATTCATCCTTTTAAGATCTGACCAAAAATGAGTCAACATGATATGAATGACATGCAAACATTAGTTTTTGATCCAGACCCCCACTATTTTCTTCTCATTAAGATTTTGGACATTTTTTATTTTAATCAAAAAATATATATATTGTAATATTATTTTTTATAATGAAAATAAATGTGATGACAGAGTAATAATTCTTAGGTTTTAATGACTCATTTAATTAAATGCGACGACAACACAATTGCTAAAAAGAGAGATCGATTTAATTTTTAATCAATCGGTATTTATCATTATGATGATATGATAACCTATTTAAAATTAATTAACAAATTATATGCCAACCACCAAAAGATACCTTACTAGTAACTATCTTGTCAAATTTTTGTAAAAGAGTCATAGAATGAATTGAAATTATATTCTTTTCTCACAAAACAAATAATTATGTCAGCAACATTAAACCCCTTTTTTTTTTCAATGAAAAAAATGTCGAATTACATCAAATTTTTACAGATCTGTCAGGGATGTTCATTGCAAAAAAAAATAAAAAAATTGAATAAAAAGGAGAAAAGATAATCTTTAATTATAAATTGTATTGTAACTGAATTCAAGTTCATAGTTTATAGTTTATCGTTTAAGTTTTATAGTTTTATAATATAATTTATATTCATAAAAATTTAAAAGAATGTTAAGAGTTATTGTTATAGGTATGTTGTTTGAAAACTAAAACAAAAACAAAACAAAATAAATTGTAGACAATTTCAATTCTAATTAGATTTATCTTATCATAATCATATATATATATATATATATATAGGTGGTAGTGGTGCAACTGGTAAAGAGTTATTAAAAGAATTGATTGCTTCACCAAAAGTTGCATCTATTACATCTTTAGGTAGAAGAAATGTTGATGATTTACAAAGTGGTATGTTGTTAGTTAATTAGTTTGTTAGTTAGTTAGTAATATAATATAGATTCTGTTAACATATTAACATCAACTTTTTTTTTTTTTTGCATATATTTATTAGAGAAATTGAATCAAGTTATTGTTGATTTCGAAAAGTTGGATGACTATAAAGAATCGTTCAAAGGACAAGAAGCTGCATTCTGTTGTCTGGGTACAACCAAGAAACAAGCTGGTACCGCAGAGAAATTCCGTCACATCGAATTGGATTATAGTTCGGCGTTCTCGCGTCTCGCCAAGGAAGCGAATATCGAGCAGATGCATCTGTTGACCAGTCAGGGTGCCAATCCAAACAGTTGGTTCCTCTACATGAAGACCAAGGGTGAGATCGAGGAGGCGATGAAGCGTGACACCTTTAAGAATCTCTATATCTATCGTCCGGGATTCCTCAATCGTGGTGCAACCGATCGTTTCGGAGAGAAAGCACTCAGCTACCTAATGAGCGGTATTCCAGTGAACACCGTCGCTCGCTCCATGGTCAAATTATTCGAGAGACAGAATGAACAAACTCCATCCGGTGTCAATGTTTTATATAACAAAGAGATTTACAAAGAATCAAAATAATAATGTTATAGGATAGTAAATTATTATTAATACTTTTAGGAAAAAAAGAATAGAATAGAAAAACATGTACATATATAATCAAACATAAAACAAACTTTTTTTTAGAATATTAATTACATTATATTTTTCTTTTTATTTGATTTCAATGTAAATATTGAACATATTATTAAACTTATACAATGACCAATGATTGCACCATAGGTACATGATATTGGCCAAGCTTGCCAAGGTCTATCCCAATCCAGAGGAATTACAAATCCACCAACCCAAGCACCTACCAAACTAAAAACAACTATAATAGTACAACATGTTTCATATATACTGTTATGCCTAAAGAATGTAATGAAATATTAGTATATAAACAAAATATGAAGAGCTCTTTAAATATATAATATATTTACATTGGTGAAAAAAAAGTATCTTTCCATGCTTGTGGATGACATCCAAGTAAAATAGTTGTGGGTACAGCTGTCATCGATGATAGTAACTGAGAGAATGCGACTGTTCTAAAAAATGATCTGAAATAGATAGTAACATGATCATGTTAATAAGCAGGTTAATTGAACATTGTTGTTATATTGTTATTATTATACCTTGTTATTGGTGCACCATAGAATATTGATATCATATAGAATAGGATGGTACCTACTAGTAGACCCATGAGTGAACGATGTATTTTTAGTGAGGGTGGCAATATGTTGCTACCGCTGTGATGAAATGAAGATGGATAAATATAGAGTCCGAATACGAGGTGTAGTGAATAGATCATTGAACTCAATATAAAGAGTGCTGTCACTGCGTGTTTCTCAAACGTTAGACTCGATCCATTGAGTAGCGTTGTGAAACCAACTACAATCACTGCACATCCAACATAACTTAATGATGTCATTCCATATTTAGGTGATATAGCTGATGATGTTGTTGAAGAAGAAGAAGAAGAAGTAGTTGATGAAATTGATGAAGATGACGATGTTGTTGTCGCCAATCTACTTATTTTACTTGACATTTCTGATTATTATATTTCATTTAAATTAATTTAAAGTGTAACTACGTAGTTCAAATTATTCGTTTTTAAATAAATAATAAAATAAAATTTTAAATTAACTTTTTTTTTTTTTTTTTTTTAATTAATTTAAAATTTATTCATACAACATTACATTTGTTATTATTTGTTTATATATTTAATATTGACTTTCAAATACTTTATCGATCTTTCTGTTGATATCATCATTTGATTCAAAAGGTGTGAAATTCTTTTCTAAATGTATTTTATCTTGTCTACATCTAAGATTTTAAAAAGAAAAAAAAATGTTAGTTAACTTTTTAAAATAGATTGATTATTGTTGTTGTTGTTGTTATTATTTATGTACATACAATTCTTTAAACTTTTCATATATTTTTGTAATGATTTCCTTTGCATCTGATGATAGTTTATCTCTTAACTCATGATCTGGTACTTCGAATTTTAATTTACTAATTTCATTTATTAGTTTTTAAGAAATTCTAAATAATAATAAAGATTGTTATTGTTAGTTATATATGTATAAATTGATTTGATAATATTTTTCTTTACTTACCGTATGCTTTTTAACAATTGATTTTGTATCATCTTTTGATTTGTTAAATTTGAGTGGTTCTACTATGGATGACCAGAACTCACGGTAGATCTTTAGTTCGTTGTCGTACGATGTTTCGAATTCCTTTAGTAGATGTGAACTGCTATCTAATATTCTCGAAGCATGCAATGATAATACAATATACTGATAGTTATTAATCAAGAATATATTTCCACGGAACGGTACTTTGTTGTTGAGTTCGATCGCTGACGATATCACCAAGAAATCCTTCTTACTTCTCGCTTGTAAATACTTGAACAATCCTCTCAACGTCTTGTCTAAAAAGTCATTGAAAGAAGACGATTTACTTCTACTCAATAAGAATTCAACCGATCCTCTATATTCAATTAATCTCTTAAAGTAATTTAACATCTAGATATATAACGACAATAGATAAGAATTAGTAAATTCGTTAGTTTATATAATATATTATTAGTTATTATTATATTAATTACATTTGATGTAGTTTGATCAACGGTTGTAGATTGATCATATTTCTCTTCCTTTCTAAATTCATCATCGATGTTAAACTCTAGTAGTGAACTACAGGTTGTCTCTAGAATCTTGATGATCTCTTTGATGTCAGAGATATGCTTACCGTCACGTTCAGAGAGTGCAGCTGCAAACTCTGGTTGTAACTTTGTAAAGGTATCAAAGAGATCGAGCAGTGGGAATATACCGAATACTTTATCACTTGTTTTCTTTGCCTTGATGATTGGTTCCGTTGTATCGAGTAGTAGTTCGTGTGAAGGATGAATGATCTCCTCCAAGATGGTATGATACTGATCGCCGAACAACTCTCTTGCAAGATCCGATTCGATTTGATAGAGTCTCAACGTTTCATGTACGTAGGCAATCAGTGGATGAGTACCTTTGACGTACGCCAAGTTGTTCTTTGATTCCGACGTTGACTTGGCAAACTTCTCCGGTGACATCTTGCTGAGTGACAGCAACAGGAATTTGTTACGCTTATCTTTGTACTCCTTCAGGAACGACATATGATGAAGACGTTGAAACAACTCTATCGATTTGGCAATCTCTTCGATTGCCGTCGGTGAAATGATAGCGAGGTAGCGCTTACTCGATGGAAGTTGACCGATTGTAGTTGGATCGATGATATTGCTAATCTTTAGGAGTAGCGACTTGAAGTTGCTCTCCAACTCTGACAAACCCGTAGATTTCAACTCTTTGAGCGTCGCCAGCGCTTTATCGGCAGCTTTGTAGTTGTGATTCGCCTGAAGAAAGTCGATCGATTGCACGACGTTATCGAGTGTCGCCATATACGAAACATAGTCACCTTTTGCACCCTCCCTTATCTTTTGTTCGATCTTGGAGAGGTCGAAACGCTCCAGCACCGAACGTATCGAATCCATCGTCAGATTGATGTTGTTGTAGATGGTCGACCACTCTTTCATCGACGCGTTGATTGGCGCGACGTCATGCTCCAAACTGGAGAGACCGTCGTTGAACCGATCCAAAATGAAAACCATCTGATTCGCCAGTGAATTGGTTTTGCCTAGCGATTCCTTCAGGAATTGAAGATCTCTTGAATCGTTCTCCAGTTGTTCGTCACTGGTTGACTTGTCGGCGGCATCGTTCTTCCACGAGAGCACCACGAGTTGTCCACCTTTGAGCGGACCACCCGTTTGATGCGTGGTAATCGAATACTCTGAGTTCAGTAGATTACGAATCTGCTCGAATTCCTCATCGTCTTCCTCTGTCGGTGTCGAATAGAACAGCTCCTCATCGACATAGTCTTGGTAGCTAAGAACATTGCTTCCCCATCTCGGACCACCAGCTCCGCCACCGAAGCTTCCACCGCTTCCACTGGATCTAGATGCTTTTCTCGAGTGTTGTTGTACACGATTCAATGGGTTATTAACCGATAGCTTTGATTGTTGTTGTTGTTGATTACTAATGTTGTTATTTAATAAACTATTCAGTCCAGATCCACTACTACCTCGAGAATGTGATGAAAGATTACCAATTAGACTACTATTCGATGTTCTAGAGATAGATGACATCGATGATAACGACGGTGTTGTTCTATGTGAAAGTGGTGGTGAAGCAATAGGTGAAGGTGGTTTAGTTATTCCACCAGATGATTTTATATTGATCATTGGTGTAGAACTACCACTACCACTACCACCACCACCACCGCCGGATGTTGTTGAACTACCTGCAGTAGTAGTTGGTTTCTTATCTAAAAGTGATGCTCGAGCACTAAGTCTAGGTGGTGCTGACATTCTTTATATTATTATCAATATATTTATATTAATAATTATACACTAGTGTTTTTAAATCCTACTATCTATAATCTATATATATATTCTATTCTATGTACAACTAATATTTACAAAATTAAAAATATATTTTTTTAAAAACTCCACTTTATTTTTTAAAATCTTGATTTATTCAAGTTATGATCAATCACACATATATAACTTAATTTATTTAATTACACAAATAAAAAGATATCAAAAAAAATAAAATAAATAAATACCAAATTGTAAATAAATAAATAGTTATTAATCACCAAAATGTTAATAATAATATTATTATTATAGTTATTTATTTACAAAATATTACAAGTTGATCTGGACAATTTTTCAAAGTTTAATGACGTTTCATAATCGATTTTAGATGCTCTATGTTTTAATATATCCAATGTCATCGTATGAAATAGACTTTCGATGTTTAAGTTTACTTTTGAAGATGTTAGAAAATGAAGATTGATTCCTTTTGATAACCTCCATTGCTCTGCTTCATTGAATGTCTCTGTTGCTTGATCATGATTGTTTTCATTGATCCGATCAGCCATTGATGCAACCACAATGAATATGATATCCTTAGCGAGTGGAAATTCTGATTGTTCAATGTTATTGGGTGAATTTGCTTTTGCTTTGGAATGTTCTCGCTCGTACCAATCGAGTAATTGGTATACCTCTTCGTAATACTTTTTCATTATAACAAAAGTCTCTGGTAATAGCACATCATAGACTAAATAACAGCCGTGTATACCAGTAAGAGGACTACTTGGTGGTGTTGAGTAATGTGGAAAAGTAGAAACCTGTATAGTAACTCTTATTGTGCTCTCACAATATAAAAATAGTTTAAATTCATTTATTTTCTCTTTTTTGTTATTGTTAACATTTTTGTTGTTGTCATTGTATTTTTCGTTGCTGTTGTTGTTGTTTTTGTTATGATCATTTTCTATAAAGTAAGGTGATGCTAAATCCAATTGAAATTGTAAGTTCAATGAATTGCAACTGTGACTAAGAAATTTATTCATTGATCTACAATAACCTTCAATCATTGATTTCTTCCCTGTTTGTGTAGATCCTAGAAACAATATCTTTAATTTTATTTCATCTTTTAACATATTAAAAACAAAATATAAATAAATTATTGATTTGTTTCTGAGCGTAAATTTGTTCAATCAAAAACAAATCTTTTTTTTTTTTTTTTTTTTTTTTTCTAAACAATAACTATTTAATAGTTTTAATTTCATTTCAAAGTTACTATAATATGTCAAAAGATGATAAAAATAATATAAAGATATTGTTTTTAGGTCAAATGTTTAGTGGCAAGAGATCGATGGCACATAGATTCTGTGAGCGTGCCTGGGATGACGAAGGTTTTTCTGGTTGGTGTACAAGTTTAACGAGACAGAGTTTTTTTCAAAGTAAATTAGATATTGAATCACCTTATTTTATTGAAAATGAAAGTGAAAGTGGTATTGTTAGTAGTAGTAGTAGTAGTTATAATAACAGTGATAGTATTATAGTTGAAAATGAATGGAAAAGAAAACTTTATTATGAAAGAAGAATACAAGTAGATTTAAAGCTATTTATGTTATACAATGGTCATCAAAATACGCTACCAATATTGTATCTTACTAACTTGAATGGCTGTTGTTTGGTATACGACGTACTATTACCGGTGACTGCTATCAGTATGAAAAACCATTATGGAGAGTTGGTTGATTCACTCGAGAGGCTTAAAGATTCGGAAGAAAAAGAAGCAGAACAAAGGCATTCAAAGTTATCATCAATTTTTAGCAATCTAAAAGAAGAAGAATCTGTATATCCTATGGTGAAAGATATCATATTCTTTGTTGTTGCAGCAAAGGCAGATAGGATCAATGCCGACAATCATGATCAAGCGAATGACTTGTTCAATGAAGTGGATCAATGGAGATTATCAAAAGGAATCAATCATCACTTCTTGACATCGACCAAAACCAACTTAAATATTGATAGTCTGTTTCATACGATGACATTGGAGATTTTAAAACTTAAAGCATCTAAAATCAATAAGGTTAGCGAATCTACTGAATCCACCAAACAATGTAATATAATGTAAATAAATAAAATAATCAGTAATGCATGTAAAATTGTTATCTACTGTAGGATATATTAAGTAGTTTTTTATTACTAATAACTATTTTGAGAATATTAAAATTTTATGTGTTACTAACAACATATTTGTAGAATGGTAAGATACGCGCGTTTGGTATAGGAACGATACGCTCGATAATGCAAAAATGTGCTTGTTTAATTCATTAATGAATTACCATGGTATCTAAACTATTGAAGGACACGTTAACACTTGGCATGTGGGGACTGTCTTGAGTATTGATGAACAATCAAAAACCGCAGATATCCAATACGAAGATGGCAATGAAATCGAAACGTTGGAATTCGATAAGCTCAAGCCCTACTACAAAGAAAAAAGAACGATTGAAGATTTGGAAAAGAATAGTTTGATTATCTTCAAACTTGGAACCAACTACTTCAATGGTCGCCGACCATTGGTCGGTTTGTTCGAAAATTGAGAAATGTGTACCAGGTGCATTCTAAGTATCTTAGAGCTTGTTTTTATGTATTGATGACTCCTCAGGGCGCGTACTCGTGCATCCTTAGCAGTGCTAAGTTATGAACTACAGTGAACTTAAGAAAACTGAAGAGATCAACATTCTGGAAAAGCTGATCAGTAACCACCAAACCAACTATCTGGCTTTTTATACTGCTTATAAACAACTAAAAAAGAAAAAGAATACCAACACCAATTCCAATTCCAATTCCAGTACAGATATGTCAAAGAGGGTGTTCATCAATTTCCATATGCTTCACACAGTACACTCAGCCAAGAATCTCCTACAAACTATTCCTAAGTTCGATGGAAGATCCGGTGATCTGCTTTCACATTTTCGCATTATCGAGCATATCGTTCCTATACCAAACGCAAGTATCTTTGCTTTCCCACTCACTCTTACGAGCGAGTCGCAACCACTCGTTTCTTCACTTGATAAGAACGCTGCCAGCTGGACTGATTATATTAATCTAGAATTTACTAGTAAAAACAACCGACAATATAAATATTAAATTTAAGAACAAGTTTTAGATATTAGATACTAACTTAGAGTTTTTAATTTTAGGTGTAGATTTCCCAAAAACGGTGACCCAGGTACTTTAAATGTAGCTGTAAATTACAAAAATAACTTTTATAATCTCAAAACAAAAATGGCTAACCACAAATCTCTGATCATATTACCCCTCTATTTTTAATTTTTACACTTTTTTTAAAATTAATGCCCATGCGAAAGTTGGGAGCCAGTTTTGCTAAATAGTACAAGTTTTGCTTATTGGTTATCGAAATTAGCATGTATATCTAATGTCAACTATCTAGTTGCTCCTGATTTTACCTTTCCATTCAACGTAAATTATCATGATTCAAAATATGGTATCGGTCATATGCTTTTTCTATTCATAATTTAGAATATTATGAATTTACTACAATAAAAATGGGAATAAGGAAAAGTTCCAAAAAAAAGATAACAAATTGTGGTTGGAACATTTTCAGATCAAATCGATAAAAATAAAGAGATATTGGAACTATATAATTCAGTTGAAAGACGGAGATTGGAAAACGGTATTAAACAACATATTATAACTTCGGCAAAAGATAACTTTAATATTCAAACACTATTTTACAATATGATTTTGGAAGTGACCAACATTAAATCAAACAAACAACCAACAAGTGAATCATTAGAAACAATGAAAAAGTTTAATCTTCCCGTTGTGACATTAATTAAAAACAAAAAAAAAAAAAATAATATTATTACCAAACCACGGTTTTCTTGCAAGAAAAAAAACACAAAAAATTAAACTATTTTTAATTTAGTATGTTTTTTTGATCATATATATTTAAAAGTTATTATTTTTAAAACCTAAAGATGTTAAAAGATGAAATAAAAGCAAAGATATTGTTTCTAGGAAGTTTACATGTTGGAAAGAGATCAGTGGTTGAAAGATTCTGTAGATTATGGGATGGTGAGGAATCGTCTGGTTGGAATGTAAATTTTTGTCAATATCAATTGTATGTGGCTTCACCTTACTTTATTGAAAATGACAATAGCAATAATAGCAACAACAACAATGATTATAATAAAGAAGAACATATGAATGAATTAAAAAGATTATTATACAGTGAAAGTAGAATTAAAGTTGCTTTACAAGTTTTTATTTATGGAAACTATCATAGTGTACCACCAAGGATGCATCTTGCAGGTTTACATGGCTGTTTTTTAGTTTATGATTTACTGCTGCCACAAACTGCTATCAGTATGAAAAAGTATTTTGAAGATCTAGTGCACTCGCTCAATAGTTTTGAACAACAGATCAACGATTCCAATGCAAAAGTAAAATCACCCGATCAAATTCAAAAATCACGCTTTCCTCTTGTTAAAGATATCATATTCATTGTAGTTACGTCGATGGCTGACAAGATCAATACAAACAATCACGATCAAGCAACAGAGACATTCAATGAGGTAGAGCGATGGAGATTATCAAAAGGTATTAATCATCATTTTCTAACATCTTCAAAAGTAAACTTAAACATACAAAGTCTATTTCATACGATGACATTGGATATATTAAAACATAGAGCATCTAAAATCGATTATGAAACGTCATCAAATGTCGAAACATCACCCAACTCAACTAAATATTGTAATATAATGTAAATATTAATAAAATAAAAATAATGTACATAATGTTTTTTTTTTTTAACTTTAACCATAAAAACTTGAATATAAGTTTAAACAATAGTATAACTCTAATGTGGTTGTACGATCTGTAATAACCTTTAGCTATTGTATGATGAACTTCATTCAAATAAGTGTTTGGACACCCCAAAATTATTTTATTTTTTACTGCTTTGTTCAAGTAAAGAGTGTTTTTAAACATTATTATTATTATTTTTTGTAGATGTATATAAAAAGAAAATAAAATTAAAAATATAAATAAAAGCATTCTAGAATATATAAACAAAAAAAGGATCAACAAAATAGGTAGAATCAGATCTGTATTATTATATACAAATTTTAATGATAAGCACTCTCTCTTTAAAACCACGTATATAAAAGATTAGACTATGTATAAATGGTAATGTTCCTTTATGATATATTACTAAAAGAATCTGTTGTTCTTTTTTATAAATTTAATTAATCTTTCTTGTTATCACGATATTTAAGGGAAATATGTTAAAAAATAGGATCTTTCAGATCTGATTGATATTCAGTATAAATAGTGATGGTTTGTAAATACAAAGACAATTATAATTATAAATAAATTAAATTTATTAATAAATAAAATTTAATTAAATATATATATATAATGATGGATATTCAAATCTTGGTTTTAACAATAATTTTTATTGGTATGTCAATTGGTGCTGAAATTGATTGTAAAACAGTCATTAGGAATGCCTTTGATAATACTGGATGTACAAGCAAGTGTGTTACAATCGTTGGAAATGGATTGACTCCAGGCGGTGTTCATTTAAGTTTCAAAGGAAATATGGTTAATAACAATGGTGTTTTAATGCAAGATCAAAGTAAAGTGATATTCCTTGCCAGTGACAAGTATTCTTGTGATTCTCACAATAGATATCAACCGTTCTTGGTTCAGGATTCCGGTTCATTTGGAGTATTTAACCTTTATTCCAATGGATCTATCAGAGCCGATGATAACATGTACAACATGAGATGTTTCGAAGAATTGGGAAATATTATCCATTTTGCACATGATAATATTCGTTTATCATTTTTGGTAAGCACTTACTAAAAATAAATTTATTTTCATATTTAATTATTAATATTTTTACATAAAAATAATAGTTAAGAATTAGTGATCAATGTAAACCACTTCATTTTGGTGAGAATTGTTCTGATACCTCAACAACTGGATCATCAACATCAACAACTGGATCTTCTACTACCTCTACCACTACTTCAACAACAGGATCACCAAATACTCTTTCATTCTCATTCACTCTAATTAGTTCGTGGTTTGTTGGAAATGAAAGATACATGCAATACAATGTTGATATCAAGAATGACGGTCCAGTTGCCATAAAGAATATCATTTTCTCACATGAAAACTTTGAACCAACCGATAAATGGAATGTCGAATCTCTTGAGAATGGTTGGTTAACTTTACCATCTTGGGCTGGTATTGGTGTTGGTCAAGTATTCACTTTTGGATATATCACCAAATCATCTACTCAGCCAAAATTCACCATTCAATCATCATCAACTTATTAGATTTTCTATTTTTGGGAATTTAACTTTTAAGATTCTTTCTATATATAAATATTTAGAAAACTAAAAAATAAATAAAATAAAAACTAGTTTTTCTTAGAAAATAGATGATAGTTTAAAAAATTTATCTCTTTCCAAAATTGAAAAAAATGATATAGAAATTGTAGAAAATAATAGATTTCAAGAAGATAAGTGAAGGGCCAACATCAATGTGTAACTCATTCAACAGCAAAACATTTCGTCAAGCTATGTGCCAAAGATGGTCTTTTGAATATTTAAAAAATATAATCAAAAGCACTATCATTATATCAAATAACTTGTATTTATATTTAATAATATCTATTTATTTATTTATTTAAGTATATTTAGAACTTGTTGGTAATGAAATCGATTACCATATTTAAAACAACCTGAGGAGCATCCATAGGACTCTATTATTAGTTGAAATTTTATCGTTAATAGTTGCCAGACATTTGTTCAATCGATTTATAAGTTGAAGTTTTGTTTTGGAAGTTTTGTTGGAAAAAATATTTGATTGTATCCAAATTAAGTTTGGATTGGCGAATTAAGGTTGATCAATAATATATCAAGTTGTATTTTAATTGAAATGGACCAAGGTGAAGTTGGATTGTTGAATTATTTCGAGATAAATAAAAGAACAATGTGAAAAATTGAAATTATAAAAAAAAATTTTGATTAATAAAATAATTAATTTTAATTCTGAATTTATGTTTAATAATTACCATGTGGCCTGATTGTTAGTTGAAATTTTATCGTTAATAGTTGTCAGACATTTGTTCAATCGATTTATGAAGTTTTTTTTGGAAGTTATTGTTATTTCGAGATAAAACACAAGGTGAAAATTGAGAAAATTAAAAAAAAATTTGATTAATAAAATAATTAATTTGAATTACGAATGAATATTCAATAATTACCGGCATTGTTTACGGACATAAGTGTCAATCCACCATATGATTGTGTGTAACCACCAATGTCTTGTCCATTCATAACAATCTTTCTTGGAGCATTATTCCATTGTTGGTTGTTTGGCCAGTCCAATTGAGAAACCCAAGCTTGTGAACCCAAGTAGTTACAGATCCAACCCATATTTCCATTGTAGACCAAAGTCTTGATACCTGCTTGCAATAATACTGGGATATGCTCGACTTCAGTATTCCACCAGTCATTGATGATATCAGCATAGACGGTGCTGCTGCATAATTGCCATGAAGCGTTTGCTGGAACACCAAGTTGTTGACGAACAGATGGCAATGACAAGTATTCGGTGGCCAAGGTGAAGTTGTAGCAAAGTGGGAGTGATGGTGGACAGGTTAAACGAACATCATATGGGTTGAATGGACCGGCATACTCTTGAATGACGTTCATAATCTCGTTACAGATGGTGTTACTGTCGTTGTAACTTCCAGAGTTAATGGCATCAACACATGAAGCATACAATCCTTCGGTCTCTTTGAGTGCCAATGGTCCGATTAAACCATGGGCAAAGGCGAATGGACCCAAAGAACCATATTGGACTAATGGATCTACCATGGCATTACCAACAGCAATACCCTTGAGGTTGAAATGAGTGGAAAATGGATCTTGGTTCTTGACGTACATGTAGTATGCGAGAGCTGGAACGTAATGACCGGCATAAGACTCACCAAAAATATAGAATGGTAAATTGGCAAACTGTGAGTTGTCATTCATGAACTGGCTAAGCATACGGTAGAGGTTCTCAGCGACCTCATCTTCGTCGGTGGAATAACCATTTGGATCACTGACATAACTGAAACCAGTACCGACTGGTGAATCGACGTACAAAACATTGGCAACAGTGTTCCATGAATATGGATTTGGTGTCAATTGAAGGTTATCGGTTAAATGGAATGGTCCATTCTCATAAAAGATGGCGAGCTCCGAACTGCAACCTGGTCCACCTGTCAACCAGATAATGAATGGATCGGTAGCGGGGTTACCTTGAGATTCAAAGAACCAATAGAAAAGGTTGGCATCAGTAGTTTGGTTTACATTATAATAACCAGACCATGATTTAGCAGCTCCAACATTCTTTTGATAATGACGGGTACCTGCTGAAGCCAAGCACTAAACAATGTGTGTACAACATATGATAGTTTATTTATAAAAATGTTAATGATTTACAGAATCTTTAGAGAAAATAATTTTACTTACAACAATAGATAACAATAATACAATATTAAATAATTTCATTTTTAAAAATAAATAGTATACAAATAAATTAAAAAAGAATAATATATTTATATATTTATAATATTCTTTTTAGGTTTGATTTGAATGAGTAGAATCACCTGATTTCAAATTTATTGGAACAAGTGCCTGTCCTTCGGCTTTCAAAAAAAAAAAAAAACAGCAAAAAAAAATGATATGCATGAAGGCGATACAAATAGAAAAAAAAATGCATTAAAGTTATTGTCATCCACATCAAGGCGATTTATATGAAAAAAAATTCATCAGAAATTTCCAAGTCATTTTTTGATCAAAAAAAAATTGTAAAATTATTTTTATCTAAATTTCATGTTCCCCCATTGTTTGACAATATCAAAAACAAATCAACACATTCTAAAAAAGAATGATTCCATTCTTTTAGTAGTATTAATTTAAATTATATTTTTAATTATTTATTTATAATTGTTGAAATTTTCTTTTGTTTTTCTTTCTTTTTTTTTTTTTTTTGAAAAAAATAACTATTCTATTTAACATTAAATACGAGACCTGCAGATAAACCAAATACTTCAGGTTGTTTCGATGAATATACTTTGGTTGGTGGTAGTGTGAATTTACCACGAATAGTTGTAACTGCGTTATAGGTAACTGTGTAACTACCAGCAATGATATTGGTTCCGTGGAAAATGACAACATCACGTTTGGTTTCACGATAGGAGAATGGTTTGTAGATCCAATAACGGAATCTTTGATAGTTAGTATCAAAAGTGTTTGTAGTTGTTGCTAAATCGTAGATATTGTTATCGAGTGGTTCGATTCCTGCAGAGATACCATCCTCTATGTAGACAACTCCAATGTCATCGGGTGTAGTGATTGAGATGGTAACTTGAACGAGCTGACCAACTTGGAAGGTGTTATCAGTGACAGTACTGGTATTTCCAGAGGGATTCAGTACTTTAATGATCTTCTCTACATAGAAACCGTGGAATATTGGTTTGGTTGGTAGTGTTGTTGGGACATAGTTGATTCCGATCGATGCGGAAATTTCACCGGTTCCATTGGCATTGAAAAGTATTTTACCTTCATTGTCTCCGAGTACTCCGAATTGAATGGTTCTAGCAATGCTCTGAGTGTTGTTTTCATTGAATTTGGCACTGAGAATTGGGTGAGATGGTGTGTCTTGGTATGCGAGGAGTGAGAGGTTCGGTCTGGTAGATCTAGTTGATTTGTCATAGTAGGTCATGGCAATAATAGAGAGTGCAAGTTGTTCACTTGATTGTCCACCACGATAGTAGTTAAAGAAATCAAATGTAGGGATAATACCACCGGTTCCGATGAAATTGATCATTTTCTCCAACATTGGGGTTTGGTGGTTTGCCATAATAAATGCAATCGAGGCATAGGTTGTCAGCTCCAAACTGGATTGACTACTACCAGCACCATAGGTAACATAAGCAGTTCTACCTTGAATACGGATATTATTCTCGATATTGTGAATTACAATATTGATGAATGGCAAGTTGGATTCACCACGAATCAACGCTGCAATCATAAAGTAGGTTTGACAAAGGAGGGAACAATTATCGGTGATGTTGGCGGTGAGCGCATTCCAACTGTAGAGTTCATCTAGATCCTCTTCTGATGGTGCCCAATAATAACCAAGACCAATCGATGCATATCCAATCAGCTCCTTATCGATAGATGTATTTAAACGATGAGCTTGTGATACCTCATCATTCAAATAGTTATCGATATAATTGACCCAATCTGAAAGATTTCTATGAATGAGTGTCCATCCATCGATATTTGATTGTTCCATTAAATTCTTTAATACAATAGCGTATAGTGTTGGATAGTAGTTACTTGATTCATCTGGATAATAATTTAAATATCTACCAATATAAGAATCAATACTATCAACCATTTGTTTCAATGCTTCTTGTGATTGGTTGATCAATGTTTTGTTGTAGCCATAGGATGTGAGTGCACCGTAGGTTACTTGTTGAGAGAGTAAATCAATAGAGGATGGTGTTCTCTCTGCTGCAATGGATAAAAGTTGAACACATTCCACTTCGATTGATGGATAACGACCAACTCCAATGACTATATCCATACTTCCAGTACCTGGTTCACTGGATGGCAACTTGATTCCTTCGGCAATGGTTGTATTGGCACTAATAGTCATACTTGTACCGATATAGATCGGAAGTTGACGACCTAGTACATCAAAACTAATTTCAACAGAGTCCAATGATTCAGTTCCACGATAAAGGTAGAAAATCATCTTTGAAGTACCTTTGTACATAGCTTTGAAATTGAAAAGAACATCAACCGATGTCATTGAAGATGGGATGGATACATCCTTTGAGCTACCAGTCAAGATATCCAGCGATGGATCTTCAAGTTTGACAATCAATCGCAAGTTGGAAGTAGAGGCAGCTGGATTACCAACGACAATAGTAACACCACATTCAAAGATATCACCAATTCTTGCAAATCTAGGTTGAATCGGTAGAATATTTAGATCCTTTCTACTGGTAATGGATGTCTCTTGTGATGTAAACTCTGAAGAATTGGTAATAACATAGGCACGAATAGAGAAGGTAGTCAAATCATCTGGAAGTTTCAAACTGACAGTGGCAACACCATTCTTTACAATGATCTTTGGAATAAACAATGGAGTAGTTCTGAAATTGGTACGAACATTAGATATGACATCATTTCCACCATTGTTTCCACTGGATTTAGGGACAGCAGAGGCTTGTGGTGAACGAGCTCCTTCCAGTGCATTATCGAATTGGATACCAGGGAATCCACCCGCAAATCCAGTTAATCCACTAGTAGAGGAAGAACCAGAAGAGGAAGAACTAGAAGTAGCACTAAAAGGTGCTGGATATGGATAGAAATGATTATATGGATAATAATAACCACCACTCGATGTTATCCAAGAATAATAAAGAGAGTCCTTTGGATTCTGATCGAAATTACCCCAATAAGCAGATTCAATCCAGAGATCTTGCTTCAAACGATTCAACATGATCTTGAATTCACTTAAGTAGCGACATACAATTTGGATTCTCGAATCGATAAACATTTGAATGTAACTGGTATCTGGTTTCAATCCATCACCATTGGACATTGGGTGTGGAACCAAATCCAAATTTCTTTGATCAACCACCATGATACATGCTTCGGCTTCACCAGAGTAGGATGATCCATCTCTATTACGAAGATAGATGCTAAATTGAGTTTCAGAGTTTGGTTTAACGATGGAGTTGGAAAGATCGATTGATACACCAAGAGTTGGACGACGTGTAACAATGGTACCTGTAGTACCTTGACAAGTTGATGGTGCACTCAGACTGACCTGTGGGGAAATTCTAATCTCTGCTGGAATAGAGTAACCCAATCTTGAACCATGTCCAATCATATCAATGTGGAAATAGGAATCTGCACATTTTGAATTGATTTCCAATTCAATGGTACCAATACCATAGGTGGCGGTAATTTGTTTGGTATCCAAATGAGCATCACATCCCCATTGAATCATGAATCTTCCTTGTTTGAATGGATTGAAATAGGTTAGCTGTGGTGATTCACCTTCGATGTATTGTGACTTGTCTGTGTATAAAGTCATTTGGTTGTGTGGTGCGAAATAGTTATTCTCCCAATAGTCTTGGTCATTGCCAACTTTGAGTGCACTGGTGACAATCTGAGAGTTTACGCTGGCACGAGCAGTGATAACATAGAGTCCAGAATGAGGGAGAGTGAAACTACATGGTGGAGTCTTATCGCTGTCGGTCGATTCAAACTGACAGAAATACTGAGTGTTCAACTTTCTCTTTTTAATGAGTTGTTTGAAAGAAGCAGTGTGACCATCGGTATTTTCAATGCGCTCCTGTTGCTCGTATTGCTCCAACTGATAGATATTCTCAACGTATTGACCCATGTTTACTTCTTCATAGTTGGATATCTTGGTAATCGGTTTCGACGGTGAGATTTGGAGGGTAATCGAGGTATTTACAACTGGTTCACCAGTTGGGATATGAATGAGATCGGCGAAAATACCTTGTGGAACACCTGGAACAATGTTGGAAGAGATGAATGGTGCAACTCTCATATTGAAACCGTATTCACTCTTTAGGAAGTAGAGTGAGATAACCTTGGACTCTACTAGACTTCTGGTACTATCCAAATATTGTGCAGAGAATGAGAATTTATCACCATCTCTAACAACACCCGGTTGGAATTTGATGCTTGCAACATTACGACCATCTGCATTAGTAATGACATTGACAACGCTTCTAGTGAAATTAGAGTAACCTTTATCATAGAAATTCTCAACATAATCATAGGTCAATGTTACATTTTGGTTACTTAATCCAACACCCAAATAATTGGTAGTGGTCATATTGATATCAACATTTAAAGCAGATCCTTCAACAAATGGAATAAAAGTACCACCATATGAAATATCTAATTTTCCAGTTGGAATTCTTGGATCTGCAATTAAAATATCTAAAAAATAATAATTTAATGGTTATTAATAGTAATTAATTTATCAATTTAATAATCAACTTACCAATAGATGAATAATAATTATTTAATGATATATCATTTACACTGTTTCCAGTTAGATGAATTGAATATGGACCATGGTTTGTATTGGCGGGGATAACTACGTCAATGTCAAAAGTATTGTAAATTGGATCGACTGAAACTTTTTGGTAGAATGGATGCATTGTTGAAGAGACTAACCAATCGGCTGAAACTCTGAATACGGTTTCGGAGAGTACTTTGAGCTCTCCTCTCAAGTATCCTTTTACATGTATAGTTTCACCAGCATTGTATAACTTTCTATCGGTAATCAACTCTGATTTAGTTGATGTGGATCTTGGTGAATATCCAAAACTAGTTTGGAATGGATGTAATCTATTATTTCCATACTCTACAACCAAGTACGAAATTCTTTCACCTTCATGACTGAAATATACAATACCATGAGAATCTGTTTTCTTTTGATCAACTAAAAATACTTCATTATCTGGATTATATGTACGATTCTAAAAAATATAAATAAAAAATTAGAATAAATAGTTAAATATTTAAATAAATATATCAACTTACATAACCATAAACATAAACAGTTGCATCAACTACATTTGTATCATTTTCAAGATAGGTTATCCAAACCATAACACGAGATTCAACCGAACGTGCAGAGATACTTATTTCAGTTTCAGTGTTGAAATTGATGGTGTACGATGGTTTGCAATTATAGTCGTAGAAATTTAATATGGCTTGGAGGAATGTACCACTTTGTTTCCAAAGATCACGGGAATTGAGTGCTGCAACTACTGGTTGGTTGGTAATATTTCTATCGAGTGTGATGATTTGTTTTGGTTTGTCAATGAGTAGTTTTCCTCTGAGCATGGAATTGAGTGCAGCAACCAAATTATACTTGGTCAATGGATAACCTGCAACGGTGTATGGCATGTATTTTCCACGACAATCTGGATCCAAATTGATATCCCCGACATTCTGTGAAATGGTATAGATCTGTTCGACTGAATTGCTTTCGTAAAACTCTGTACTTTCAGTTCTCGAAACAATATAGTGTGTTCCCTTGTCTTGTTTGATGAGTGTTTGGTGTCTTGCCAATGGAATACCCCAGCCATCTAAAACTGGTTCTTCTGGATTGACAACTAGTGTATAGTTTCTTAATACTTCAAATGGAGCTGTAATCTAGATTATTGGAAATCAATTAGTTTATAAACAAAAAAGAACAAAAATTATCACTAAAAGTTTTTAATAATTTTCCCAAAAAAAAAAAAGAGATGGAAACAATTATAAAGTAACTAGTAGTAGTAGTAGTAGAGGAGTTGCAGAAGAGAGCAGCAATTATCCAATTAGATTTTTAAGTAAGTTTAGACCAGTTTAGATTAGAAAGAGAATTGGAGAATGAGAAGAAAAAAAAGATTTGGAGAAGAAATGAAATTTCCAGAGAAGAAAAAGTAGAGGCAAGAGAAAAAGAATTTAAAAGTAGAGAGTAGTAATAGCTCAAGGTAGTAAAAGCAGTAGATAAGTAGTAAAAGCTAAAGTAGTAGTTAGAATATGTATTTACTTGAAGGGTGGCAGCATCGATCAACTCCATGGTAAAATTCAATGGTGGAATGAATGAGAATGCCGCTCTTAATGTTTGTAATGATGATGGTGTTGCCAATCCATGTCTAAGTAATAATCTCTTACTATAATGTCTATCATTTTGTTCCCTAGAAAAAAAATAATAAATATATATAAAGTTATATTTTTTATAAATAATTTATAGACTTACTGGAATGGGAAAACAAATGGATATAAACCATTGAAACGAATTGAAATTTGTTTTGGTAGTGGTCCAGCTCTTGAATTCAATTTTGAATTTTTGTGGGAATACCAAAGAGTATGTTTCACCAATTGCCAAACGATTACCAAATGAAATACAAAATACTCTTGTTGATTCTCTATCTCTATAAAAGTTTGTTGTTGTTGATTTTTAATTAATAATATTGTTCTCTTATCATTTTTTAAATTACTTACTCTGGACATGTAACAAAATCAATTTCTACAGGTGCAGAATTCAATTCACGAATTGCTTTGATACTTGATTTCAACATGGCTAAATCGAAATCGATTGAAATACGAATTACGATGATTCCATCGGGTGGAACCTCTGGTCCGGAAGTGTACCATGTTCCATTGGCTTGTTTGGCGCTTGTGAATGGACTCCACTTGTTGTTTGTCATTTGGAGGGTACGGTTCGATGTGACAGTTTCAATGTTTATGATTGGTGAGGTGGTTTTGTAGTAAACGGGGTCAGGTGTTCTCGAGAGACGTGTTCCGTCGTAGGCAGTCATCGATGGATCAACCTCAAAACTACATCTCAAATCGGTTGGCCAAGTTCCGTTGATGTCGAAACGTGCAATGGAGGTTGTAACCCATCGGAAGTTACCATCGACTGGAACTTGAGAACCGTCACACTTTAAGTGGAACGGTGAGTATTTTACCTCCAACTCGGAACCTAGTGCAATCACCGGTCTGTTAAATACAATAGTGATTGGATCCTTCTCATACATCAAATAATAATCAGTTCTCGAAACCGAGGATGGAATAATTTCAAGAATTCTAAGTGGAATACTCAACAATGAGTTGTCACTTGTATTCACACTAACAGATGGTTGAATTGGTTTAGTTGTTTGAGTTGGTGTTGGAGATGGTGTTCGAGTTGGTGATGGTGTTGGAGATGGTGTTGGAGATGGTGTTGGAGATGGTGTTGGAGATGGTGTTGGAGATGGTGTTGGAGATGGTGTTTGGGTTGGTGTTGGTGATTGAGTTGTCGATGGAGTAGGTGGACGATACATAGTTGGTGATTGAGTATTCACATATTTGGTAGGTGAAGGTTGTTGATAATCATTTTCTTCATTATTATCATTTTTATAGTTATTATTATTGTTATTGTTATTATTATTGTTGTTATTTAAATTTTTAGTATTATGATTGTATGTGGTGCTGCTACCATCATGTGAACTGTCGGATCTAGTTATATTAATTAATTTAAGAAACACAGAATGGAATACACCATGAAATTTGTTTATGTTTTTGTCATCAGTAACTTTAGATTCAAAATTTGTTTCGGAATTGAAATAAATGATAGAGAAAGCGGAAATGACAAACATACACAAGAAGAGTCCAAGTAACCTTTTCATTGTTTTGTTGGAGATGATCATATCTGAGTATTTTAGTTTGTTGTTAGATTAACCAGAACAACAACAAATAAATATTTGGCAAGAGTTAGTTTTTACGATTTTCGGAAGTAGTAGTAGTAGTCGGAAGAGTTTTGGAATATAATTTAAATTAAATTTAAGATTGATATATTAGTAAAATTTAATTTATTTTTTTTTAATTTGATTTATTTTTTTTAATTAATAGTAACTGGTAATTTAAAAATAATAACTCGTAGTAGTTTTAAAAACCAGTAACCAAAAAAAAAAAAGTTTTAATAAATAATATTTTGATTTGCTTGAATTGGAATTGATTTTTGATTGTTAATTGTTGTTTGATTAACTTGACGTTGAGTGTTGTGTTGTGTTGTTGGTACAAATACAATAGTTGTTGTTGTTATTGTTAAAATAGATTATTAATATTTTTATTTATATATTGGAATAAATATATGTAAGATGGATTTTGTCTGAAAATACAAATTGAGATGATTTTGAAAAATATAGTGTTTTGATTGATTTTGACGTATAAACTATGTCCAACAAGCAGGTAGAGGTTTGATTGGAAAAGTAATATCAAAATTAGTTCAAAAATTAATATATAGGTTAGATGTGCATATAGACAACAGAGTAAATTGTTATTATATCAAGATAACTCCAATAAATATTAAAATCAACTATTAGATAAAAGGTAAGATATTGTCTGGTAGGAGACTAGTAAACAGTATTATGTTTGATTTTTGATTTATTTTTTTTTTTGTAATAAAACTATTTGATTGATGTTATAATTAAAATTAAATTGTAATTAATTATTTTATTAAAAAACAATAATATAATAATACTGTTTTAAAATAAAAATAATAATAAAATACAACAAATTAAATGATTCTTTTTTGTTTATAATATTATTATTTTAACTATTATTATTATTTATAAATATTGGAATGGACATGATCATGATTTGTTTTTTTTTTCACATGGTATAGGAGTAGCACGACTTTATATTATTGCTTAATATGGATCAATCACTACAATAACAAAAGTTGCTAAAATATAAATAGTGTGTACATCAGTTGTGTATTGGAATTTAAGTATTAGGAGATGAATATTCAAGATAGATAGAATTTTCAATTGTGTTTGTTATAACAAAAGAGTTGGATTGAAATGTTAATGGGATACACATATATATATGTCTGTGTGTGAATGTGGGATAGAGTGGTGCTGAGGTGTGTGCTAGTGGGTGGACTATCAAGCACGTATTAATAATGATATGCACTCAACAAACACTCATGTCCAAAACCACAATATTGATTGAATTAAATTAAATTAATTATGGTTTTTTAGTAGTTAAAGTTGTTGATTTGCCCGTATACTTCTCGAGTGGTGCGACGCACGTCTTTTTACTTGGTAATCGGGCAATCAATAACCAATATCGTTACTGCTATCTATTTAGTTAATAGGTAAGTCGATAACTCTGTGTTTGTGTGAGTGCTCTGCGTTATATCTAGGTAATGAGGGTTTAATATACAATCATATCTAAATAAATATATTATAGTGATATTTGGTGATTTTAGAGTTAACGAACACCAAAAAGTCGGATCATCTCTTGTCCAGACACATTTTGAAATGAATTCCAAATGACTAGTAAATATAATTATATAAAGACAACAACCACAACACATGACACCACGCACATAAAGAAAATGATATAAAGATATTTTAATTAAACTTTAGATTTGTTCATCCTCTTTTTTTTAACACCAATAAAAAGAAAAATACACTGATTCCAGAATTTATGGTTTATACAACAAATAACAATTAATATAACAGTGGAATTGGACCATAAGATTGATTATCGATTCATATTTAAATATAAAAATATAACTTTAGATAGATATAAAGATATGCTTACAGATATTATTGGGGCTCCAGGATAATTAAATTAAAAATTAAAAAAAAAAATTAAAAAAAAAAAGAGTAGAACAAGTTTGACTTTACTGTGTGTTGGTTATAGTTGCCACAGAGAGTGTTTGAGGTATCAGCTACTCTTTTTGGTTGATGATTGTTATTGTTGTTGTTGTTGATTGGATTGATTGTTTAGTAGTAGCTACTACTGTAATTGATAGATCTTATCCCACAATCTTCCACCTTCTTCTTCTTCTTTTACTTTTTCTTTTTTTTTAAGATCAAAATTTTAACCAAATGAAATAGAGATGGTTAAATAATATGAATTTTCCACGATCTCTTCAATGTTATTTATTTTCCAATTCTCTATTTGATTGTTAATTAATTAGAGTCTGATTAGTTTGTCTTTGATAGACTTTAAAGCCAATATCTATTAAGCAGCCTAAAGTGATATTTACAATTGATCAATTCCAAACTTGGATAATGAATTAAAGTATAACACAAGAGCGAGAATAGATTGGAAAGGAAATATAAATAAATAAAATGGATGAAGAGGAGTAAAAATGAACAAGAATATAAGTTTAATAACGACTATCTGTTCATTTAGAGTTGATGTATAATATATTAAACATATAAATTTTATTATATAAAGTTACGTATTATTCAAAATACGAATTCTGAGAGGGTAGTAGCTAATACATTAGGGTATAAAATTAAAAATAATAATATATTAATTAATTTGTATGCAACCATCATATAATATAATGTAGTTAATTTGGTTTGTTGTAAATGAATGTTTTTTTTTCATATGATGGAAAGTGGTTATTTTATTAATATAAACACACACATCACAATTTTAAATCACAAAGTCATATGAAAAATCATCATGGGTATGGTATATTTTGGTAGTTGGGTGGTGGTAGAAGTAGAGGAATGAATGTTTTGATGGTTTGAATCGATTTGATTTGATTCGATTTGTAAACATGAAAAAGTAACAATATTAATACAACTGCTAATAATAAAGTGTAGTGGTAGTTTATATTATATGTCAAGGTACTATAGATGGTGATAACCTCTTTTTTTTTTTGTTTTCTAAAATTTCTCTTTATATTCTAAAAGCATTAAACATGAATGGAATTCAAATAGATTAAATATAAAACTTTTAAAAAAAAGGTGGTATTTTGATAAAGGAGAAGAGAAAGAAGATCTAACCCCCAAAACTAAAAAAAAAACAAATAAATAAATAAATATTTATATTTGTAAATGAAATGTAGGTTAACTCAAGTTTGTTAACAGCTTTAGATTGTGCATGATAATGTTTGTGTGATTCTATAGTCTTGTTTGGTTTTCTTGTCTAACCATCTCATGTCAAAAGTTGTTTGAAATTAATAATACTCTACACTAATAATATATGAGATTTCTTTATTTCTTATTAAATTATATCTTTATATCTGTGCATAATTATTTGTATAATTATTTTTAAAAGCATGTCATGTGCAAAAAACAATAGTCAAAAATCTAGACGAGATTTTCGATCTTCGTCATCTTTTTTTTTTTTTTAATTTTTAATTTTTAATTTTTTTAACATCAACCTCATTCAATAAACATTATTCTATTTCATTTATACAAACATATATTTAATGATCATTTTGAAAATAAAAGAATGTTATAAAATTTTAAAAGAACACATAATTTTCATTCATTTTTAATCTTTTAGTGGTTAATATTAATTAAAAGTTTAATTATAATAATAATTTTTAATTATCGTAATAACTATCAATATGCAAATACGTTTGTTATATTCCTTTGTGGGGATTATCGTTTAATCAATCTCCATCGCTATGATTTATCTTTTTATTAACAATTTGGAAATAGAAAAAATGATCATTTTATTATTTTTAGAATAGTCAGTATGAACATTCATTTTAGCAAAAATATATTAAGTGAATTAGTTTGAGTGATGATCAATCATCACCAATGATTCATTTGATCAAGATACTCAAAAGAAGTCTGTAGATCATATCAAAAACTTCCAAAATGAATTAATTACAATCATTACGTGAAATTATAATCATTTTGGTCAAAGTGGAGCGAATTTTTATTGTTCGTGATTCATCGAACCAATCAGGTCATTTCAGGAATACTTTAAACCCTTTTCCTGAATTATATCATATTTTATTAAAAAAATGTGGTGACTGGTGAATCATTGGAAAACCCACTTGATTATCATAAATTTTTACAATTTTTTTAATTTTTAAAAAAAATCACAAAAATTGGTCTTTGGACTAGTTTTAATTTAAACTGCGAACACACACAAAAAACACACCACACACAATCATGGATTTTGATTAAAGAAAAACACACAGAGTTGATGTTTTTACCAAATTTGTCTAATTTCCAAAAGAAGTCATTTTCATTATTTTAAAATTAACATCATTTTAGAATTTACGCAATTTTTTTCACTGCGGTCATTGATCAGGCAGATATATTAATGATAGATAGATAAAAATGTAATCGTTTGATCAAATTTAGAAAAAATAAAACAATAACGGTTAAATTTTTTAATTTTCAAAATAAATTATTACCTTATTAGTTGTAATTAAATTAAAAATCTTTTCATTTCTGAAAAGAAAAGAGTTTGTTTGACAAAACTACACAATGTTTTTGATCAAATGCAAACGAAACTCTTCATTGTTTAATTTAAATAGGGGATGACAATATCATTTTGGTTTACTTTTATTTTATTTTTTAACGATCATAAATGTGTTTGAATGTTTGACTGTTTGACTTGACACTGCTCTGCACTGAATGATTATTTGATTTGATATTTAAATGATCATTTCATTTTATACACAATATAATAAGTATCTAGTGAGAACACTACCACCCAGGATAAAACAGATTCAAGAGATCCGTCTTTGTGATATTTGCAACACAACCAAGTTGTGCAATCATCAATATTGATCAGAACAAGTTCTGATTTTCTTACAAAAAAGGTTATTTTTTGAATAAATGAATTGGATTGGTTAGGATTGAATTAATATAATTTTTTGGAGATATAGATTTTGAGAGAGTGAGAAGGCCCTTGTGATTATTACCAAATAAAGTTAGTTTTTGGAATGAATGAATCATTGTTTAATATTCATACCACTTTGGGGATACATACATATAGGACGAAGAACAAACATGTTTTAATTGGTGATGATGGTGGTTAACATAAACAACAACAACAAAGTGATCGTTTCTTCCTTTTTGCTAGAACTATTTCCCATTTTCGATAAACAAATTTGGAAATTAAATTAATAGTGCATAGTATTATCTGAACGATTCAATTCAATTTGCGCTTGTTGTTGTTCATTATATCTATAGAATCCAAAATTGCACCTTTTTTCATTATCACTAAAGCTGCAAAGCTACGACCTAAAAACCTGTTTTATCCAAAGGAAAAAGTTGTTATACCAGTGGGCATGCAAAGTTTAGCTACTAAAACCGATAAAAGAGGATATGATCTCATTTACCCCGTACATCTAGAGGAGATTAATTGATATTTTTAATTATCAGGTATGGTGTTTGCTGCTAGGTGTGTGCTAATTTAAAAACAAAAAGTGGTATTGTTAGATTAACTATGATAGATTCACAAAGAAAAAAAAAAATACTATAAATATAAAGAGAATGCCAAGCTATCATTTCAAATACGAAAGAACATATGGGTGATAAGTGGGTTTGACAAGTGTGTGTGTGTGTGTGCGTTTTGAACTTGATGAATGATGATGTTGATGATGAAGTTGGGTCAATCTTTGAGAATATTATATAAAAACAAAAAGAAAACTACACACTTTTTATTTTAACAGCGCCAACCACAACACACCTCTATTTGATCATACAACATACAATGAAATTGCAAAAATTTGAAATTAAAAAGAACCCGTTTTTATCTTTTTTTTTTTTTTTTTCAAACTACTCAAGTTTCGATAAAATTTAAAAAAGCGATCAACTTAAAAGTGAAAGATCTTCTTTTTGATGAAATTTTGCAAAATGAGGGTGTGGGTGGGTTAGCATTAATAGAATAGACAAATTTTAAAGTAAAAAATTGTTTTAATATTTTCAATGCCTTCCTTTATTATGAGAAATGTTTGTCGAAAATAAGAAAATAAAAAAAAGTGTGTGTGTTAATATTAATAATATTCGTGTGTGTTTCTTTGTGTGTGGTGGGTTTTAATTGAACTGAAATGTTGATTATGTAATAAAAGTGATTTGATGGATTGACAAGAGAGACACCCCTCTCAAGGTGACTCAATGACAGGTCTCAAAAGCTTAATTTTTAAAAGTTTGAGAAAAAGAGATAAGACATAACACACCCCACACCTCTGCCTCAGATATAATGGGTGATATATTGTATCGTTTTTAGGTTGTTTAAGAGTGGTTTTGCAAAGACACCAACATTCATTTCATAGGCAAATTGCTAATTGCAGACAAATTTATATAAATGTACAGAAAACATCATCATTCCAAATAAATTCAAATTAATATTTATTTGACTACATAAAGAGAGAGAATTATATATTCTTCTTATCTTTAAACAAACACAACATCTTCACTAACTACTACTACCTACTACTGTAATAGTACAATATTACAATAGTAAAATTCAAATTTATTCTTATCTTATCAACTTCATTTAAATATTTATTTTATATGTATGTTATATCTTTTTTTTTTTTATCTAATTCAAAGTAGTTGTGCTTTATTAATATAAGAAATCTATATCTTTAAAAAAAAAAAAAAACTAAACTCAACCCAACCACCCCCCTTAATTTTTACCTTTTGTCCATTCGTGTTCCACTACTTGTATTTGCATTTTTGATACAATTGGCAGCTGCAATAACAACAATTGTAACATCTAAACACAAGAATAAAGAGTACCAACCCTTTACTGTCCCAAACAAATAAGAATAAAACTAAGGTATATCATACCTGTAAGTATAAAAAAATTTAATTTTTTTTAAAAAATGATAACTAATAATACTTTATTTATTTCCACTTTGACAAATTTGCTCATGACTTACCTTTTTTACACTTTTGTTGTGTTTATCTTTATTAAATCTTTGATAACCTGGTTATATATTCCAATTTTTTTTCTATTTTTATTTTACTTTTATATAACGTTTCGAAATTGGCAAATTAAAACTTCCAATGTTGTTTTTCCTGACTTGACACGTTATAATCATAACTATATTTTATTTATTTCCTGGACCATTATTTATTAATTATTCATTTGTTTATTATTTTTTTAAACATTTCTTTTGATATTTTCTATCTCTACTATTTTTTATCAAACAACTTTTTTTATTATTTTAAAAAACTAACTACCTATTTCTCAAATAATCATATAATAATAATATCAATATTTCATTGTGATTTTAATATATATTTATCTAAATTTATCTTGAATGATATAATTTCAAATATTTTTGTTATCTCTTGTGGTATAAATTGATATTTTTGGATATTGAACATAAATTATCTTGTATTTGCCTGCCTTTTCAAATTATCAGATCGTTACTGTGACTCCCTATCTCGACTCCAACTGCTGTTGACGACGACGACGACTATTACCACACCACCAACCCCGATTAAACAAGTACCTAATTGTTACACCACAATCCAATTCGTTTCATTTCAATAGAATTAAAAGTAATATCATCATACCCCCATCACATCAATCATCAATAACTCTCTGCTCCTACTTTAGAATTAAACAAGTAACAAGACATACATAATACACACCCCACCCACAAACATATATTATTAAGTGACCGACTGACATTCTAATATCTTCTTTTGTTCTTGTTTGTTTGTTCTATCAAAATCCAAATCAAACAAAAACTATACATACACCACCCACATACCATTCTCAAGACATGTCATACTATAAATATATATAAACAAAACAAACCTTTCAAAATACCAAACAACCACCCACTAACAAAAACACACCCACACTAAACTCACTGTAATAATTATCTATCTTCAAATTCAAACTTTTTTTAAATTTAGTAGCAAATTTAAAATTATAAAAATATCCAATCAACCTACTAACATAAACTACTACTACAACCTTTTCAATATCAAATAATTATAAAACAACAATAACAACTACATACATCAATTGAATTGAACAAACAAAAACAATTTAATTTTGTTAAATTAAGTAATTCACAACTACAATTTACAACAAACAAACAAACTATTATTGCCATTATTATTTAACCAATTCAACTACACAATAGAAATCATTATATTGGATTAATTAATACAAGTCAGTAACATTATTTTTAGAACAACACGATAACTGTTTCTAAGGTTTCATATAAATCCATTTATAATCATCATATTCATATTGATATTGTTGTTTTAATCTTTAGATAAAAACATCAATCTTCATCGATAACACAACCATCATCCAATAGTACCACTACCACCACAGCTGTCTCTAACAACCACAGGCCAAACATACATACCTGTTCACAATTAACAAACAAAACACCTCCCCCAACTCGTTAACAAAACATTCTCATTATATCACTACTAAAAACTCATCAAACACACTACCAACACAAACACACACTAACACTCACTTAATCCAATACACAAAACACACTAACACTAACACACACACAATCAATATTAAATAATTAATTTGGTACAATTTTAATTAATTAAAATTGACTTTTTTTTGTTTTTTTATTTGTATTACAATTTTCTTTAATTTTTTTTAAACCTTTGAAAAGGAGAGCAGCATTGGCAGAAGAGTTGTCCAATAAACCAATCAAAATTCTACATCAAGTCAATTACTACATTTCTAACCAAAAACCTATCTATTACCATTATTTCTATGTTTAGATATTCAAACCATCAACATCATCATCATTCCATTGTAAATTAATAATATTTAACTATTTTCAAATAATTTTTGAAAATAATTAAATTTAAAAGAAAAACAAAAAAACAAAAGGTGAACAAACATACAAACTAACAAAAACCTAATAATACCATTATTATATATTTAAAGTGTTACAATAATTATAATTTAATATTATTATATATCCACCATCCATCCAACAACCAACCGCCAAACCGATCATTACCTATCCATATCTAAATTGTTTATAAAAGTAACTCTTCAAAATCAAACCAACATTCAAACACTAAAACATAAAAACAAATAACTATAATATTTATAACTAAATAATTACTTTAAACTTATAACCATTGTAAACAAATAATAACTATTTTATAGTTTTTTTATATATTATTATATATATCATTAAGAACTAGTTACCACACACATATCTGCAAATTAAAAAAATCAAATCAAAACCTCGCCTTTCACCACATCACCCTAAAAACAAACACACACTACCACCACACAGTATCTACACAATTTTTTTTCTTTTTAAAAACTTTCACACACATACCAATCAAATCTTGAAAATATTTTAATTATATTATTATTTTATTATTATTATTATTTAACTAAAAAAATCATCATCTTTTAAAAGTCTTTTTTAAAATTATTTTGTAATCAAATGTCGAATTTCCATTCTGTACCAAATACACCACCACCTTTTCTGTTCTTTGATCATTCGCCAAGAGAACAGAGTCCCTCGCATCATATACTGATAGAGGAAGGCTATTACCGATCGCCTCCATCTTCCACTTCGCTCGCCAACAACAACTTCAAGCAACAAATGATTGGTGCAAACAGCTTCCAACCGATCTCTCTGGAACGATCGTCATCATCTAGTAGCATTGGAAATAGTAGTATCAGTAGCAACTACTCATTCTCACCACTTCCATTCTCCTCTTTACCACAACCACAATCAAGTCAACAACATTATTTCTACTCTACCAACAACAGTAATAACAATATTAATAGTAATAGTAATCATCACCAACATCAACAACAACAACATTCAATTAAAACTTCACATCCAATTCCTCTTAAAGCTTCTCCACGTGCCAGTATTGTAAATAGTACTTCATCCATCAATAGTTATCATAGACAATCATCAACATCATCACCCATTCCAAATCCAATTATAAATTCTACTCCATTTGTAAAACTAAACATCAACAACAATAACAATAATACTAATAATAATAATAGCAATAACAACAATAATAATAGTAATATTAACTTGGTATCACCAACAATGTCTCCCCATAATAGTAGTTATAACAATTGTAATAGTAGTTCACCAAGTCAGTTACCAATGTCACCAGTTTTCGAAAGGGCATTGATTCCACTGCTAAACCTCAAACAATGTAAACCAGATTTCGACTCAACATTCACCATCTCTCCCAAATACTCGAGCTCCGTTCCATCGACTCCAGGAGAAACTACCCCAACTAGCGCTTCAAGTAGAACTCCACAGAAATCCATGGCTGAGGCTTCACCCACAATTCTCTCACCATCGTCCTCGTGCTCCAGTCTGCCAGAATCACCAAGAAACACTGGCAGTGGTTGTTCATCGTACCCATCGTCTCCATCGTCCACTCCATGCTCCACTCCAAGGGGTGCAACCAACGATAGAAACGGTGAGCCACAATATCCAAAGCAAGCTGAACAACAATGGAAGAAGCTAGAGTACTACGCTAACGAATTCAACCACTTTATCTTTGAAACTCTCAAGACCAAAGAATTTAGTCAAATTGAAACACTCAACGCCAAACTCAGTGAAATCACCAACACTGTTAAAGAGATTGAGATCACCAACAATATTTATAAATCGTAAGTTCAAAATTACAATTCTATCAATCAATTAATCAATCATATCATATCGTATCATATCATTTTGATTCTAACCTTTTTCTATTTAATTTCAAACAGTTTACCACCACAAACCAGAGCCAGAAAGAAGAGAGCCACCAAAGCTGAAAAACTTCAAAAGGATCTATTGGGTATCAAGGTAATTAATTAATTAACACTTAACATTCAATACAACATATTATTATTCCAAAATTATTATAATCAAGTCGATCTAAAAAATAATATCAGAGTGGTTATTTTTCACCCACAACACACTTACACACCCACACAATCATCAAAACTTTTTTTTTTCAAACAAAAAATGTTTTTACTAATAAAATAAACATCTCGAACCTAAAAATAGCGTACCTATGTTACAACTCCAAAGAGCAAAGGTAACTACTGTTTCTTCTGTGGCACAATGGAGACTCCAGAGTGGAGAAAAGGACCTGGAGGTCATAAAACGTATGATTATTATAATAAAAATGTATTTTTGTATCAGTATAACTAACTAATCTTTTTATTATTATAAATCTATAGATTATGTAATGCTTGTGGTTTACATTACGCTAAAAATATAAAGAAAGAATCGGTAAAGAATTCTCAACAAAATCCAAGTGAATCGACATCATGCCAATCAATGAATGTATCTTCACTGTTGGAGAACTAATATCTTTACAATTTATTATATTCACACCACCAATAACACCAACAAACTGTATTTAATCAAACGCGCCCATTCACCTATTTATTAACCAACAATAACTTAATATCATTCATACTGTTAACAACTCGTTCCTTGCATGAGGGATCTGTATTAAATAATTAAAAACAAAAAAATAGTAAAAAACTCCCTCCTCCACTTTACAAAAACAACCATCATAAATTATCTCAATGTAAATTATGTGTCTATAACACTATTCGCAAAAAAAAAAAAAAAAAAAACAAATAAAATAAATAATTGTTGTAATGATAAAAATATTTAATACTAATAATAATATCTCTTATTTTTGAACTATCTTATTTTTTTTTTTTTTTTTTTATTGTGCTTCAACATCTATTCTAATTCATAATAGTTTTCTTTGAGATCTTTAATATTGTTGAACAGATAACAAAAGATAGATATAACTTTAGTGGAAAATTTTTATCAAAGAAACATTCTAAGAAAAAAATAAAATAAATAATTAAATTCATTTAGTTTTTTTTTTTTTTAACGATTGACACTTTGGTTCTGTTAATCACGATCGATTCCAAAAAAAATAAAATAAAAAGTTTGACACTTGGTCCGATTTTTTTTTTTACAATTTTGGTGACAGTCCTTAAACTGGGATTTAATTGATTTGAGCCACGTATGTCGAACAAACTGCAAAAACAATGAATTGAACCTTGACCGTTCCTTTTTGGTCTGAAGATTAGAATAAAGAATATCACAAGCCCACTTATAATTAATTTGTACAAAATTCAGTAACCACCCTATCAATTTGAAGCAAAAAATAAACCACTTCGTAATCCTGGTTGATAACCACCAACCCTAGAATGATGATTGTCAGTTCGCAAAAAATTGTAATTTAAATAAAAAGATCAAAACAAATAATCTATTGATCATGACACACCTATCAATCTATCTAACCACTCAACTCTTATTTTTCTTTTCACTTTTTTTTTTGTTTGAGGGATAAATTGATTTATTTTTTTGGATTAAGGATTAGGATGATGGTAATGCTGGTGGATGGATGATGGATACTTTAATCATTTAATGGTTACATGATTGTGTTTACTCAATTTTGAACAATTGTTACAGATCTACTTCGTTCCATACTTCGTTTACTACTTTCTTACTTTCTTCTTTACTAAAATTTTCTACACGATCAGATACAAGTATATAAAATTGAAAAGGTTTGGGTGGTGTTGTTTGACACAACACAACACAATATGTATGAGATGCAAATATTGATCACAACAATATTTATTATTTTTTTTTTCTAATTTTATTATTTCAATTATAAAAGGTGGTTATGATGTGTGGTTATAGATATTATGATGCATAAAAGTACGATGACAACACCCTATCAACATCATCGGATATTAACTTTCTATTTAAAGTAACTTTGTGAGTGTAATAAGATGATTGGTCATTCACCATTGGGCACTGAAAAGAGATAAAAACATAAAATACAAATTAACTAAAAACAACAAATAAGCAAAACTAGATGAATAGCGACTACATTGGTGTGATTTCTTAACTAACAATGTGCATTCATTATTTATAAATTGAACCAATCAATAAAATATTATTATTATTTCTCTCTCTCTCTCTCTATTGCAACTCACATATACAAGTTATGATGATAAGATGATGGTGATAATGAACGTATCATCCATTGTTGATCTGTTCTTACATCCAGTAACTACCGATTCGATTATTTAAATGATTCATTTTAAAATGCTTATTTGGCAAGATCTTAACATATTTAGCAATAGTGTTATATATTGAATCAATATAGACACGATCAACTAAAAATGGAAAGAAAAAACAAAACCTAAAAATAAATAAGTACATATTTATATATTATTACCATTTGGGTGGATAGGAAGTTGAACTAACTTTTCATATTTATTCCCCAGGGGTGTTTGTTTGTTATACCACTTTTGTTATAACATCTAGATGCAAATAGTTTCAGTAATAATAATATTTGGTTTTTTTTTGATATAAGGGTTTGTTGGTGGGTGAAAATAGGGGTGCATATTCAATGGTTTGAATGGTGGGTAATGGTGAAAATAGGGGTGCAAAGAAGGGAGATAGCTATTACTTTTACTACCAATTAAAATATATATTTATATATTACCTTTTTAATTGATATTAATAATATTCTGATATTTTAATGTATCAACAACATCATATATTGTGAATCACAACAAAAATATATATGACAAGTTTAAAGAAAAGCAAAAAACAACAGCAAAACTACATAAAAAGGTATCAGGGCATTTCTGACAATAAAACATTAGATGTGGTTCCAAATAGGGGTGAGAACAGAACTAATAAACACATCACTGCCTAATATGATATTATTGACAAGAGAAGGCAAAAAAGAAAAACACACCTCTCTCTTATCAATGATGATAAGAAAGAAAATCATCGATGATTTGTTAGGTGGCTGGGTGGTGGGGTTAAGTTACAGTAGTATAGGGGTAGGGGTGTTGTTTTTAGGTTTATTTTAGAGAAAAACAACTACAACAACTAGTTTTTAATTCTTAGGTCTGATCTATTTTGACTTTTGGTTGCTTGGAAGAACAAACTTGAAAAACTAACACCCCTCATTCTCTTTGATTCTAACAAAAATCGAGAATTTTATTCAAACCACACCTCACCAATAGGTTGTTTTTTTTTTTGTTTTTTCAAATTGTTTTATCATTCTCGATTGACAGATACCCCCACCGTACGGTATCATTCCATTTTAAGAAAACAATCAACAAATTTTTTTTTTAATTTTTAAAATTAAATTGCAAAAATTCAAATTTTTCAAAAACAACACCACCAAATAAATTTTCAAACAAATTAGATAACAACCATCATCAACCAACACCTGTACCCACACTTTATTTCAAACACACAAACACACACTAATAAATAAATAAATAAAATAATAGAATATAAATAACCAACAAAACTTTAACTTTCATCTGTTACTTTTATTTTATTTTATTTGTAATTTATTTATTTAGTTAGAGACGTATTAACATCATCATCATCATCTAAATATTTAATCTTATTATTATTATTATTTTACCAAAAAGTCGAATCATCACCAAAATTAAAAATCAATTATCCAATCAATCAATCAAAGAGTTAATCATTATAATATCATCACAACACAGTCATCGAACAATCAAATTTATTCAATTGGTTAGTTTGTCAAGTTGATTTTAGTTAGTTAATAGATTTATGATATTATATAATTTATAATATAATTAAAACAAAAAAAAAACGAATATTTTAATATCTTGTCTTAAAGTTTGAAAATTAATATATTATTTTAATTTAAATTTAATTTAATTTATTTTGCATATCTAATAATAAAATAGTTATTATTATTATTTTATATAATTTATATAAGATATCCTATCACTTAAATGAGCTCAACTTTCTATAATATCCTGCAATATAAACATCAACCAGAGTTCAATTTAATCATCTAGTATTTTCTCATTGAGAAAGAAAGTAAATTCAATTCAACTCAACTCAACTCTACTCCACTCTACTTCAAACCAAACACATCAATACAATCCCAACAAAACAAATTTAGTTTGATTTCAAATCTCAATACAAAATCCAATATCAATCATATTATAAAAAAGTAGTAATATCAATATTAATAGTAAAAGTAGTAGAATCTGTATTAAACACTGGAATAGTAATAGTAAAACAGCAGTACCAGTAGATTAGTATTAGTAGAGACAAATCTTGAATTACCAACGTGTTATTTTACAAGAGTAAGAAGGCTTTAACAAATCAAACTCACCACTTCCACTCTTACATTACTATAGTATCGATAAATAATCGATAATGTTCCATAGTAAATTTATCTATCGCTCAACCAATTAGATTCTTTTTAAGAGGTTATCATCACCCCGATCAGAATAAAAATTATAAATATAAAAATAGCTTTTGATTTCTATCATAATGATACACCCAATAGATCTTCAAATACAACAGTTTCAAATTCAAACAAAATATTAACAACACACAAACACACCATTTCATTTTCAAACATTTTCATTTTTCCTTATAATTTTTTCAATGGATTTCAATATTCATCATTATTATTATCATCATCATCATCATTATTATCATCATCATCTTATCATACTTTAATAATAATAGATAATATAACATAACACACAATAAAATAAAATAAACTCAACACAACATAAAATAAAATTCCAACGGATTTGATTTTTGTGGTATTGGAAAATATAATTTTAGTTGTCCATAAATAAAATAATACATCACCACATCCACCACACCACCTTCTTTCTTCTTCTTCTTCTTTTGGTTTTGTTCAACACAACAATCTATTCTATTCTAATCATTGATATAACCACGCACATTGGTAGATCAATATACAAACAATTGATCAGTTTGTTTTGTTTTGTTTTCCATCTATCAAACAATTATAATTGTGGTTGTCACACTTTATTGCAATCAATAAATTCTTTTATCTATATCGGGACTTTGTGAATTGATAGTAATTCAAATTACTATACCAACCAACTACAATCATCAACCATTAATTATTGGTTATTATTATAAATAACAATAGTAATAGGAATAGTATAACGATCAAAAATATCATCAAACTTAGACATTAATATTATTATAATATTATTATCATTATTTTAATCTTACAATATTGATCAATACACTCCCCGAAAATAAACAACATTGATATTAATACTACTACTACTCTAATTCAATCAAATTATAGCCAGTTTAAGTCCTTATTTGTAGAAACAAAAACAATCAAAAAACACAACACATCAAACAAAAAAGAATGAATAACAATCATTTCTTAATGAAAAATCCCAGAGTGGTGGCCGATCATTTCTCGAATCTATGTGATGTTTTACCACCCACCTCACAATCCACCAGTCATTATATACCAAATGATTACCAGCAACCACCTACCCAATTACATAGTGGCAATCCATATATCTACCAACAACAACAGCAACAACAGCTACAACAACAACAACAACAACAAGATTACCATTTGGTATATCAATCCTCTCAACCTCTAAATTATTACAATAATAATTTGATGATGAATCAACAACAACAACAGCAACAGCAACTACAACAACAACAACCAATGTTAAATGCAGCATTATCATTGTCATCTATTCATAAAGCAAGATCTTCTCTCTCAAATATTCATCATCAAAAGTCAATGTCAATGTCCTCGGCTTCGACACCCAAGGTATTTGCAACAACCGACTCGCTAAGCACCGGTGAATTGAATTCCGACACCAATACCAATGGTGGTACAAGTCCTTCATTCTCATCCGATAACTCCTCACCCTCTTTAGATCAACAACCAAGCTCACCAATTGACTCTTCGCATCCCAACAGTAGCAGTGGCTCTGTAGAACTCTACACTTTCACCGGGTCATCCGAAATGAAATCAAACAAGCTGAGCAACTCTTCATCATGCGGTTCTATTCCACTTCACTCTTCCATTCCAGGTTTCAGTTTGAATCACGGATGTGACGCACAAGCCGACTACGACTCGCTAAGAGAGGCATGGAAAAAGGTAACCAACTATTCAACAAAAACATCATTAACATTATAATTTGATTATTAATCATCATCATCATCTTATTTAGACAAAAGATTTATCACAAGATTTGACCAAGATTTCCAAGCAAGCTTCTAAATCCGAATTCACTTTGGTTGACTCTGTCAATGCTCTACAGAAAGAGTATGAGAATCTCGGTAATCTTCTTAATTTCATGAATGAAAAAGCAAACAATCTAAAGAATGATGAGAGATTAAAGAAAAAGAAGAAGGAATCCGATAGAAATGCTGAAAAGAGAGTAAGTTTTAAAATAATAATATTAAAATTTTATAATATCAAAATACTTATATTGGTGTTTAACTTTTTAGAAAAAGAGAAGAGAAGCTACAATGTTGCTTAATAATGTTTGCAAGAATTGCAATACAACTGATACTCCGGAGTGGAGAAAAGGTCCAGATGGTACCAAATCATTGTGCAATGCCTGTGGTTTGCACTATGCCAAGAATCTAAAGAGAGAAACTATGAACCAACCGAATCCTGTTATCCAACCAAAAGAGACCATGAAGGTTCTCTCTATTCTCAACTAGTTGATTTAACTTCAAAAACAAACCAAACCTGTAATCATTATTTAACATTCATTCATCATCATCATCATCATCCAACATCAATCAAATTCAAACAACCCCATCAACATCACACAAACCACATTTATACGAAACAAAACAAAATATTATTTTTTTTTTTTTTTGTTTTTTTTTTGTTTCATTGTGTGGCATCGTCCATCATCTTACACTTTACAAAATTTTTTTATATATATCTTGTACTTTCAACTGTTCGAACAACTCAATACATCTTACTGCTGTAACACCATTCACTCCTCCATGAAGATTGCGCAAAACATCACACTGGAGATGGTTTGTGACCAACCTCAGTTGTAAAACCAAACCTGTTTACTTTGGAAGTTGATAGATCCCGACACTTTGACACTTTGGCTCTATCTTATCATCCATACTTTTTGAAAGAAAAAACAGTGGACTCTTATCCACTAATCGCCTCAAATCCTGTTTGACAATTGTCCCATCACATTAACGATTAACTGGTGGGACTGTCTTTGCCAAACAATCTCCTCTAACACAACCACCCCCAGCCATTTTAATATTGTTTGTTTTTCCCTCTTTGAACAATATTATTGTATATTTCGACTTAATAAAAATAAATAAAAATAAATTACCAATCAAAAAATAAAATAAAATAATCTTTTTATTTTATTTATACCTTTTTTTTAAGATCTGCCATCATCGATTCCATATTTGTTCTCAGATGTTGACATATCTTAATCAATGAGTTTTGGTTTTTGATGATTTTTGCAAAAAAAAAAAAAAAAAAAAAAAAATCAACACATCCCTTTTTTTTTTTTTTTCAATTAATTTATAACAATAATAATATAAAAGATATAGTTAATATTCTATTTTAGCACGCATTTACTTAGTTGATTATAACTATGTTATATTCAATAATTTCAACTGTTTATTGGTAATACATCATCCATTTTATAAAACAACTGTTTTACTATTACTTTACTTTTATTTTATCTTTTTTTATTTTAAATATATGATCATCAAAAAACATTAAACAGAAAACTAATTATTATTATTATCGTTGTTATTTCTTTTAATTAATTATTATTATTATTATTAAAAAACATGAAATCATTATTATTTATATTTTTATGTTTAATTATATCGTTTTGTTTGTATATTATAATAACAATTAACAGGGGAGGTCTTATAGTTGGTGCAGGTGTAGTGGGATTGCTGTCTTTAGTGTATATTGGTCAAGAAAAGTTGATCTATTTCCCAGATACATCGCATTTCCTCAATCCGACAGACTATGGTTTCACATCAGACAACTTTGAAGAGAATATATTGACTGCAAAAGACGGTACAAAGATACAGACTTGGTTTTTTAAACAACCACAACCAAAGAATGCACCTACAATGTTATTCTGTCATTCAAATGCTGGAAGTATGTATATACTATACTCGCAATCTAAAGTATCGGTTACTTTATCATTCACAGACTAATCATTCTGTACATTATATATAGATCTAAGTCATAGATTACCAAATATAAGACATTTGTATGATATTGTTAGATGTAATGTTTTGATCATATCCTATAGAGGCTATGGAAAGAGTCAAGGTGTACCAACCGAGCACGGTATAAAGTTAGATGTTGACGTATCGATGGAGTTTCTTTTATCCGATGAATCGATTGACCACGATAGAATATTTGTATTTGGAAGATCACTTGGTGGTGCCGTAGCTGTCGATGCTTCATCAAGATATCCAGCTATTGTAAGTTTATAAAAAAACAAAATACAATATTATAAACTTATTCATTAATTTATTAATTTATTATTAATATTTAAAAAAGATAAAAGCAAATATATTGGAGAATACATTCTTGTCGATTCCAGATATGGTAGATGTAGTATTACCACAGTTGAAAGTATTTAAATTGCTTTGTAAGAACAAATGGTCATCGTTTGAATTGATCAGAAATATTAAAACTCCAACACTTTTCTTGTCTGGAAAGAAAGACGAGTTGGTGCCATCCACTCATATGCTAAAGTTGGAAGAGCTCGCCGATCAATGTAGAAAGAAAATGATTATATATGAAAAGGGACAACACATGAATTTAATGATGCAACCAAACTATTACAAACATATTAGAGAATTTTTGGAAACTGTATTCGGTGTATGGGATTAGCAGAGCGCGTGCATCTCCATACCATATAGCAACAACAAATAAACAAAAGAATAAAAATAAAATGAAATAAAACAAACAAAAAACAACTCGCAAACATTTCAGTGAAAGTGATAGTGATAGAGAAGCAACATCAACAACTAACACCAACACATAACAAAACCAATCATATTTAAATTTGTTTAATTTGAAAAAAGAAAGTCGTATTATTACAATACGTTAAAGAAACAAATCAATTCATTAATTTCGTCTTGAAGGCTAAGGATTGAAAAAAATAAATAAATATAAATTTCCTTTTATGTTTGTATAGATAGATAGCACCTAATGAACAACTCAAAAATATTATTAACTTTATAATTTTTCTTTTTATTTTCCCTCATCATAATCATTAATAAATACTAAAGAATTTTAAATTTATTCAAATGTAGTTGTAGAACCACCACCTTATAGATATAGACCAATCACTTTGGAAGTATTAATAGATAGTTTGCAAGTCAATAGTTTCATTGATAATATTGTTACAGGAACATTCAAAGTCGACATTGATGTTCAACATTAAAAATGATAGTTACAAGTTCAATATTCCTGGTATTGATATTGGCGATTTTGATTCACATCAACCTTTAGATGATCTTAAATTAGGATTTAGGCATTGGTTCGATTTATGATATGGCTCATACATTGGAGAGAAATATGAATTAGATACAAGTAAATTTATTATTAAATCATTTATATGACAGTATATATATTAAAAGAACTTTTATTTATAATAAAAATTGTAATATTAATAATAATACAAAGATTGCATATGAAAATTGTTTCAACTTTGAACCTTCATTTAATCCTGTTGCTATATGGTTGTTCAAAAAAATTTGTTAGACTTTTAAAAACAAATACATAGTTTCAAAATAAAATACTTACTTGAAATATTGGCACTGGTTGGACTGAATTTAGTTGATGAGCTCTTTAAAGTTCCATCATTGGAAACACTAACATCAATTTTGTACATGTTTGTAACTATATATCCTGGGTACCAGCATTCCCTAAGATTAGTATTGATACATGAGGGAACAAGAACGCCATCTACCGATACATTGTAGAGTGACTGCAATGGAACCCCATTATCAGATTTAAATTGAATCCACAATGACTTATTGGCAGTGGTTACATAGATAATTGGTTCTGTAACCGATGGATAAGTTGTAACATATTCATTTTGAGTGGCGTTGGTTCCATCTGCAAAAGCTGTTAGTTGTACATAGTATGTGGTATTTGGTAATACACCGATTGTACAATAATTTTGTTTAATCTGCTGGCAACCTTGGACTGCATTTCCATTCAATGATAGACTATAGGTCTTTACTATATTTTCATATTGATGGGTGGCATCATAGGTTACATTGATTAACTTGGTTGTTTTACTAAACTCAGCATATGAAATGATAACAACTGGATTTGGTGTTGTTAGGAAAACGTCAGACAATGTACTCTCGGTATTCTGTAGAGTGGCAACGACCTTTACTTCATAGGCAGTTTCACGTGTCAAGTTGTCAATTAAACATGTTGTATTTACAAAATTTGAACATGGAACAACCACGCTGTTATTTAAAAATACTGTAAAACGAATGTCACTACTGAAACGAGGAAAGTTGGTACTGTAACCAACTTCAAGACTATGATTGGTTTCTTTTTGAGAATAAATAAAAGTCACTTTGATTGGCTCCAATGTCTGGAAAATCTTTGACTTTGAACTAACAGTTCCTTCGCTATCACCGGTGATATTAACAAGGTAAATGGTACTCGGTTGCAAATTGATGATTTGAAAATATCCTTTATCCGATGGTTTAGGATATTGGTAGCAGAAACCTGGGTTGGATACTGAGGTGCAAAGCGGTATTATTGTATCGTTGACTCTCATGGTATAGGTCACCAATCCTGGAACTTCCCATAGAGTGTGGTAGAGTAGATTTAAAACATTGATATTCGGCAGAGAAAGGTCATAGGAATTGAGTGAAACTATGGTATAGGCACTCAAAGTTCTGAATGCTCCACTACCAATTTGTATTTGACCACTGTTGGTAGCAGTGACTGTGAGAATAACTAAAGTTGATGGCTCCAATCCGATGATTTTACAAATATTGGATGTTGAAGTACAATAGATCTTTCCATAAGTAGTAACATTATAGAGAGTGGCAACGTTAGGTGTTCCTCCTGTGGAATTAACAAGAATTGTCAGAGTAGTGGCTGTGGAATTTAACAAATCTGCTGTTGGTCTAGAAAGTGGTTCTGCTGCTATAATAAATTTAATAAAAAAAAAGAAATTAATTTTTTAAGATTTAAATCTAGATTTTATTAATAAATAATTTGTATCTTTACCATCTGCTTTTTTAAGAGAAGAAAAGGATAATACTAATAATATAAAATAAATAAATAATTTTTGGTTCATCTTTGTATTTGATGGTACTGGATGAAGATGAATTTGTTTTAGTTTTTATGATTTATCATTTTATAAATAGTGTAAAAAACAAGATATTTTTCCAAGACAAAAATATGTTTTTTATTTGAATTAGAAATTACTAAAAATCTTTGTTTTGGTATTAAGATGGCACCCTAAAATAAAATAGGTTTGGGTTTAACAAAAAAGTGTAAAAATGAGATAATTTTATAAAATATCATTTTTTTGCAGATCTTACAAAAATAAATAGTGATTTTCATTTTCTTTTATTTCCAAGACTAAAAAATCACAATTGTCTTTTGCACTAAAATAAATATCACATGTATTTAAATAAAATTTATTTTAATGTTTTACAAAAAATAAAAATCTTTTTTCATCATTTCCTTAAATATCTGTGTAAAAAGAATTTGTTTGATAATTTTTGTTATCGAGAAATTCTGACTACGATAGTGATGAAAGTAACAACAAATTTTAAGTGATATAGAATAAAATTAATATATATTTTAACAATAAAGGACTTAGACTCCAAAAGCATTTTTAAAAGTTAAATTTTTTTATTTTATTTTATTTTTTTGATAAAAAAATGTTAATTTTCTTTTTTTTTTTTTTTTTTTTTTTGTTTCAAGGATCTTGGCGATAAATAAGGTTCTAGATAATGGAATATTTTGTTTGGATCAAGCTTTGAAAGATAATTAATTGGAAGATAGGTCTCCTTAACTTCAATGTGGATTAGATCCAATTTTCTTTGTTGCGCGTTGAGCATATCGTAGATTGGTTTATCGCTTGGAACGATAAGTTTGAGGTTACTGATAGAATAAGATTGATTGTTGGGCGAAGAGTAGAGATTAATATTCTGTGGGAATGTCTGTATTAACTCTGCTATACGTCTAACGATATCTGCATGTTTCATTCCTTTTAGAATCTCCAACTTGAAAGTGAGTGGATTTTCATTATTCAAATTCTTATAGTTAGTAAGCTGGAATGTAACAATAATCTTGTTGAAAATAAAATTGAAATAATCTGGAACAAATGGTAATTGTGCTTTTCCTCTGTTGGTTTTTAATTAAAATAAAATAAGTTATAAATGTTAATTGTTATAAATATGTTTTGATTTGTATATTTAAATAACTTACCTTAAAAGTTGAATTTGCTGACAATAAATAATATCACCATGATTGACTTCAAACGATTTAAGAGTACGATTTGGATCCAATTGATAAATAAGATTTAAAGAAAGCTCACCAAAGAGTAGGAGTGGTGTATTTGGGTGAAAACCAAGCTTTTGATTCAAGAATGGTATCAAATAGGAAATTGGATAGTTGGTAGGACAAACTTTAGAGGTAATGTACTCTATCGACTGCTTATTTGGATCATAATACTTGAAGAATACCAAAGCATTATCTGTTTGAATTGGATCAAAGAATAGATTCTTATCCTAAAATAAATAATAATAATAAAATCATTAGTATAACTATTGTTATTTATATATACAATGGAATTGGTTTTACTTACATTTGGTAATGGTGAATTTGATACTTCCAAATGGAATCTCATTTCAACCTGACCATAGTGAGTGGTGTATTGATTGAAGATATCTTCATCATCGAGAATGATTGGACATCTGCTGATCTTTGAAGGTTTCGTTTGATTCTGTGTTTGATCCCAGAACCAAATTCTCTGACGCTCAAATGAAATGCCATAGATCATTTGAATCTGAAGCTTCAACTCTAGCAAGGTCGAGGTCTTTCTAATCTTTATGGGCTGATGATTAGAGAAGTCGAGCAAGTCAAACGATGAACCCTTTTCAAAATCTGAATCCATTGTCAACTTGATCGTATGATAGTAGTAGGCTTCTTCCTCTGCTTTCTGTTTCTTCAGAGTCTCTGTAGTGATAGTCTCATCTTTATTATTACTATATAACTGAATATGTTTTGACTTTTCATGTGAATAAGAAAGCAAACTAATAATAATAAAATTGTTAATAATTAAATCATTTTAAATATGTTAATTTCAAAATCAACTTACTGGTTAGTGTCCAAGTTACTTTGAGCCAAGAAAAATATTGTAACTTTGACAGTGATTGTATCGTTATCAATGAACCCAGCAGTTGGATCTTTGACATTCTCAAGAGAAATGAACTTCTTGAATCCCCAATTAACACTACTATAACAGAATGTATGGAATGAATCTGATGAGATAAAAAAGTTAATATTATTATTATTATTATTATTAATTTAATAACTTACATTTCTTTTCAGATTTTGTTGGATTTTTCTTATTTACAACTTCAAGGACAAAACAAATGTATTGCCTTATCTTTGGTTTCGCTTTGGGATCTACGTAATCTAAATACAGAGAAAAGAAATTCTGAGCGCTGTTACCCTTGGGGAATATATAGAATCTCCAGCTGGTGCTGTTAAGAGTGAATATGGGCGAGTAGAAACTCTTTTCAAGAGTGGAGAAGTTTTGAATGTCATAGGAGAAACTACCAGAGACCTCTTCAAGTTTGTTGTTCTGTGTGTTCTCATCAATAAAATTGTAGTTGTAGGTGACGGGTCGTGGTACCTCCACAACGGATTGTTCGTGATTGAATGGAATTGGTTTTAAAAAGTCGGATGAAATTGCAATCAATTCAACGTTGATAATGATAATGTCGTTCTTGATGAAACCGAGCTTATGGTCCATCAAAGTTTGGTTCTTCATAAACTTTTGGAATAACCAACTAAATGAATTATATGAATATATATTGCTGATGTCTAGATGATGAGTATAAAATTACAAAGAGTTATGTAAGTAAAAAGGAAAGAATAGAATCGGGCTAAACGGAATGAATTATTTACATTTCTTAAAGTTCTTAGCAGGGTTGTTTTGATTTACAATTTCAATGGCGAAAGAAATATGCTTTCTTAAGAGTGGTTTGGTTTTGATATCTACAAGATCCAAATAGATGGAGAAATAATCGGTGAGATTCTCTAATGGATAGCTGACAAGTTGCCAGTTACTTCCGGCTATATGATAGGTTGGCGAGAATATAAGATCAGTATTTGGATTCTTTTTGGCGTGGAAAGAGAATTTTCCACAATCCGGATTACCTAGATTTGATTCAATCTCAAAACTAATAACAAGTTGTGTTGTTGTTAATATTATTATTATTATTATTATTATTTTTAAAGTTATTGTTAAACTTAGATAAACATACTCTGGTGATGGTTCTACAAAATTAGATGACATTACAGTGAATTCAATGTTGATGATTATGGTATCGTCAATGATGAATCCAAGGTCGGGGTTGAGTAGGGTTGACAAGAGTACAAACTTTGGGAATCCAAAATTCATATTCTTATCGTCATATACATGGTCGACCCACTTCTTTAGGTTCTTCTCTGGATTCTTCTGGTTGACAATCTCTATTGCAAAGAATAGATGCTTGATCATGAGAGGTTTGAATTTTACATCCAGAAGGTCCAGATAGACCGAGAAGTAGTTGGGTGAGGAGTATCCATTCGGGAATATGTAGATTCGCCAGTTGGATCCGCACACATAGTAGGTCGGCGAATAAAAGTTTTCATAGTGATGCGAAAAGTTGGTGAGGCTATATGAAAATCGACCATATGGCTTTATATTACTAAAAGATCATTGGTAGTGAGAAAAAAATAATAAAAAGAAAAAAGAAAAAAAAAAGAAGGAGAAAACAAACAAATTAGAAACTAAACTAAACTTTTCTAAACTAAACTAAACTATTGGATCCAATCCAAATCATTTTGTTGTTGTTGTTGTTCACTGTAGTTAGATTAGGTACTTACAGTGGATCTGAATTATCGATGGTAAGTGGTGATTGTATTTCAACTTTAATTTTCAACTTGTCTTGTATCAAGAATCCATTCTCTGGTTTCAGCAATATCTGAAGATTTAAGAAACTAACAAATCCCCAATTCACACCTTTGAATGAGAATTTATGATTAGATGCTATAAATTATAAAAATATTAATTAGTACTTTGAATGATTATTATTTAAATATATAATCAATTGATTATATTATAACTTACATTTCTTGACGTTCTTCTTTGAATCAAGTTGATTTATTAAAGTTAATGTTAAACCGGCTTCCTTTTCGTATAATGGATTAATTCCAATATCATAATAGTCAAGGAATATCGATATATTTCCAGGACTATTATTTCCTTCGGGGAATATTAAAAGTCGCCTAAAACATTAAGTAATTGTTAATAATTTGTTTTTTAAATAAAATATGTCTAAAGAATTGAATGACTCACCAATTAGCACCACACAAGTTGAATATAGGAGTGTAGAAACTCTCTTTAAAGGAAGTAAAGTTACAGATTTCAACAGTCTTTGAACCTCTACTTGGTTCATTGAAATCCTCGGACATTGGATCCTTGACGAGTGGATGGGCAGTGTTGTTTGTGCTGATGTTTGAACTTCCTTGAGCAACATGAGTGAGGTTGATATTGTTGTTATTATTTACATTTAAATTATTGTTGTTGTTGTTATTCATATTCACATTTATTGTTTGTTGTTGTTGTTGTTGTTGGTGATTGTTGTTATTGTTATTATTTATAGTGTTATTTCCATTGGCGCTGGCACCGGCGTTGTTCGCGTTATTATTGTTATTGGCGTTTTGCAAATTCTGTTGTTGTTGTTGTTGTTGCTGTTGTTGTTGTTGGTTATTGTTATTCAGGACGTAGTTCATCATCGAGTTGAAAAGTAATTTAAGGTGATCTATTTTTGAAATTTGCCTCTAGGGACTGCTATGGTTGAGCGATAGAGAATAGAATCTTCTGTCTTTGTTTGAATGAATCAACAAAGCAGTAAGTCTTTCTCCAACTCAACTAAAATAACAAAGAAATGAATTTAATTTGGTTGGTTGGTTGGTTGGTTGGTTTGAAAGTTGTTAGCTTGTTTGAACTGTGTATGTATCTATTCTCTGGTTGTATGTATATTGATAACCGGGCGATGGTTACTTTACAATTATTCGTATCGTTTATTTATTGAGATTATACTGTATTGTATGTAGGTGTATGTATGTATATATATATTTAAAAATGTCGTCGTGATGTTATTGTTATTGTTGTTGTTGTTGTTGTTGTTGTTGTTGTTGTTGTTGTTGTTGTTGTTGTTGTTGTTGTTGTTGTTGTTGTTGTTGTTAGTAGTTTACTTCTAGGCTTTACTTTACTAAATTCTACTATTACTTTTACTACTGCTACTATTATTATAGGTTAACTGTTACTCTTTCTCTCTCTCTCTTTCTCTCACTAAAACAATAAAGTTGTTGAAATTTGTTTGATAAAAATATTAATATCCAAACTTCCAATCACAGGTGCAAATAAGGTGAGTGGGGGGGAAATAGCTGAGAAAATTAAAAATTAACCAAAACAAAAAAAACAAAAAACAATTAATATTATTTGAATTTTAATTAAGTTGTTATTGTGGATCTCACTATGATTTTTTGGCAGAAGGGTTAAAATTTCTTGGTTGGTTTTTATTGTTGTTGGTTGTCAAAAATAGATTGAAATAGATAAAAATAAAAATAAAATGAAAAATGAAAACAAAAAAAATAACAAACAAGATGAAGATGGATTATTATTACTAATTAATAAATAAAAATATATATAAACTTAAAAATAAACAAAGAGTTTTTAAAATATAAACAAAAAAGAACAAAGAATTCTAAAATATATATTAAGATTGGTGATTGATTTGATTGATTGCTCAGCTTTGCTTAGCTTTGCTTTGCTTTGCTTTAATTTTTTGCTTTGCTTGGCTTTGCTTTGCTTTTGCGCAAGGTTTTTAATTTGATTTGAGTGGATGAGTGAATAATATATATAGATATATATATAATATATTAAATTTATATAAAAACAAAAAAATATGAAGAAAATATGAAGTAATTGATTGATGTATACACAACTTTTGGTCAAAGATGTTGTTGGTTGGTTGTTGCTTCTGTTATTTTTATTGATAATGTATGTTTGTTATTGTAGTGATGATGATGAATGAAAATGATAAGTTTAATATTATTTTTAATTTGTAAAAAAAAAAAAAAAAAAAAAAAAAATTAATTTAAATTAATAAAAAACAATAATGTTACTTTGAAAGTTTGTTTTGTTGTTGTGTGTGTTTGGTGTTGAATATTAAATTAATCAAAAAATTTCTTTTTTTCTTTTTTTTTTTTTGTTTTTAAATCCAAATTAAATAATGAAAACAACACAAAAGTGACACTTACTAATATATTTATATATATTTATATAAAGTTAAAGGGATGATAGTAGGAGTGATATAGTAGTGATAGTGATGCTAGGGATACGATAGGATAGCCAAGAAAGTGAGATGTGTTGTTGTTGTTGTTGTTGAGTGTACACAAACTTTAATATAATATTCTACTTTAGCTATGTGATCTACTTTTGTTAGTTTGCCTGACTACTTTGCTTTGTTTACCAGCTGCTGCTATTCTTGTGGTAGTGTGGTTGTGGTTAATCTTAATGTGTGTGTGTGTGTTTTATTTAATGTGTTTTTTTATTGTTTAAACCCGTTGTTGTTGTTGTGTTAATTTATTTTTCAATCTTATTTTGTGTGAGGAGGAAGAGGAGGAGAAATAAAGATAAAGGTGGGTGTTCAACAAATAGAAAGACCTTTTTTTTTTGGTTTGATTGGCTATCCAGTTTATTGAATAAAATGGAAAGTAAGAGCAATGTATTTTGTTTGTTGATGTTTTGTTTTTAAGTTAACTTCTACAGATATTGAAATTGTACTACTGCTATGCTCTGCTTTGTTTTCAAGATTTAAAATTGTTATAGTTTTGTTATTTGTAAAAGCTATTACAATTAGGTTGTAGGTTTTTTTTTTTTTTTTTGCTATTGGTTTAGAAATATTTAAAAAATAAATAAAATAAATACAAAAAGATAAGTAGATGTAGATAGATAGATAGATAAAAATAGACAATAACCTAGGTTAAAAAGATAAAAAATATACAGTTTAAAAAAATATTTATAAATATAATAAAAATAGATACAGATATTAGCGCTAAAGTTATGTTAGCATCTATGAGTTAGATTTAAATTCTTTTTTTTTTTTTCTTTTTCTATTAAAGGATTAACCTGTGAATTCTCAATGAATTGATTATTTGGTTTATGTACATCACTATTAGTATTGTTGTAATTATCAAGATTTGCAAAATACTAGTTATTGTATCTATTAAATGATAATTATATCATAAAACTAAGAAATTTATAAAATATATTACATATATAAATATTCCTTTATTTAGACTATCTCTTATTAAAAAAAAAAAAAAACGTTTGATTTCGTTTTCAAAACAGCATGGTCGAAATCACATCTGTTGATCATTATCGCACAGTTGCTTAAAAAAATTTGTTTTACTTTTATTTTTTTACAAAAGTAGTTAATAACTTTTTGCAAACATTTCAATATTGCTCAATATGTTGTTTTCACTCTTTTTTCAGTAATAAAAATATTGACAGTTTAAACTAATCGCAAAATAAAGATGGACCAACCAAATCATTAATATTCATTAAATTATTATTCATTTACATATAATAATATTGAAAATTGATACACGTTTTAGCATTTTTTTGAATGTATATTATATTAATTAATTAATTAATTTCCCTCTTTTGAATCAACAAGTCATTTCATTATTATTATTATTATTCTCTCATTCATTCGTTCATTTATTATTATTGTTCTGTTTTTTTTTATTTTATTTTTTATAAAGTTATGGAGAATACTATTTCTAGACAACTAAGTGAAACTCTTTCAATTATTTTAAATGATATCAAAGAGTATTTGGAGAATGAAAAAATGCCATCGTTTTTGTTGGAGTGGATCGATCGGTTCCTAGAGTACAATGTGTCGTCGGCCAAGAAGAACAGAGCACGCTCTCTGTTGGGTTGTCTTCAAACACTGAGAGGCAGTGTTTCGCTATCGGATGACGATATCTTCAAGGGTTCGATTTTGGCGTGGTGCAACGAACTGGTTGAGGCATTCATGTTGGTCATTGATGATATTGTCGACCGTGGCCTGACAAGACGTGGTCGTACCTGCTGGTATCTCTCAAGCAATACCAGTTCGAAAGACCCCAATGCCAAGGTTGGAAACATGGCTATATTCGATGCCTGTATGCTAGAGAATATGATTTACGTTATTCTGAAAAAGTATTTCTCTCGCGAATCCTACTATGTCGACTTGATTCACCTCTACTCCGAGGTCTGTCTGAAGACCTACCTTGGACAGATGCTCGATGTCTTGACTGAACCAACCGTTGGCAGTCTAGATGGATTCACCATTGAAAACTACAATAAAATCGTTGAATATAAAACTAGTTACCTGGTTTTCTATCTCCCGATAATGGCACCAATGACACTGGTTGGAAAGGGAGGTACTCTTGACCAGAGTACCAAAGATTTAATCGTTTCAATGGGAACCTACTTTCAGATTCGTGATGACTATGAAGATTGTTATTTGGACCCAAAGTACAACGGTAAGATCGGTAGAGATGTCGAAGACAATAAATGTTCATGGCTCATTGTTCAAGCCGTAAAGAGAGCTAACCAAGAACAATTGGAAATTCTAAAGAACAACTATGGCAAAGATGAACCATATAGAGTTGCACTTGTCAAGGAGCTATACAATCAACTACAACTTGAGAATGTATTTAAAGAATATGAAATCGAATTTTTATCTTTGACAAGACCCAAAATTGAAAATTCTACTACCATTCCTCCATCAGTATTATTAAGTATACTTCAAATTGAATAGCAATTTTATACTGAATCAGTGCAAACTTGATTTCAAATCTATAACAAATAGTAAAGCAATCTTATAAATAAAGAAATGAAAACAATAATATAATGATGTTTAATTAATTAGTTATAAAAAAGAAATAAAAGATATAAACTAATCTTTCTTTTAAATAAATTTGAAAATGAATTCATATTGACAGAACGAGTAGCAGTGCACCACCAACTACAATGATTGATATAGTCTAAGTAGAAAAATTCTTTTTCTTTGGTAATCCTTTGATTGTGCAGAGTTAGAAATAACAGGTACTTGATTGGTTGTATTAAGAGTAAAAAACTTTGTATTGTCTTTTGAGAGGTGGACGTATTTTCAAGTTTGAAAATATTACCATCGGTACCTGATGCTAACCGCCATAATACGTCAGTTTAGTAGTCTGTATCAAGAGTTTCCTGGCTTGACTTGAAACTTCTTTATAGGAGAAATATTAATTTTTAAGGTTATTCAAATTTGAAAACTCTATTATATTTCCTACATCGATCCAATTGTTTACCCAAAATATATCTGTACCGATGTGATTAATAAATATTCGATAAGTTACAATTTGCATCTTCAAAGTAAAATCGAGAATGATCAAACTTTGGTGGCGACAGCTGAAGATTATGTTTGCCTTAAGTCAATAAGATGTCAAGATTGAAATGATATTCAAAAGGCATAGTATTCCACTTTTGAATTAAAACCAATTAACAAATATATTCAATAAATTTCAGATATATTCTATTTTCCTATAGTGTTTTTGTTTATTTAATATTTAATTAAAGAGTGCTATATCCTTGAGACCATAGGTATTTCCTTTCGAGTCACAGACTACCATTTCAGGCATTGACGGAGGAAGGAAAAAGAACTTTCCATCGGAGTAGGCTGGATCATTAAGAATACTGGTAGTATCAATCATTTTCTTGGCATTGGATGAACAAGTGGATGTTGTATCATAGGCCACTTGGTAAATACCAGTCGATGACCAAGAATTTTTGCAAAGGATCAGATGTGCAGGTGATTGTTGAATGGTTTGGTTTGAAAATAAATGTACAACTGAAAATGTACCTTCATAGATTTGTAAACCTAGGAATCTATTTTGATAATTATAACTTATTCTTGGGTGAAGAACATGGTTTCCTTCTAATGCAGAGATTCTAAAATAACCATATGTCAATGATCCTTTTTCTGAACGCAATACAATTGCCGAATCTGTTGTTTGGTCATTTCCTGGTGCTGGAAGTTGGAGATATCGAGACGATTCAATTTTTCGAGTATTCAAATCGCCAGAGTTATAACAAGAATATTGTCCTGTAACTGAGTTGACAAAACAAAAAGTGTTGGTATTATTTAGGTGATGAACATACATTCTAAGATCTTCTTCTGTTGGATTTTCAAATTTCCAGAGAACATTTGATCCAGAATTTGAAAAAGAATCCTTGGTTCACTTCCTGTGATATTAACAACTCGAATCAAAAATGGACCTTTACAAACTTTTAATTGTAATTTTAAAAATTAATAAATAAAATTCTTTTAAAATCTTCATTATTTTAATATCATTATTTACGTTATCAATTTTCCAAAAGTCTTCCTGAATACCTCTTCTTGGTAATTTAAAATCATTTCTACTTTTTGTTTTATTTATAATCTTATAGGTACTTATAGTAATATTGTAATCATTTAGTTGTTTACACCTATAAGATTATGACTATTTTTATAACAAAAAAAAAAAAAAAAAAAAAATCAAAATAACTAAATTTCTGTGTTTGCAAAAACCACATGTGCAACTTGCAAGAAATAATTGCTATTTTTATTTTATTTTATTTTATTTTGATATATATTTTTAAAGAGCAACAATAAAAAAAAAGAAATTGAACAAGACAGACTTCTCCATCTTAAACAACAAAAAATAAAAAAATAGAAATAAAAGATATCATTTTCAAAAGATTTAATAGAATTGAATACAATAAAATAGAATAAAATAGAATAAAATAGAATAAAATAGAATAGAATAGAATAGTATAGGATAGTATCGATAATAATAATAATAATAATATGGTATATAAAGATCGTACATCTGAATTCAATTCAATATCAGAGACACTCAGAAAGAAACAAGAGCAGAATGGAGTGATATCAAAGAAACAGAATGCACATCAGCAGATGTCTCAATTCTCATTGGCCGCTGCACACATAAGTAGAGGTGTATATGAAACCTCTGAGAAATTACATAAATTAACAAAATGTAAATTGCTATTATACTACAATATTTAGATAAGAAGTTTAATATATTATATTATACATCTTATACTTTTTTTTTTTTTAACAAAATCTTTATTAATTAACTAACTATTAAAACACAAACACAGTGGCAAAAAAGAGTTCAATCTTTAACGATCCATCTGCAGATATAGAAGAGTTAACATTTATTATAAAACAAGATATTCAGAAGCTGAATCAAGAGATTTCACAACTAGGTCAGATTTCAAAACAATCTAGAAGTAATAAGCAGACCGAAGAGCATTCAGAGACTGTCGTTGGCTTCTTAAATCTCAAACTAATCAGCGCAACCAAAGAATTTAAAGATATTCTTGAAGTTAGAACAGAGGTATATATTTTAATATTCATTTATTAAGAAGACCAATTGCTTTACTAACACTATCTATCAATTCAACTAATCAATCACTATGTTATTACAATAAATAGAATTTGAAAACACAACAAGAGAGAAAACAAAAGTTTTCATATGCCTATGGACAGACACAACAGACAACACCGCTTCTTCAAGATGACTCAGGTTCGACGTCAATACCACCCAAATCTTCAGAGATGTTACGACATCGTAACACAACTACAAATCGTGATGATGGTTGGATGAAAATATCATATCTCTTAATTATATAATACTATACTATACTATACTATAACTATCTTTATTATAACATATATTATATAACGTTAAATAACTATCATCATTACAGCAATTTAAATAATCATAATCATCACATAGTTACAACCATTTATTCCTATCATATTATATCATACATCCTACATTCTATCATTTTTCACTCTTATTTTTGAAGTTTATCATGATAAAACATTACTAACTTATATTATTATTATTATTTATTGATATATATTAATTTATAGATTCAGCATTATATAGATATCAAGACGATCAACAAGGAAATGATTTAGCAATTTCAATGCCTATGCAAGTGCAGGCACACGATTACTCACAATCTAGATTGCGAACGGCAGAGACTATTTCATCAACTATTCACCAATTGGAATCGATTTTCCATCAACTGGCAAATCTTGTACAACAGCAGGGAGAGGTCATCGAGAGAATCGACACAAACATCGATGACTCACTTATGAACGTTGGAAGAGGACACGACTCTCTCCTAAAGACACTGGCAGACATCTCTTCCAACAGAGGACTAATATTTAGAATCTTCTTAGTTCTCATAGTATTTATAGTTATATTCGTTGTATTCTTTGTATAAAAAAATCAAAAACAAAACAATCTTATAAAATACCATCCTTTTCCATTTCCATCCCTTTAATTAATTCATCCTTTTTTTTATTTTGATCTAATAATTTTATTTAATCTTATTGGTTGATTGTAAATGATGTATTAAGATTCCAGTGGTAACACTTGCGTTCAATGAATCTATCTTTTCATTCGATGATCTTTGTAAGCCTTTAATCATGATCATTTCATTACAGTGACTAGACAAATAATAATAATAATAATAATAATTGTTTCAATTAGTTAGTTAATATTGGAAAACTAGCTAAAGAAAATATTCATGAATTTAAACATACCTTACTACTTTATCTTTGAGTCCGTATCCTTCATTTCCTATGACAAGTACTGTTGGTTTGTCAATTTTGACGTTGGTGATATCTTTCGACTCGGGATCGCTGACCGATGTTCCGATGATATGCCAACCTCTGGCTTTGCTGGCCTGGAGGAACGAAGCGAGTGAGAGACACTTGAATATTGGGAATTCTTCGATGGCACCACTCGATGACTTTGAAGCGAACGGTGAGACAGGGATCGATCCCTTGTCGGTGACGATGACACCATCCAAACCAAAGTAATGACAGGTTCTAACGATGGCACCGGTATTCTGTGGGTCCCACAACTCGTCCAGCGCAATAATCAGAGGATATCGATTGTCTGCCTCGAATTCAGTCATATCGGGCACAGACAATCCTGTCAATGTTGTAATCGTTAGTGGAGAGCAATCCAATACCAAACCTTGATGAACTCTAAACTTTGAGAAAACATCCAATCTCTGCTTATCGACCGGTACAATCTCTACCTCTAATTGTTCGCATTTCTTTAAAATATCAACGAGTGCACCACTGTTTAATGATAAATTATTTGATCGTTTGGTTAGTTTGATTTAATCAACTTGATTGTTAACATAACATAACATAACATACATATTCTTTTTATCTCTATTGATATTGAATTTATTCTTTTTGGTTGTTTTACTCATGGTGATTACTCTCTTCATTTCATCGTCGTCGTTATCGTTGTTTGTTTTATCCGATTCGTCAAGATCATCAATGATATCATTGAGTCTATTTAAATCTGTTGGTTGATAAGTATTACTATTATTGTTGTCATTGTTATTATTATTATTATTATTATTATTATTAAGATCATTCTCTTGATCCTTAATATAATCTTGTAATTTATGATACAGTGATTCTAAAATATAAAGTCTATTAAAAGATCTATTGTCGGCATACAATGCAACCCAAATTGGATTTACACCGAAAAGACCTTCACCTGTTAAACTATATTTATAAACATCATTATTATTATTATTATAATTATTATTATTCCATTTGTTATATTTTCTATCATCACGATCACCTCTATATTTTCTAGTATCTCTACTGCGACTATCTCCATTATCTCTATCTCTATAACTATCTCTATTTCTATCCCTATTATAATTATCTCTTGGTTTATTTTTATTATTATTACTACTATTACTCTTATAATCTTTATCTAATCTTCTGGACGATGATTGTTTTCCATCTTCGAAACCATTGAAATCATCATCTAATGATTGATTTCTCTCGAATTTAATTGATGTTTTTTTACTTGAACTGCTGCTACTACTACGATCACTATTCTTTTCGTTTCCATAGACCTTTTTATCGAGATTCTTCTTGAATTGAACTCTTGAAGTTCTACCCTCAGATGAAGATGAAGATGTTGAAGTACTTAGATATCTATTGTTGTTTGTCAACAAAACACTACTACTATAATTAAAACATGTTTTAAATGTTGATGATAAAGATCTAATGGTCAACATTTTTTTTTAAATGAAAAAACGAAAGATCAAGTTGGCGATTAGCAATTCGGTAAACTCTAAATTGTTAAACCAACTTTGTCAAAATTCAAAAAAAAAAAAAAAAAAAAAAAAAAAAATCAAAAACACCATTCTTCATTTTTTTTCAATTTTGAATTTTTTTTATTTTATTTTTTTATTTTTTTGTCTTGTTTTTGCTCTTCTTCAAAACCACCAACCATTAAACTAAAATATAACTACATTTTCAATTGTTATTATTATTTTTATTTAGAACAGTATAATTTAGTATAGTAAAGAATTGTTTGTCAAAAGAAAGTCAAATTTTGTTTTTCAAGTAGTCTAGTGTAGTTTGGTCAGACTTTAAAAAATTAGAACAAAACAAAACAAAAACAAAAACAATTCAACCCTTTTAAAAAGTTTTTGACAAATCACAATCATATCATAATATAGTATATTATATTTCTATAGAATATTAATAAATAATAATAATAATAATAATATAGATATTCGTAGTAGTAATAATAGTATCAAGTAATTGACAATTGTTTCAATCTCATCTTTAGTTTTTTTTTTTTTTTTTTACATATATATCTCCCCTTTATTTTATATTTTTAATATATGTTTAAATAGTAGTTTTTTATTATTATTATTATTATTATATTTATATTGATCTTTTTATTCTTTATACGCTTTTATTTTTTATATATATTCTAGAATATTTTAAAATAGGTCAATATTTAGTTATAGTAGCTATTGTTAGATAATAATAATAATATAGTATAGTATAGTTTAGTTAGTTCATTAGAAGTTGAAGTAGTAGTAGTAGTTGTAAACAGTTTTGGTCAGTTTATTTTTCAATTTTATAAAAGTATACTTTTATGACTTCGAAAGGATATACATTGGAAACAATTCATGATATCATAAAATGTACAATATGTCTCAATAGTCCAAAGAATCCTAGATTCTGTCCGACTTGCTCTGCTCTCTTCTGTCTCGAGTGCATCGACAAATGGATTACAACCAACCCAACATGTCCGGCATGCAGAAACAGATTGGATCACGACAATCTAAGTTCAAATCTTATTGTTTCAAATATTCTAAATGTATGTTATCATAATAAAACAACAAAAAAACAAATAGCAAACAAATCAATTTTACTTACATATATTTAAAGGAACTAAGTAAATCACAGGAATACGTTCAACCGGATCTTTGTAATATTCATCATTACGATATGATCTACTATTGCAATAGATGTTTAGAATCGATTTGCTCGGATTGCGCTCTCTTCCAGCATAAGGATCATAACATCGAGAAGATCTCTATCATCTACAACAAGTGTCTTGAGATTATCAAAGTAGAAGAAGAAGCATTAAAGTATGTAATTTAATAGTAAACTATAATAATAACAATGCTAATCTTAATTGTTAAACACACAAATAAAATAGGAAAAGACAAGAAGAGTTAATAGAATTGTCAGCGTTTTTAGAGTCAGACTCCAACCAATTGGATCAAAACAAGAAGGAGGTTGAAGATGAAATGTTAAAGGTTCTAGATGATATTAAAACGAGATTGGATGAAGAAGTAGATCAACGTTTCTCTGTAATTTTAAGTAAGTTTGTTTAATCTATTCAATAAATTATAACAATACTGATATATCTATTAACAACAAAATCTAAATAGATTCACAACAAAAGCTAAATAATGAATTGACACATTTAGATTATTTATATGATAGATTGGTGCAGCATTATAAACGATCACCGAGTGAATTTATAAAGTCAAGTCCGCAGCTCACTAGGAATCTACAGGAGATACACAAGAATTCGATTCTCGAGATTTACAAACCGGTCAATACCGATCTACAATCAGAGTTGTCGCCACAGTACGAAACTAGATTGTTGAAACTAAAGGATTTCCTCAACTCTTCGCAGCCATTCATCAATCGTATCAACTACTTTGGAACCACCTGGGAATTGAAATGCGGTATCGACGAAGATAACATCTATTTGAATCTTAAACTACTTGAAACTCCTTTAAGTGCCAAATATTTTTATAGGTAAGTGTTTGTTGTTAATAAAATAAAAACTGATATCTAATTACTAATATAATAAATTTAGATTTACAATTATTAATCAGAAATCAAGTATAAACAAAGAATATGAATCATCATTTCCTTTGGATGCTGGTAATTCACTTTTCATTCCAAATTTCTCAACAAAAGATCAATTGGTATGTTACTTTAATAATAATAATAATAATATTAAATAACACTTATTAATATGTGTTTGATTGATTTGCTATAATTAGATTGAAGACGGTTTAATTTTGTTGGAAACAGATATTTTGTTGTTAGAGTTTTCATTTAAACCAAAGAATTACTATTTCTTGACGAATGACCTCAAGTATTATATTACGATGTTGGAGACTCAGAATAGTATACTGAGGAGTACAAACAATCAATTAAAGGTATCGAATGAAAGTCTAATACATAGTGGAAATAGTATAATTAGTATAAATAGCAATGGCAATAACAATAGTAGTAGTAGTAGTAGCAACAACAGTATAGGCAGTAACAACAGCAACGGTAAAAACAACAAGTTGATTACCTCCTATGACTATGACAAATCACCGAGAATGGTATCTGAAGAAGAGTATTTTGGTGACGATGAACTCGATGATGTTGTTGACAATGAACAGCATCATCAACAACAACAACAACAAAAGAATAATAATAATAATAGTAATAATAGTAGTAGAAAGAGTCCAAATTCAACATTGCACTATCTTAATTTGAAATACAATAGAGAAAAGGACGAAGACGAAGAAGAAGAAGAAGACGACGAAAGTGATAGTGATGAATCAGACAATGATGACTATGATGAAGATGTCAATCAAGACAATGATGAAGACGAGGAAGATGACAGCGATGAAGACGAAGACGAAGACGAAGAAGATGAAGACGATTCGATATCGCTTGCTCTAACCTCTTCAAACCTAATCGATCAAGACTCTATATCTGGCACAGAGAGTGAAGACATATTTCATCTGAATCGTCATCGTAGACGACGCCCTTATCATCTCGGACAATCATACACCTATAAATATAGCGGCAACAAAACAAAACATATCAATGACATTGATATTAATATTATGAATAGTAATAGTAATGACATTGACATTGACGATAATCAAATACCACATGTACATATTAATCACGTTAATAATAATAATAATAATAATAATAATAGCAATAACAACAACAATAGTAGTAGCAGTAATAACAATAGTAATAATAATAGTAATAATGGTAGTAATAGTGATAATAATAATACCATTAGTGAAAGCAATAGTCTTAATACCAGTTCACAATGGGATTTACAATCTCAGTTCAACTCTTTACATATTAGCAGTGGCAAGTCACGTAATGCCAACAACAACATCAACAACAACAATGGCAATAGCAATTACTTTACCGATATAGATGATAGTTTCAGAATTGACCAGTCACACGAGAACACAGAGAATGAAATGGGTTACGATGAAATGGAACCAATTCCCGACATTCAACCAACAACGACCAACAGTACTTCCTCTCAGCATCAAGTATCTAGAATTCAACCATTAGCACTTTCATCTACTCATGAACTTGATCGTGATGATCTAGAAGATGTTGATGATGACGGTGAAGATGACGATGAAGATGTTGATGACGACGATGATGTAGACTCCTCAAACCTAGAGGAGGAACAAGAAGAAATAGATATCATAGATCCATATGAATTGAATACCGACGATGACGACGACGACGACGATGAAGAAGAGATCATCTACAGCGAAGACCAAGACCAATATCTAAGTGCTGAGGAAGGTGATGATGATGACCATATCAACATCCACCGACATCATCAAATCCACAACTACACCGTCGACGACTATGATGACGATCCATTCGATTCAGATGTAGAATATCAACCAACCGAAGAAGAGGAAATCTATATTGACCAAGATCATGGAATATCAACGATTCTAAATGTAACAACTACCAACAACAACAACAGCAATATTATTAATAACGATAATAATAATAGTACGAACAATATAAATAGTAATAATAATCGTAATAAATCACCATCACCACCAACAACAACAACAACAACAATAACAACACTTTCAATACCATTGCCTTTTAATAATAGTAATACAATTCACAATCAAATTTCCAATCACTCTCCTCCGATACCGCCATCCAACAACAATTTAATATTTAGCTATCCAAACTCATAGCAATAGCAACAGCACAAACCAGCAATAGCACAACACACAAGTAATAACAACTGCAGCAGAATCTGCCATTTGGTATACCATCCATCATCAAATTAATATTTAATTTTAATTATTTATTTATAATTTTTTTAATAAAAAAAAATGGAAAAAAAATTACAATTTTTTGTTATTTCCCAACCCATAAAAATGAATATGTCTTTAAAATCGATTTCATTTAACACCACGACTACTCGATTAGTCAGTGCTGGGATGACCTGCTTTGGGAAGCAGCTGGGACTTCAAATCCCTGGATCACTAGCGTGATAGGTGTTCGATTCATCCTTCCTAGCGATAAATACAACAATATAGTCAAGATGTAGACTCAAAATATACATACAGACTTTTTTGAATTTATCGATTAGCCTTCATGGGTTCGAGGCTCGGTAATGACTAAGTTTCCCCGCTACCGTAACGTATATAAAAAACTGATGTCCTAAGAGCCCACGGGCAATGCATTGACACGAACTCGTGAGGAGGTGATAAAAACACCTCCTTAATGCAATGGACCTAAAAAAAAAAAAAAAAAAAAACTCTAAAGGTAAAATCATATTAGAGTAACCAGACAAACTTGACATCGATAACCGAGGGCCTTTTAACCCCAGCGTAGAGTACAAAAGCATTGATAGTTAACCAAACCATTGGGAAACCTAATCGACTTGAACCAACCTTCCTTAGGTCCTAACATACTTGGCCAAGATAACACCATCCTTCTAACAGTTATCATCAACTCAGTTACAGCAATCGAATCTGTAAACTCGATCCTAGGTGATACGAGGTATCTAAAAGTTTCAAAATTGCCAAAAAAAAAAAATACTAATATTTAGTGTCTCCAGCCCAAGAGCTACCTTTTTTTTTGCATCAAGAATTCCTTCAATCAAAAACAACACCACAAATTTTTTTTTTAAATCAATTTAATAAAATTTTTAAAATGACACAAATCACTGATGTGATGACTGAAAAATCAATCAATCTTTTTTATTATTTCCGATGGAGACTCCAACAAATAATAATAATACAATTCAATTACCTTTAATTATTTATAAAGCACTCATTCAATATATATGGATTGATAATATAAAGAATAAAGAGAAAGAAGCTTTGGCATTGGTGTGCAAACAGTGGTTTGAAATCATTGGTCGTCACACAAGTAGAAACAATGGTATTGTCTACGAGTACTATTTAAATGATTATCGACAGACTTTTCAAGATGAATTGATTAGTCACCATTCGTTACTGACTGAAATCTACAGGCTGAACGTCAGACTTTTACCCTCTTCCTCTAGATATTACCGACTATCTGGTCAACAAAGTGTAACATTGCCAGTGAGTCAAGAAGTCTTTGACACACAATGCTTTTCAAAGTTGAAACTACTGGTGCTTAGCCCGAGTACTCTCAACTCTGTTTTGTTTCCGAAATTTGTTGAGCGAGTCTTTGCCATCCAATCGAAACAAAGAAAACATTGTTTAAATAAACTGTTGATACAAGCCACCGAACAAATATCCGAACAGTCGCTCCAATCGCTGAATCCACTACTTCCTTTCATCTCGAAACTTACTGTCATTGCTACTTGGCATAGTGCTGCCGATCCCTATGAACACCACGGTGGACTTGTCACTTTTATCCAATCGCTCTGTGACCTCAAGCTTCGTAAACTCTCCATCGATCTGCATCCAGTGTTGATGCAACGATTGTTCTCCGATTCAACCAAGCTACCGAGAGTAGACAGCCTGAATATCGAAACCAAGTTTACCAAAGAAAGTGAAATTCCATGGAGTTTCTTGAACAACTTGGACATATTAAGAAACTTTTCATGTGCTTTACCATTGGCTAGTCAAGAGTTTCTCCAATTCCTGATATCGAACAAAACCATCGCTAATCTGTACTCTGCTCTACCAACAACAGATCTAGTCTATAAGAGAATCCACAAGCAGTCCTCCGTTACCGATCTTACATTGAAGCTGTTAACACAAAACATGTTGATTGCCAATTGTAATAATATATTCCTCGAGAAGTTTGTCTTACCAAGCCAGTTGAAGAGTTTGACATTGCTTCACGAACAAAACGAATGCTCCACAGTATTCTCAAAGATAATGACTGCTTTGGAATCACATGACGAGTTGACATCGTTAAGTATAGCAAAGACAAGCCAGCTTATGGATATAAAAGAACTTGGATTCATGTTGGCACTAAACAGATCGGTGAAGCATCTAACAGTGACAAACAACTATGGTGACACTCCTCTTGAAATGGAGAATATCATGCTCGGTCTCACAAAGAATACGACCCTCCAAACTCTGACACTCTATGTCAACCTAAACAAAGAGATATTCCAACGTCTATTTGAAATGCTCGAAATCAATTCGACCATTCACAAGGTCATATGCAATCGTAAATCAATAGCACAAAAGCATAAATTCACACCAAAACTGCAATCTCTTTTTGAAATCAATTTGGATTCTTCACTTTTAACATTTGTAAGAAAATAATAAAGTTATTTTAATGATTGATTCACAATTATTTAATTTGTGAATAACTATTTTTATTTAAAATAATTGAATTGTTTGTTGTTGATACTATTGCTTTATTGACAAATCTCTCTAGTTTGGATGATTCCTGCAGCCTCTGGACAAAAGTCTTGGGTGGTGACTTCGTTGATGATAGATGGTGAACCAGAGCAATCCATACTATCGAAATAGTTGTAGGTTTGGGTTGTTCCGTTGCAGGTAATTGAACTACCAGAGAAACAGGTATTGGTACGTTGATACTTGACTGACAACTCTGATCCTTGGCACAATGGTTCAGAATAAGCATAGCTGGCAAGGGTATTGTTTGGAACTACAATTTGCTCGGTACACTTAATGGAGAAACCATAGTTACATTCTGCAAGGTCAAAGCTTCTGGAGCTGGTAGAGAAACCAGAGCAATCTGGAGCTGAAAATACTTGGAGAATAGCAGTACCATTATCGAAACAAGTGTACAACTTACTGTCATAACATTGTCCAGCGACATGGTATGAAGCATAGACATCATTTCCAATCGAACAATCACGGTCGGTGAATTGTTGGAATAGGAAATATTGAGTAGCACTTGATACAACAATCATTCCAACAAACAAAACAGATACCAATAATTTTCTATTCATCTTTGTTTTTTTTCAATTGGTGGTAAAAATATATTTATATATAAACTAATAATAATTTAGAAAATAAAAAAAGATATAAAATTGTAGCTTTACAAATATAAAGTATTACAAATATTAATTAATAATAATAATAAGAAAAAATAAAAATGATTTTAGATTTCTTATTTATTTAAATAGGGATGGGATGATGTAAGTTTTGAGGGTAAATTGAAAATCAACAAAAAAAATATTTTACTTAAATTTTAATATTAAATTAACAAAAGTTCAGTTTTAATGAAAAAATTGAATCATTATAATAATTTAGATAGTCTGCCCACCTGACACCCTATCGTATCATGTCATTCTCGTTTTGTTTCTGCAATCTTTGAATTTGCAGCTTATGAAACGAGTGCTCTTTTCAATTACTATATTAATCGCAATGACAATATTTTTTAAAAAAAAATTTCACCAAAATCTAGAGATTCTGATATATCAATTATTTAGATAGAAAAAATGATCATCAAAGTTTAACATAAAAAAAAATTTAAAAAAAAACTATGAAAATATTATAGTTTTCTATTAATTTGATTAAAAAATGGTTTTTTTTGCCTATGACGACCCTATAATTTTTAGTTTTTTTTTTATTTTATTTTAAAATCTAAAAATATATATTTTTTTCATTTTGTCGCGAGTTGTGATTTGTGGTCACAACGAGAGGTTTGATAAATAATGAAATCATGCTGGGTTTTTTGGGTGCCCAATAAGACAAGGTTGTGTCTTTCTCTTTGCACAACAAAACAATTTTGTTTTTTTTTTCGACAAACAACAAAAAATCGAACCAGATTGATCTATTCAACTACCTACGTTTCTTCCAAACTGAATCTTTCCACAATATATTTTTTTGTGAAGAAATACGAGCGATGTCTTTTAATTTTTGATCGATGGTTTAACATGTTTTGTTTTGAAATATTGTATAGATTTTTAGAGATTTAGTATAGTTTACAAAGTAAATGATACTTTTATACTTTTATTTCTTAATAAAAAACAATATTGAGAAAATCATGATTTATAAAGTACTATAATTATATCTAAAAATAAATTTTAGTTTATTATTTTATCGATCTTCAACCATCAACCTTTTTTCGAATATCAGACCATTCAAAGATCTTGTTTTAATTTTTTGATTAATACAATTTTGTGTTAGGATGAGATTGTATGATCCTTGATTTTAATTACACAAAAAGTTTAATTTAATTTAATTTAATTTAGTTTAAATTCATTTGTTTTATTTTATTGTTGTGGCGTTACATTATATTACATTACAATACTTATGTTTATGATGGTAAGCAATAAATTATTTCTATGGTTACAACTTCATTTTATTTGTGAAGTTCGGGATTCAATGACCAGAAACCATCTCTATCTTGAGTAAAGTGAGCGGGTTTCCATTGTTCATTCTTTTCTTTTCTTTCGGCAGCTTTTCTTCGTTGTTCTTCTTCTACCTTGGTCTTCTCCTTGTTGATCGCTTTACCGGGTTGACCTGTCTTTATAGCATCAAAGAGAGCACCCCATACGACATTCGAGTTGGTAGGTAGTTGTTTGTCTGCGCTGACCTGAACAACTTCACCCGGTGTATATTCCTTCTTATTGTAGAACGTCTTGTACTCTGCTTTCTTATCTTTGTAGGGTGCAATCTTTAACTCTTCATCCCATTGACCTTTGATCCTCTGTATCTTTTCCTCACCATTATAAACTGTTGCCTCCAAACAATTATAATGACCAACTAATAATGGCTATATATTTATAATAAAAAATAATAATAATAATATACAATATTATGTTAGTTTACTTTTTCTATCTACTATTTACTACTATTACTATTACTTACTTTTGGATAATAGGTTGCTTTAATTCTATATTTACTCTTTGAGGAGGTGAGTACTGATTCACCAGCATACTCGCTGAAACCACGGAATAGACGAATAGCTACTGGTGGCGATGTACAGGAGAAGGTTTCACCAAACTTTTCGAAATGAATTTGGACGGCACCGTCAAGCGTCAGTTTGATGTATGTACCCATAAAGTTGACTTTGACCGGTGTGAAATAGTTTACTTTGATACCTGCCTTTCTACAGTAGATCTCCGATGATGTACATGGTGGATGATGAGATATCTGCTCTGCAAAAGCGGTAATCTCTGCATCTGAATCAGAATACTTTACATTAGCCTCAAATGTTTCACCAAGTACTGGATTCAATGGTTTTCTTTTATAAAGTATAGAAATGTTAAGTAAATCTAACAATTTGATTCAATTCAATTAACATACTTTGTAAGTTCTTTTGGTAACCATCTTGTTGTCATAAGATATTTAAATACTTCAAGCATTCTTTGATAATCATCTTCAATATCATTACATCTGTTTGTTTGTTTGTTTGTTTGTTGTTAATATTGTTGGTTTTTAAAACCTATTGATTACAAATGTATTAAAAGATACTTACTTTATTAATATATTAAAGAATGGGGAGGAATTCTCAGAGAAATAGCAGACACTTGATTTCGGCAATACAAGTGAACCAGCAATGTTAATCGATGTCAAGTCACCTCCTACCTTGATATTCTTGATAATACTTCCAATGAGAGTTCCACCTTCTTCGCCATCTTCGGCAGCAGCTGAAGTAGCATTGGTGGTTGTCGTAGTTGTATGAGCTACTGTTTCATGTGGTAAAGTTTCACCAACATCTTCTAAGTTTTTAGATTTACCCATAATAAAATAATAACAAAATATTTAAACAAACAATACTATTAAATAAATAAACTATAAATAAAATTAATTAATCTATAAATTATCAATGGTGTGTTTGTTATATTAATAAACAAAACAGTTTACTGATTTTAAACTTAAAGAAACAAAAAAAAAATTCATATTTTTACAATAAATTAAAATCTGATTAGTTATTGTAGGGGTTTGTGCAAACCATTCCTCATGAGTCATAAAAACTAATCAATTATGTAGTCATTGGTCACAGCGGAATTAAAATTTTTGCATCATGATAACTTCAACTCACAACATGTTTGTCGATTGGGTAATAAATCTGTGAAAAAAAAACACCACATTTCACAATTTTTTTTTTTTTCAATCTTTTTTTTAGCTATTGTTGTTTATAAAGTTTGAAGTCACCGTAAATTATTGTTTGTAGGTCGTTGTAATGCAATATATTTATAGAGCAGAAAGTAATTAATTGATTATTGATTGTTAGATTTTTTTTTTTTTTTTTGTGGTTATATGTGACATTTTATAAGTATTTGATCAATCTAATCTGTTTGACGATATCTCATAAGTAGTACTATTAACTTTTTTTGTACAAAAAGATATACTTACAAACACCATTTGACCTGGGGTTGACAAATCTTTAAACCAGACTCTTTCATTTTCTATATTATTCAATGATCCGCTGATGACTTTTCGATCCTTTCCAATGTTGAGTGATGATATGTTGTACTCTTCTAGTATATCAATAAATAATTATTATTATTTTAGTGATGCAAATAATGTGTGGGTACAGATGAAATTGAAATCTATTCTGCCGCGAACGATGCAACATCAATTGGTTTATTAAAAAGATTTAGATACAAAAAAAAACAGTAGATATTTACAAATTAATTCATTGATTTGATTTTCTTTCTGTTAGTTATACAATTAATAAGTAATCTAATCTAACTATTCTGATTGAGGATATCTCATAAGTGCCCAAAATGGACAAAACGATGGACTCTAGATTAATTTGAACATATTATTATTAAAAATAGATTGATTAGATAGATATTTTTTTTTTTTTGCAACAGTTTAAATTGTTGATTATAACTTACAACATGTCTTAAAACTTTGAAACCTAATCGATCGAAAAATCTAAGACTCGAAAGACTTGCTGTGTCTGTATAGATTGCAACTTTCTGAGAGTCTGCCAGTTTTATTACAGTGTCTATGAGTTCAGTACCGATTGTTTGATTTTGGAACTGAGGATCTATACATATACAGTTGATATACCAGTGTGGTGTATCTCTAGTTAGCTGTTGATGCGTCTTCTCTGAGAGGTCAAACATAGCCAACACTCTCGAGAGTGGACCCATTCCCATCTTTAAAGGTGCTGCTGCAAATCCAACTTTAACCATCTCCATAACAGCTGTAAAATTATTATTATTATTATTATTATTATTATTATTATTATAAAAGTTAGAATGTTAGTTCTATTTTTTTTTTATTTCTGTATTAATATCTTTTGTTTACTTACAAACACCGATTTGACCTGGAGGTTGACAAATCATTAAACCAGATAACTTTCTTGATTCCGATGCGCTATTCTTGTAGAATAGACCCCATACTCTTGCACGTTTGACAGCATAGCTTAACATCTTTTCACAATACCATTCACCACCTGATTTCTTCCAATAAACATCTTGAAAGAAATAATTCATAAATGGATCTGTTTTGATTTGTTATAATACACACATTGTAATTAGATTATATTAATAATTGATTTTTAAAGTAGGTTGATTCATAATAGCTTTTTAGTACTTTACCATTGTGACAAGATGTTTCCATTAGTTTTGCTGCTAAACTACATTCATTCTCTAATAATTCTCTTATGACTATATCTTTCTTTGGTTTTGGTAATATATTTACATTTGTATTTACATTGTTGTTGCTGCTGCTGTTGATATTATTATTGTTGTTGTTGTTTGGGTTGATTTTACTTGAGAGAACTGTAAGTTGATCTAACATACTAGAGATTTGAGATGCAATCTCCTGTTGTTCTTTGCTATCGATTACTCTTTTACTTGGATCGTCATTTTCAAGTTCTATCTCCTGCAACTTATCAAACTGTTGAATCAACTCTCTCAATGTATAGTTGGGTGTCAGATCTTTGATTGTCAATGGTTTTTTACACAATGGACAATTCGGCTGTCTTTTCAACCAACCTTCAATTGAATTTCTATCGAATGAATGTCCACAAGTCGAAATTACAGCATCCTATTAATAGATAGAGGAGTAATAATAACAAAAATTAATAAAACCAACAATATTGTTTTAAAGTTATAACTAAAAGACATGACATACCTCCATGATTGATATTGTAATAGGATCAGTTATTAATCTTTCATAATCATCTTTATTGAATTTATTTGATTTTATCTTACTATTTTCATTTGATTCAACTTTTTCTTCTTCTTCTTTTTGTACTTCAGAGTTTGATTGTTGTTGTTGTTGTTGCTGTTCTTCAACTACTCTAACATTTTCATCTACAACTATATTATCTTTGCTGACATTATTGTCGACAATAATATTTTGCTTTTCATCTTGTATTTCTGACATTACTAAAATAAATTGTTTATTTTAGGATTGTTACAAAAAAATAAAATAAAAAATTATCAAAAAATAAAAAAGAATAGGAATAAGATTTAGTTTGTTATAAATAATCAACAGATAAGAAAGGTTAAGTGGTTTGATGATTCATCGCAATACCACCTTTCTTTTAAATTAAATTTTTCCATTTTTTTTAAGAAATTTTTTGTGTTTTTCTTTTTTTTAAAGCACACAAAAAATACTAAAACTGGAAAAAAATAGAGTTGAAACAAACTTTTTAGCTATGGTTATTTAGTACTTGAACAGTTTGCTAAGACTTGCAAATGAATCTAATTCTACATAATCATCTTCAATCACACCATGGTTTCTTTATTATTGTTTTTTTTTTTAAGATTAATTACAACCTTTCTATTTTTTTGTATTCCTCACATATTGTTTCATTATGATTTTCTTTATTTGCAATTAATTCAATCACATTTACCATTATTTTTTTATAAAGTTCGTAAAAAAAAAATTAATTTTATTATTTTGTTTTTAACTAATATTTAGCTATTATATTTTTCACCATAAAATAATGATGAGTTGACAAAGAAGATATCGAATATCTGTGAAGTTTTCAGTCCCTTGAAACAATCTTTCAGGAAATCATTCCATTCCTGCTGGGTTAGTGATGCCGATGGCCAATCGGATGCCCACATAGTTCTCTTGGCACCAAAGGTTTTTACAAGGTGTCGGATCAACGGTGAAACCTTATAAAAGATCTCACCAAACTTTGCATTTCGATTCGATTGTTTGAGTGTCTCGCTGTAGATACCAGAGAGTTTGCATACTACATTCTTGGAGACACTGGCAATAGCTTTGATATCGGACTTCCATTGTTTCAAACGGTCTTCGGTGTTGGGACGACCAATGAAATCGAGGATAGCTCGCAACTTTGGATAGGCTTTCAGGAATTTATAGATGTGCTCGAGATGTTGAGGTTTGACGCGTGCTTCGAATATCAGGTTTCTCTCGATCATGTATTTAATGAGTGGACGCACCTCTCTCGAGATTAGCCATTCCTCTTGGAGATCGTCGATCATTGGACACAAACCAATGAGCAGTGGTCGATGTTCCACGCTAATGATTGACTTTTTGTAGCGCTCTTGTAGTGCGAGGAGTGCTTCTTCGTTGGAATCGGCAATATCATACCATCCAACCATTCCATTGATTTTGCCTTCAGAATTGATTGCGATTTTCATTAGTCGGTCGGATTCATCTTGTGTTGGAGTTGATTGGATTAAAGTGACTGTACATTGTTCAACTCGTATACATTGTTGTTGAAGTTCCAACATTGAATAGTCTTTATACATATTTCTAAAAATATCTTTTAGCCATTTTTGTTCTTCTTTTTTCCAAAGTGTAACATTATTATCTAAACACAACATTTTATAATATTTAAATTTGTTACTTTTATAATAAATAAATAAATAAATAAATAATTGCAATAATATTATTTCTAATAATAAAAATAAACAAAGTGATGTTATGAAAGGTTTGTTTTAATTTATAGAAAAGTTAAACTAGTAATAGATGTTGATTTTGATGATGTTGATGGATTGATTGAAAAGGATTAAGATAACGGTGATGGTGATGGTATTGATTGAATAGTTGTGTGTTGATTTAATGAATAATCAACGAGATGATACACCAAGCAAAAACACAATGCAATTCAACACCAACTATAAAAAACATAAAATTTATATTTGTTCTTTTTCTTCTTCTTGATCAAAAGATACACAATGTTAAACAATATTAAAACAACAAATAAAATGGCATTTAACTCTTTTGTAAATATAAATGTTGTGTTTTCTAAATTGGAATTCATCTCACGTCCTTAAATTACTTTCATTTTTCTTTCTTTCTATTTATTTTGTTTGTTTCAAACCATATATAATCACTATACCCAATCAATACAACACATCAACGTTCCCTCCTTTGTTTGTTTGTTTCAAGTTTAACACAGCAACACAACGCAACGCAACACACACTATCATCAAAAGAAAGAAAATGAAGAAAGAAATAAATTTAAACAAACTTTAGCCTAATATATTAAACTCACATTCAAATAAACTATCAAATCAACTGCGCTTATCACGAATACCACTGCTAATCTGCTACCCACCCTCTATATATTAAATGGTTTCATAGTTTGCCAGTGAGAGTGTGATGATTGATGATGGTATGGTGGTTGGGAGTAACAAACAAAGAAAGAAAGTAAGTATTTATTTGTGTGTTGTTGGCACAAAACAACACCATCTATCTCAAACAAACAAACAAAAATAAATAAATAAAAACACCACCATTTACATCAGTGAAAGTTGTGGTGGTAGTAGTAGTAACACTAAGAGTTGATTTGATTGTATTGATTTTATTTTTATTTAATGCATTAAATCTATATTAGTTATTTAATTTAAAATAAGTTTTTTTTTACAGGATAAATTTTTCTTTCAATTGATCAATAGATCGATGTTTTATTTATATGAATTTTTGTTTGTTTGTTTGTTTGTTATGATGAAAACAATGAATAAGATGACAATGTTTTGTCAATCTGATGGTTTTAGAGTATGATTCAAATCATTTTGATTGTAATAATTCTTTATTTTATTTTATTTTTAATGATTTAAATTAATGACTGTTGATTATTATTGGTTTGTTTATTTTATTAGATTGATTACATCATTCCATAGAGAATTCGATAATGTGCGATCTCTGGGCACAACAAAACTATTGGCATAATAAAAGAGATTGCAAAGTGATTTCGATGTGGTTCGATATTCTTGGGTGTGATTCTTGGTTTCGTATGCAACACCCCTCCTGAGACTTGAAGACAATCCCAAGTACTGTATCTTGTCTTTCTCAATGAGACATTCGAATAATCGCTTACTTGCTTCCATGTGATCCGGTAATATCAAATGAGTAATCGTTTCGTTGGTTTTAAATGCCTCTTCAATATCATATTGATAGCCACCTGATACATGATTATTAAATAGCGATAGGAAAGTGATTGTCTGGTTGTTTTGCGCGAATTTCATGAAAGACAACTCTAGTCGATAGTCATCTCGAATACAGTTGTGGAGCAAGAGGTGGGTGATGGTCTTATTGATTTCGAATGACTCAAAGAGTTGCGAGCAAACAATTAATCTCATACTGTCAAGCAAGAGGTATTTAATCGTTGTGTTCAATGCCCATATCTGAGCAAATGCTTGTTGAGATTCTGGGGTGATCTTTCTATGTTTTGCATAGTGGTGACACCAATTTCTAAGGGAAAGTCTTTTGATAGTTTGATTGGAAGCCAGTGCTTTGCATACTCTGTTCCAGTTCTCTGGATCATCCAGGGGGACACCACTATGCTCGTTGATACCATAACATTTACAAAGTCCATGACCATCTTCACTGGCACCAAGATGACAGAAGGAAATAGCAACCGCCAATGATTTAATATGTGGACATTCGCTGACGGCAACGAGTAAATCACGTAGTTCTATTAAATCATCATCAATTCTCAAGTGTCTGAGTGTCTTGATTCTAAAGAGTGTGTTGTATCTAGTATGTATTCTGGGATCCTCGTCGCCCCATCCATATTCGAAGCGAAGATTAATCGAATCTGTTTGCCACCATCTAACAACATTGTAAAAGTTTTCTGTCACTATTTTCTTGTCACCTTCCATCTTCACTTGTTTAACTTTCATTTTGATAGACTTTATGTTTTTAAATTTCGAAAAGTCATAGTCAATGGTAATCTCTTCAGCACCAAAGTCGTAGAGGAATTTACGATGAAAATCAACTTTGACATGAATATCGATATGTGGATATCTCTCGGCTAGACAGTCAACCACCCAATCACCAACTTGAGTTCGAATGACAATGATTGTGAGATTTGGGAAATTGTCAATATAGTCACACACAATGTCCATTCTATCTTCATTAGACTTTTGTTCATCGTTCCAACCAAGCTCTTGGATTGTTAGTCTGAGAATATTATCAACGTGGTAGAGTGACCACGGTGTTGGGAGGATAAGACGACTTTCTAACTTATCGAATTTACTACAATCGCCTTTCCAAGCTGCATTGAATCGAGTGAGTCGACATGAAACATATTTAAACCATGATTTGCAAACCAATGCGAGCGTGAGCAGTTTCTCGAAAGATGGAACTCTGTCTCCAGCAGTATCTGAAACCCATCTTCTCATCAGTGGAACCAAGATATTATTTTGTTCAAACAATGCGAGGTATTGATGCAAGGCATGCTGAACGATACAACTCTGAACAAAAGATGGCAATTGACAATGGATGGGAGTAAGCACCCTAGTATCAGGTGGCATACTACCATTATCATCGTATACATCTACCTTTGAAAAGGGGATTTTACTACTATGTGATTCTTTTGAACGTGGAGATCTCAAATGAGACATTATTTGTAAAAAGATGTTTGAAAAAAAAAGGATGACATTTTAATCAAAATATTAATCTATACTAGCGATGAGGGGTAAATAATTTTGAAATGAAGCAATAAACAAGTGTGATCAAACTGAGGGATAAAAAATTTTGTAATTTAGAATTTTTTTTTAAAAAACAAAGAAATTCTCTTTTTTTTTTTTATCAAACTAATACCTGAACAAGAGATGTGTTATTGAATACCGAGTTCCATGAAGATAGAGCTGAGTTTGTTGTGAATATTTTTAAAAAATAAATCTACAAAATAAAAGGAGATTAAAACAATTTTTATTTAAATAATGCGATTTTTTTTAGGTTATTAAAATCTTGATGAGAATTGAAAATTTAACTTTGAATAATCATAATGATTATGTATTAACAATTAATCAAACCAAGATTGTATTCATAGGAATCAAGATCATGTCTCTTTTCGGTAGCTCTAGTTTTCTTCCAACTTCTACTTTTACCATTATAATATGATCTACTATTACGGTAAAATTCTTTTTTTCTATTATTAATTTAAAAAATGAATTAGAAAATTAATGTTTAGAATATATAATGATTACTTACGGTCTATGAGGATTAAAATCATCAATATGAAAAGAAATTTTTAACATGTGTATATTCTAAACAAAATGTTGTGAATGAAAAATTAGAATTGGTAAAAGTTACATTTATACTTTCGGCTTGGTATTGGAGAATCTAAATTTCTTGTCTTTTTCAAAAAAAAATAAAAATAAATTGGAATTGACGCGGAATTGAATAAAACACAGATTTTATTTTATTTAATCTTGATAATCTGAAACATAAGTTATTTTTATTAAATTAATTTTTTTTGGTGATGTAATTGAGGCTTACAGAAAAATTAATAAAAATAAAAATTTATTTTTTAACAACAGTTTTTATTTTTTTAATGTTCTTTGTCTGTTTTCAAAGAGATAGAATTTATAAACAAACTAAATATTTTTTAAATGATTAAAGAACCAGGATCAAGAGAGCAATACCTTAGAGAAAATTCTTTAGATTTACAATTGTCTAAAATGATTTACCGTTAGAAACGGAAACTTTATTTGTTTTGTTTGCAAGTTAAAAAAATTCTCTTTTGGTCAAATAAAGTGGCTAGAATCAATCTAATAAAAAAATTTTAAAAGACTGTATTGTTAATTCCAGTTAAGATCAAAAAATAAAAAAAAAATTTTTAAATGAAAAATCTGTGAGAAAAAACCCAGAGTGTTTGCTAGCCAAATTCTTTTTTTTTATTATTATTAAATATAAATAAATATAATCTTTAGTAAGTTCACTATATTTGTTGCCTGGTACAGTGACATTAACTAACCAGAGCCGATACTAGTAAGTAATTGGGTAGTTCAGAACATAGAACTGACCCAAAGATCAAACTACTATTTTATATTGGTAGATATCAATGAATAAATTGAAGCGATTATTCTCGTGAATATTGCACCACGAACATCGATAGTTGGAATCAACTTTAAAGACTTGATTACATGTAATATCAGACCAACACTACAACAATTGTATTCTTTCAAAGAAAAAATATAAATCTTAATTACAATACAATTTAAAACTATCAAAAAATAAAGACCAAGATATGTAAGATATAATAAATAAAATTTGTGTTTTTGTTTTTACTAGTATTATTTTTTTGTATATGACAATGTTTTGTTTAGGTTTTCGATGTTAAAGTCAGTGTTTGTGATGTTTACAGGTTCGAAATTCAAGACCCGAGAGAAGAAATAGTATTCACCTTCGAGCGATCTAATGATATTTTTGTCTTGAGCGAATCCATGTTGTTCGCCTGGATACAGTTCGATAAGAGTTGGTTTGTTACGATAGATCAGTTCATTGTACATCTGAATTGATTGGTTATAGGGTACGACAGGATCGTTTATTCCGTGGAAGAATGCCACTGGGACATCGAGTTGATCGACATGATAGATCGGTGATCGATCGATTAGATTCTGCTCGCCGCCAATCAGTGTCGATACGTAGGTGAGTTCCAAACGATCGGTCTTTGTCGTCAGTTGCACCAGATCACCGATTCCAAAGAAACTGCAACCGGCTTGGAACATTTTTTTGAAGGTAAGGGCGGCGAGTGTTGTGTAGCCACCGGAACTCTGGCCGTCAATGAGCAGTCGGTTTCCATCAACCAGACCTTGATCCACTAGATACTGCGCGCCGCTACAGCTGTCGTCGACATCGTAGATCCCCCATTTTCCGTTGAGAAGCTGACGGTAGTCTCTTCCGTATTGCGAACTGCCACGATAGTTGATATCCAAAACACCGATACCTCGTGATGTCCAAAACATAATGTTTGGCAGCAGTTGTGCCGAGTCGTAGCCAGTCGGTCCACCATGTGTTCTCACTAAAAGAGGTGGCTTCTCACCGGAAAGAACAGAGTTTTCGAATCTAGGGTTCTTTGGAGGATAGTAGAAACCATAGGATTTTCCACCGTTCGATGTATCATACTGAATTTCCATTGGCTCTGAAATATACTGTGAATCAATCGAGATTTGATCGTTTAGTAGTCGATGGAATGACAGTTCATGATGATCGAAATTACTGATGCGAACCAATGTCTGAAGTTGTCTGGTGGACGAACCAATAATAGTCATTGCTTTGTTCAACCTCGAATAGGAAATGAATTTAACTTGACTGAATTGATTGTTGTACAACTGTATTCTTTTCGTAACGAAACTATAGTCAATTAAATATCCAAATGATTTCGCTATCACTCTTGAATTTGGTAGAACTGCGAATGTGTGCATTCCCAATGTCCACGAAGGAACACCAATCTCTTTAAAATGATAAAGAAAAGGTGGAATCGAATCTATTATTTCATTTTTAATAAGATCATATCTAAATACAGTCCAAAATTTATAAATTCTATCAGATATAAAATATAAATCTAAAATGTTTAAACAATTTAATATTACTAATTTAATTTAATACTGCTAACTAATATTTGTTACCTACATTGACCATCAAATTGTGGATCCTGTACAGATTCATTTTTAAATGAAATCTTTCTTTTCTGTGTGAAATTACCTCTTCTATCTAAATCTACTAAATATAATTGACTTTCATCCCATGACATTCTAGGGAAATTCCAAGCGATATATGCTAGTTTTCTACCGTCTGGGCTCAATCTTGGATTCATATAGAAATCAAATTCTGATTCCAATGTTACTAATACTCTTGTATCTAGATCCAATGACACCAGTGACTGTGTAATATTGTTTGGATTGGTGTGATCTTCACATACATAGATCACTCTATTTCTCATTGAATCGTATACACCGTCGGCATACATTTTGTTTTTGTCGAATGTCATCTGCATTGGTCGGAATCCATCGATATTTGGATAGTGTAAATATATCATCTGATCCTCTTGATTAACAAATAGAAAACTTAAAAATCTATCACAACTACATGTATGTTGTGAAACAAATGTAACTGGACCACCTCCATATGAATTTACTGCTGTAGCTGCTCCAAATCCTGAAGGTAATAAATCTCTGAAATTATTTTATTTTTAAGTTTATTAATTATTATTTGAAATTATATATTTATTTTAATTACCTTTTATTATTAAAATTATCAATTTCTACTAAAACAGATCTTCCATCTTCTGATGGTCTTCGTTCTAGCCAGTAAGCATGATCATTTGTAGGTGGATATGCCTCTGTTAATACATTAAATTTTGTACTTGAAAGATTTGCTGAAATTGGAGAATACCATGATCCATAAGGTCTATATTCCGATAAGACCGCGGTTATATTAAATATATAAATAATAAAAAATAAATATATATAATTATATAAAAGATTTTGATATATTTTCATTTTTAGATATATATTTATTAATAATATTATATTTTATAATGATACTATATAAAAAATACAAAAACAAATATAAATACTGTTTTTGTTTGAACTTGAAAATATTGGAGATAGGGAATTGAATTATATACAAATAAATATCTATTAATACGGAAAATAAATAAAAATAGAGAGTATGAGGTTGTCAAAGATGATCTCAAAATAAAAAGAATAAAGAGTCTCTCTCTTATTCTCTATATTAAATTCCTGTCTATATCTAGAGTGTTAAGAAAGATAAGAATAGAAATTAAGTTGATATTATTTTTTGTTGTTTGAGATATTATTATGATGATGATGTTGAAACAATTGGAAAGGTTGTGGTAATATTTTGATTTAAATTTGGCTGCTCGGTGTCGGGAATGGAAATTGTAGTAGAAAAGTGGTTGGAATATGAGTTCTTTTAGTAATGTTGTTTTTCTATTTATGTTATTTTTAACCATACAAAGATAAAAATGTTTTATATTTGTATATGGGAATTATATAAAAATGGAATTGGAATGAAATCAAATCAAATCAAAAACAAATCTGATCTGTTTGGATATGTGATTATTGAGTTGGTGGTATGGATGGTGGTAGTGGTTGTTTGCTGAGCTATATTTTATTATTTTTAAAAATTGTTTGTTGGAAGATAAAGTGAAGTGGTAGTGTGGTAATGCTATGTAGTAGTTGTAGTTGATATAGTTGTTGTTAATGTTGTTGGTCGTGGTAAGTATTATTATTATATTAAAGAGTGAGTTGGTATTGATGTCTTTTGTTTTTTAGTGATGTTATAGTGTTGAAGTGTGACAGGAACAAAGTAATAATTTCAAATCTAAAAAACAAGATAAATGAAGAAACACTTGAATCTAATTTTGTTTTGTTGTTGACAATAAATTAATTTAAAAAAACAATGGAACAAGCAAAAAGGAAAACGATATGATTGAATATAGTCGTTAGGGGAACAATAGAGCAATGGATTAATTAATTGGAAAAGTTGTAATTTGTTTTAGTTCGTAATCAATCGATTACTTGTTTAGTAGAATATAAATGTATAGTTGATATTTGATAAAATATAAAATTTTGAGAAACAAAACGCTTTCCCCAAGTAGTAACGGACTTTATAAAAAACTCATCCACCTGATCTTAAAGAATCAATGAAGAAGTTCTATTTCTATATTGTGTTGTTGTAGGTGGGGGTGGATTGTATTTTTCTCGTTGTCAAAAAGTAAATAATTATTATTAAAATTGGGCGATTTTATTTATATGATTATTTAAATATTTAAAATAGTGATTGGGTTAAGTTTTAATATTATTATTGTTGTTGTACTTGTAGTTGTATTCGTAGTTATTGTTGTTGCAATGATTTGTTGATTTGAACTTTTTCAGTATTTATAATCTCATAAATCCTGGATTGTTTATTGATTAATGATGATGATCAAATTTGGGGGAAGTATTAGTAGTATTACTATTTTGTCATCATCAGGTGTGTGTGGGGGCTCGTACTGGGTAATATTAAAATTGTGATAAATAAAAAATTATATTTAATTTTCTTGATGGATGATGATGTGTTGTTTGTTTTTGAAATTTTTCACTTTAAAAAAATGATATAGATAAATAAAATAAATCTATAGTTAAGTTTGGAAACAATAACAATTAATTGTTAAAGTTATTGTACAACAGAAACTTGATGATAATGACCATAATTTTATTTATAAAAAAGGCAATTTTTGATTTTTTTTATTTTTCCCTCAATATTTATTTAGAAAAAGAAATCTATTATATTGTGTATGTTGCTTGGTTTAGTTTTTGGTTGTTGTTGTTGTTGTGGTAGTGTTGTTGTTGTTGTTATAGTTATTGAAATTATTGATATTTTGAGTCTGATGGTGATGGTAATGAGGAGTAGAACAAATATTAAAATATTGGTTAATCATGATGTTAAAATATCTTTTAATCACCACGACACCCACACACCTCTCACTCTCTCTCACACTAGCAATATCGATAGCACAAAAAATAGATATAACACATGTGAAACCAAACCAAACCAAACTTTTGGTATCAAAATTTAATGGAATGGCAATACAGTCATCCTTTACCTGTCTGTTCACAATGTGATATCATAATGTTTCATTTCATTTCATAATTGAGTTGAGTTGAATTGAATTGAATTGTATTGATAATGAAATAGAATGAAACGAACTGGATATCTACTATATGAGCTGTATAACTCTGATTGGGGAAGGGGTTGAATCAAATTCTATTTCAAACAGTGGGAATAAAAGTGGATGGTTCAATCGATCAAAAGACACAATGTTTGGGCAATCAAAAAATTAAAATTTAAGTTTAAAATGTTGGAAAGTCATTAAATTCATTCATTCAAACATGTACATACAACACAGACACACAACCACACTTCCACTTGGTGGGTATTTATTAATATCTAAACGAGGAGTAAGTAACATATATATTTTTTAATATATATAAATAAATTATTTATACAATAAAATAAAATGTATAAAAAACTCACTTTCTAAAGCTTAAGATATGTTAATTTAATTGATAGTTTGTGCTCCATATGAATGTTGTGTGTCTGATTGTGTGAGTGTGAATGCTTGTGAGTGTGTGTTTGAGTGTTTAGTGCTGTTCGTGAATTGAATTAATATGAGTAAGTGGAATCAGTAGTGGTGTGGTTCACCAATGTTTAGAGATATATAATATAATATTGAAGGGGGTAACAAAATTAACATATTTAGTAAATTTGCAAAAGTTAAAGTGTGTGTTAGTGAGTGTAGAGATGGTTTACTCTTTGTTTTTAACTATTTCTATTGATAAATGGTTTATAATGTTATTATTTTTGTTGCTGTTGTTGTTGTTGTTGATTGTGATGGTGTGATGTTATATCGGAGTTTCTATAAGATATCACCCTTCTGAGTTGTGCATTCTTACATTGAATTCAACTTGGTCACACCAATGTTCATACATGCATTCATGATTGATTGATTTAATTTCAATAGATATGTTATTTAAATATAGTACAACCAATAACACCCTTCTATATATACATATAAATAATTAAATAAAAATAGTTTTTTTTTTTTTTTGTTCAAAACACACTTAACATTGTTTTTTTTTTGTTAATTTTATTTGAATAACATTGATAATCCCATCCTAAATATAATCAAAGTATTTGGTCTTCAATATATGTATGTTATTGAATAATTATGTATATTATACTTTCTAGTGATTTCAATTGAAATCTACACATTTTTTTTTTCTTTTCTTCACACCCAGAATTTTAATTAAAGATAAACAAAACAAACAAATTTAACACAATGTTATTACTTTTAAATCTACAATTAATTATATATATATCTACTATCTACTATCTATTATCTATTATCTAAACAAGGTGGAGAGTAGGAAGCGACAGAGGGACAGAGGGACGGAGGGACGGAGGGAGGAATGAAAGAGGGTTTGTCAATCAATGTTTATTGAGTATATACAAATGTTATGTTATATTATTTGTTGATATTTATAGTATATGTAGTTGACTCTCACAATAGAGTAGTTGTTGTAAATACTTTAGATAGAATATCTTATCACCCAAGAGTTGTTCAATCTGTTGCTGAATGTTTTCTTCTTTTTGTTGATCACTAAAGTTGTTACCGTTGTTATTATTGTTGTTGTTGCTGTCGGTCGTACTACCACCATTACCATTGAGACAAACAATATCTTTCATCAGTTTATAGATCGTTGTAAATGTGTCCTCTCCAAAGATACTACAACAGAAGCTATGAATAGACCAATTCATTCAATTCATTATTATTGTTATTAATATAATATCGATTTGATTCGATTGATTTAATTTTGATTCGATTCGATTCGATTGATTGGTTGGTTGGTTGATTGAATTTATTAAGGATTGATTAGAAATTACAAATAAAAAGATGTAATTTGTATATCGAATGGTTTTAGATATAATTAAATGGTAGTAGAATAAAATAAATTAGTAATCTGGCAAGTATTATAATATAATACCAAAAGAGGTAAATTGTATTGTTAACTAAATATATAATAATACATACTGTCTTAATGCATTTGTTCTTGTTTCCAATTTCTTATCTCTTAGAATTGGACTGGTAGTATTTCTTTTCTCTTTGGTATTGACTGTTGTTGAATCTGTCGTATTGGTTTGTGCAGCTGCTTCTTCCTCTTTCTGTGATGATGATGATGACGATGAATCGCTATTCAAATCCAATGATTCTACACCGCTATTCTCTAAACTATTGGTTTCAGATTGATCGGATGGTGATTGATCTGTTTCAATATTACTATTGGTATTATTATTATTATCGTTGGCAATAATACTTGGTGGTGTCAAATTATCATTACTCTCTGTAGGTTGTTTATCTTTCTTTAGTTGTAAAGTTGACTTTACAGAGCTCATCTTTTGTCTATAAGCCATCTCCTGTTGTTTAAAATCGATCTTCTGTTGCCTTGACGATGTTGGTTTCTTTAAAACTATTTCTGGTGTGCTTGGTTTGCTATATGTCGGTGCATTGAATATATTCGGAGTTGTTTGGATAGGTATCGTTGTTGTGCTGGCGGTAGTTGGTGTCTGTTTCGTTGACTTTATTGTTGATGACGATGAAGATGATAATGTTGGTGTTGATATAATTCTGCTGTTTGAATTGGATGTAGATGATGATGAGGATGTTGATGGAGTTACTCTGCCCGATGGTGTAATACGACCTGAAGGTGTAACTCTACCAGATGATGGTGTAACACGACCTGATGAAGAAAAAGATGAAGACGAGGTTGTTGTTGGTGGTGCAGGAGATACTGATGATGATGATGATGATAATGTTGTTAATCCACTTCCACTCGAAGACATTCTCAAAGATGATGATGACGTTTGTCTGTTTAATGTAGATCTTGTTGGTGCTGTGGTTGTTGAAGTCGATGATGTTGATGATGTTGATGATGACGATGACGATGATAATGATGAAATATTCGGTGTTGATAATCTTCTTGCTGGTGTGTTTGATGTCGATGTAGATGTAGATGTTGACGTTGAAGCTGATGATGGTGTGTTTGTTGGTTGAATAGATAATCTACCAGATGATGATGTTCGACTTGAACTTGATAGATTTGTTTGTCTATTACCACTAGTGTTGGTTGTAGTTGTATTTGTGTTACTATTACTTGTTGTTGTTGTTGTTTGTTGAATGGAAACAGATGGCCTTGTTGGTGGTGTATAAATAGGTTGTGTAATTGGTGCTGGTGTCGGTAATATTGATGTTTCTACGGGTTTCGATGATTTAGATACTGGAGTTGTTGGTGTTGCTTTTGTTGGTGTAACAGAGGCAACAGTTCTTTTAGAAGCTGTAGTTGGTGTTGAAGTTGGTGTTGTTGTTGTTGTTGTTGTTGTCGATGGCTTTGGAACTGGTGGTTTCAATTTAACATGATTCAACTTACTTCCACTGGTTGGTGGTGTCGCAGCTGTCTTTATACTACTCTTTGATTTAGAAATGGGTGTTGTTGGTTTGGAAATTGTTGTTGATTTGGTTGTTGGTGGTGTCTGTTTAGTTGGTGTTTTTGTAGATGCCGATTTGATAATAGACATTGGAATATTAGTAGATGTTGTTGCTGCCGTTGCTGTTGCTGTTGTTGTTAAAGGTGGTGACGATGATGATGATGATGTTGTACTATTCAATATATATGATTGTAGGAATGGTAAACTTAGAATGTCATCGATGTTTGGTCGTTTCTTTGGATCGGTTTGCAACATGAACGATATCAGTGACTTCATGTTGTCAGAGTAGATCGATGGAATCGGTGGGTAGTTGCCCTTCAATATTTTCATGACTAGAGCGGGCAGACTACCCGCATTGAATGCATGCTTCAACGTTGCCAACTCGTATAGCACACAACCGAGTGACCAGATATCGCTCTTGTGGTCATAGGGACGATCCTCGCAGATCTCCGGTGACAAATAGTACGGTGTTCCAATCACTGTTTTAGCAAACGATGTATCGCTATTCAGAATCTTTGCAATACCCATATCACCCAATTTCACTGTCAAACCACCACCACCACCACCATTTTCACCACCACTAATATTTGACAAGAATATATTTTGTGTTTTCTAAATTTAGTTATATAAAGTATCATGTTGAAAATTAATACTATTATCCTGTTTTGTTTTGTTTTGTTTTTCCAAGTTAACTTGATTAATTAATTAATTGATATCATACCAAATCACGATGTAATATATTTTTACTATTGATATACTGAACTGCCAAACAAATCTGAGTGAACCAAATCCAAATTTCCTCCTCACTAAAATATTTCTTTTGTATAGTTCTCTTTTTTATTTCCAAATGAATATCACCAGCTATTTATTGTTTTTATATTTTCGTAAAAACATATAATGTTAGTTTTAAAATTATTTAGAATTAGAAGTATATAACTTATTACCATTTGCATATTCCATTACTATATAAAGTGTACCGTTAACTAAGAAACTATCATAATATCCAATGATATGTCGATGACTAATAATAATAGATAAATGTTATGTTAGATATACAACTCAAGTTTTTGGCTATTATTTATAAAATAGGACTAAACATACTCTAACATTGATAATACATGTACTTCATTCATAGCATCGTTTCTTTCTCTTGGTGCCATCTCCATAACGTTGATCTCTTTGAGTACTAAGAGTAGACCATCTTTCTTTCTCTTTACAAGAATAGCTCTACCGAAACTACCTTTACCAATGGTCTTTATTTCCTCATAATCCTCTAGTTGCATAGTATAGATATATATAATATATAATCAAACACTATATATCTTTATATATATCGTACAACTATTGATTATACTACTTTTTTTTTTTTTAAAAATGATTACTAAATAATTAATTGATTGATTGATTTGATTGACTGATTTGATTGAATGATTTTTTTTGTTTTTTAAATAAATGAGTGTGTATGTCAGTTGTGTGTAAAAAAAAATGCGCGAATATTTATAACAATTATGTTAAATGGTTATTTTCAAATAAAATTGATTGCTTTTTTTTATTTTACTTTTTTTAAACAAACACCTTTCCAATGGTATTAATGCAGTGAAGGATCAGATGATATTTTACCATTAGAAACTATGACTATAGCCAATATTGGATGTTAGTATTTTGATTATCTATTGGAATCTCTAATCAATTCCATATCTAAATAATAACTTTAATATAACTTAATCGACTTTATTATTATTAAGCAAATGAAACGAAATAAAGCAATGTAGATATAAATTAAATGTTGTTTTTTTTTAAAATAAGTATTTTATTTTCCAATGTGTTCGATTGGAATGGGTTGTGCAATGGATGTGGAAGATGCTATCGATGCTATTGATCCTTGACCATTGAGACTATTATCGGTGTTATTCGTTAAATTATAGTTAATTAATTGTTGTTGTTGGTGCTGATAAATCGGTTGGTTGATATTTGGTTGTGATGATTGTTGTTGTTGTTGTTGTTGACTAATTACATGGTGATTTGCTGAAGTTGGTAGTGATGAAGCTGATAGTGAAAGTAGATTCTTTCTCTCACGTAGCTGACGTTGTTTTCTCTGTTGAAGACGGTCGGAGATGTGTTGACGGTAGACACGATTGAGATATCTGTACATGGCATGCACGGTGTAGATGGTACGCGGCGAGTAGATGGCGTCGAAAGCGTGATGACCACCTGGAATCTCGAGCCATGTGATATTCGGATTCTTTACGGTCTCTTTGAAGCGCTTGATGAAATAGAGTGACTCTTCCATCGGTACCAACTCATCGAAATCTCCGTGGAGAATGAAATACTGTGTCGATGTCTCCGATGGGATTTGGTCGATCGGTGAGCACATTCCATAGAGATCTGGAATCTCTTTGTAGGCAGCTGGCATGATATTCTTCCAACTCAAATAAGCTGGGAAATCAACTACGAACGTATTGTTACGGTTGGTGAAATCATAGACTGCATACATCGAGATACAAGCACGGAATGGAGGGTAACTCTTCCTTGGTTTGTTATCAACGAGTTTCAAGCTGTTCATATTGATGTTGATGGCTTGATTAGCAGTGTTTTGTTGTTCGTTATTGCTGTTACTGTTAATTTCATTGTTAAATTGATTGATGAGATTGTCGATTTGTGGTGGAAGTTGGCTGACACCTTGTGAGTTACCGGCAGCGGCACCCTTGGAAAACTCTTCGAAATCTTTTCCGTCGGTGAGTGAAGCGAGTGTTGCCAAATGTCCTCCTGCAGAACCACCAGCAATAAACATACAGTCGATGTCACCACCATAGTGGATAGCGTTTTCACGTACCCATGTGATGGCACGCTTCACATCCTGGATGTGAGTTGGGAATTTGTGGGTGGGCGACAAACGATAGCCAATCGAGAAAACGATCCATTTTTGGTTGGCCATCTGGTAGATGAATGGTAATCCAGAGTTGGCTCGGGTTCCGCTGTTCTCACGCCAACCACCACCGTGGACATAGACGAGAATGGGACGCGATGTTGGACAGGTGTTGTGGAAGTAAATGTCGATTGCCTGCAGGCTGTGTTCACCGTATGGGATGTCACGAATGCGTTGAACATTGGGAAAGTGGAGTTTCGGTAGGAAGAAAAGCATTTTGAACCAAAAACCGAAACTCAGTGGGTTTGGATCGCCGAGAGTCGATGAAGAATGTTGGTGAATCTTTTGTTTGCGGAACGACATAACGAAAGACTCGACCGCTTGGAAAGTTCGCTGTTGGAACGAACGGATTGACACTAGAATATTTGAGAAACTGAATGGTTTCTTTTGAAAATTCTGGTTGGCTGGAACACCACAAAAAGCATCCATAACACGCTTGGCTGGCGCAGCAGTTTTGAAACCACCAAAGTAGGTTTTAATGAGGAAGCAAGAACTGACAGTCATAATAAAGAGACCCAATCTTGGAATAAAATATACAAATAAATTTACTTTCCAACAAATTACAGTTATCAATGACATTAATAATACAAAGTGAAGACTTAGTTCACTACCAATAACACCTGGAATAAATCCAAATCTGACCTAAACATTTATTATTATTTTATAAGATTTACAAAGTTAATTTTCTGAAATAAATAATTATTCAAAAGATTATTATTTAGGTAACTTACAACAAATGTATTTTTAGAGAGTGGTCCTTTATTGGCACCAAAAACTGCGGCAATGGTAGCACATAGAGATAGAGATAAATAAATAAAAGAAACCATTATTCCCAAGACAAATGATACTTGGGAATATAAAAATTGTAAATCATGAATTACTGTAGGAGTACTCATGATTTGAAATATATTATATAAATAAATTAATCTTTTAAAATTAAATTTGATTTGATTGATTTGATTGGACTAATTGATTTGATTGATTAATTAATTAGTACAACCATATATATATAGTAATATTCTTTTGTTTATATTTTAAAAATTATTTTATATAAAAATATTTTATTTAAAGTATATGATGTCAAATCTAAAATGTCAATTAATTTAAATTATGACAAACACACATATATATTAAGGAGATTAGATATATGTGAGGTGTATATAGTCTATTGGTATGAATAGAGAGTAGAGTTGTGCTAATCAAAAAGAGATAGCTGTGGAGATTGTCAACAAGCTGTGGTTGAGGGAGGTTGGATAGAATACCAAAGGTGGAGAGAGAGTGAAGGTAAACAACAAAGCTAGAAATTCAATCCAAATTTTGAAATTGGATTTATATCTAACTTTATAAAGTAAAAATATTTCAAAACACACAACACACTCGTTTTTTTTTATGATAAATTGATTCTTATCTCTCGGTGTGTATATGTGCGTGTGTGGTTAATGGTGAATTTAGTGAGTGAGTGATGTTGATGACAAACAAAATATATTTATTTATAAAAAAAAAAAAGATAGGATTTGCAAGAGAAACACAACAAACACTATAATAATATTGTGAAGTTAAAATAAATAAATGATTCAATATAATAATATATTGAATTGACCGTCTGTCTGTCAAATCTTTCGATTCTCTTTCTATCTAATCAGCTATAAGTAAAAAAATTGAAATTGAACACAAATCTATTCAAATCAATTGATTTAATATTGTTATATATATAGATAGTTTTAAGATATCTATTAGATTGTTTATATTATTCAAATAAAAAGAAATAATATAACAAAATTTGATAATATTTTATTTATTAAATTATGTTTTTTTTTTTGATAATATCTTTTCTTTTAACTATAGATAAATACAGATAATATTATCTTTAATAGACAGGTTATTGAACTAAAATAGTGTAGAATAGAAATGATTTAATGTTGTTTGCTCATTTTTTAAACAGCATGTTTGTTGGAGGAGCTGATGAAACACTCCTCATTAATGGATATTTTTGGCTGATGATCATCGGAAGAGTTGTTGGAAAGAGTAAAGTTGAGAACTTTGTATTTGTTGATTTTTTTTGTTTTTTGTGTGGGTTTTTTTTGATCAAAATTATGAAACTTTTTTACACTTTTCAGATCTGAAAGGGGTAACATTTGAGGTGATTTTGGTTCAAAACCTTAGAAAAAATGGATTTTTTCATTTTTTTTCTCATTTCGAAAAGTTTAATTAACTTGTTGATACCTGGTTTTCAATGGAAGTGCACTTTTGCATAAAACCCGAAAGCCTCCATATTTACATGAAACACAACCCATCTATTTTTTTTCACTACAATAATAACTTTCCAACTACCTTTTCCATTTTATTTGATTGTTTTTTTTTTTTTGATTTTAGTAAATAATCCATCATTATCATCCATTAAATCTAAACAATCTTTGTTTAATTAGATTCTTTTTTTTTAAAAAACAACAACAACAATTGAAACATTGTTCCAGGACAAAGATCTATAGAACCTCTGAATATTTCCTATTTAAAAATTTTAATCGTTTTATTCTAATTTCCGAAAATAAAATAAACTTATATATTTATAAATAATAATAAAACAAGATCTGGGAAGTTAGTTAAATTTAGTAATCGTCTGGGTAAAAATATTACAACTAAATGTTTGAATAAAATTCCAAAGAAAATTATCATTGCATTGTTATTGTAAAAGGTAATGGATAAAATTGTTTTGTTGATAATATTTTAACATTGGTTTACATTTATAACCAATTTATAATATATAAGTTGACTAAGAATATAATTGAATCTAAATACAAAGAATCAAATTGACCGATTTTTTAAATTATTTGATATATGTCATTTTATTTTATTTTATTTTATTTTTTGGGGCAATTATAATTATAATGGATGAATGAGTGAAGTGGTTTGTTTTTTATTCGTAGATCAATTCTTCCTCTTGCTCGTCTTCAATCATACTCTTGACTTTGTGGGCTGGCTTGGAGGTTGGAGTGGCAACGGTTGGTGTATTTTGTTGTAATAGTAGTTCGCTCTTGGCAGCTTCCTTGGCCTTGAGATCCTTCTTCTTCTTACCTTGCACCTTCTTCAAACGATAAAACTCCTCTCTTTCAGACTCGTCCAACTCTGTAATAATATAATTGATTGTATTTTCAAGACGTGGCTTCACTACAAACTCAATGGCATTGACACGTCTGTTGGTGATCTTGATAACCTCGTCCAATGTAATGAAAGCGGTTTGCAACGACGCCAACACAATCAATGCTTCCAAAGCTTTAACATGTGATTCTCTTGATTTTCCAATTTGTTGACCACCCTTTGACAGACCTGTCAACTCTTGAGCTATAATTGGATTTTATAAAAAAAGAAAAAGAAAAAATAAAAAAGAAAAAAGAAAATAAAGAAATAAAAAGATTATTATTAGATATCTAATCTTAAGATATATTATATAAATAGATCTACACAAAGTTTTCTTAACATACAATTACTGACGGCACTTTCAGAGACCTTTTCAAAAGTTGGCAAATGGACACCAGCAACATTTTCAGTTTGCATCTTTACAACGATGGTTGGATTGGTAACATTTTCTATAACGGAATTACTGAATTCACCGGCGGCATACTTGGCAGCTGCAAGTGAGAACGATGCTTCTCTCATAGTAGCACCCATCATTTGTTTATTCTAAACGATAATAACGTTTGATTATATTAATAAACACACTTATTTTTTTATAAAAAAAGAAAATCTGATTGTTATCCAAAACAATCTTTAATAATAGCAAGTGGATCTGAGATACTATACCTCTACAATGTTAGCTAGAATCTTTCTGAAACGGATGGTCAAGGCATCACTCTTCTTTTTCAAGAGTGAATGTCCTGTAATGGCACCTTTTAATTTTGACTTCATATTAGTCAATGCCCTATTTATTATTTGATATTAATATAGAATTAGTAAATCCCTATCTTATGAGATCAAAATGGATATAATATCACAAAACAAATCACAAATAATCGATTCATTTATTTATATCTCTTCATCTAATCTGTATCCAAACTAATCTAATCTATATTGTCTTATCTCTTCTCTTCAATCTTATCTTTTGAATCTTGAAAATGAAGAGTTGCTGTACATGTGTTCCAACTTGTTTATTTGTCTGATCGACTGATCGATTGATTGATTTGCCTGTGATATTATTATATGTGATATTATTATATTATTGATATTGAAAACATACATTCTAGTTGGAAAGATATTCAATCTATTCTTTCCTGACATTCTTTTATATTGTTTGGTTTTGAGGTGGTAACTGTTTTACTCAATTACTGCTACTCCTCTATATAGATAAACAAATTAAAAAAGAATACTAGAATACAAATATATATATATAATGATTGAATAAAAATACAATTAAATAATTATAATTATAACTAAATAAATTGTAATTTTATTTTAAATAGTTTTTGTTTTGTTTTTTTTTTTGTTTTATTTTAGGTCAAACAAAAAAATTTTTATTAATGACCTTGATATGGTGTAAGCGAAATGAAATGAGAGAATTCTATTGTCGACAGCAACAAAGAAAAAAAAAAAAAACAAGGATCAAATTCAATATCTAATTTTTGTTATTTTTTTTATTTTTTGTTTTTCACCAGTCCTCAAAATAAAAAAATATTAAAGTGTGAGACAGAATTTTCTCTTTACCAGGCGGAATGAACTTTTATGCAAAAAAAAAAAAACAAACACTTTGTCAAACTTTATGTTCTGTTCAAGTGCTTGATATTTTAATAACGTTACAAATATTTGACATTTATAATGAAATAATGATCTATCAGTCAAATCAGTCAGGTGTGATATAAATTAAATTTAAAATGATAAGAATTTAATTAATTAAACAAATTGTTAAGATTAGATCTATCTGTACAAAAAAATGTTGTTTATTTATTTTTTATGAGGTATATATATATAACAAATATAATGTTGTTGATGTTATAAATTGAATTTGATTTTATGATGATGTTACAAGTTATAAATCATAATTGGCAATTAAACTTTCGTTTTCTATGTTATCTTGTTTTTTGGTGCATTTCTTGAAGGACGACGGTAGTTTAGGACATTTGATTGGACGTAGACAGTGACAACAGCAACATTTTCTTAGTTTCTTTCGGAACTCGGGTGAGGTTGCACAAGCAAATATACAGATGGAGCTGGTTACGACGAATGAGATGCAACCGGCGATAATTGTGATTTTCCAGACCATGTGGAAGTTGCAGTGCGGTCCAAAGTAGCCGGACTTGCACTGTGAGCAGTCGTCTCCAAAGTAACCGGTGCCGTCGAAGCACAGACAGCTGCCATCGTCTTGACAATCGCCATGTCCCGAACAAGTATCATCGGCATTACAATATACTGTACACTCGCCAGCCGGATAGTAGTCAATCATACACTGACAGCTATCGGTTGTACAAGTGGTATTCTGCGAACACAGCTCAATACATTTCGAATCGGAAATCTTTAATATTACATTCTGTTCGAGCTTGTTTGTCTCGTTGTTGTTGTTCGAATCATAGAGATTGGATGTAATCGCCATGATTGCACTCTGTGCATTCGAGAGTTTGCATGCGTATGCCAATCCAGTTTGATTATCGTTAGCCTGGAAAGCAAGTGTCTTTACTGTTGCATGCGATGTATCCACCAAGTAGATAGCATCGGGACTGCATATATAGAAGCTACTCTCACCGGACAGAGTAATATCTAAAATCGATACAACTTGTTTCGATAGTGACCATCTAATATTGTAATAGGGTGTAGTTAAAACACCAAGATAAGAAACAACTTTGTCGTCATAGTTGAAGGAGAGTGTTACAACGAATTCCTTTGGGTTCGACAGCAGTGCACTGAATTGAATGTTTGAGCAAACCAGCTGTTGATCTTGATCGTCGAATAGTGTTACCGCTCGCATCTGGTGGAGGTTGAGTAGTCCGTAAATTTGCAGTTGTATCGACGATGTGTTGCTCGAGCAGACGAGCATCGCTATGAAGTTGTCGTAGCGGGTGACGACCGCGCGTTCCGCTCTCACCAGCGAGTCACCTTCGTTCAGAGTGAAGTTGGTATAGCTCGAGTCGTTCGCCATCACATAGACAGTACCGAGATCGTAGTCTACCAACACCAGAGGATGTCCACTATCGATGCCCGACGACAGCACCACTCGATAATGACCGACAGTTTCCACTGGCAACTGAATCACCGATTCAACGGCGCCATCTTTCAAACCATACAAAACAATAGTATCATTCTCACACAGCATATACAACTTTTCATAAATATACTGAGGTGGAGAAGCTGTCTTTACACCACCGCAATTCGTACTATCAATGGACCAAATTGCGTTACCTGTATTAATACTTTTTTTTTTTGTAACGTCGACCGCGGTCGTTTAGTATCTCTATTGAATTAATTAATTAATGATGATATAACTAACTTACTTTAATAATGATAAAATGAATTGATTGTTATCATAGATTACAAGTTTATTGGTATCTATTATTAGGAGTGAAAGTGAGCTGTTTGCAGAGAAGCGAATGTCAGAGTAGAAGCTGGAGATGAGTGTTGTGTTGTAGGTGTATCTGCTTAGTGTGTAATCGTTGGTTTGTTCGTTGTATGTCGGTAATATATAGGATTGATCTGAGAGGATAACAATATTGTAGTCCAATGATGAATTGTCCAGTCTCTGCCACATCGTCCATTCTAGATCGTTCACAATCGGTGTTATACTGGCGCCACACGAACTATGATAAGGGTCATGATACACCGATGTCCAGTTCGTCAGATAATCACCACTGACATGATTGATAATAATAAAATATGAAAATAACAACAATATATATCTAAACATCTTTCTCTATATATCTAATCTTTTATATGTTTCTCTCTAATCTTTTTTCTCAAATATATGTAGTATGATCTTAAGAGGAGTTGGTTGTTTTTTCTTTTAATATTATATTATTAAACAAAATTTTTGAAAATAAACAAAATAAAATAGAATAAAATAAAATAAAATTAATTATGTTTATTTAAAGATTATTTTATTTCTGTTCATTCATTCATTCATTATTATTATTATTAAATATAATGATGATATAACTAACTAATACTAATACTAATACCAATAACCAAAGGATATGATTTTTCGCGAAATTAAAAAACATGTTTGAATTTATTTTATCCACCAGGTTAACATTTGTTTTTTTTACAAAGTCAGAAAACTGGTAAGATCGTTAAAATCCTGGTTAAGTCTCATTCTTGTTAAAGTTGTTGTCCGCTGATCATTTTATTTTATTGCCTAAATCTTGTCTGTTGATTTTTTAACTCAAACATATTTTGAAGTTCTTTATAAACTTTATTCAATACATTTGTTTGGAATAATATTAATATTCATTCATTCATATTTATTTATTAAATTTAAATAAATTAGATGTAGAGGTTCATTTAATAAAGTTAATATTAGTTCAAGATTAATTTTGGTCAGTTCGAACTGAATTGTGTTTGTTTTGTGTGAAGTGAGTTGTGTGTTTTAGAAAAATAAATAAATAGTTTTTATGACAATCAATGATGAGTTTAAAAATATAAAGAAATGAGCACAGAAAGAATGAAATAATATTAGATACAATATATATTTATAAATAATAATAATTTATATAAATTAGAATAAAGTTGAATCTATAAAAGTTTTTGTAAATTAGAAATAATAAAAGTAAATTGGCAATGAAACTAGTTATCATATTATTAGTAATATCATTGATTTTAGGAGTGTCTACGGGAGTAAGACTCTCAAAAATAACCACAGAATGTAGTAAGAGGTGCAGAGAAATCTTTCCAAAATGTGTATCCATCGATAGTCTGCCATTAAGTTCAGTTACGAGATTAAAGATTCCATGTAAAGAAGATCTAGACAATTGTTTATATGTTTGCAATAATCCTAATTTCAAAGTATTGCCATTGTATTTAAAATAAATATCAATTATCAACTATAAACTAAAAATTGAAAAATAAAGGAAATAAATAATAATAAAGTAATTATTTTTAATTTAAATAGTTTTTCAAAAAAAATAGAATTTTTTTTTTTAATTAAAAACCGAACGAATCATAATCATTTAATTTGATTTTATTTTATTTTAAATCTATATTTATATTTATATTAAAATGTCAACAACAACAACAAAGATAAATAATAAAAAGAAGGTAGCTGTTGTTGTAGCACCACAACAAAAACAACAAGATAATAAACCTTTAAAATCAATTTTAAAGAAACCTGAAGTTGTTCAACCATCTGTACAAATCAATAAGAAGAATAACAATAATAATAATAATAATATTAATAAGAATAAACAAATTAGTAAAAATAAGAAAGTTGTTGAAGAAGAAGTCGAAGAAGAAGAGGAGGATGAAGATGAAGTAGAGGAAGAGGTTGAATCTGATGATGAAGAATTAGAAGATGATGAAGAATTGGAGGAATTAGAGGATGATGAAGAAGTTGAATCTGATGAATCTGAAGAAGAAGATGGTGAAAGAGTTACAGAATTAGTTACAGTTGGATGTTATGAAAATTCAATATTTGGATACGAAGCTATTCTCTTGTCGGATTACCCAGAGATGAAACATCCGGAAGGACTGGAGGTACATTTCGAAAAGTTGTTTGCATACGCCTCACATACCGGTTGTGTAAAGGCAGTGGGATCGGGTGGACCGTTCATGGTAAGCTCTTCGACTGACGAGACAATGAAGGTCTATCGTTTGGACAAGCGTGAGGAGTTTGGAACACTCTCGAAACACGAGGGATTCATTACCGACCTCCAGTTCTTCAATGACACTCATATGGTGGCGGCGTCACGTGACCATACCCTGAGTGTTTGGCGTGTACGCGACTGGGAGTGTCTCAAACAGCTAAAGGGACACAAGGACTGTGTCAACTCGGTATCGATTCATCCCTCTGGAAAGGTGGCGTTGTCCGTCGGCAAGGACCGTCGTATCTTCCTCTGGGACATGTTGCGTGGTGTCGCCGCACACTACCAGAAACTCCCAAAGGAAGGACTGCTTGTGGAGTGGTCACCAGCTGGCGATAGCTATGCCGTGGTGTTTGCCGACCGGCTTGTACTCTACACAGCGGAAAGCAAGGAGAAGTTTTCGTTTGACTTCAAACAGCAGTTGCTAGCGATCAAGTATATCGACGAGGAGTTACTCGCGGTTGGCGGTGAGGACAAGACAATTAGCATCGTCAACCACAAGACTGGAAAGATCGTTAAGCAGTTGGAGGGTAGCGAGACAAGAATCAAGGGATTGGAGTTGCTCAGATTCAAGAGTAGAGAGAGTCAATCGTTGACTCCCTACGTGGTGTCGATCAGTTCCGACGGTTTGATGACCGTTTGGAATGTCGACTTGGAGTTCCCGGTTGGCATGGCAGAGACAGATGCAAGACTTACCTGTATAACAGTATCAAAGATCAGAGATAACGATAGAGTTGTTGCAAATGATGATGATGATGATGTTGATGAGCAAGACGATGTTGACGAAGCGGAAGGAGATGTTGCTATGAATGAAGAAGAGGACACTGGTGAAAGACTACAGGTTGACGTAGAGTATGAGGATGAGAATGGTCAACTCAAAGGTAAAAAGAATAAGAAGCAACAGGCAAGAGCAAATAGAAAGAATCAAAAGAATAAACAACAAAAACAACAACAACAACAACAACAAAAAAATACAACATCAACTTCACCTTTAACAACAACCAAAAAAGAGGTACCAAAGAAACAATTCACAAAGAAACCATTCACAAAGAAGCCAAACCAACCAATTAAATCAAAAAAGTAAACCAAAAATATATATTTTAATAAATTAAACTCTATAACATAGATCATATATGATCTTTAAAGTATAAAAAGTGAATAATTTATCTTTCTTAGTATTACTTAAATAGATGTATTTTATTAATTTTATTAAAATACTTTATGTTGCTGTAGCTCTAAGTTTAGATGTGATTGTTGTTTCATTCACATTTGTGAATGACTATGAAATTGATTGTTCGCTTAATTTAAGATTATATGATATAAATAATAATCATTATTGTTGCTGTTGCTGTTGTTGTTGTTGTTGTTGTTGTTGTTTTTCTAATTCTCTTTTTTTAATACGATCTCTAGCAAGATCTTCAATAGCTTGTTGTTGTTCTATCTTTTTTACTTTATGATATTTAATGTATTCATCTAAATATGAGTCACAATTGATGTATTGTTAGTAAGTTATTGATTTGGTCGGTAATTATAATTATAATAAATACTTACAATAACCACCAGATAGATATTTATCGAGTGCATAGAATGATATTCCTAACACAGTAAATGATGTAATATAAAACAATGGTGTTCTAGGTTGAATCTTGACCATATTTAATTAAAGTTATAGTACTAATATGATTATTATTATTGATTACACAGTAAATGATGTAATATAAAAAATAAAAAATAAAAAAAAATTGTGGACGAAAGTTTCGTTTTTTCACATTACTAATAATGATCATCATTTTGTCATAGTTTTATACTACCATTAGTCAATATAACTATGTTAAATGAAAAAAAGTAATAATGATAATACTAATCTAATATCTATAAATATCAAAGCAGTGAAAAAGTAGGATTTTTAAATCTTCCTATTATACCTTAATCTAATATTTTGACTTTTTATTATTTGTTATTCATTTTTTTAATTAAAGTTAATATTAGATGTATATTAAATTGTTATTATATTTTTAAATAAATATTTAGTTATCTCTAATCGATTTAATCAATATTTTTTTTTAAATTTAAAAAGTTCCCGCTCTTTTCCAAAATTTTTTTAATATCAACAAAAAATGTCTTTTATTCGAATATTTTTTAATCTCTATTGAAAAAATAATCGAATACCTATAGTTATATCACAAATATAATTGTAAAGAAAAAGAAAGATGAGTGGAAAATCAAAAGTATTAGTTGTTTTTCCTTCTCAACCAGAATCAAATAAATCTTTAATTCTATTTCATCCAATAAAAGTGTATGTTTTTTTGAAGATTCAAAAGAAAGATGAATGACGATTGTTATTAACAAATTATTGATTTGCTACTTAATATATATTTATAGTTCATATTTAATTAGTTGTAGTTCAAATTCAAATGATATCAAAATATATAATGTGGTGAATGAGAAATCCACTGATTTAGCTCCTGTTGAGGTAAAGAGTCATCATAGTTCACCGGTAACCAGTGTTGCCATATCGCCAAAAGGTGATTATCTAGCCAGTTCGTCATTGGACAAAACTATTGTTCTCTTTACCAGTGAATCACTCTCCAAACAAACACAGGAGTCAAAAACCATTACTTTTTCAAATGTCATCACCTATGTAACATTCAGTCCAACTGGTTCCTATCTGGCTGCTGCGACCAAGTAATTATTATTTTATTATTTTTCCTGGAAAATTTCAATATTAAAAATATTTTTTTAGTGATAATATTAGATTGATAAATATGATGGATCATTCTCAGATTATTACTTTTAAAGCACATGATGGAATGATTCAATCGATTAACTACTCACCGAATGGCAATTATTTGGTATCGATTGGCAGTGACGATGGTATGTTGAAGATTTGGTCGATTTCACAGGTTTCAGAAGATAGTGTTGAACCGGTGTTTGAAATGGAGTTGAGTAGCAACGGTGGTGATGCTGCCAAAACAATGGTGTCGTGGAAGCCAGACAGCACTGCTCTCTCCTACACAGAGTCACAGACAGTCGTGAGTCTTACAGAGAAAGACGGTTGGCAGAACAACACTGTCTTTGAGCAGAATGGACATACCAGAGATACCAATGGCGTTGCATGGTCGCCAAATGGCAAGTATTTGGCATCCAGTGGACAAGACAAATACATTATGATATGGGATCCAGTTTCATTGGAAACCGTCAATGATTTCAAACATCAAAATAATATTTGTAATCTTTCATGGAGAAATGATGGAAATTGTCTTGCTTTTGTAAGTTTTTTATTATTATTATAATTATATTGGAAAATATAATTATTAATTTAGATTTTTTTTAAATAATTACAAAATAGATTGATTCAAAAGGACAGATTGGTGTTTGTTGGAATATTATACCAAGTAATTTGGCATCACCAACTGCTGGTGCTGTCAAATCAAATTCACAAATGTTGAGTGAAATGTTTGATAGTCCGGATGTAGCCGAAGCTGACGACACCCCATCAAAGTCAAACAAAAAGAAAAAGTCGAGTTCACAAGATATCGATTTGGAGGTCGAAGAGGAATTATCAGATTTCGATATGGATGATGATTTTATTGATGATGAGGAGCAGCAACCACAAACTACATCGAAAAAGATGGATAAAAAATCATTGGTCTCTTCACTTTCGAAATCGAGCTACTCATCGGTTTACAAGTCGTTCCAACCTGGATCCACTTATGGCGAGAGAAAACCAAGATATTTCTTGGCACTCAATATGATTGGAATGATTATTAAGCGAGAGGATGAGAGTTCCTCGAAATCGGGTGGATCGATCGAAATTGAATTCAACGAAGTTTCATTCCATAGAAAAATTACATTCATCGATAACAATCAATTCGATTTGGCGTCACTTGGCAAATCTGGAGCGGTGTTTGCTTCCACCAAAGTGCCAACACTCTATTTCAAGCCGTTCGACTCGATTGGCCAGAATTCAGATTGGAGCTACCAGGTCAGTGAGAATGATAAGGTAATCGGTGTGTCGATTGGCAGCAAATACATTGTGGCGTGCACCAAACAGAGAACTCTGAGAATTTTTACATTGAGTGGATTGCAACTGACTGTTATGTCGCTGTGCGGCGATCTCATTACAATGTCACAGAGTTTCGATGACCGACTGGCTGTTGTCTATTCCAATGGTGGCAGTCTGCGTGTACTCTATTTGAATCTGAACGATGGCAATCAAATCTATCACAGTGATTTGGCCATATCGCCAGTGTCCACCCTTACATGGATTGGTTTCTCCGATGCCAATGACGGACAGCTCACAACCGTAGACTCGAATGGCATAGTCAGGGGTCTGATGTCTTTGTGGCCAACTAAAAATTCACCATTACAATGGAGTCCAATTAAGGATCTCAAGAGTGTTTCAAAGACAAGTAGTAGTGTCACCTATTGGGTAGTTGGATTAAATGATAAGAGTATTTATTGTATTTTATGTGAAGTAAGTTATCAAAATATATATTAGTAGATCTTTCAAAACCAAATTGTTAAATTTGTAACTAATTTCATCATTTTTTTTTCAGAATCAACCACAAACTGTTCCAAGACCAAGTTTATCACCAATTCCAATTTCACCTATTTTGCTTACACCTGAGAATCCAAATAATTTATCACTTGAAGAAAAGTATGTAATCATTGACTGTAATCTTTTTTTTTTTTTAACTTATCAATTAATAATTATGTTTTTTATTATTTAAAATAGTTTCTATAAAGCTAAACAGGCATTTAGTAATTTTGTACAGACTGATCAATTTGAAAATAATGAAACTTTGACAAAACAACAAACTTTGTTTGATTCTGATATTCTAAGACTTTTCAAGGTAAAAAAAATAATATAATTAAAAAATTAAATTTAAACAAGTAAAACTAAATTATTATTACTTTTTAATTTATTTAGAATTCTTTGGAAGATGGAAATGTTCAGAGATGTTATGAACTATGTCAACTATTACAATTTAAGAAATCCTTAAGCATTGCCATTAAGTTGGCCAATGATAAGAAATCAATTGCTATTTCATCAAAGATTGTAACTATTATGGATAAATTCAATGTAACTGCTGCACCAACACCTTCAAATTCTTTACCATCATCTCAAACCACTGTGACATCTCAAGAGACTAAATCCACTGTTATTGAAGTGTAAATATACATTTTTAAAATCACATAATAACTCTGTTGATACTAATTTTATTTAATAGTGAGTCACCAAAACAAAAATCAAATACAACATCTCCAAAGATTTCATCATCATCATCCTCATCATCCAGCTCATCTGGTCTTTCAAAGTTATTGAGTGCCAACACATCGACATCATCAACAACCGCAACAAAAAAGAAAAGTGTATTGCCATTCCCAAAAGTTGAAGTCGGAAAGGATAACAAAAAAAGAAAGGATATTGATGAAGCCGATGGTAAACCACTAAAGCAAGCAAAGAAATAGTTTAATAAATAATAATAAATAAATAAATATTTTATTTCACAATATAATAAATTATAATTTCTCTTGAATCTAATTATTGTAATTCAAAGGAATCTACTAGAGTTAGAATATGTGGAGTTAACACATGAGACAGATCATAGATTAAAAATGGAATTGCCATCGAGACCTCTTCAGATAGTAGACGATTGGAAACGATCCAACCCAAATCATCTTGAATCTTGACAAGCGTATCTAGCAGTACCAGTCTAGATAGAATTGGTTGTCTAATAATATCAGTCTTCGATAGAAGAAGATCCTCCAACATCTTATACTCTAAATGAGCAGTGGCAACATTGACAGCGAGCGAACCGCACTTATGAAGAGCCTGTATTTGATTTTCCTTTGGGATCTTCTCCAACGAGCAACCTTCGTTGGAAACAATCATTTGTTTCAATGAGTTACATTTTACCATTGCTCTTTGTCTTAATAGTTCGACAAGATTCACGTGATGCAAAAGATAGTTGGATGGGTCGTCGTGGATGACGAAAGAGTTGTTTGGTGGTGAGGAAAGTGGAGGTAAATGAAGAATAAATTGTGAAACATGAATGAGTTGATTAATTTTATCACCATGGATGATATCAATATCGTTTCTACCAAGGTAACTCTTGCAGTCCATCATGGTATTGACCGAGTGTCTCGAGTAGAGAGCCTTTAGACCAACACAAAAAGGTCTACAATAGAAAGGAGGCGACTCTGGTCGCTGGAAAAAGCCGGCCAATGTTTTATTGTAGAGATCAAACATGATAGTCTTGGACATGGAGGACAGCAGTTTAGTTTGGATATTTGGATTGCTCAACTTATTGGCGCTATGAAGGTAGTGAGTGGTTTCATAGAGATTCTTTCTTACTTGGAGAGGGAAACTTTCCTTGAACTCTCTGTAGCGAATAGGACAGATAGTTTGTTTCAGCAGTGACTTGTCAACATTGGAAAATGGTAACAATGGATTATCAATTGATTTGGCAGCTACTTTGTTGGAAACTAAATTATCATCTGGAATCAAATGACCTTGAATCTAAAAGAAAGAAAGAGAGAGTGTTAGAAAACAGATTTTATGATATTTCTTTTAGCAATAACTATTTACATTTTCAATTCTAAGAATAAATTTATTTTGATTATTAACATGACCATCTTGTTGGACACATTGATTAAAATATTCGGTCATCATTTTTAAATGATTAAATAGTTTTATAGTTTTTAAGAAAATAAATATATTATTAACTATTTAAATATTGATGATGATGATGATGATGATGGTGATTTAAGAAGATGTATTATATTTATAATTTGGTTTTAAAATATATCCTAATTTATGTTGGTATGAGCTTGCAAATGGTTAGTGATAATGATGATGATGATGTTGCTGCTGATGTAATGGGCATCCTTTGTTGATAAAGTGACACATTTCATTCAAATTAGATATACTCGGTTGTGACATATGACTAGTGTGTTTGTGTGCTACTATTTCACATCTGTAGAGTGTAGTAGAATTAGCTGTCACCAAAGTACTAGTAGTGTTTGTTTTTAATGATTTATTATTATAAGTAGTATTTTTAAGTATGGTTTGATTGTGAACTCAATGGGTTATTCTTGTTTATCATGCAAAGACTGAATACTTTGTTATCTGAAATGATGTTTTGTTAAAATGATTGTATATTATCATATAGTAAAGGATATATGAGCCACACCATTTGCTCTCCATTTTTTTGTTTTTAAATAATATGGAGTTTCAATATATATTAATTAATAAACAAACAAACAAGTTGTGGTTGTTGTTGTTGTTATTATTGTTATTATCGTTGTTTTGTAGTCCTATATCTATAAGGATTGATTAATTTAATACTATTTTTCTTTTTGAAGTGGTTTGTTATTTTAAAATTGTTATTGTTCACATATATAAAAGAATGTCTTTGACTTTATGTTTAGTCGTTTAATTTAATTATTTATTGGTGGTTCTTTGTTGTTTAGTTTCCTGGTGGTATTTAATAGTAACAATAAAGAGTGAATATATATAAACATATATAAACCCACTTAAAAGTCGATCAAAAAAACACATTTTTAAACACAACCCTTCCTTTTAAATATGAAGTGGTTTTGTGTGTTTACAGTTATATAAACACTCTTGATTGTTTAAAAGTAGATAAACTTAAGTTTAGATTTAATATGGTTTTGACTTTTGATATAACATACTCGAAGCTATTCATTTTTTTTTATTTTTTAATACAAGTAGTACAATCAAATTAAAAGTAAATTATACTTTAAAAAATATATGTTCATATACAATCTTTACTGTTTTGTAAAGATCATGATCCAAATTACTGTTGATGATGTAGCAGTATCATGATTAACCCTTTTAAAATGATTTTATGTAAAAAATATTATTATTGATCAAATTCCTGAACAAAAATAAATAAATTAAAAAAAAATATATTAAAATTTTCAAATAAAATCAATATTTAATTAATTATATTTATTAAAGTAGTTTGTAGTAACTTTAACTTTTCTTTAGAATAATAGAAGTTTTATTGTTAGTTTTAATAGAAAGGATTAGGTGTGGTATTATTTCCCATTTTTTTGAGAAACTTTAAAGTTGATAAATAAGTTTTCTGTTAAAGTATTTTTTAATAAATCATGATTGTTTGTATGGATTAAAATTAGGTCTTGTATTTTTGATATTTTGATAAACAAATTGTAATATAAAGATTGATTTTATTTATGACGGTTTTGTCGGTTGGATTATTTGATGACTTCGTGGTATTTGGTTAATGTGGTGAATAGTGAAAAGTGGGTGGGCACTAATGTCCAAGTCCACTAGAGGTGAATGTGTTTGTTACCAAAATGTCGGTTATAACTGCTTACAAAGTCAAAGTGATAAATATCTAAACTACAAGTCTACAAGGACCTGTGTTTTAATTAAATATCGTTTTTTTTGATAAAGTTCAAACCATATAAAAAACCATCGAAATTGATGAAGTTAACTTAAGTCAAATAAATAAAAGTTTACCACATCTTATCAATTCACACTCACACACAGCAATTGATCATCAAAATACTATATTACTTAAAGTTAGTTTATTTTAATTAAAAACAGTTTTAGATAGTTTGTTATTGATTTTATCGTTGATAATGATGATGATTGCAATGACTATGGTGAAAAATTGGTGATTGTGGTTATTGGGGGTCAACCCTATATTAGACCAAACATATCAGACTTAAAAAACCAATTGGTGTGTTCCCTACCCCCAATTTTTAATGATGATTGCAATGACTCACAGCTCATACTAGAACCCTACTATTTTTTTGCAATTCATCATGATTGTCTGTGTGGTTTTTTGTGATTTTTTCAAAACAACTGACTTTTTTTTTTTTTAATTTCCCAAAAAGGTTGGACCTATTACTTTTTTGGAATTCAATCGAATTCATAGAAGCAAATTTTTGTTTGAAATTGCTTATTTTGAATATTTGGACTTTAAATTTTAATTTATTTTTATTTTAATTTATTTTTTTCGATTTCGATGAGTGTTCTTTTTTTTTTTTTTTAAATGATTTTAGAAAATCAAGAAGACTTCACACCCCTCCTCATCTATCGATCCTAGGACATAGTACAGAATCTGGTTTTTAATTTAATCATTGAACAGATGAGTGAAACAGCAATATATTAAAAAATTAATTAAAATTTTTTTTTCTTTTTAAAATAATAAAACCTTTAGGTAATCAATTCATAAATCATAATCAAAAATTTCTTAAAAAATCTGTATATTTGTATACTTATAATTTGTATATATTAATTTATTCATTGTAAATATTTTTATTATTTTAATTCAAAAATTAATTAAAAACATAAGTAAGTAAATTTTCAATACCAATAAGATCAAATACCAAAAACAATATTTTTTTAAAAAAACCAGGAAATAGTAATAATTTAAATAATAATAAACAACCCAATCAAAATAAATTTTTGTGAATTAATCAATCAATCAATCAATCAATTTGGTTGGAAATTGTGTATTTCCGCTACTTAATATTGATACTTATTTTGTTGTGCATATGACTCGTAAATCAAAATATTATGTTCGGTTGTTATTAAAAAATAAAATCTGTTAGTTCGTTGCAATAATTAAAAGTGTGTGGGTGTGTTTGATGATGTATTTATTAATTAATTAAAAAAACAATTAAAAAAACCACCCACTAATACTTTAAAATCACATCAAAAATACAAACCACAATTAATATGACGTCAAAATCCGATCTACTTTTCCTTCATCCTTCACCCAAAATCAATGCAAAGTATTGTACAGTTCAACAATAAAACAATAAATTCTGTTTTCGGTCAAAAATAAACAGAGTGGTTTAGTTTTTGTTCAGTTAATAAATATATAAATATTTAAATTTATAATAGATTGATGAATCATAGAATCGCCATTTTTGATTGAATAGATTATAAAAATAAAATTATAATTATAATTCAACATCAACATATTCAATCATCATCATCATCATTATCATCATTCAATCATATTCATAATTTCATACCTTTGTTGTTCTTTTGTTTCTTAAAAAGTTTTAATTACTCTCCATGGTAAGATATTTTAACAAAAAATAACATATTATGTTTGTTTGGTGGTATCGTGATTAAAAATAGAAATAGAAGTAACAAGTAATTAGAATATTTAAATCTACTTCTTATATGTTTGTGGTTGATTAACTTATGTCAACAAATCAATCCATCAATAATTTAACATCACCAATGTGAAATAGTTTAATGTTTATCATTATAAAAATGTTGGAGTTAACCAACAATGATAGATAGATCTACCATTATGTTGCTTTGAAATTTGGAATTTAACACCACTACATCATCATCATCATCGTATTATTCAATTTAAAGTTAATCAACTTTTAAACTTTTAAATTTTAAACAAACAAACAAACAAAATAAATAATTAATATCCTTACATCTATAAACAACAAATAGACGAATAATGAATTGATTCGTCTGTACATAACACAAATATTATTATGATGATGATGATGATGATTGTTTAAATTAATATTTATACTTAATTTGTTAAAGGTGTTTGTTGTTTCATTGTTGACCTCTTTTATACATTTAGATATCAACACAACAAATGATTTCAACCAATACATTCATTGTCACTGATAACACTACCACATCACCCCCCTATTAATTTTCATTTCAAATCAAAATCAGACGAATTAAAAACAAACACAAAACAAACAACCACACCCCACACCAGAATTACTAAATAAGAATGACAATAACATTTATAACTAAACCCAATGGGTATAACTTAAGACACTTGACACCTCACTCAAAGAGAATTGTGGAAAAATAATAAAAAATATAACTTTTTTAAAATGATTTTGGTTGGTGATGATTTATTTTTGTCCACTTAATATGTAACAAAATAAAAAAAAACAACACACATGATAATGATAAAATAAAACTATCAAAAAAAACATCATGACAATACCCCACCCTATAATCATAATATATAAATAAATAAATCTATATATTTTTTTATTATTTAATAGTCAGACATCAATATTCCCACACACCACAATTTTTCATCGTTGTTTGATGATAACAGAAACCACACTCCACCCACATATATATTATCCGTTCCTATATCACTGATAATTAATAACAATTATCAATTAATAATTATAGATAATAACAACAAATAATAACAACAAATAATAAAAATAATATTTTAAAAAAAAAAAAACATTCTATTTCCTGAAAACTTGTCAAATTTAACTTTATCACTTTCATTAATTTTTTTTCACTTTCCAATTTACCAATTCCAATAATCTAACAAACAGCAACACTCTATTAACATATTTATTTTTCTCTATATCTATCTCTCTCACAGTTTCTCTACCTTTGTTTTTCCCCCTAACCTAGATTTTCATTTTTCCAATACAATTACCAGAGTAATCGGATTGTTAAAACTAGAATTCCATCGAGACTCAATATATCAATCAACAATCAACTCAAATTAATTCACCACCAATTTCCAAATCAACTAGAATCAAATAATATTTCAAAACAACACTCTTTTTTTCAATATAAACACCAAACAACATCAACAACAACAACACATTTTTTTAATTTCTAAAATCGATCCATACCCATCATCATTTTCAACACCACTGCCAAACTCACTATATTCAATTTCTATAGTTGCCCAAAACAATCATTCCTGATTAACCACTTAATTAATCATATATCTATTTATTTATAACACGCATATATATATCTAGTAGTATAATAAATCAATTGATCAATCAGCAATTTGGCTCACCTCCAACTTTCACTCACTCAATCAGTAAATCATTCAGTCAATCAAGCAATCAATCAATCAATCATAACTGATTAAAATCAATACCATCACATTTCAATCAATTTCACACTGAACACTGAACCTATTTTACTAAATCAATCACTTTTTGATTATTTATAAATTTATTTTATTTATTTATTTATCCACCCACACACTATATCTATTTATATTTCCTACAACAACACACCACTACAAATTGAAAAACATAAAAATACCAATTAGAAAATATATATCACCCAACAACATCTCTCACCACTTTTTACCAAAACAACACGACAACAATCGAATTAACTTGATTAATCAAAATAGAATAATTTCCAAATCAGATATCTACTTTTTATATCAAATAATTCTACATCATTGATAGAGACAATACTGATATTAAATTATTTATTTACCACACTCAATCTGACCACCAATCACACCCACACCCACCACTCTATAGGAAACTAACTACGAGATTTAATAATAATATTGAATAAGAATAATGGACGAAGATATTGTTATTATTTCACCATCATCATCAAACATTGAGAAAAATAGAGATCATCTTCACTCTCCCATTCATTTTCCTCCTTCTCCACACTCTCATCAAAACATCAAACTTCCTCTTGAATTAGATTTCGATTCCTCAGAAAATATCGATAACAAAACAGCCTCTGTTTTAAAGAGTTTCTCTCCATTTCCAGTTTTGTCAAATAACAACAACAATATTAATAGTAATAATCAAAAGAATCAAAGTCAATATCATTTACAACAAACAACCGGAGTAGTTCCATCGATTTCCCAACAACAAAAAGATCAATTATATCAATTACAGAAACAAAAACAACAACAATATCAACAGCAACAACAACTACATCAAATCCAACAACAACAACAAATAAAGAAACAACAAATCCAACAGCAATCAAGTGGAAATAAATTATATTTAGAAGAAAAAGTGGCACCACCAGCAGTCAGAGTTTGCGAGTTTTGTGGATGTACTACAACACCAACATGGAGACGTGGTCCATCCGGTAAAGGTTCACTGTGTAATGCATGTGGAATCAAATGGAGATTGAAAGGAAAGGATTCTTTAGTTAAGAAGCAAGGTAGAATGCCACCTTTACCTCCAACAACCGGAACATCAAACAAGCCAATCGGATCGCAACAACAAATCAAACCATCTACATCGTCGTCTCAATCCTCCAAGCCAAGTAGTCAATCTTCTCATTCTCATCATCATCATCACCATCACCAACAACAACAACAACATGTCTACATGCCACAACAACAACAATCAAGTCATCATCATCAACCATTACAACAATCTCTATCATCTTCTTCACTCGGCGGTCAACATAATTTCATGCCAAAACCACACCAACCACCATTCCAACAACACAATCTACCAAATCTACCAAACTACTCGAGCTATGCCAATGAACTATCTGTGCCCAACCACTCACCGGATCTCTACAAGAAAAAGAGAAAGCTTGATTTCTCACTAGAACCAACCAATACATCGGATCTCGAGAAAGGATACTACTGTAAATATTGCAAGAAGACCTGGCCACAATCATCCTTTAAGAATAGTCAACAATTCGGTGCCCACTGTAGTAATTGCTCGAGAAAGCCAAGAGGTGATATCGAAGCTTTGATGTCCTTGAAAAAGAAATTCTCAAAGAAGAGATCCAAGGATGGTTTATACGATGACGATGGTGCCGTTCCACTCTGGGATACCGCCGGTAGATACAACAGAAAGTCAATGGGTAACCATAATCCATTGCTGACACGCCTACTCAACATTGTTGAAAGTCAACTCATCGAACCAACTGAATTATCTAATATTAAAGAAGAGATTGATGTAAGTTATTAAACTATAATTATAATTCTTATATTTTTTTAAATAGTAACTAATACTATTGTCTTTATAAATAACACAGAGTATGAAAACCGATTTAACATCAAGAAAGAAGAGAAGAGTAGAACAATTAAGTAGTTTCAAACAATTGGTAAACTCTGAAATGAACGAAATGAAAGTAAACATTGATGTACAAATTAGAAATAGTGAAAACAAAAAGAAATCATTTATCGACGATCTAAAGAGAGAGATTGATATGAGAATACACGATAAGGAGAGTATCTTCTCGAGTGATTCTCTATCTCATACTGTACCAATTCCACGCGGTAGTCAACTCCCAGCACTCAAAGAGCCACTAAGTCCTGAGCTTATCCATTCTCCACCAAAGAAACCTACTTTCTACAGAGATGAACAAGGCAATCGCTTCCCTCTCGATATGTCTGAAACAACTTTATAAATAAATAAATATTAAACAAAACATCATTATTTAATTGTTTCGAGAATTAATTAATTGATTAAAAAAAAAAAAAAAAACAAAATACTTATTAAATGATAGGTAAAAAAAAGAGAAAGTTCAGATTGTTAATCAGTTCTTAATAATAAAAAAGTATTGTTTTTTTTTTGGTTTTCTTTAAAGTCTATTGTAATCTTCTTATTGCTCTTTAAGAAGATTTTAAATGAAAATATACATGGTTTTATTTTTTAATATTATTATATTATATATTATTAATTCAAAACAGCTCTGGTGTGTGGCTCGGGTGGATTGATTTGATCGACACTTGCACTTCTCTTAAATGTTTTGACTCTATACTCTGAAGCTTGTGAGTGATCCTCTAAACGTTTAGCTCCAATCTTGTCAAGTGGTTTAAGTGGGAAGTGAGTCGAATCCAATTTTGAAAATGTCCTTAGTTCGAAATAATATTTAGCATATCTAAAATAATAATAAAATAATAATAAATTAGTTTAGTTTCTTAATATCAATATTATTAAATAACAAGTTAAGACTATCTATACATACGTGCTTGCTGTTAAACTAACATTATATTGAATGAGTGATAAAAATTGTCTTTCTAAATTATTTAAATCGGCAGCAGTGAGATTATCGAAAACCGGCAGGAAATCAACATTCCATACTGATTGATCTTCCCACACTTTGGATGCTAAAATAAGAGCTGACAATACAATTCTCCTCCAATTTGTTGAATTAATTGTTGCTCCTGAAAATGTAATAACTCTTTCTACATAAGCCAAACACATAATCGCACATTCAGAATCCAACTATAATTAAAATGAACAGTAAAATATTAAAAATTAGTAAGTTATACAAATTGTTTAAAAAAAAACAAATAAAATTAAAACTTACTCTCTCTGCTTTAAATATATCTCTAACAAATTTATATATGGTATCAACTGTTGGTAATGTTTTAAGTTCTAGTTTTCCTTTCTGCAAATTGTTTAGATAATGAATTGGTTTGGTTGATTAGTTAGTTAATATTTTGACTGATTATATTTTGTTTTTGTATACATACTGTAATTGGATATTTTTCTTCACTAAATATTTCAAAATGCTTTTGAGGAGTCTGGGTTCCTCTCTCTATATGATATAGTAATGCATTTGCCATACATCTAAGTATTTCATCGTTGTCTGGTGTGGAAAGTGTACTCTTTATGTAAAGAGAAGAGGTGGAATTGTGCTTTGCTCGTTGAAATCCTTCCATTCTCATGTGTTGTGGAATAGATGTGATTGGAGTCTTAAACTGTGGACCCAAACCAACTTTCTCTTGATAATGATGACGAAAATGTAAGTATGAGTGATCCATTGTTGTTGATGATGATGTCGATGATGTTGAGGCTGCGGCGGGTGCATGTGTGTTTGTGGTAGTCATACCTGTCGATAGTTGTCGCTGATGCGTACTGGGATACGACGAATGCAATGTATTGACTGGTTTCATATAGTAGTGTGGAAGCGACTGTTGCTCCGAGTTGATCTCCAGTACCGAGCTAGAGTCTTTCGCCGTCAGCGAGAAAGAGTCATCCTCCGATATGGTGATCTTTGATTTTATAGAGTTTCGCTTCGACTCGTTCAGCGGCTTCATCTCAGAGGCCGACATCAGATTGGATGTACTGCTGCCGCCGCCGCCAGCTACAGAGCCGGAATGGCGTTTGTTTGTAGGATTCAGACTCATCGAGGAGATCTCTAGGATCTTTTGAGCATCCTCTCTTTCAGTGTCGCCACTACCTCTCTTAAAAGAACAGCAATTCCCCATAGAATATATATGAGAAACCGATTCTTTTGATTGTATATTTGCCGTTGTTGAAGGAATCAACTGATTGTTTCTCTATGTTGTCGCAATAGAGAAAACTCTGATGTTGTTTGTTGTTCGAATTGTGAAAAATGGAAAGTAAAGAGTTCTTTCGACAGTCAACTCTTCTTGAATTCCAACTACTCTACAGATTCAACAATACTATACTATCTATGATGCTATATTGTATGATATGATATGCTATAACTGTTTATGATTCTAATATAAATTATTGGTTCCAAGAAAAAAAAACTGATATAATAAATAAAATTTTTATATTTTAGTTAGTTTTTATAATAAATAAATAAACAATAAATAATAAGAGGAAGGATAGTGGAAAATGATTATTATAATAATAAGTTTTGAAATTAAAAAAAAGGAATGAATGAATGGTTGTTTTATACAATGTAGTATTAATATATTACTATTTAAAAGTAGATGAGTAGTGTTATTGTTTTAATTTTTATAAATAAATAGAGAATTTAAAGAATAATAGTCAAACAATTATAAAATTAATTATAATTCATAATATATTATAAAGAAGAAAAGTAATTTGATAAAAATTAGGAATATGGAACAAGTTTGATTGGGTTTTGTTTTGTTTTGTTTGTGCATGAACAAAGAAAAACAAAATAAAAAACAGTAGGTAGCTGGAAGGAACCCAAAAAAGTAAACAAAAGGTTTCCCCTCTGAAGTTAGAGAATGAGTGAGTAGTGTAGTGAATGAACAAAATGGTTGTTATTATATATGTTATTTTTTTTTTTGGAGACAACCAACAACCAACAACAGCAACAAACAAACAAACAAATGTATGAATTGAACTGAATTGAACTGTATTGAATAGAATAAAAGATGTATCTATTCAAAAAGAAAGGAAGGAAAGTAGAGTGAAATAAAGGAAATGAAAAGAACAAAAACAAACAGTTTTTTCATTATTATTATTTTTCACACAATTTTTTTTCTAATACCATACTACTACAGTGATGCTGTTGTTAATGTTGTGTTCCCTATACCTCACTAACTTAAACTAACACTCAATCCTCATTCACAAACACACACCACATTAAAAAATTATATATATAACACACACACACACACACACATGACATATAGATTCAAACAGCACATTAACTAACACCCATATTTTCAAAATAACAATAAAAAAAACAACACACCAAATATTTTTATGATAATATTATTATTAATGTGTGATGATGATGATGTTGATGATAATGACCAACACTTTTAATCCAACTATAGTTTGCTGTAGTCAAATTAAACATATAATTCATTCACAGTGTCATCAATATTAAAACAATTGTATTACTTAGACAGGAAGGGGTAGTGGTGTTTGGTGGGATTGTTTTAGTCTTTAAATGATCCAATATGTCTGTTGTTTGTTTGGTTTTTTTTTTTTTTGATAAATTGATGATGAAAGTGATTAAGATATGGTGAGAATCGCATTGGTATGTATTATATTTTTATTTATAAAATAAATGAATGGTTCATATAATAAAGCTATTTTTGTTGTGATGACGATGAAAAGCTTATTTATAAATAATAATATTATTATGGCCGTAGTAATGTGATTGCTGATGATAGATGTGTGTATGTGTTTGCATGTTGGTTATAATAAAACATAGTGATTGTGATAACAATCAAATTCGGTGAAGTTGCAAAGTAAAAGATTGTATTTACAATATAGAATGAAGGTGTCTCTTTATTAGTTTAGAGGTGCAGATTGCATCGCACCAACCAAATCAAACCTAAATCAAACCTAAAACAAACCAAAGAGCCAAATAATCTAAACTTTAATTTTGATTATATATTATGATTATTATTATGATTATTGATATGACAGGTACTTTTAAAGTAATTCATCTTTTTTTTTTTAACTATCTGTCATCAATTGATTCGGCAGTCATCAATCAATCTTTTCTTTCTTTCTATCTCTTAACACTTTAGCTCCACTGATCAACAATAATGATAATAAAAAAAAA